CTCACCCAATTCCCGATCGATCCGGTCTTCTTCGGACTCGACTGGCTCTGGTTCTGGTTCTGGTTCTGGCTCGACTTGGAAGTTTGCTTGCATCCCAGAGAAGTTCGGCATACTAACACCAGACTTGTCCAGGCCCTTCTGTGTAGCCTCCAGCTCGTGGTCCTCGAATTGGAGTTTACCGACCAGGTTACCGATGCGGAAGTCGACGATGCCTTTCCGGAACAAGAGCCATGACAGCGCGTGGATGCAGTAGATGACCTTTGGCACATTCTTCTTCTCGTAGAGATCGACGAGTTCGAAGCGGAAGAGGTCGGGCAATTCGATTTCGGCGAGGAACTTGAAGAAGTGCGCGTAGTTGTTGGAGTGTCGGTATTGTAGCTTTGGGTCGCGGAATATGCGTAGCGGCTGTCCCTTGATGGACTGTACGATTTCCGCTAGTGTGATGCCGTTTCGCAGCGCCTCCTCGAGTTCAACAACGGGCGGTAGGTCGTTTTCAAGAATGTCTTCCATCCACTCCTTGGCTTCTCCGATATGACACAGATATTCGTACGCCTGCAAGAACTGCCTTTGTTGATCCATCCAGTTCCGACTTCCCCACGAGGAAGCTGCTTTTTGCCTATCCGGGTTCCGTTGCAGCCTCCTTCGCCCGTTGAGACCCACGACCTGTTGCTCTGGAGACTTGATGGCAAAGTCATCGTCGTTTGCGTCCTCGGCAAATTTGGAGAGAGTCCGCAGATGTCCCGTAGAAGATTTCTGGAAGCTCTTAAGTTCTGGTCGTTCTAGGTGGACGGATAGCGGTCGGGAGGAGTGGTCGCGGGTGGGCGCGCGTACGGAATCATGTCGAGATACTGCTAGCGAGAGCGGGCGCGGTTTGGCTGTCGGCGAGGAGGGGCCGTCGAAGGGGGAGTAGAGGTTCTCGACGCTGTGTGATCGCAGGTGGCTGTTGCTGCGAACCGGGCTAGTACTTGCTGGGCGTAGTAGCTTCTCTGGCGATGGCGGATTCGAGAAAGTTGCGGGACGTAGCAGTTTTTCGGGCGATGGCGGATATACGGGCGTCGTCGGTCTCATGGCCTTGTCGGGAGACGATGGCGTCTGTTTCTCAGGCGATGCCGGTCGTAGGGATTTGCGCATGCTCGAATACATATCGGATGGGTCAGTCTCGGCAGATCCGAAGTAGTCTTCTGTTCGCGGGCGAGAGAGAGCCGTGGCTTCACTCAGCCCGCGGCGGTGCGACAAGGAGCCGAAGCCGCTGGATGCATGGCTCGACTGCGTGCTCGAGCGGCTCGGGGGGTACTGAGAGTGGTTCGAGGAGCCATTGGAAGCTGTGGACGTCTGGCGGAGCGGGGAGGGCGATGTTGCGGAGTGGCCAGGTCTCGATCGTGGGGCAGTCAGGTAAGAACTCATGGCGAGCGCGACAGTCGAACCGCATGCGTCGTACAGAACAAAGAAAGGTCGTCGTGGGCGTGGTGGTGGATGCTCAAGAGGCCGTCATGGAGGCCCGCGATAATTACAAGTAATATGGATTGCGCCTGCCGCCAAAACAAAAGTCGCGAACTCGACCAAGCGAATGTCTGAAGCCCTGCGACCAAGCGCGCACTTTTACTCTGCACGGGCGAATAGCGGAATGGGAAACGGAAATCGAAATTGGGTATCGTAGATGAAAGGCTGCGGCGTTGAAACTGGAAGCGGACGTGTGTAGTCCAAGCTTTTGCGGATGTTTACCACGGGCTGCAATGGCTTGCCGGCATGTTGTCGTGCCAACCACCCCAGCATGCCCTCTCCACGCCGCGAAAATCATCCATCCCGACTCCCGTCCCACGGACCGGCACACTCAAAACAACATCCTAGTGCTGCATCCCCTTTGTGGTTGCTGTTGATCATCACGTCTGCCGCGAGCCCTTCACTCCGAACTCAACACCCCTACCCTCGACCGCCCCAGAAATCTCCAGTCCACGCCATGTCGCGACAACGGTGCCTGAAGTCTAGGGCGACAAGACGTCCGGCACCATAACGGCGACAGCAGCCCTACTACACGTCGCACGGTGAGCCGTCGCGTCCAAACCTTCCCTTAGCGTACCCCTTCCAGACGTCCAATTACATCCTCGTCGACATGTCAATACTTGACAAGTATAAGGGAGCTCCCAGTTGACAGGTTTCGCCCAACCTGTCTATACCCGAAAGCACCCAGGTACCTGCCGGCTCCTGTGGAACTCATCGGTCGATAATGTTTCTGTAGACAGCGTGCATTTGGACCAATCGACAACCACCAACACCATCGCAAGATCAAGTGCTCAAGTCAGTATACACGCACACGCTGCCATGTTCCGCGCGCATCGTCTCCCTTTGGGACGCGTCTTAGTCACGCTAAAAGGCGGGGTTACATCAGCAGACTCTTGGCGAAGGAGCCCACTGAAATTCTTTCCGCGCCGCATTCTCTGCCAAACTTTTTCTTCTTGGGAAAACCCTCGATTTTCCCCGGCCAGAGTCCTTTACTGAGAACGACGGTCTGTTTCCTTCAGTGATACCCTCTTACCCTTCTCAAATCCTTGAGAAGTTTCTTTTTGTACCTATCATGCCCATCTCCAACGGTGACGCCATGGCCAACACGGCTGAGAACGCCTTGGACTACACCAAGGCTCTTGAGATTCTCAAGAATGAGTACCCTGAGCACGATGGCATTGACATCAAGACGCTCATCGATTCCAAGAAGAACGGCGGTCTCACATACAATGACTTCCTCATGCTTCCTGGCTACATCGGCTTCCCCGCAGCGGAAGTCGCACTCGACACCCCAATCACTAAGCGCATTTCTCTCAAGACGCCCTTCGTCTCGTCGCCCATGGATACTGTCACCGAGCACAAGATGGCTATTCACATTGCGCTCCTCGGAGGTCTTGGTGTGATCCACCACAACTGCTCTCAGGACGACCAGGCTGAGATGGTTCGCAAAGTCAAGCGCTTTGAGAACGGTTTCATCCTGGACCCAGTCGTCATCTCTCCCAGCACCACTGTTGGAGAGGCCAAGGCGCTGAAGGAGAAGTGGGGATTCGGTGGTTTCCCAGTCACTGGTAAGTCAGACTCTGCTTCGTTGTTCCTACCCCCACTCGCATTGTGATGATCAACCTTTCAAAATAACTTTCGTTCATCCGCAAGGTTCCGCCTACTGTGGAGAAAATGTATCTGAATTGCCTTCAAACCACTACGCTTTGTCAACATGTTCTATCGGAATTACCCACTAACAATGGTTATAGAGAACGGCACTCTTCGCTCCAAGTTGGTCGGTATCATTACACCCCGAGACATCCAGTTCCACGACAAGCTCGACGATCCAGTCACCGCAGTCATGTCCACCGACCTCGTAACCGCCCGCCACGGTGTTGAGCTCAAGGAAGCCAACGACATCTTGAACAAGTCCAAGAAGGGCAAGCTTCCCATCGTCGACGAGAGCTTCAACCTGATTGCGCTCCTGTCTCGCTCCGACTTGATGAAGAACCTCAACTTCCCGCTTGCGTCCAAGCTCCCACACTCGAAGCAGCTCATCGCGGCGGCTGCCATCGGTACCCGACCAGAGGACAAGATTCGTCTGCAGAAGCTCGTAGATGCCGGCCTTGACATTGTCATCCTCGACAGCAGTCAGGGAAACAGCATGTACCAGATTGAGATGATCAAGTACATCAAGGAGAAGTACCCCCAGCTTGACGTGATTGGCGGCAACGTCGTCACACGCGAGCAAGCTGCTGGGCTCATCGCCGCTGGTGTCGACGGTCTCCGTATCGGCATGGGTAGCGGAAGTGCCTGCATCACACAGGAAGTCATGGCTGTCGGACGGCCACAGGCTACCTCGGTGTACAACGTCGCCTCATTTGCGTCCCGGTTCGGCGTGCCCTGCATTGCCGATGGTGGTATTCAGAATGTAGGCCACATCGTCAAGGGTCTCGCTATGGGTGCCTCGGCCATCATGATGGGTGGTCTTCTCGCCGGTACTACCGAGTCTCCCGGAGAGTACTTTGTCAGCGGTGACGGTCAGCTTGTCAAGGCCTACCGTGGTATGGGCAGTATCGCCGCCATGGAGGACAAGAAGGCCGGCGCCGGCGCCGCAGACTCCAAGGCCAGCAACGCTGGTACTGCGCGTTACTTCTCCGAGGGCGACCGTGTCCTCGTTGCCCAGGGTGTCTCTGGATCCGTCCAGGACCGTGGCTCCATCACCAAGTTCGTGCCTTACCTCATGGCTGGTGTTCAGCACTCGCTACAGGACATTGGTATCAAGAGCCTCGAAGAGCTTCACAAGGGCGTTGCCAACGGCACCGTCAGGTTCGAGTTGCGCACTGCTAGCGCACAGGCTGAGGGTAACGTGCATGGTCTGCACAGCTTCGACAAGAAGCTTTACTCATAGAGGAGCGAAAATGATATACGAAAGAAATGCATTGGGAGGGCGTTAGTGGGTGGTTGGGATGGTTGAATGGCTTGGTTCATTCCCTCATTAGACACGACGCGCTATGCGAAGATGATTGATGTTCTTATTTACGGGAGCCAATGGATACAATAGGCCAAAAGCAATGATACCACGAACTCTGTTCATTCTTATTGAAGTATAAAATATGTCTTCTGCTCAGTCAGTGATGCATGCCGCCGCCGGATATTCTGGAGTGTTGACTCTTTGGCCGCGATGTCACCGTACGAGCTAACATGTCCTAACCTCGGTACCTCCCCGCGCGTCGACTCGTCACTCACCAACCACATGCCAGCCGTCATGACGCGCCGACCGCTATTGTCGGCTGTCTGTGAAGCCGGAAATGCCAATGCGTCTCCTGGCTGAAGGTAGATTGACTGCGCGCTCTTTTACTCTTGGACAAATCATCTCTACACGTCCCACCTCTAGACTCTCTTCGTTTTTCGACAGACCACAGGTCTGGTACAGAGCGACGTCAGTACGAACAGCTGCCTACTTGAAGGCTATCGAACGCCCCGCGACTGGATTGTTTGAGTTAAAGAAGCGCAACATGTCCACCCCAGCAGACCACCAGCCGTCTAAAAAGGCGGCAAAGACACCAGCGGTTCCACGACCCAGCGCAAGGTATGCCCCCAACCCTCCGCCTTTAGCAACAGTCCCAAGTACCATAGGCTGACCATCCCCAGCGTCCTCCTCATCTCCCCTACCAACCAAATCCTTCTTCTGCACCGTGTCAAGAAAGCCTCGAGCTTCGCCTCCGCACACGTCTTCCCTGGCGGCGCCCTCTCCAAAACGCACGACGGCGCCATCCCCGACGTGAATGACCCAGGTAGACACCAAGATGGGCCTGCCTACCGTATGGCAGCTGTGCGCGAGACGTTCGAGGAATGCGGTATCCTACTAGCTAAGAGCAAGAAAACGGGCAAGCTGTTCACTGAGATCAGCGACGAAGAACGTGAAAAGGGGCGACGAGACGTGCACAGCGGAACCGTCAAGTTTGGCGATCTACTTGAGGAATGGGGTGCTGTCCCCGACACCGAGGCGCTGATACCGTTTACGCGGTGGGTAACGCCCGGCAACGTGCCCAAAAGATTCTCGACGCAAATGTACATTTACTTCCTACCTCTCGGTTCCGTATCGCCCACGAAACACGCGGCACCAGCGTCCACGCCCCCTGGCTCTGGACTTGAAGAAGAAGATGAAATCGTTATACCAAACCCGACGCATGACGGGGGTATCGAACACACGGCCGCACGTTTCCTGCCACCGAACAAATGGATTGATCTCGCGAGGCAGAATAGGATTATACTGTTTCCGCCGCAGTTTTTCCTGACGCTGCTGCTGAGTCCGTATTTAGCGGCAACGGTCACGAGCCCGAGCAGTCCTACACCTAGTATCTCGGAGCTGCAACTCGAGCGAGAAAAATGTCTGGATTTCTTGCGCAAACCGAGGATGTATGAAGGCAAGCCTGAAGCTTCCTTTGCAGAAGCTTGTATTTCTCCTATCGTGCTGGGGAAGGGACAGTATGGAGAGAAGGGGCAGGACGGCGTGGGAGGTGTGGATAAAGATACTGCGGTTCTCGTATTGGATCGACCGGGTAAAGAGGTCGAGGAGCAAGAAGGTGGGAAGGGGAGGAGGGGATTACGTGAGTGGGTTGTCACAACGAGATTCAAAGGAGAAGGGCCGAGGGATGTGGATGTTAGACGGAGGGAGGACGTGCTCGGGAAGAAGACGCAGGAGAAGTTGTAGATTGCGTTGTTCTTATCGAGCAATGCGATTGACTTCCAATGTTACCACAAAGTGATTGTAGATGTGACTATGCTCGCACAGCTGTTTGGGTATTGGTCATCACCAGCCAGCGCCGATCATCAAGCATCGAACCAAAGTTTCCAAGACGAGATCCGCCAGGACTGGGTCCCGAAGAGCGGAACCAGCCTGCACCAGTCGCAAAGAGCTTGGTGTAGCTAGCGCTTAGCTTATTTCCCCGCATTCTAGCGATGATCAAGAAGATCGCATACCTCATGTATTCCCGGTCCGGCGAAACCACCTAGGCGGCTCGGCGCAACGCATGCCGAACACCATATAGTACCTTGAACCTTGAAGCTTATCAGGACATGATATCAGCAGAGTACATCCTGCTTCGTGCAGCTCATCCTCCATCTAGCAAACATGTATTGGACTAGACTGCTGACAAGTATCGCTTCGTTGACGACGCTGCACTTGGAGGTACTAGCTGGGTCTTGTTGGCGAAATACCACATGCAATGGACCAATTGAAGCTGCGTTTGAGGGTACCTACTTCTATTCCTATCTTTCTTCCTAAACGCTAACGAATCAGGGCCCTGGCACGGCAACATCTACGCCCCATCATCACGTACAGTTCGCCCAAGATCAGTCTCCACTATTCGAGACCGTCATCCAGCAAGCTACCCTCAACTCGTGGTCCTCCGCGGGAATGGAACGAATGTTGTTTTCGATTTCGGTATAGAAGTTGGCGGTATCGCCTCTCTCTCCTACACCAGCAATGGAACCGGTGCTATCGGCCTCGCATTTTCCGAAGCATCGACGTGGATCGGCGAGTGGTCTGATGCGTCGAATGGAAAGTTTGCTGGTCGCGATGGAGCATTGTATGTCAATATAACCAGTGCTGGCCCGGGGACGTATACGATGCCGGATGAAGTGATGCGAGGAGGGTTTCGGTACATGACTGCTTTCCTCGTCACGAACTCGGGGACCTACGTCAACATCACGGATGTGCAGCTTGAAATCAGTTTCCAACCTACATGGTCGAATCTGAGAGCATATCAGGGGTATTTCCATTGTAACGACGAGCTGCTGAATAGGATATGGTATGCAGGCGCCTACACGCTCCAAACTAACGCCGTACCATCCAACACCGGCCGCTGGGTTCCCATGCTCGCCAACGGCTGGGCCAACAATGGTACTTTGGGACCAGGAGAGACCATCATCGTCGATGGCGCGAAGCGCGATCGCGCTGTCTGGCCAGGCGACATGGGCATTGCCGTCCCTTCAACTTTTGTCAGCACTGGAGATCTCGAGAGCGTGAAGAATGCATTGCAAGTCATGTTCGACTACCAGAATCCAGATGGCTCGTTTCCGGAAGCTGGACCGCCGTTGTTGCAGCAGAATAGCGATACGTACCATATGTGGACGATGATCGGGACGTACAACTACATGCTCTACACGAACGATGCAGCCTTTGTGCAGAAGAATTGGGCGAGGTATAAGAGAGCTATGGAGTATGTTTATGCTAAAGTCGAGGTGGACGGATCTGGGTTGTTCAATCAGACGGGCACGAGGGACTGGGCGCGCTGGCAGACTGGCTTCAACAACACCGAAGCGAACGTCATTCTGTATCATACATTGCAGACCGGTGCGAAGCTCGCAACATGGCTGAACGACACCGCGATGACAAACGGCACTAGGCTGCAGGATTTATGGACATTACGCGCCACGTGTCTTCAATCAGCCATCCTAACCCACACCTTCGACACCGCGTACGGCGCTTTTCGCGACAACGCCACACTCACCACCCTCCACCCCCAAGACGCAAACAGCATGGCCCTCCTCTTCGGCCTCGTCTCTCCTTCCTCCGCCCAGGCCCAGTCCATCTCCACCGCGTTAACAAAAAACTGGACGCCCATCGGCGCCGAAACACCAGAACTCCCCGGCAACATATCCCCATTCATCTCCTCGTTTGAAATCCAGAGCCACTTCACCGTCGGTCAGACAGATCGTGCGCTGGAATTGATTCGTAGGAGTTGGGGCTGGTATGCTAATCATCCCAATGGCACGGGTGGAAGTACGGTGATTGAGGGGTATAGGACGAATGGGACGTTTGGGTATAGGCAGGAGAGGGGGTACGGGTATGACCCGAGTTATGTGTCGCATGCACATGGGTGGAGCTCGGGGCCTACGAGTGCGTTGACGGAGTTTGTGGTGGGACTGAGGGTTGTGGAACCTGCGGGGAGAGAGTGGGTTGTTGAGCCGCGGTTTGGCGATTTGGAGGAGGCAGAAGGGGGCTTTGTGACGGGGTTGGGCAAGTTTAGGGTGGGCTGGGTGAGGAATAAGGATGGGGAGGGGTATACGGTGGGGATTGAGACGCCGGTGGGGACGAAGGGGTCGGTGAGGTTGCCGCTTGAGGGGATGGGAATCTATATGGAGGTGGTTTTGACGGTGAATGGTGAGATGATAGGAAAGGAGGGGTATACTCAAGTTGATGGACAGTTGGTTTGGGACGTTGATGGTGGGACGTATGATATACAGGTTAGCAGATGGTTTGATGCAGATTGAGGTGGCTTATCATCGAGTATAGTCTACGTTATGTATACAACGAGCCGTACAAAGGTCCTGCCATAACACTCGGCATGAGAACACGATACTGGTGTCAAATCCTGCGTCGACAAAGCGGCTGTGTGGTTCTGACCAACCGGCTGTTGACGACGGAGGGTACGAGTCGTTCGAATTATCTGGATGCGCTGCAACATCGCCATCGATATGCTGCAGGTCTTTGGGCGTTTTTCTAGATTTCAACCCGAAGGAAACCGCATCCTCCTGAGAAGCGCGCGCGGATGTAAGAAGTTTGAGTATTGATGAAATGGTAGCGCCCTTGAAGTTCGAAGCATAAAGGTTGGGGGCGGAGCTTTCCCATTCGATGTTCTCAGTCCAATCCAGCCCTGATAGCGTAAGGGGCGTTTTTAGCTGCATCCAACCTTTCCTATTCCGTTCCCTGTGGCTTAGATCTCTTTTTGTAGACTTATACCCTCTTTGCTGTTCGACAGATTCCATCGACTGCCTTTACTCTACGAAAGAGAATTCTACGAAGACTCCCTTGGCCAGGCACCCATCCATTTAGTGAAAACCGCCATGTCTAGAAAGTTCTTTAGGCATATCCCATTGGCGCGTCCATCCGAACAAATACGACTCCTGAAACTTCAGCCTGACACAGATGTCATTCGGCTCAACACACAGACTTGTGAGCTTACGCAGAGCCCAGCATTCGTGGCACTATCGTACGAATGGGGCGATGACTCGGAGATACACGACATCATTATAGACGGGAATATCTTTAAGATACGGCAGAACCTGCGCGACGCCTTGGAACATATACGAACCCTCCAGGCGGATACATCAAGCACCAGATTATTCGAAGAAGACTCGCCTTGTTTCTGGATTGACGCCATTGCAATTGATCAGTCGAACGATTGGGAAAAGCCTCACCAGGTTTCCATGATGGGTAGAATATATCGTCAAGCATCCCATGTCGTAGCCTGGCTTGGCGTTGCACAACGTGGCGATCTTTCGGACCTGGCTTTGGATTACCTGAATACACGCCCTAAAATACTGGACCACTACCAGAAACTACACCCAGACTTTGTCACAATCTCGGCAGAGGAAATGGCGATCAGAAGGTTGTGTCACCGATCGTACTTTCAGCGGATGTGGATTGTCCAGGAGTGTGTTCTTGCCAGAGAGCTCCACTTAGTTTGCGGGCTTCACTACTGTTCCTGGAAGGACTTGCACAGGTTCAGTGTGTCTTTACATCATGAGCGGCGTATAAGTCGGTCAGTGTATGGGATCTTCGAGGTCAAATCAGAGTTCGAAAGTAATTGGTCTGGCAGGTCGATTCAGGACACTATGTCTCGCATCCTGGACTTGACCGTTGGCAGACGTTGCTCAAAGTTCCACGACCGGATATACGGGCTGCTTGGGATACTCCAACAAAGTTTCCAGACGACTGGCATGGACGTAGATTATGGAGCTAGCCTCGTGGAACTGATGATCAAGACTTATGAATTTCTCGCCTCTGATCCCGAAGATGGCCATTTCTATTGTTCCCCTTCCACGATCCTAGATGCTTTCGAATCAGTCGCATCGACGGATGAAAAGGGAAAATTCATGGTGTACTGGCAGATAAATGAGATCATGTACAAGCTCGACGCGGATGTAATCAAAGGATTTCATTCGCTCGAAACTCTTCACGACGAAAAAGTGCGGGCATTGACATTCCTGACAGTTTGCTGGATCGTTGGTGGATTTGGAGTTGATCTTTTCTCGCCTGTCGAAGGAAGCACTCCTCTGAATATCACGACACCGACGCAGATTATTTCCTTCGAGCATGTCAACCCAGAGAGCGATGAGGTGCCGGTCTTTAATTTATGTCCTTGCACTTATTCGCAATATGATACGGAAATCGATACGTATTGTATCTCCTTGACACATTCTCTGCGAACGGGACATGATGCGCTAGAAAGCTATGTTTTGACAGAGTCGAAGTCTCGGGAATGCAGAACTTTGCTCGAGGCATACAGCAAGCACGTCAAGTTCGTGAGTATATTGCGAGAGGACTTCAAGGTTTCTACCGAAGTGTCTGACCTGCAAACGTCAACGCGACTCCCGATCCGGGTTGAGTGGCTGGTGTTATCCAATCTTTTGGCGCAGTACTTTCTTAGCAAATACAGCCCAATGTCTCACTGGGGAACTGAGCCTAACCGCACGACCAAGATCGATGGCTTTGTAAGGCAGATCGAGCGAGAAAGGAAAGATCTTGGCACATTTCTCTCGGAATCCTTCTTCAACAAGTATCGCATGAGTGTGGCAAACGCATCCGATGAGTTGCCTACGAATGCTCTTGCATTAATAGAGATCAAGATCTACGACAGCAAAGACCCTAATGACTGCTTTGTTCCTGCGAAGAAGACATTGGTGGCTTCTTTATACGATAACGATTATGAAGAGAGCCGTAAAAGGAAGAGGAGATCCCTCCGAAGTCCAAGTCGACACCACCACACATGACTCATGGCAGCCTAGCCATCATGCAAAGCGTCTAGGTCACTCTGCCACTTGCCTTTCGTCCGAACTCGATCGTTGTAGCAGTGACACTTGATCTGTTCTTTGCACCCAGTCATATGGTCAATAAAGAAACGATACAGAGAGGATTAGCATGGCCCCAGCACATGGATGACACGCTCCAATCAAGAGGGGCTACCATTCTCTTCCTCTGCCAAGTCGAACTGCTTGAATTCAGGCTATTCAAACCGTCGATTCGGCGACAGGTAGAATCTGTTCTTTCTTGCTGTTTTGGAAATCTAGGTTGATGTACACCATGACCGGGTGCCGTATTCGACGCAGAGACCATGTTAATATCTAACGACCTTGTAACCAATATGCTACCATTCAGCAAAGATCCATGTTACACAAACGCGCTCATGGAGGGTATATATCGCTATCGTCATGACTTCGTATAGCCACCTGTAGGCCTTTGCCCACCACCCCTTCGCTCAGCCACACACACTAGCCCACCATACGTACATCCTCAACTTATATTATCATCTCGCCCTCATCCCCCTCGCCACCCCCAACATCCTCCCCATCATCCTCATCCAAGTCCTCCAACGGATAAGTAAGGATAGCCGCAACATTGCCCAGCCCCTCCAGGCGCTTCCCCGACTCGTGCAACGAGCTGAGAACGCGCACCTCACCACCCTCTACATCGCGCACCTGATCAACCAACGTGACCCATCGCCGCCTCTCCTTGACATTCTGCGCGCGGAACAGTGCGTTGTTGATGAGGAGCACGCCACCTCCGCGTCCGACGGCGCCTTTGGCAACCGCGCGCTCCACCTCGCGGGGTCCGTACCACGCGCGCCCGTCGTCCAGGCGCATGAGGGTGCTGAATTTGTCCATGAGGGCTGTTTCGCGCGCAAACTTTGTGTCGGAGAGTTTATTTGTTATGGCTGGGGAGGAGAGAACCTCGTTGAGCGAGTGTGTGTGCGCTGATGACGAGTGTGCGATGATGATGGTGGGTATGAGGGCCATGAGCGGCTTGTTGGTTGTTCGCGTCGCTTCTGCTTTGATGTATTGTAGGAATGCTGTCGCTACGAAGCCGGGGCTGGCGAGTAGGAGGGGGATCGTTTTGCCGCCTTGGGCCGTGTTGGAGGTATTTGGTAGGTCAATTTGCCGTAGGAGTGTGGAGAGCGTTGTAGAGAAGAATTTGTCCATGCCTTTGCTGTGTCCGTCGACGCCACCTCGTCGTTTTCTGGGCACCGAGACCTCAATCTTTTGTCGCAGTATTGTTTGATGTTCTGTGATCATGCAGATGTGCGCGACGCCCTCGCCCATGACGACGGCCCATAGTTCTGCGCGTTTGGACGCATCGCATGCCTCTTTCAGCTGCTCCAATGCGACGCTATCCCAGCCGTCTGCTTTTTCAATGGTAAATTTGCGATTCAGCTCCAAATCAAGTGTGTGATGCTGCCCTAGTTTGACGTGCTCGTTCTCTTTTGCTACGCGACCGGAAACGTGTAGCTGTTCGGAGCCGACGTCGAAATCGGTCGATGTTACGGTGATGGTGAGGTCCAGAGCGATTCTTTGCGACGACGTGGAGCCGGCATCTGATGTCTTTGAGACTCGTCGGACTGCCTTGGCGCGTATTTGGTCGTGTTCTTGGATCAGGTTATAGGCGTGCCACATATCCTCAGGCTCTTCAGGCAGCAGGGTGACGAAGCCCGCGCCTGTTTTTTGTTCAATCTGGCTTTTGAGCAACTTCATGATAGCGTGGTCAGGGGTATCTTTGCGTGTAGGGTCAGTGGTGGTGGTGACGATGGAGGGACAATCACCAGGCGCGTCGAGTTAGCTACCCAGCGTGAACTTTTGGAAAGTAGTGACGCAACCGTGGGATGGAGGGGCACTAGTGGGGGTCCACCCTACCCACCAACCCACGCGTCTCGCCCTAAAGGTATTCACTCCCATAGTCTGAGACTTCAACGCCAACTACTATGAATCCTTGGAGGCACCTTTTCAGCCAATGCAGAACTGACAAAAGAAAAGAAATGTGTCTCTTTGTTTGGTTGGATAAATTCACAGGGTCTCCAGGCAACCAGGCTTTCACTAGCAGCGGGTATCACTTTTGCAAAAAGACTCGGAAACAGGTATTGAACAAAGCAACTCTGGCATTCGCTCGTAGCTCATGTAGTCGCTATATACATTATAAGATAGATATATACAAGAATGTTATGTAGACCAAGAAGCCACGCTCTACGACCTGGCCTTGATGATCTCAGCAGCCTTCTCACCAATTCCGTACATGGTAGCCTGGAGATGGCAGGAGGGGATGATAGGAATGATAGAGGCATCGATAACAGAAAGATGCTGAGTACCGTAGACCATCAACTTGTCGTTGACACAGCCACCGTCCCTCTCAGGCATCATGGGGCAGGAGCCAGACGGGTGAGCAAGGGTAGGGCTCAACATAGACTGCGCAAGCAGCGAGCTGTAAATCTCCTCATCCGAAGTATACTGAGCCCCGGGGACAGTCTCGGAGATCTTCTTGCTGGCGAGCTCAGGGCGGGCCCATACAGTACGGAAGAATCGCAGACCAACCGCCATGATCATACGATCAATGGGGTTGACGAAAGCGTTGTAGATGACGTTGGGAGGACCGTTGGGGTTCTTGGCGTCGATGTAGACAGTACCGCGGGACAGCGGTTTCTCAACTCCGACGAGGCCGTAGCTGCCATCGGCAGGGACGGGAAATTCGGCGACGGCAGCGTCTTTGCGGGAGAAGATGTCGGCGATGACGGCGCGCTGCTTGGCGAATCCGCTAGCAAGCTTCTTGTTGGACTTGTAGATGCTGGGGAGGTAGTCGGTGGCTTTCTGGCTGCTCAGACGGCTAATGAGGCTGTCGGTGTCGTTGGTCATGTCGGGTAGGGAGATGAAAGCCAGGGCGTTACCACGGGCGTAGGTGTAAGGACCAGTCTTGTGCTCGACGTACTGCTCCCACGCAGAGGCGTTGAAAGTGGCGTTGGTCATGAGCGAGTTCTGGTTGGGGAAGTAGTTGGAAGTCGTGTTGAAGACGACGGTGGCGTAGGGGTGGTCCTGGAAGTTGGAGCCTACTGCGTCGAGCTCAACCTTGACCGGGATACCGGCAGCCTTCAAGACGGACTTGGGACCAACACCACTGAGCTGGAGGAGCTTAGGGGTCTGGATGGCACCAGCAGCCAAAACAACTTCCTTCTTGGCGTAGAAGGTGGCCTTCTTGCCAGTCTTGTCGGTCACCTCGATACCAGTGGCCATGGTCTTCTTCTTGTTGTCAAAGATGATCTTGTCGGCAGTGGTACCGGTAAGGATGTGGAGGTTGGCACGAGTCTGAATGGGGTCGTAGTACGCGTAACGAGCGTGCGCACGACGTCCAGTGGTAGCATCCATGGTGTTGGCGTACCAGGAAGGACCGTAGGCCTCGCCGGCGTTTCCATCCTCGGGGATGTAGACACCGGAAGCCTTCCATGCCGCCCAGTAGTCCTTGATATCCTCGTACTGGTTGGAGGTGATGGAGACCTTCAACGGTCCGTTACCGTAGGTTGACTCGTCCCAAGTGATGTTGAAGTCCTTGACAACATCGGGAGTGGGAGGCTGGAAAGTGGTGCCCTTGATAAAGGCCTCCTCCATTCCCTTCCATCCCCATCCCTTATTGCCAAGAGCCTCCCAGGCATCATAGTCGGCAGCAGAGCCACGGTCGTAGACCATGCCGTTGATGACCGATCCACCACCAAGGACCTTGGCAACGATAACCGCATAGGAAGTGTTACCAAGACCCGGCTCAGGGAGCGAGTTGATGTTCTCCCAGATCAGGCCGGCAGCCGAGGTCAAGTCGTTGGCCTTGTAGGGGATCTTGGTGTTGTCGGTGTCGACATTGTCACCAGCTTCGACAACAAGAACAGTCTCTGTCAATCTGTGTTAGTACCTCTTAAACAACCAATGTGTCATAATACATACTGCTCTTGTCCTCGGTGATACGGTTGGCTACAATCAAACCAGTAACACCTCCTCCTACAATAACGTAGTCATACTGGGGCTTGGCGGCAGCACCAAGAACAGGTGCTACAATTACAGCAAGAAGCTGAACAGCAACGGCTAGACGGGAAAATGCAGGCATCTTGAAAATCCAAAAGAAAAACAGTTTAAACGAGGGTAAATTTGGATGCGCACTGCAATGGACTTTCAAAGGGTGCACCCACTAGATGCTTTATACGGACCGAACGAAACACTTACTCGCTGCTCACATTGGTCGAGAACATATTCGCCACGTGGGAAAGCCGATATTGGGATGAAATCGGTAAGATAACACCGCAAAAGTAGTCGGCCCACAAATACTACAGAGCGAACGATAGCTTGGTAAATTGTTTGTATGCAATGTGGCGCGGTGCTGGCGGCTGCCATGTACACATCCGTTCTAGAATGCGAACCTGTAATCCTTCTGGTAGGGGTTCAGAATCCCAAGCCTATAAAACAGGGCGCATAGAGATCGTGCGCTTGCTCCTCCCTGACTCCTGGTGAACATCAGGGCCTTGTGGGCTCCGTCTCGGTCCGGGGCCGGGGTGCCAACGTTCTTCCACCAGACAAGATAAGCTCGCGGCAGTCAAAATTGGAGCGAGGTACGTTCGGTGGGCTGATGTTGCGGTGGGCCAACGCAAATCTCTGCGGCTCGTATGTAGAGCGTAAAGACGGACCGGATGAACGATTCATGGTCTTCACACACCGGAAGCCACGCCCCGCTTTTGGACGGAAGACAAGACAGAAGACACGGGCAGATGTCCTCGGCTATAGACTAGCATGTGATTGAGTTTGAACTACAGGTGTAGCAACGGCAGCGGCATAAACAACACAATACGAATCTGGGGTACGTTTAGGATACCATGAGCGCATGATTACTTCGGAGATTTCGCAAAGGACTGCACGAGGGATGCGGCGCCCCTGGGACTCGGCAGGTACGGTTTTACGGTAGACGCAACGTGATAAGGCCACTAGGAGACCCGCATCTCTGATTCGCCATCTGAACCTGTCTCGGGAGGCCTGGTACCGCGGTTTCGGAGAGTGGGCGCCTTTCGGGTTCAATGTCCTGCTCGCTTGCAGAGGACAACCCGCTAAGCTTTCGATCAGCATATCATTTCCTTTTCTTTTTCCCGGAATTTAGGCTTCGTAACAGTCGTTCCAATGAGGTACATTGCAAGCACCGACGGCGCACAAATCTCGTTCGTTGACGTTTAGTGCAAAACGACTGGTGAGAAGGCGAATCTGTTGGAGTACGTTAGGGTATCTTTCTGCACGTCTGACGTTACTTCAAGATGTCGAATCAGTGGCTTTTAGTGGCGACCGTGACAAGCGGAGTAGTAGAAACCCGGCCCCCTCAAGCTCGCAGTTCTGCGTTCTTCCCTGTAGTTTGAGTTTTAGACTCGGTCGGTCGGGTCGCGACAAGGGTCCACATTCCGCGGGCTAACGACAAGAGCCCGATGAAATATCTATGTACCCTGAAATATAGTTGTTTCAGACTCGGTCGCACGCAGATGAGTTCTTGCGGCACGGCGTGGGAAATGAAGATACATTGTTGCGTCGTGGATGACGGCAGTTCTTTCGACTCCAGAGTGCTGGAAAGGAATAAGGATCTCGTGGGACTGGTGGCGCAAATGGTGGCTTCGGTTCTTGATACCGGTGAGGGAGGGACGGAGAATTCCACGGCATTGTTCTAGCTAGCACGCTAGAGGCACTAGTACCACTAGTTTCGTCTGGCCTGACATTCGCTACCACCTCTTCCACCATTCCCATCTTCTGGTGAGATAGACGAAAGATCGCGCAACACGTCCATGCGGCAACACCGAGAACCGCGGGACGATGCAAGATCGCACGTTCGCCCTGAGGCCCATCGGGCGGGTAAATGCGTGCGCACTGCGTGTCCCACCAGCGTTGCGACCAAAGTTTGCGAACCTCGGATCTGCAACAAGATCTACAACATGCGTCGTCGTCTTCGATTGTTCTCCTGCTCATACATAGCCACGGATCCTTCTCTACATGGTGTGACCTGTCCGGCTGTGTAGTGTACACTTGATTCATGGAGTCCCGCCCGCCGAGCTTTCTGCTCCAATTGGGCCAGATTGCAACGTGTGGGGCCTCAATTTATGCGGCATCACTTCCAATTCAGCTCGGAGTGCGTGACCCTAGGATGCACTCCCAGAGATCCCCGTGTTGGAACGTTTCGAATGACGGTCTCGAGCGAGTGCACCTTCTTTGATCGATCTGGCGGCCTTCTCCCGTCGCCGCAACCGTGCTGTTTAGCTTTCGCTTCGCCAGTTCTGACCCAGTGCGGCCGACGCGAGAGATGAGTGGCGCTGAAGAACATACTTGAAAACCCCCGACGCACTCTCGTTCATTGAGTGGACGTTTGCTTTTTCTCCTTGCTCACCGATTGTGACCTCTGCAACCCATGCCATAGCGCACTTCGAACGACCCCGCCCCAGTGCATTATGGACACCGCAGGCACACAAGAATGGCCGGACGAACGATTGAAGGTCCTTATCCCGGTGTGGACCTTGACGCTGATCAGTACCGCATTCTTGGTATGGAGAGTCGTGTACGGACTGCGATCGCGCAAGTTCATCATCTGTGATTACCTGTTGATCATTGCCACTGTAAGTCTCGGCGTGCTTCAGCCCTACCACCTCGCCGACAGTACGGGACACGGTGCTGATATGGCGATCTCAGGCTCTCAACATCGCAGCGACGTCGCTCAATCAAGTAGTCGTGAATAATGGTCTTGGACGCCACATCATGGACCCTACGGTTTTCCCGAATCTCAGAACCTACAGTTACTATCTATGGATCACACAGATCGTTAGTAAGTTTGCAGCACCATACTCATCTTCTTGTTCGCTGACGTGTAGCGCGCAGACATCATTGCCGTTGCGTTTCTGAAGTGGTCCATCTGCGCCTGGCTGCTCGTGCTGAACTTTTCCAAGCTGTACCGAATCATTATCTGGCTTTCGATCTTGATGGTTACTGCCTTCAACTTCCTTGCACCAGTTTTGACATTGTTCGGATGTACACCCCTGGAGCGAAATTGGAACTTTGGATACACTGGAGAAAGCCATTGCTGGGCGAAAGGCACACTCGCGCTATCCTACTTTCAGGGTATCAGCAACATCATCACAGATGTAGTCTACATGGCTGCACCTCTTATCTATCTTTCGCGCGTCCAGTTGAGCAAGCGAACTCAATGGGGTATTCGCATTGTCTTCTTGCTCAGTATCCCGTAAGTGGAAACGTCCGCAAGCTCTATGACTTCTGCTGACGTTCTGTAGTGCAACGATATGCTCAATCTTCAAGACCATCGAACTCAAGTCCATCACTAAAACGCAAGACCCGACATGGGACGGTGTCTCTCTCACTATCTGGTCCAGTTCTGAACTCTCAATCGGTATCCTCATCGCATCGCTTCCACCGCTCCGCAAAGCATTCGATCACATCTTCAAAAGGATCCTACCCTCAACCATCACTGGTTCAGGAAAAACACCACAATACGGCTACGGTCGCTCCACCGGCCAAGGCGCAAACAGCATCCACATGAAGAACTTTCAAGGCAGCAAAGCCTATCACTCCCGATTACCCGGCGAAAGTATCCTAGACGGCGACGACGAGAGCGATCGAGCCATCTTGCCTGACGACGAGCACAAGGGCCCTGGGATCATGAAGAGTACCAATGTCCAAGTCACCGTCTCGGAAGATGTAGAAGAGGCAGGGAGTAGTTCAAATTCCAAAGGCGGCGAGAGCCCCAAGATGTATAAACCAGAGATTGACTGGGCGAGTCCACACTTGGAAAGTGGTGGTGGTCCGCATCACCAGGCTCGGTAATGACGATTTTTAACGGTCGAAAAAGTAAAGCTCCATTTGTGTATATATATAGTTTAGGTCTATGTTGGGTGGTGGCTGGACTGCCTCCATGGTTGGATACCCATGTTTCCATGTACATGATACAATATCATCATGTCTCGAGCGAATAGCTCATAACGACAACATCTTCTTGACCGGTCTGAGCAGATTTTTCGTTGATCCAATGCCGTGTCCGATCTATTGCAAACTGATACAAGGCAGTTTGCTGCCCGGCTGAATCTTCACCGAAAGGATCACTACACTTCTTATGTCGCTTGGCAATATTACGCTAGCTGGGCATAACTCCGATAGTAGACGGTTGTCACTATGGTGGCGCTTTCACATTATCGACAGCCGGCGCAGCAGGAATGAGGGTTTGCACACGTATTTATGCAAACGCAGTGGGAGACCAGAGCCGATTGTGTTATACATGCTTCTTCCAGTCCCGCTTCATGATGGTCACCGTATGAGTGTGACTAGACGCAGATATGTCGCTAACCATGTAAATGCACTTTGCCATATATGCAAATCCAAGTGAACATACAAAAAGAACAGAAAGGTTTGAACCACTCCCTCATTACCTCTCTTTGACCTGTAGAACGATAACAGAATTGACGACTTTGGTCCACGGATGTACTTCGGCGAGAATATCAAACCCAATAGTCTGGAGGTCTTCGGATAACTCCAATATCTAAATTCTTGTCAGCCATTCGGTCCTTCTAGACGATCACACAGAGCAAGTATCATTACTGACCGGATACAATACACTCCGCATACCCTGTGCACTTCTTGCTACCACTAATGTCCCAGGCGCCAACTTCCCCGCCATGCTCTTCAATATGTTGAGCTTTGTATAGGTATCTGTGCCGACAAGGGCGGCAAGAAATACCACTTCGCATGATTGCCATCCTGATGTCAACAATGTTGTTTCCTGTGTAACGTCTTCGCAAGCGAAACTCATGCGGTCGTCCTGGTAGCCCAATCGCTTGCACAAACCTTCGCTGACAGACAACGCGGTGGTATCTCTATCTATGTTATACACCCGCGAATTAGGGTGACGATTCAGGAAACAGAGCGAGGTGAGTGGTAATGGGCCGGAGCCGATGAATGCGATTTTGGATGGCGGCGCCGGGAGGAACGCTTCTATGGCTGCGCATTCCAGCCGAGAGAGATCAACATAGTTTTGGTAGTATGGGAAGGTTTGAAGAACACTCGAGATTTGTTGTTGTCCCGCTGACAATGGTTAATCATTTTGTCGAAATGATATACTATATCGCTGAGTTGTACGTACTACTGAGATCATTGAGCATACGCTTTGCCCAGAATTTCTCCAATTCTCCTTCGGCTTCTGAACATAGTGGTCGTAAATTCGAGCAAAGACTCTCGATACCGGGTATACGGAAGAAATATGACGTGAATTCCGTACTGTAAGGTACCACACAAAGATTCACGAGTTGTGTGAGAAGAGAATTGACCTGTTCTGAAGGTGCTAACGACGATAGTCCGCTGAGTACCGTGTGTATTTGTCTAATTTCGGAGACTAGCCGGTGCGCCGCAGTGCTTGTTGCGTTCGGTGTGACGGGAGGGGTGACGGCAAGAACGGAATCGACAGGGGTAGTCGGCTTGGATTGTTGCGTCGTAGTCTTGCGTTCAATGTCCGCCATGTTGAAATGCAAGTAATAATGTTGTTTTTCGCTGTTATGTCAGGCTGTATGGTTGTGTTTGTGTATCTCACTAGATACGGACCATCAGTTTGGCAAAGTTTTATACGTGAGTGTCAATGTCAGCTGTTGCACGAAGAACAAGCAGCACACGTGCGCAGCTATAGACTAGAAAAACTCTTTTCGCATTTGCCATGTGTCAAACGCATTAAGCGGTAATATCGTTTGTCTGGTTGGCTGAGTACCATGATGGTCGTGTGGGATAGTAAGTTTAGCTAGGGATGACCCGAGATACAAGCGGGATCTATGCTCAATGTAGTACAAATGTGTGGGGTTGGATACTTGTTGGGCATAAAATGTTGAAAGAAGACCTATAGACCTTACTCCGGAAGCAGGCACGCATTATGACCCGCATCTTCAGGCCCTAACGGCAGTGTGCAGATCAAAGTCCTCTCTTTCGCCCGCAACTGCCCGTTCGGATGTTCGAAGTTTGATTGATGGCCGCTCTAGCCGCTCAGTCGCGTGTATCATGTCGATGGCTTGCCGGGCTGATGTCAGGCGTGGAGGTCATAGGCCATCGAGAGACGCCTTGCCACTCATACTTGTTACCGAGGAAGCCTTTCGTGGCTGAGCCGTCAATAGACTCGTTTGCCCCCCACCCACGTCTCTCTCACTGTCATCTTCCTCAAAGACTCCGGGTCCAAGGATTCCAACTGTTCGTCAAGCACTATCCAGTCCGCATACGCCCCTGCCTCGATGACACCAGCTTTGCCTTCTAGAAACGCACCGTGCGCAGCATTTACTGTGAATCCCTCTAGAGCTTGCTCGAAAGTGAGGCTTTCCTCAGGGTACCAGCCGGTCTTGCCACCATTTGGATCTAGGCCTGTATGTGGACTCCGCCGTGTGATCGCTGCATACATTCCTTCGAAGATACTCGCGGGCTCCACTGGAAAGTCACTTCCAAGTACTGGACGGACCGGTAACAATGACCGCATTCTGTAAGCCTCATCTTTTGTTCGTTGTTGACCAAGTCTACTCTCCGCATATCCCATATCAGAGGTCGCGTGCGTGGGTTGTATTGACGCAATAATACCGAGGTCTAAGATTCGACGCTGGTCATCTGGATGGATAATCTGGGCGTGTTCGATACGGAAACGATGTTTAGCTTGACAGTCGCGGGGGTCAGCGTGGGGGCACAAGCTTTTCAAGGCTGCCTCAAACGCGTCAATCGCAAGCCTATTAGCAAGATCCCCTATAGCATGGATATTTACTTGATATCCTGCGTTGACGGCCCAGTCATGCGTCACACGTGACAGTGTAGTTGCGTTGACAAGAAGCGAGCCGGAGGACTCCGGCAAGTCGCTATATGGCTCGATCATAGCTGAGCCCCAAGAACCCAAAGCTCCGTCTATGACACGTTAATCTATAGATGAGAGTGGATCATCGAAACATACCTCCGAAAAGTTTAACGCTCCTCACGTGGAATTTTCCATTTGACGTCGAAACCTTCTTCACAGCTTCAGGACAAAACGTGTTACGCACATCGCATTCGATCATGGCATTGACTCTGACAGTCCAGTCCGGATGGTCCGCCAGCTCTTCATAGAGCTCCAAGTCTCCCGGTACTACGCCAGCGTCATGCATTCCGACAATGCCATACTTGTTCAAATCAGACATCGCAGCTTTGATGAACTCGGTTTTGCGCGCCTTGTCAGGCTTCGGGTAATACTCCAGGACGATATCCATGGCATTGTCGCAAAAGACACCCTTGGCTGGAACATCGCCTCCGGGAGGTACATTGAATGAGGGGAGGAGATGGAGTACCTTCTCGGATACCCCTGCAATAAGCGTACTGAGTTAGCGCATCTCTCATACTCACCCGCTCATCGGGGTTTACTCACAAATGCAATGTACGTCAACCTACACTAAGTCAGCATATGTTGCGGGTGCAGTTCGTACTGGGAACTAACCCGATCCAGCATGATATAAAGATCTTTGAAGTCGTCATCTAGCTCTAGATCTGCCTACGCAGAAGTTTAGTAGGAGTATAGTTGCCATGAACAACTCGAACTGATCAGTAGTAACGTACTGCGGTAGGCCACTTTCCCTCGAAATGAGCTTGATCCCAACCAACACCTCTCAGCCATTGTTCACTAGATCCTTTTTCCGGACGGACTGCCCTGTACTCTACCAGTCTTTTCTGCACCTCGTCCATAGATTCGGCACCAAAGAGGCTCACGGAATCTAGAGACTCTCCAAACTGTATCAAGTGACCGTGTCCATCCCACAGACCAGGATATACGTAGCCAGTACGTGCTTCTTTGACTGTATTATCAGATGCATAATCTACAAAGACGCTCGAGAATTTGCCGTCATGGATGGTGAAGCATTCTGCCTGTGGAAGCTTCGACGATAGTGTCCTGACGTTCTTGTAGCAGTGTGTGGGTACGAACAAATTCGGAAATAGCGTGGATGGTACGTGCTCGCTGATGAAAGTTGGGAGGCCGATCTGATATATCAGAGCGGACAGAATCACAGGCAGCGATACCGAAAGAAGACTGAGAAGGGTAGGCATAATGCCCTTTCAATTGCTGTTGGCGGTGTTCGGCGTTCGTGTCACCCAGGTTTTGCCCACCAGAAAAGGAATTTGGCAAGCGATAAGCGAGGGCCAATGACGCGACCGAGGAGAAGATCAGCATCGCGACCAATCGCGCCCAGCCTCCCTTCTGCCTTGAGTTGGCCAAATAATTCCGTCGCATCTAATTAAAGGGCGTTGAAGCTCAGGAGCGTCATGCCGTGAGTGTACACTGCTCGACTATACACGTTTTCAAGTTGGAGTACCCACCCGATTCGGATGGCGCCGCTCGTGGGCCCGTTCCGCCCGCTCTACTGGCTCCTTGTCAACAAAGCAGTAGCTTTCGAACATATTCCGGTCTACAATATGCATGCGTCTCTTGTATGGCAGTTTCAGTGAGCTGCCTCGTGCTCGATTGCTAGATCTGAACGGGTTGCATCATGAAGATGGCATCCAATCGGAAAAGGGCGGTGAGCGAAGCTACCAGCGGGCTTCGTGCATTTCTTCTTCACAACTCGTTCATACCGCACACCGGTGTACACGCATTAGGTCAATGGCCCCTCTTCCCACCGCGCCTCTCGACTTAACTCCACTCTAGCTCCACCTTGGCGCAAATGGAGATTGGATGGGAATGTCGAATGCTGAATGGAAAGGCTGGGCGTGCAGCAACGCTAGTGTGGGGGCCGACTCTAAGATTCCTACACGACATAAGCCGAAAGCTTTGCGACGTTCAAATTTGAGTATAGCTCCTACATGTCGGATCACACGGCTTTGAGCACACCCGATGGCAACGACTGAGCTCGACGACCTTCGGAAGCAGTTAGAGTCGCTCCAGCGATCTCATGACACGCTACTGAAGAGCTTATCAGTAACCAACGACACTTTCAAACCATCGGAGGCTCAACACCTCCGTCGCACATCCACACGACATGGCGGCGATGCCATCTTTGCCGATACCTCGACACTATCTGATGACAGCAGCGACGATGAAGACGACTATTTTGTCCAAGACGAGCTACCTTCCCACTCGTTCGACCATGAACATCTACGCGAACACTTGAAGACTCACGACTGGACTGAACATGGCAGAGAGATTCTTTCTTCAATCATCTCCGATCCCGCGAAGCTTACCAAACAGCCTCATCTCTTCCATATGGGACCTGGGCCAGCGGATGACCGAAGCCACTATTCACATTTCCAGGTGTATAATGTCGGGCCTAACGGTTTGCCAGAACTGGTTGAAGTAGCCGGTCCCGATAACAACATGAGTCGAGCTACAGAGATTTGGCATGCACTACGGGATATTGGAAAACAACCGGATGAGAAGGTAGTCGGACGTATCACCATTGCGCGAGAACCTTCACCCATCCTGTTCGGTGCACTGCATCTGACAATGCATGATGCTTTCGACATGGACGAGCTATTTCAACACTTAGTCGAAACGGAAGCATCGTCTGCGCACATGTTCCGGGCCTTCAATCAGAGTCCTAAACATCAGCGAACATTCTTCTTCAACTTTGAGTATTATACCATTATTGGAGAGGATTGCGTGCCGATGCAATGGCAGCGTGCGGACAAGATCACAGGCCATTCTGATCATCACATACCACTTTCGCGATGCAGTGCTGTTGTTGCGCTAGTGCTATATGATGACAAACCACGCCGGATCCGCAACAGAGGAAGACGTGCGAAAACACAGTTTGGATGGGTGAACGACGTGTGGTCGCCATGGCAGGTCTTGCAACTTGAGAGTTTTCCAGACTGGAAGTCGACACCAGCGAGTGGAACCCCATACACTTTCGAGACAGGCCACAAGTTCTTGAACGGCGCGGAAGCGTTTCTCCATGCCTTGCTGACGGAATATCGGGATGCGAGGAAGAGATTTGACGAGATCTATAAACGCATCACCGACCTCGTCACACCACCTTTAGGCTTCTTGTTCAGTGAGGAGCTACGACAAGCGCGATTGTTCGAGGACAAGGACTTTACATGGATTCGCCGGTATTTCTACGCCCACCAAACGTTGGGTAACGTCAACAACAGCATCAAGTCCATGATCGACGCTTTCGAAGACACGTTCACGGATGACATCTGGGAAGGCCAGAACAAAACGCTATGGCCACTATTTGAGGAGTCGCCGCGCAATGATCATTGGAAGCGCCGCCTGCGGTCGCTTAGGCTCCAATTTGAACGAGAGATGAAGGAGCTCCGAACGATCATTGCGGAAAACAACGAACGACGTCATGAAATTGCGACGTTGCAGGAGCAGTTGTTCTCGGGTACAAGTATTCAGGAATCGCGTAAGTCTGTTGAGCTGGCCGACGTTACTGTACACCAGGGATACAACATTAAGGTTTTGACCATCGTCAACCTATTCTTCATGGTATGCTAGCAATGCCGAAAGACGACATAATTTTCACGTGCGACTAATTCGTCTATAGCCTCTTACATTTGTAACGTCCGTCTTTGGTATGACGAACATGCCAGAGAGTCCAGCACCGTTCTGGCCATTCGCAATCGTTCTGGTAGCAATTTGCATACCCTTCTTCAGCATCATCGGTTTCCTCTCAACCAAATACGGCTACGCTATCTGGGCACAGAAGACAAAAGAACTATGGCGATGGCTTCGACCGAACAGCAAGTCCAAAGTTCCAGATGACACGGATCTGGCACCGCCAACGCGCGTGAACAGGACCATGTCGACGGAAGCGGGCATGCGATTGCGACTGGGTGACAGAGACGGCATGAATATAGGGGCAGGCATGTCAAGAAGGCGATCAAGTGGGAGGCCTGCACCTAGTCATCCGCACATCCAACGCATGGTGGAGAGAATGGGCGAGGGGCGGGAAAGCGGGCTGGTGCGCATGGGTACTGTTGCGAGTGACGAAAAGTCAGAAACAGAAAAAGAGAAGATTATGAGCACAGGCAGAGACGCAGTCATTGATATTCGAGAGCCTTAGCACTACATATCAAAAGCACCTAATCCATCCATGTCCACCCCACCACTCCATTCTTTCGGCAAACTCCAGTCATTCTCATCACCCAACGGCATGAAATCCAGATTGACCCCTTCGATTCCCCCACCATTGACACCACCACCACCGCCACCACCACTTGTACCAAGATCGTCAAACGCGCTCAGCTCGGGGAAATGTGCATTGGCAAGTTGGTTTATCGGATCCTGCGGATCGTAATCCGCACCCATCCATGCGCCCGAATTGCGATTCGCGGCATGAGACGACGACAACGTGGTAGAAGGGGTAGATAGGTTGTGAGAAAGCTCAGGAGGCTCGGACAAGCTAGGCCAGCCCGTACTACCAAGTTCACTCCGCGGCGTCACCAAGATATACCCATCGTTGTTCTGGCCAGACGGGTCATCGAAGCGAGGTGGCGGGGGAGCTTTGATACTAAGTCCGCCGTGTCGACCGTGATCAGACGACGGCATACTCATGGTAGTGCTCATACTCATCGTCCTCGTCTTCCTGCTGTTTCCGCCGGTACCCGCTCGGGGTCTGCCGCGGCTGGTTTGTCGTTTCTTGGCCCATTGTTGGCTGCTGTCGGCATCCATGTCTATTGTGCTGCCTCTTCGCGCTGGGACCGTCGAGGATTCAGGCTTGTATAGATTAAAGTGTGTGGAGTTAGGGGGTTCTGGGCCACCGCGTAGTTCGACCATCACGGCACGGAGGACGGTTGACATGCGTTCTGCAGGCTGATAGGTGGATGCCATGTCTGATAGGGCGGCGGTGAGGCATTCAAGATATTGCATGTTGTTGGCGCGGGAGGTGGGGTCTTTGATAAATGCTAGGGCTGCTACGAGGGCTGTTGCTGCTGTGCCCTGGAGAAGATGCGGTTAGTAAGTAGGGAGGATTGAGGATAGTGGTGACACATACTGCGTGTTGCATACCCGTTACAAATATCTGCTTCGTGTCGAACCGTTGGCGATGTTGCCAGTATATTCTGGCTACGCGAATGGCATGTTTGGTGCATACTGTCCTGCTCAACGCTGAGAAGTGGTCGTCAGGTCCAGTCTCGTTGCCTGCTTGGTCTTCGTACAACGCGAACGGCCGGTGGAGGAGGATCAAGCTAGCATGGTACTGCTGGTGCAACAAGAAAAACGAGAAGGGAGCCGTCGCAATATTAGCTGGCGTCCAGCGCAACTGCTCCGGCAACCTAGCGTACCAACTGCTGAATTCGCGATCCAGCGCAGCCATGCGCATATATTGGTTTCGATCCACGGCGGTGTGCGAGTCAGAAGCAGTGTTCTGCGAGCGATGCGGATCCATGTTCTCAGTTATCTTGCCAGCAAGCTCCATGAGGTCGAGAAGTGCTTCGTATATCATAGTCTCCATGCTCTTCCCTAATCCGGCGGGACGGCATGTACCAAGCCGTTCAAACTGCTTGGTCAAGTGATATATCTCGAGATCAGAAGGTTTCATTGATGTCGGACGGCCCAGGAAAAGTGCCCAGTACTTGTCGTATATGACGCATGCCCAAAGCGTCATTTGGCGGATCTCAACTTCGCGCTCTGGCAGACCGGAAAGTCTTGTATCAAGATGAAGACTAGACAAAGGTCAATACATCACTTCATTTTCCTCTCAAGAAGACTTACCCAATGTCGAAAGCAAGTCGAACGGCCATCCCGCCGTACATCCACCCCAGATTATCTCTACCGACACCACACTCGAGGTCGCCCAACAACAACAAGGCAACGACGCTGGGTATTCCACCTGGTCGCTCTAGCTCATGATCAAGCATGTACTTTGCTTCGCGATGCAGTGTACTTTCCATACCTGGCAGACCAATTCTTCTTATGTCGAGCCTCTCTTTATTCGCAAAGCGGTAACCCATGGCCAAAACGCAAACATGCAGGAATCCAGAGTAGAATTGTGTTCGGCCATTCTCGCGATCTTCATTGAAGGCATCCTGGTGTAAGACATGGATAACAGGATTATAGCATTGCCAAAATAGATCCATGAGGTAATCATATGTTTCAAGTGGAAGGGACCGGATGATCTTGTCTGCGCGTCGAGCTTGCTCGTTCATCTCTTGGGTTGCGCCAAACGGGTTGATAGATTCGGAATGCACGTGGCAATTTGTTGTTGGGCCAAAGTACCGAAGGCGGCCATTGAGTTGATCGAAGCTGAGATGACCGCGCGTGGAGAGCAGACGGTTGACCATGCCATCCTTCTTCGGAGGTGGCAGCATGGACGGCGAGCCAGCGCTCTCTGCGTCGCCGTTTGAGAAACCGGGGCTATTCGTGTTCATCTCGTGCTGTTCGAATACAGGATAGTCGTCTTGAGGACTACATTGGCTACTTGGGCTGGAGTTGTTTTCGTCGTTGGCCACTTGGTTATCACCAGTTTTGCGGCTGGGAGATGCGCCGTCTTCGTCGGGTTGAGGATTATGGCGCGTCTTGGGTGGGTGATTCGCTGGTGGCAACTCCTCACCTCGTTCTTTCAGCATCGTCTCTAATAGTGCTACTCGATCAGTGAGAGAGCACATATACGCCCTCGAGATCGGTCTATCGATTTGTCAGCTCGATGCAAGCTCGCGGAATCACACTACAAACCGTCTCCGTTCGTCGTCATTCTTGATGATGCATTCCACACCTGATCTCTTACACTGTGTGCATTCCGTCTCGCCCGGAGGTACCACACACTGCGAAGTCGTCAGAACACATCTTGGAGATAGCTAGGGCAGACATACACGTATCCGGCGGTCGCGGCACGAGGCGCAAGCGACAGACGCCCTGTGTCGAGGTTTCGAAGACTTCCCTTTTGATGATCCTTTCTCCGACGTACCTTGCTCCTGCTTGCTGCCAGCTTTGGGAGCAGGTTCCTGTGGATCTGAATGCTGTTCGCTCATCTTATCTTCAGCTGTCATTCTACTCTCACTGGCCATCGGCTTTGTTGCTCAAACGATGGATGAAGGTTACTGTCTCACAGGCTGAGAATGGCTAGGAGAAGATACCGGTGTATCGCGCAGTGTTGTGAACGTTGCGTGAAGGAAAGTCGTAAATCCGCCAGAGAAGACGGCTCTCAAGCCTAAACTCCGACGTCCGCAAACATGAAGCGATCCAGGTCCAGCCTAGTGCTAAATGTCCACCGCCAGCTGTTGGAGAGAATCAGGCGTTCGACCCGTGGAGGTGGGGCCCCGCAGTTGCACTGTACTAGGCAGTTTTCATGCTATGCGCCCACGTTTGGCAGCTTGCAAATTTCTTCGCGAAAGCAGGCAACGAAAGGACATGTAGCTAGCAATGGCGCCGGCTCGACGTGCTCGAAACGACCTGAACCCTGATCCGGCGAGTCGTGGTCCACGAATAGCGAGAGCCTGCAGAATCGAGAACACCTGCCTGCTGGAGGGCAAATCTACTGCAGGGTTCTTTTTTGCCCTCCCTCCACATCTTCGTTAACCGGCATTGAGCCGATCTTTGCGGAGAAGCCTACAGCTGACGTAGGAGCGTATTGCGGGTCACTTGGTAGGGCACGACAAGTCGCTTCGTCGCCTCGAGCCCATTGTCACATGGACCAGTGGCGTCAGAAGTTCGCATCTGTGCTCAGTCTGGGGCTGCTCTGCATTCATCCAAGGCCCAATTGCAAGCCATGGCACACTGTAGCGTCGTACCTACATGGCGGTAGTCGGGAATTGCGATTCGTGTTGATGCGGAGCGAAGCAGAAATCTGGGGAAGCATGAGTCGAAACATGTCGCGATGAGCGGGGTTGAAGCTTGCGATTGGCGAGGCGGAGTCTCGGGGAGCTAGCAACCTAGTTATCATCGTGATGTTTGCCTCTTGGCGCTTTTGCTGGGACAAGGAAGCGAGCATCCGAAATATGCAATCCAGGGTTTTTGTTGGGCTAGCCATAGTGACTATAGCTTGTTATGCACATCGGGCTTCTTTGCGAACTTCGTCGGACGCCGTGCGGAACTGAGGGGTTCTTGATACCACTGGAGCCGCGACGTCACTGATGCTCGCTGATGCCTTGCAAGAAAATTGGCAGCCATAGTGATGCCCGGCAACAGATGTATGAGCAATGCAATAAGAGTTCAAGGGAAGTAGTTCGTCAAATAGCTAAGCTGTGAACGCTGATGGAAAACGCCCAGCACGCTCGGATGCCAATCGAAAAGAAACAGCCCGAAACCAGGGCCCAGAACTAGCTCCAATAACCGACGGGACGCCTGATCCATCGAGACGTGTCTTCTCAGCCCCAGCCACCAGCCCACCACAAAAGAACCAAAGAAACGTATTGCATGTCCCCTTCCCAGCGGCTCAGTCGACATCCCACTCATGGTCGTAGTTCCGAATATACGGACTCAAACCGTGCATATCCCTCATCTTCGTCGCCTTCACGTCGCCATTGCCCAGGAAAGCAAATCGGTTCTTGTACCGGTATACGTAGTCGTAGTCTTCCCAGCGTGGTGTCTTGATAGATTTGAGGAAATGTATAGTCTAAACCATTCTTGTCAGCCATGCGTCGCTCCAATGCGGGGTTGATAGGGGTTACGCGCAAAGACGGCGGGGATGCGCGGCGGAAAACTACTTACAGCGCCAGGCCACAGGTAAATCCTATTCTTAATCTGCCCATTCTTGAACCAACTCCTGCATTCTTCTTGCCACACAGTTGTCTTGTGGAATTCGTCGAAATGCGCATATATCTCATCTAGAGCGTCCTGCTTTACGCTCATAGCTTTAATCCCTTCAGTCTGCATCTTCTTCATGCACTTGATGCTATACTCGACCGTTGTCTCAATACTCGGTATAAGTGTGCCGTTACTCCAGGTCGCACCAGGGCCAACAATGGTATAGAAGTTTGGGAAGCGCGGCGCGGAGACACCCATGTAGAGGTTAGGGCCGTCGGTCCAGTCTTCCTTGATGGATAAATTGGAGCCGTTGCGGACAGTAAAGGCGGGTTGAAAGGCGACCTGGAAACCCGTCGCGCAGACGATAGCGTCAAGTTTGTGGATCTTTCCGTCGCGCGTTTTGATACCTTCGGGTACTACGCGTTCGATGCCGTCGAAGACTGGTGTCACGTTGTCTTGCACTAGAGCTTCGAGGAAACCGTCGCCGGGCGAGATGCGCCGGCAGCCAACAGACCATTTGGGAATGATGAATTCTTTGAGCTTCTCGTGGCCAGGGCCCATGCGACGATGCATCTCCTTGGTAATGACATCCTTGAACTGATTCTGAAGTTCAGAGTTCTGCTGGTACATTCCGAATAAGCTGTTGATCTCTGCTTCGATTTTCTTTCGGAATTCCAGGTGGTACTCGGGGTCTTCCTTGAACTTTTTGATATCCGCTTCGGTGAAGGTATACTGCCTTTGTCCTGGGTCGACGTCTTGTCCTTTTTGTAGATCATCGTTGAGTGCGCCAGCACCAAAAGGAGGCGATATCCACGTCGGACTCCGCATGTAGACTTCTAGCCCTTTTACAATCTTTTGGAGTGAAGGCACGATCTGCACGCTCGTCGAACCAACACCGATGACGGCCGCGGTTTTGTTTGTGAAGTCAACGCTGTGGTCCCAGCATGCAGAGTGTAGTACAGGACCCTTGAAGTCATGTAGGCCCTCGATATCCGGCCACTTCCAGTTGTTCAGGATACCTACCAACCATTAGCACTATGGAAAAGGTGAGATGTTGAAGGCTTACCTGAGCCGTTCACCAGGACGTGCGCCCAGTCCTTCCTCATCGAACCAGTCTTCGGATTTCTTATAGTAAGGCTGTAACAACCATCTTCGTCGTTCCAATTTGCTTGCTCAATGCGGCTATTCAACTGCATATACTTTTTGCTTCCATGTCTCTCCGCAAAGTCTTCAAAGTATCCCTGAATCTCCTTGCCCGATGCGAAGAAAGTGGACCAATCGGGCTTGGGGTCCCAAGTGAAGTTATAATCATGCGATGGGATATCGCACGCAACACCTGGATACGTATTCTCATACCAAGTTCCGCCAAATTGCGCATTCTTTTCGTACAGCGTCAGCTCCCAAGACCCAGGCTCGAGCATCTTCTCCATTTTGTAGGCTAGACAGAGCCCCGATGCACCCGCGCCGACACATGCTACCCGCAGCTTGGCCGGCTTGGAATGATATTGATCGAGGATCCTGTAGGGCCCGTCAATGTGCGATGGCGGGTAGTCGTAGTTGTGACCGTAGCCATTGGTGTTGAGACCGTTTGGCATCTCAGAACCCCCCATTGTCGCGATTGGTGAAACTGGCCGGCAAGCTTCTGGATCTATCGTAGGGGGTACCCGTGGTTGCATGGAGTGATTGAATTAGGGAAGAGAACAATGGCGCGAGTGGTGTACGGAGATGAAGCCTCAAATCCAGCAGATGAGGTTTAAAGACGCAGCACCATCAACATAAACAAAGAGGCTATGCAGTCGTACCACCATGTCGTGGCAATCCAACAATTCTGCAGTGTTTAGCCGCGCCTCGGGTGTCTTCATACACTGTACATCTCCTTGCACGCCGGTTGGTTGCTGTCATGCGGGATACAATAGGCCTGTTTGCAGGCGCCGCGACCAGTACGAGACAGCCCCTAAGTTCGCGCGCAATGTGGCTGCATCCCAGGGTTAGCCAGGCCGAGATTCATGACTACGGTGACAGTTCGATGCGCCATGGTGGGCATCGAGGGTGCGCATCTACTGAGGGGTTGCGGATGATGTTACGCGGGGCCATTCAGGCACGAACCACACCAAGGTGTAGTTGCCAAGACCTCACTTGTCTCTTTTTGGAACGGTGAAGACGGGGGTGTTCGGCAATAACATCGATGTCATGAAAGCAATCCGTAGTCGGCGGCTTGATTCATGCAACATTCCGTCCAAACCTGAGATCTCATGATGAAGTGTTGAAAAGTCTTTTGCATCACATCTTTGTGCTCCGGCCTGGTGGACCTTTCCACGATTACTTTGATTGTCTGCTTGATCAAGTCCACGTTGTATCTGGAAGTCGAACGAACTAACTTAGTACTGCCAATGGAAGCATGTACAGATGCAATTGATCTCTCAATTGAACATATGGGCGCTGTCTACAACCTAGCTTTACCCATCTTCTCAGCATCCCTTTTCGCCCACTCCTTAACAACCTTCCTCATAATCTTCCCACTCTGCAACTTGGGCACCTCATCCACAAACGTGATTCCACCAACAAGCTGTTTGTGTTTCGCAACCTTGATCTTCATATGCGCATGAATATCCTCCGCCTTAGTCTTGCCCTTGTACTCGTCCTTGAGTGCCACATAAGCCCTCGGCCATTCTTGACCATCAAGCGTGATACCAACGGCAGCTGCGTCGGCAACAGGGTCGAACTCGAGGAGCACGGCTTCAAGTTCTGCGGGTGCGACTTGGAGAGCGTTCACTTTGATGAGTTCCTGGGAAAGTGTCAGCAGGCTATGTGGTTGAGAGACGTAAGCAGGTGAGAGGCGTTCACCTTCTTCCGATCGACTATCCAAAACCATCCATTCTTTACCACGGCAACATCACCGGACTTGAGCCATCCATCTGGCGATATGGACTCTTTAGTTGCGGTTGGATTGCGCCAGTAGCCGAGACATATATTGGGACCGCGGACGTGAAGTTCGCCTGGTTGTCCTTCGGGGACTTCGTTGCCATCGTCGTCAAGAAGCATGCATTCGCAATTTGGGTCCAGCTGACCAACACTTCCAGAGCTTCCAGGGTATTAGCAGCGAACGAAAGGCAGCAGACAATCAGCGGAGATCAAACTTACTCGTCTACGGTACCTCCTGGCACATGTATGGCTCCACAGGTGACTTCCGTCATGCCCCAACCCTGCACGATCTCACACTGCAGCTTCTTGCTGATCTCGTTCTGGAGCTCTTTTGATAATGGTGCAGCACCGCACAAGATATCCGTCACACTACTCAGGTCATACTTGGACGTCTCCGGCCTCTTGCTGAGCATGACCATGATTGGCGGCGCGACTTGCAGGTGTGTGACTTTATGCATCTGAATCACCCGCAGGAACTCTTCATATTCAAACTTCTTCATGATGAAGCAGGGTATCTGGAGCTTCTGGGCCATGGCGATGGTGTAAAGCTGGCCATATGCGTGGTACAAAGGTAGAAAGCCAATCCATGTCTCCCGAGGCCGTGTATCTGCGTTCCATGGCTTGTTAAGATACCGCGTGAAGATGGTTTGTTCCAGGTTCGCGATGAGGTTGTAATGGCTTACTTCGACACCCTTGGGCAGCCCGGTAGTGCCGGAAGAGTAGTTGACTGTAGCTGTGGTTGTTGCTGCTTCATTCGCAGACAACGTCGGGAAGCGGTATCCTTTGCTTTCCGCCGGAGATGGCAACATGTCTCTCCAGTCTTTGCAGCCTTCGACCGGTGCGCAGGGCTCGTCTGAGAAGAGGTAGACACGTCCTTCTGGAAGGCCTGCGCCCTTGGCTGCTGCTACGGCTGCTTTGATCAATGTTGGATGCGCGAGGATAAACTTTGCTTCTGTATTTGCAACTTGATGTATCATCTCTGGATGTTGTTAGCACAGCGTCTGCTGCACTTGCAAGATCATCTTACCAGAGACCGTGTATGCTGGGTTTGCGCCGCTGAAGATTCGCTTGGACCCCACGATCCCAAGGTAGGCCACGGGAACGAAGATGTGATTTGGAGTGAAGATCATGACCACTTCGCCCGGCTTGCTCCCAATGCGATCCAAACCCAACGCCAGCCGTTTCGACCATTGTAGCAACGATCGTGGTGTGAGGTGCTGGTCTGTATCCTTGGAATCAATCCAAATTGGTGTGTCGGAAGGAACTGCTCCCTGAGGGAACAAATACTCTAGCAGATTACATTTGGGAATGTCAAGAGTAGGGAAGGGTGATGGGAAGGGCATTGCTGCGATGTGGTAGAGAGAATGCTGAGGCTCAGTCGGAGTACGGAAAAGACGCGAGACAACCGTGATAGCCTTGAAGCCAGACAGCGAAAGATGCCAGTGTCTTCATTGTGGAAGAGTAGCTTATAGTGAGGATCCGTCATGGAAGAGGCGTCGATGCTACAGCCGGGCAGACGAGGTATCCGCGGGGGTGCACTGACGCGACGCGCCGCTTCCGAGGATATCGAACTCCACACTCCGAGCTCCCCACGACACCCACTTACCCCAGATAATCCGTCAACATGGCGCATTGCGGAATTGCTTCTCGTTTGCCATTTCGACTTCTGCTCAGTCGAATCAGAGATTGACTATCATGTCGGAACTAAAAGACTTCAACCGCATGTTCAGCCTCGACGGCAAGGTCGCGCTGGTCACTGGAGGTAAGCAATGCCACGGAAACAAGACCAGCGCGTTCTAACCCTCGTCACTAGGCTCGAGGGGTCTCGGCCTCCATACTGCGACGGCATTCCTGCTCGCTGGCGCAAAGAGAGTCTTCATCTCTGCGCGCAAGAATGAAGGAGAGCAGGGCATTGACCAGGCCGTCGAGAAACTCAATAAGCTGCCCGTATCCGGCACAGCAGTCGGCATCGCTGCCAACGTCGCCGACACCGAGGACATTGAGAGACTGGTGAAGAAGGTGCAGGAGACGGACAACAAGCTAGACATTCTGGTGTGCAACGCTGGAGCGACGTGGGGAGGCCCTTTCGACCCGACACCAGACTGGTCGAGCAAGAAGGTGCTGGACCTCAACGTCCGCGGCGTCTTCAATCTGGCGCGACTGTAAGCATCCCCATTGAGACGACTACACAGCTGGTTTCTGACACCAACAGCTTCGCGCCCCTTCTCCAACGCGCCGGCACCCGTCAATCGCCCTCTCGCATAATCATCGTCTCCTCCACGGCAGGCACAACCGTGCCCCACGTCGGCGAGCACGGCACAATCATGTATAGCATCTCCAAAGCAGCAGCCCACCACCTCTCCCGCCAACTCGCCGTCGAGCTCGGGCCCAGGAACATCACGACTAATACCGTGGCCCCTGGCTTCTTCCCGTCCAAATTGGCAAACGGCTTGATTGAGATGCTGGGCGGGCAGGAAGAGTTGGAGGAGAATAACCCGCGGAAGCGACTGGGCGAGCCTGAAGATATTGCTGGCGTCATGGTGTTTCTGTCCAGTCCGGCTGGAGCTTACATCAATGGCGAGGATATAGCTGTGGATGGGGGTATGAGGCTCGCATCAGGACGCCATTCCAAGCTATAAGACTACCTGAATCTCGTTCGACGCGTAATCCAAACCTACATACAACTCAAGCGCCGTCCGTCCCATTCTGCTTGCCTCCTTCAATTCTAGCCAACTGCTTCGCCATGCTAGTATTCTTCATCATCTCCTTCATATTCTCATCGCAAAACTCCGGTCCGTTGCTGAGATACAAGTTGTTGCCGTTTACCTCCACCGTCAACCCCCAGTTCTCCTCCTTGCTCTTCTTCACACCCTTTGCATCTACCATCTCGCCTCCATCCACCAGTCTCACTACACCATCAACCAAAGTCTCCATAGGCGTAAAGTACTCCACCGGGAAACTCTTCCACTCCTCCTGGCTCAACAATCCCGTGTTGATCGTCCCGGGACACGTAGCAAACGTCCGCACCCCTTCGTGGTGATATGCAACGGTGATGGCGCGGTTGAATTGAACGACGCCGGCTTTACTCGCACTGTACATTGGGCAGAACTCCGAGGGGTACAGACCGCCGCACGATGCTGTCATTACCAGCACGGGATCTACATTCTGCCTTCCGTGCTTTGCTATCGTCTTGCGGAAGTAGTGGAGAGCGAGGTACGAAGTGTTTATCACGGCTTTCAAATTGATATCTACACTTAGTTGGTTTGGCGGAGGTGGTGGTGGACCGTCTAGATTGTGTTGCTGGTAGAAGTTGTCGCGTTCGACGATGCCGGCGTTTGCGTAGACAAAGTCTAGACGCTGGGATGTGTTGTAGGTTGCTTCGAAGGCGGAGACGAGGGACGTGTAGTCTGTGACGTTTGTTTGGTGGAAGTGTGTGTTTTTTAGCGTCGTGGTTGCGGTTTTGCCGGCTGCAGCATTGAGGTCAATGAGATGGATGGACCAGTCTTCGTGAGTGCGCTTTGAGAGGGCAGTTGCGACAGCCAGTCCCATGCCTGATGCTCCCCCGGTGATTAGGGCGACTTTTGTGGGCATGTTGAAGAGGTGTTTACTTGTTGAACAAAGGCTTGGACGTGGAGAAGGGAAGTTAGGTTGTCAGATGCTTTAGAAGACTGAGGGTTTGTAAAGCACAAGTATAGTTTTCGGATCTTGAAGAATCAATTTCATTCTCATCATCGTGAATACTGCCAGGAGAAAGCTTCTATCTAGGTAAGTAGCACGATGACGGCTCGCATCAGGAAAGCGCGAATACATCCCGTGTGCTCTTTCTCCGCATGATCAGAAGGAAAGCATCTTCCGAGCTGGCTATACCCAGTGACTGGATGATTGTATGCTGTTTAAAGCGTTTCGAGACATATATCGCTTTCTGATGCTAAAGGAACAGTACGTACCTGAATCTACTTTACTCTTGTTCCATAAACAACCGTGATATGACCCACCCTCGTATTTGTTGTTATGCAATCCCAGGTCCCCTACTTCTTACATGACTCTCGTCGAACACATACCTGTCGCTGGCATGATTCAGTATAATGGCGGTCATCTTCGCCAGGGTAGAATTGAAGCATGACGCGGGTTGCTGCGGGGAAGGTGGGGAAAATGAATCGACACGCATGAGCGCCAGCGACGCGGAAAACAAACCGCGAGCGCTAGTTACCGGACCTCATCACTCGACACCACACATTGCCGCCAAGCTGACTTCTCCTCATGCAACGTTACACATGCGATTGTTCTTCCGAGCTCTGCCGCCACCGGCCTGCGTACCACTGGGGTTGGCTCTTGCCATTATAGTTAAGATGACTGCTTTAGTGAAGAGGTGAGATTACTTAGCCAACGCTGCATATGCCAGCACCATCCTCGATACAAATCCAATATACCCCTCCCGTTCCTTATTGTTTCTTGTTCGCAATTCTGTTTGCTTCTCCCGCCGACCACCCTCTCTCTTACCTCGCCCATCATGACTTTGCAATACTCAGCGAAGAGCCTGCCTAAGCAGATATTCATCAACAATGAGTATGTCGACTCAAAGTCACCTAAGAAGCTCACACTGCACAACCCTAAGAACGGGGAGCTGCTCGCAGACGACTGCCCTCTGGCAGGTGAACAGGATGTGGATGCCGCAGTTGATGCTGCGGAAAAGGCGTTCCCAGCATGGAAGAAGATGAGCGCGAACCAGCGCCGGGGCATTCTGAACAAGTTTGCAGATCTCATTGAGAAGAATGCAGATGGTATTGCACAATTATCACGAATCTCACTGGGTGCTCCGGCGGCATTTGGTGCTTTTGAGATTGGACTTTGCGCTGAAGTATGTATGACCCTTGCCAGGCTTCTGGTTCAACTTCAGACTCTGAAAGTGGTCACTAACCGACCTCAGGTCTTCAGATACAATGCTGGATTCATCGACAAGTTTGGCGGTGAGTCATGGCCACAGGAAGATGGTTTCCTCAAGATCGTTCGCAACGAGCCCCTCGGTGTCACAGCCGGCATCGTCCCCTGGAATGGACCCATCGGCACCATCGGTCTTAAAGCCGCACCAGCTCTTGCAACAGGAAACTGCTTCATTCTGAAGCCCTCGGAAAAGACACCCTTCTCATCTCTAGCCCTCGGCACACTCATCAAGGAAGCCGGTTTCCCACCTGGTGTCTTCCAAATCCTCACTGGCGATGGAAGTACCGGCGCCCTAATCGCAAGCCACATGCGCATCCGCAAAGTAAGCTTCACCGGCTCCATTGCGACCGGAAAAAAGATCCAAGAAATGGCTGCAAAGTCCAACCTCAAGCGCGTTACTCTCGAGCTAGGAGGCAAGTCCCCCGCTGTCGTCTTCGATGATTGCAACCTCGATAACGCAGTGACATGGACTGCCAATGCCATCACCGCAAACACAGGCCAAGTCTGCTTCGCAGCCAGCCGTGTCTACGTCCAAGAAGGCATCTACGACGCCTTTATCGAAAAGTACAAACAAGCCATGAAGGACAAGACAAAGGAGATTGGCGACCCGGATGAGACATCTACGAATATCGGGCCTTTGGTTGATAAAGCGCAGTTTGAGCGCGTACAGGGTTTCATCGAGCGCGGTCAGAACGGTCAAGGTACGCTTGCTGTAGGCGGCAAACGCATCGGTACATCTGGGTACTACCTCGAGCCCACCGTCTTCACCGATGTGGATCCCACATCGGAGATTCACTGCGAAGAGATTTTCGGTCCTGTTTCTGTCGTCAAGTCTTTCAAGACTGAAGAGGAGATTATGGCGCTAGCTAACAACACAAACTTTGGGCTAATGGCTGGTGTGTTTACGCAGGATATTAATAAGGCGCTGAGGGTGGCGAGTGACTTTGATAGCGGTATGGTCGGTGTCAATTGCGTGAGTTTGATGTTCACTATGACGCCGTTTGGAGGTAGCAAGGAGAGTGGGCTGGGGAGGGAGTGTGGAGTTCATGCGCTGAGGGCGTTCACGGAGCCGAAGACTATTATGATTAATATGAATTACTGAGTGGGGAAATCTGGGGACTCGGGTGTAAGGTACAACTTAGAAGGTATCTACAATACGTCATTTTTGTTCAGCCGCACTTGGAAGGCTGACTGCGCGTCGGCTCTATCGTTTCCTTCCACTATAGTGGCGCAAAGCAAAGCCAAGAAGTAATCGAATTTCGTGGCCTGCAACTAATGAGTGATAGTGCGCAAACACAACAAGAACGCAGCGATTCATCATCGTTGATAACTCGCACCTTAGGGCTGACTACCTAGATAATCTCGTGTTCATGCAGGGGGTCGCTGTCCGAAACAAAAAAGCAAGATATGAGCCGCTGTACCGTGCCCGTGCGCTCGATGCACGATTGTGGCACAGTCACGGAGCTGTCAGCCTCGCGCATCGCCTCCAGGCCTCCTTTCATTTCATATAACATCAAAGTATGAGGGCAATTATTGGTTCCAGGTGTATGCTAACTTCTAAGACTAGTCACCTACAATTCATATCGCTTCTACATTCTTATCGTCATTCCGTCGTCATCACACCAATATACTCATCTCTATCTGGATCATGGCCGTTCCGTTCGGATTCTCTGCGGGTGATTTTATGGCGGCAATCCACCTGGTTCATGAGATCAGCACAGCTTTACGCGAAACGGATGGTGCGAGCTCGCAGTACAATCAGACTATTGGTCAGCTACAAGGCCTCGAGAGATTACTGCGAAGTGTGCAAAGTGCCTACTCTGCAGACGTTGATCCTCAACAGCTCGAAATGTTACAATTACTTGGACATCAATGTCACATCCCGCTCAACAAGTTTTTCTCAAAGATCAAGACTTTGGAGCCCAGCCTTGGGAGTCTCGGTATGAAAAATGATCGTATCTTCGACCGGGCTAAAAGAGCTACACGCAAGGTAAAATGGGGTGTTCAAATAAGGAAAGAGGTATCAGAGCTTAATGCTGCCATGGGGGGTTGGATTAACGCGATCAACATGCAATTGCTTCTAATCAACTTGTATGTACCACAAGTTCCGTGAAGACTGAAGCAGGCTAAAAGTGACTGCCTTTAGCGAACGGCAAGAGAAAGCTGGATCTCCACTTGAGACCTCTCTGCAGCCCTTGGACGTGCTCAACTCCGAGATGAACAGTTTTCAAAACCACCTCGATGCACGATTCGGCTCTCTTGCTACAACGACAACTGTGGACAACATCGCGCAAACCCTCCAAGACATGCGCCTAGAAGCTGTAAACGATCGCAATACACAAATGGACACTATCCGCAAACACATCGAGAATCATATGGGTCGTTTCGACACGGGTCTCTCGCAGCAAGTATTAGAATCGATCAAACTACTCGATTCTAAGGTCGAAGAACATCTAGCTCGATCAATAATAAGCACGACCCCGAACACGGCAATGCCGAGCCCAGTGTTCCGACCGTTCATACCTGCCGATCCTAGGTTATCGTTCCAGGATAATACCGCGATGCAGAGAGTCGAAGATCAACTCGCCGCACAAACCCGCCTACTGCAGCGACTCGAAAAGAGAGATATGAATCCTCAGTCTGCAAACCCACTATTTGGAATAAAGAGCAACGGTATGATACAGAGTGCCCAACGTACCATCCGGCAATCTATCCAGACCATGCTGAGCTTCTTCGGAGCTGGAGTAAATGCTCTGTTAATGAAGCTGTGCATCGCTCTGCCAGTTATCCAGCACATCCTCAGAACTCTGCGAGTACTTCCTCTTCTCATCTCTATCCCCATCTCAGACAGCATACTGTTTGAAGATGCTTTGGGTCGCATAGTACATCTTCCATACGTACATTTTCGACACTATGCGGTATTCATGGCACGCTTGCGATGCGAATTTGAGAACGCTCCAGGCGAGCAAAAGGTGCTTCTAGAACAATTCCGCATATTTCGGCGGAAACATTTCGACGAGTTTCTCACCAAAGATAACTGGGATAGTGCTGTCCGTCCAGGCTCCAAGATAGCCATGTCGATTCAGCTGGACAGTTACGATGATGAAGGCGTCGCATGTCCTCGATGCGAAAACATTAGGACTGACATGAACACGAAAGATCTTTCGCAATGGTATGTTTCAAGTCTTTTGAGTAAGCTCATACTGACCACTAGAAGCACCGTCTGCGGTTTGAGCTGGACTTTGCAAAAGTTTAACCTTCTGGACATGCTATCAAACGCAAACCGCGTCCACGAAGCCACATCAAGTACATCATTGCAACGAGATACGTTTGAGGTGGCGGAAAATGTGTCTTCTAGCTCATCTACATCATCGCCAAATCATCTCGAAGCTGCACTACCTTCACGTGTCAATGAAGGTATCGAAAGCTTCAAGATGGTCCATATCCAGTCACAAAATGCCAGCGCCCAACCGTATCAACCTCGCGGCTTCAGAGATTTCACAGTTGATTTTGCTCTTTGTGCAATGATACAACAAAGTATTCCCCCCCGGCAAGGGTCAATATATATGTTCTGGCGCGAAGACTCTCCCCAAATCGTAAAGATTGGTGCTAGTCGGCGTGCCGTCGAGGAACTCTTACGAGGCTTGAACCGTTCGTGTGGGAAGGAGTATGTGTATGACGAGGAGCTATATAAAGGGACAAAAATGGTAGTGCCGTTCGCGCCTCAAGTGGAACGACTCATATTCACGGAGCTCAAGAACTACAGGATACGTATAGAATGTTCCGGCTGTAGTAAATCACGCCAAGAAGCAGCTGCGAAACTTCCAGGAAAGTACTCACGAATGAGGAACACCGCGACTACAGGGAAAGTATACCATAGACAGTGGTTTTGTGTCTCTAAGGGACATGCCCTCAAGGTTTTCCAGAAATGGAAAGCCTGGATAATGCTTGACCCGTATATGGAGAATGTTTATGGAGAGTGGGTGCTCAAACCGTCCTTTCTTGCCAATACAAGCGGGATATGTCGACCTTTGACAATCGAAGACTGACGACTCATCCCGCTGCAGACAACACTGTCAATAAAAAAGCCATGTAGATATTCAAAATACACTTGCTAGTTGCAGTTATTTGTGAGCCGAACTTATCTGTATCTTGATCACTAGTGATTTCGCGCGCGATGCAGGAGACGAAGATCAAGTTCCATATTAGGTCGACCTGGACGGAGCAGGACAGTTTAAAAAGTTGTGCATCCACAAGATCAATGTCTCGTCGGCTGCATGGCAACTTCGCGAGAATTTATCAGGACAGTCACCAGATTTCGGCATTGGGTTCGCGCCTCTACAAAAGCTGATAGAGGAGGACTCCCAGTCGTATCTAGAGGATGACAATTATACTTCTGCTTGGAAGTCTCTGATCTCACTGCTCGATAAACCTTACTGGACGAGAGTCTGGATCCTGCAGGAGACGGCTATTAACCCGAATGTGCTGTTGAAGTTTGGTGATAGCTCTAGTAAGCAGCAGATTGCTGTGAGCTTTCTCTCAGAATGGGACAACATACGTTTTGAGGTCGTCTGAAAGTGGCGTGAGCTACATCCCGACGCCGAATGGGAAGGGTCAATGATGCAGAAATTCGACGCCATTCCGAACAACGTCTATAATATGGGTCACCTACCGCCTCTAGTTCCTTTGACTGCGGAAGAATTCCAGCCGTTACTGCAATCTCAGATCTGCAATGGGCCTCTCGTGTCCAATTCCCTCGACTACGTTTACGGTATCATTGGTCTCTTCGATATCCCAATCTTGCCCGTCGACTACAGTCTCTCACCACGGGACCTGTTCCTCAAAATCGTCGAGATCGTCCAACACCGGAGCGGCAAATTGATTTCTTATCCTGGGTATGGGGGAACTATGCGCAAAATAGTTCAATCTTCCCCAACCAGCACAGCATACCCCGTTGGTGTATTGACTTTTCTTATCGAATGAGATTTGTCCGGCCAATCCCTCTCGCAAACCCATCTCAGCCACAACGCCTCATTTGGGATACATTTTACCAAGCAGCCGGCGAGACGAAGCAGAAGATAGAGTTCTGCCTGGAGAAGGAAAACGTCACTCTTCGCGCACGAGGGCTATACGTCACTGAAATCGGCACAATCGGCAGCTTGGCCAATTTTGACCATGGCGACACCATTTGGCCGGAAGACTGAGTCGCCATCGGAGGATTCAGAGATATGAAAGCGCCGCTCAAGCAGCGAACTGCGAGATCCGAGCAACACCGACTTGAGCGCTGGGCAACCGCATCCAATGCTGCCAATTTCGCCGCTTTGAATATTTGGTGGCGTACTGTTTTCGGCGACACACTTTCACGAGAAGCTCGTATCGACTCGTCGGATGAAGACCGTTCGAGGGTTCCGCCCAAAGATCGAACAGGCGCGGAAAACCTATGCAGGTATATGACGGAGTATCTGCAGATACAAGTGCATAATGGTAGGCGCATGTGCAGAACAACGAGTAGGCAACTAGGTCTTGCGCCTCCAGGTGCTAGACCAGGAGACGCGGTTTTCGTTTTGTTTGGTGGTGATACGCTATATGTACTGCGACAACAAAAGCCAGGAATGTGGCACTTTGTCGGCGAGTGCTACATAGATGATATGATGAATGGACAAGCCATACAGGAGGATAAGGAGGAAATGGGAGTGTTAGTTTGTGCAGATTAGAGCGCCAGGTCGGTTTGGAGCTACTAGAAAATGAACTCAACGTCATAAATGCCTACAGACTGCTAAGGTACTAAAGGTAAATTAGTGAAAGCGTAGGTTAACTCTTGGCCAGGGTCGTTTAGACGCTTACTGTCGTGCATTGTGCGCTCGCGCACGTTAATAAAATATCATCGAGGGTTCACCAACTGGGCTCCAGCCCTATTGAGCGGTGTTTACCTGGGGTGGTAGAGGTACTAGAGCTTCTCAAGAGATTGGAATATTTGCACTGTTTTGTCTTCACAAGATCCACTACGCTGCATACGTATATGAATACCTGTTCCACGCAGTCGGTGACTGAACTTAACAGCTTGTAACACTAAGCCGTGAGACTCACGATAGTTTGGCCAGGAAAGAACGAGTTGTACCTGACCCAAATGGGCGATTTGCTGATGTGGAGGACATCAAACGTGCGATAGGCGCCGCGAGATCTGGAACTGTTTCACACCTACCCAAAACGCATGTTGGGGTTGCCAAAAAAGCAGCAGGACTAATCGCTAATTGTACTTATAACTTCGTGTACATAGAATGACAGATATAATCGTGTTTCTATTGCATTGCGACTCCAAGTCAAATTCCACGAGCGCTAGTGAGGCAGGCCACCTTTGGCTGGGCCAGATTCTCCATTATTTCGGAAACTCTGGAATCGGCACTGGCCCTACAGGTGGCTTTTTTGTAGGCATGAAGGCCTGGTGTATCGTTCTAACACCCCAACTAGCAGGATAGTCGATGTTCGAATGAAGCAGACCTTGACTCCCAAAGATAACCAAGTCCTGCTCGTCCTCTGGGCCTACCCAGATATGCTCAGGCCGGATAATTCTGGTGTAAATGTTATCCAAAAACTTCCTTACTTCGCCCAGATCATCGATGACCTTCGCAGTCTCATCTGGACCATTGCGGATAAATAATCGACGAATCAAGTGCTGTATACACATGAATGACTTCTTGCCGGTAACGGGGTTAACCCAGACCATCGGGTACTACACGTCATTAGTGTTTGATAGAAGCAGCTTCAAGTATCAACATACCTTCTTTTGCCATTCCTTTCTTGCCCCTCCCAACTTTAGCAGCTCTTCTTCTGGCTGCTCCCTACCCTCAGATACCACGCCTAGGCCGTTCGGAGCATAATGGCAGTCCTTGAGATTCTCAAATGGCAAGATGCTGTACTCAGCCCAACTGTGGTCGGCCATTCTCTTTTCCTCGTCACTTAGCATGTCGTACAGTTGTTCAACGTCCAAAAACGCCTGACGTCCCGGCTTCACTTCCATAGTCATACCTGAGCCATCTGCCCATTCTACAGTCTGCTTGTCCAGGCCTTCTGTAGGGAACTTGATCGGTCGGAGGATGGTAAACTTCGTAAGGTCGTGTCGCCAATACATTCCGTTCATGTACCACACGTGGAAACGGGTACGTCCAGCTTCAAAGTCCTCGTCCGAGAGCGGTACGCTGTAGTAATGGCTTACACTAGCGTCACCCATGTCTAGGCCTGGTTTGCCGTAGCGTGGGTCGTTTTGGGGGCCTTTTCCGATAAAGTAAAACAAACCCGCATCAGGAACCTTGATAGCCTGGAAGGAGTCCTTGATAGATGTTAGCGCTTTGCTACAACCTGCTGTGAAGTTCATGTTTCATTCTGCTGTTGACTTACCCTGAACCACTGGTGAGGGTGGAACAAATCCATCAATCTGTCGTCATCCTCAATTATCATTTCTGGATCGAGCGCTTGGAGCAGTTCCCAGGCACGCTTCGGTTTGAGATCATGTTGACGTTTGATTATTACGAGTTTATGCTCCCAGATCGCTTTCTCCAACTCGGCCACTATCTCTCCAGTAAAGTTGTTCAGATCAAGACCTGTAATGACAGCTCCAAACTAAGCAAAGTATCGTAAGCATGGATTATACATATTAGTTGTGTTGTACAGGGCTCACGAATCGTACTTTGCATGTCTTCCCTTCAGGATGGGCCAGAGGCTCGATGTTGAAGCTGCTCGCCATAGTGTCCAGAATAAGGGACAGTTGTATAAGTCAAGTCTTGCGCGTACGGAAAGTGGCTCGTAACTCTGGGATTGACAGATAATAAGATAGTTATCGACTTATGTGGAACCTTGGCTTCGCGTTGTAGAGCCTTATGCACAGGTTCGGGGAGTTTCGCAGACGAATTTGGCAAGTGGAGGTCGGGGTCCGATGGAGACCAAAACATGCCGAAGCCTGTTACCTGCACACAGCCTGGACATCGCGGCGATTAGGTGCATTTCGAGAAACTTTGTCGTTAATCATAATGATAGAACAGTCATCTCTATCAGCCGTTACTTCCGTCTCGTCGGATGACGCTCATGAACCCATCGGCCCATGTCCGGGGAGAGTATCATGGGACTGCATTCCGTGCCTACAGTCGCTCTGTCTCCTCTAGACGGCACAATCTCGGGAGTATTTGTACGCATCTGACCGACGCTAGTCTAGCCCACAAGGCGCGAACCTTGCGGTTGCTCGCAGTAGGTCGGTTGGTACGCGTGAAATAGTGTAACGGTGTAGTAGATAGCGGTATCGTCGGGCTTGTCGTAGTAGTCGTAAGCCTTTACCGACGCTGCGTCGAGGCAGGTACCAAAGTTATCCTTGGGCGTTTTGTCGTGCGTGTCAGAATCGACAGCCCCGTAGCTGTCAACGCGCTTCTCGTAGCAGCTGAACGACAACCCGAATAATAGCATAATGTCAGCAATAGCCACAAAGCTGTCTTGCTTATCGCGCCCTTCGAGGCATCTTGCAGCTGTTTTCAGCGGCTTCGGCGCATCCATACATTCTGTAATGACTGCTCAATCATGGGCGCTGGGGCCCTTTGGTTCGCATCTACGCCTACTTATTATAGCTTCTATTGTTGCGACTCGTCGCGTATAAATCCTGCTCTCGCATCTAGTTTGTATGAGAGCTGACGTATGCGTTGACGGCTGACTGTAGTTTCATAACGCGCATAAAGCACGCGATATGTATTATAGTGTGTTGTAATAGATCTGACGGATTCGAGAACCTTGCGCGCGTCGGCCGGCGTGTTAGCAGCCAGCCCGCTCGCGTCATTATTGTAAGCGCTCGGATTCTTGACCCATGATAGAGCCTCATCGATAAGTGTGAGGGTCGTAGCGAAGGCAACGGTGGCCTGAATCGAAGCCCATCTTTCTTATGATCCTCTTTATCGCCGTATCGTTGTTGCTCGCGTTGTCGAGCACCGAGTAGCCCATCCTACGCTCGTTGATGTTAAAATGCTGCAGACTTTGTCATATCACCTCAACCATAGCCTTGCGACTGGGAACCTGCAAGCTGTGGCAGGGCAATAGGTAGCTCCATCAAGTCGCCATGCCTGTCAATGTAGTGGGCAACGATACCCAGAAAGTCGTGCTTGCCGCCCTTTGTCGCGCAGCCGGCAAAACTGATGTATCTCACTGAGCGCCTTCAACGTTTCCCTGGCGACCCGCGGCCGTATATCGTCGTATAAGCGCATAAGGTATCGCGTACCGCCGTGATGAGACGTCGATAGGGCACCGTCAACGTCTGGGTTAGCAGCTGCGATAAGCTCACGGAAGGCCGGCGTCGCAAACTCAGAAAGAGGCTGGTTATTCTTCACAAGCTGGCCTACTACAGGGAGCCTGAAGCGTTGTATATCAAAGCCGGACAGCTGGTTTGCCGCAGACTAACTAGTCGCATTCATAGACAGCAAGCGCTGCAGTGGGTTGTTAGCGTTTGTAGACGCCTTGCCGGTGGTTGTGTAGCTATTGCCGCGTCGCCTGCTCGTACAGTGCTCTATCGAGCTCGAGGTCGAGTTCGTCATTTCGTAAATAACTCTACGCACGTCGTGTATACGGCAGTACCGGTAGAACGAGGCGAGACGTGCAGTTCGCGTCGCGACATTACCGGTACAGTAGCCGTGCGCGTGACGAGCCACTTCGCGTGACGAGCCACCCTACTACCCTAACATTACGCGTCGTTCCATCTTCAACGCATCATAACTCAACCAATATAGACCGAACTCAGAGTGCGACCAAAGATATCGAGTCGTGCGAATTGGGTGCATATTCCAGAAGCTTTTTGCACAGTGTCGTTACCATTCGTTATGCTGTATGTGCATCAAGGTTGGTGGCTGTGCGGCCAATCAGAAGCGAACATACATTTTGGGCTGAGTACAGATACATAGAGGTTTGCTTATGTGAAACTGGAAATCAGTGCCCCACCACCACCAGGCTCAGTTGGTCAGGCTGCAAGGCATCCTCGGCCAAGCAGTTGTGCGACCTCAGCCTGATCAACCATCATTTGAGAGCTACAATGCCCACACCTTCTCTCTCTACCGTCACTGCACAAGGATCGCCACGATGGAAGCGCTCATTGCGGTCGGATTGGCAGGCAACGTGGTCCAGTTTCTCCAAGGCGCTGGCACCCTAATCGCCGAGGCCAACGCGATACGGATAAGCGGCAGCCCCTCATCACTTCCGCACCTCCAGAGCCTCTCAAAAACACTTATTGACCAAGCTGCTGTGCTAAGAACACGTCTAAAAGCATGCAATGCGACGCTGAAGGAGGAGGACCAGGCGAGTCAATGTCTCTGTGGTCGTGTCGCATTCGCTAATTGCGGCATACAGAATCTTCTAGATCTTGCAGCAGAATGCGAAGAGGCTGGAACACAGTTCATCACTTATCTTAAGAGCTTCAAGAGCCACTCCTCTTCGAAACTCTTGCAGAGCGCGAAGGACGCCATCAAATTCCAATGGCGTTCACATAAGATTGATGATTTCGTTGTCAAACTCGACAAGCTTCGCGGCTCCCTTACGTTGGGCACCGTACTAGCGTTCCGCACAAGTTCAGAGAGCAGAAACGATGAGATCCTTGGGCACTTGAAAGCGATACAGCAGGACCATAGAGCTCGGAGTTTGGATGAAACAGATATTCGAACGGCAGTAGAAACTCTCGCGGACGCCTTACAAGATCAAGCGAGTGACAAGCTTGATGTCATTCAGGACGAGATTCGGTTGTGTATAGATGAGATCAGCAGTCTACGTAGCGACCGTACTCCAGAGGAAAAGTCACGAAGTATAGAGAGTAAAATACTAAGATGGTTGGACTTCCGGCAGATCTTCTGGCGCTACGAGAGTGTTGCGACAGCGTACCAAAGGACGTATGAGTGGATTTACGACTCACCAATCACGCATAATCGTTGGTCGGACTTTCCAAAGTACTTACAACAAAACACGGGTGAGCCATACTTCATCAGTGGGAAGGCTGGAAGTGGCAAGTCGACCCTCATGAAGTTCCTCCATGGCCACTCAGATACGGGAACAGCGTTGAAGAAATGGGCGGGAACGAGCGAGCTGATGAAGTTGCACTTCTTCTTCTGGGATCTTGGGACTACCCTTCAGAAGACTCATGTCGGAATGCTGAGAGCTCTACTCCATACGGTACTCGATGAACATCCGGAGTTGGTACCAGCTGTCTTCCCAAGACTGTATCGAAATTGGAAGGCATCGGATGCGGATATCGAGCCCCAATACGTCGAGATGAAGGAAGCTTTCGAAAGACTAATCGAGAAGTCCCGTTTTATGAAACTTGCAATCTTCATAGATGGTATCGACGAGTTTGGGGGCGACCACCGCGACATGGCGCTCTTCCTACGATCACTGGCATCACCACACGTGAAACTGATTGTCTCGAGCCGTCCTATAAATGCCTGCTTGGATGTGCTGGAGGGCTGTCCCACCTTACGTCTGCAAGAGCTCACACGACCGGACATGGAGAAGTTCGTGCAAGGAGAGCTTTCATCCAATCGCCTTATGGCCCGCATGATGAAACAATTTCCAAAAAGGGCACCGGAACTGATAATCGATCTGCTCAATAAAGCAGAGGGAGTGTTTTTGTGGGTCAAGCTCGTTGTACGTCTCCTAGTCGACGGGCTCCAAAATGGGGACAATCTTGAGGAGCTACATGCCAAATTGACGGTGCTTCCTTCCGACCTCAGAGATCTGTATAAGAATATGTTTGGGAAAATGGAGATCGAGTACCAGAAGCAGGCGGCAGTAATCTTCCAGCTGCTTGACAGGTGGCGCCATTGTATAAATACTCAACTCCTTCCTGGCGTGGTCTTGTCGTACGCCATACGCTCGCCCAAAGAAGTCTTTCAAGCACCAATTGCTCCGATGACCGGTAAGACATTCAGTTGGACCATGGACACTTTGGAAAAACGTATTCGCAGCCGTTGCTGTGGCCTGGTCGAAGTTCGCTACAACGAAGACACGGAGACACTGGCCGAGTGGGCATCCACGCAAGACATCACTGTTGACAAGATCAACAGCCGTGTGGTCACATATCTGCACAGAACGGTCGCCGAGTTCATTGCAACGACCGAAGTCTGGCAGGAGGTCTGTGAGCTGACGAACGACATGGCTTTGGATTCTACGTCTAGCCTAATATCTGCATGTTTGTCAACGATGAAGCTAGCCGACCGCTATGATGAAGATGGGGTGAGATGGTATTTAGAAGCCACAGCGAGCTTTTGTCGGCAAGCTACGACCACTGAGCCTCAAATCACCCAAAAGTATGTTTATGAGATGGACCGCATCATGTCAAAGTTTCAACAGAGGTCACGTCGCCCCTACGATGGTAGATCTCGTGTCCGCACCTTACACTGGTCTGCCGAACCGCATGAGGTAGAATCAGTCGAATCGACCTTGGCTGTCGAGGAACACAAGAGTATTCATACCTTTGCGGCTAAGCGAGGTATACTGGCTCATCTACGTTTGCTGCCCTTCGGTATTGGAGATGAGGAACGGTTCGTGATCGTTCTAAATGCGTTGTTTATATGGAGGACGAGACTGTTTCGCGCCCGGAACAATGATGTGTCTCTTGACATTGCAACAAAGTTGACATCATACCTCCTGCGAAACGTCTGGGGTCCAGAATCTGTAGCATTCGGTACCAGCTTGTGGCAACAAGCGTTGACATGGTGTACGAATATGAAAGCCGACCGTTACTCGATATTAGAGGCTGCTCGGCTACTAAAGGTACTCTTGAGTGCAGTTGACGCACCGCAGTCGTTGTGGCAAAGATCAGTGCAAGCTTGGAACGACTTTATCATAGGTCCAACACATGTTTTGAAATCGTTCAGGGCTCACACAGAGGACAACCCTGCTCCGGAGAATATTACTTTGCTCAATAATCTCGAGCACCTCACTGGAACCAGAGGTAATCGACCTGCAGCTTCGGTAGCAGACCATGGGGGGATAAAAACCAATCCTAGCTCACAAGCGAGTCAAATGAAGGGAAAGAAGACCAGAAGAGATAGAAAGATCAAGCTGCGAGCGGTCGATAGAGCGAGCTGAGTGTGCTAAAATCTCTTGTCCAAATTTGTTCTATCGTTGAGGTTCTCGATACTCTCGGTTACTGTAACGTAAATAACCATATGACAATCGTGCAACTACTGACAGCAGAGACGGAATTACCCTTGCCATCCTACGAGCACGTCGGGTTTGTACTTGGCTTGACAGCAGCATTCGAAGGATTTGTTTGCCCACAGCCTGTCACCGCGCCGCCAATTGTATCGTCAACCGCAGCATTGTACGCAGCACCACAATTGGGATCGCTGGATACCGTATCAGCAAGAAGACCCTTTCAATGCCACTTCCTCCAGGACAACTTACCTCGCACCACCACTAGCGTTGTTGAACCACGAACACACATCGTGCGAGAAGCAATCCTGTGTATACGCATTGCCTATTGCGGTTCCTGAGCAGCCTGCTCCACAGCGGCCATTACAGCTGTACCTGTGGAGTATGTTAGGTACTGCATTGAAGGAAATGAGAGGGTGAATTGCGTACTCTCCACCGTTCACGCTGTTCGCGCCAAAGTTGCTGCCTACAACGCCGGTCCAGCGACATGACTGGCCGGCTGCGTTGGTCCATGATGCTGTTGCTGTAGCGCCGACCTTGAGGCAGGATATCGCGCGTTTGTCCAGGGCAGGAGACGCAGAGACTCCGATTGTTAAGAGAGCAGTGAGACGAAGACTAAGGAGATACATTTTGGGTCATGGGTTTGTACGTGATGGACTATCGGCGTTGGTGATGACTGCACTGCTGAATGTATCTCAGGGATTATCCAGTTGCTATGAATGGAGGTCAAATGGCGGGAACAAGATATCATATGGGCTACTTCAACGGCGATTCAACGCAGATCTACATTCATCTAATTGACCCTCACCGTAAAGCTGGCCATTACCTTATGTCAATCTCAAGACGTACGCTCTTGCCCTTTGGAGTGCAAGTGCTATACACTACGCCGTCCTAGCTTTCCTCTTCTCATCTTAGACTTACCACAAAACACCTTCTAATTCGCCGAGAATTCGGCCCTGTTGATCTAGTAGTCAAATTTACCCGGTGTTGTGTCGGACTAGAGATCTGTAGATCGGAGAATTAGCGGAAGCGTGCAGCCGTACCCCAACTAAACGGCTTTCATGCCGTTTCGAGGTTTCGAGATTTCTGGAAAGGAGATGGGCTAGGGTATGACGAAATATTTGGGGTCGCGACATGCAAGGGTATGATGTTGCAATGATGCTGTTACCGAGGCCCACGGAGGCTCGTCTTAGTAGTTCAGGTACGACCTACCGGACTTGGGTGGACGCAACAACTTTACTCAGGTATGCGAGTCTTGGTGTGTTATGCAGTCATGTTATACGGTATGGTAGGCTATCGTGACCTGAGTATGGGAAGATTAAAATGTCAAGGTCTACACATCTCATTTACCTAGGTATTGAGCAATACCCATGCGGCGCTGCTGATCTAAAACGCTCAACATGCTTGCACAATCCGCCAGTCATGACACATACGACCATAGGACACTGAAAATTAGGCTTCCCGTCCGCTCAGCCATATACAAGCAGTGTACCGGCGGATTAGTAGTTAGGTGGGTGACCACTAGCGAATCCCCGCTGTTGTATGTTTTTGCTATTCTTTGCACCAGGAGCGGTCTAGTGTCATGAACGTAATGGCACTTCGAAAGTCGTTTTGAGACATCACACAGCATCCTACGCGGTGCTTTTACTTCTGGATTGAGGACTGAGCCATTAGTAGGAAGTTACCCCAATCGAGGGAGGTAGTCAAACGCTACCTGCAGGTGCCCCGTGATACATGATCTCCGCTGCCTTCAACAATATCATGATAGTTCTACTAGATACCATCAGAGAGTTCACAAAAGCATGTCGTAGAAAGCAAGCTGCCCCTTTGTATGCCTTGGGTATACCACGTCAAATCGCATGGAGATGGTGGCGATCCACCCTCATACTTGTCGTTTCCTCTCCTGCGTCTGACTCCTGCTACCTGATATGTGTGTTGCACACACCGACGAACAGAGCTTATATGCAATCTAGATGCGGAGATCTCATCGTGGCTTCGGGCTTGACAACCGCGGACACTGTCTTAAGGATTGTCTTTGCGATGGCTGGGCATGAACCAACTAGCGTATATCTCGCATCTCGACCGCAGATCTAGACTTACCATATCCTCGTCGGTGTCTTGCTTGTGTTCAGCATACGTTTTTGCGATCTAGAAAATGTCAGTGAGTATTTGTAACGTGCAAAACCAAAACATGATAGTCGTACCATCTCAGCCATGACCTGTGTCATGAACGTTCAGCGTCGCAGGTTACGGGACAGGTCAATTAAGTGAGATGTGATCTTATCTCTCACCTCTGGGCTCATTGATATATCCGGAATAAGCCCCTCCCTTTGGGCAGATTCAATGGTGACGTCCATATCGCGAAGCCACAAAAGAACAGCTTTGGGCCTCAACGCAAGCTGCTCCGTCCTTGGAAAATGCGCATAAACCTTCCGATCAAGCCCGACATCCATAGTTGGTGGAGGAAGCTGCGTCTCAATTCTTGGTGTAGGACTTTCATGATTAGGTACCATGGCTGGCGGCGAGGCGATCGGCATTTTGAGAGCATTTTTCGGTAATGTATCGCACGCAGTTGGCGCCGATGATTCTGCTAAGAGCCATGAAACGTTTCGTGCTGAAAGTCGGGATGGGTTGGATGGGTACAATGGAATTGCACGTTGGCTTGTCAGATGTTTGTAAGAAGAATTGGATGCAGCATATTTAGATACTTTGGAGGGGTGCAAAGGAATGGCGTGTTGGCTTATGAAGTGGTTGTAGGAAGTATTGCCCTGGTATCGCGAACTCATATTGGTTTTGTGGATAGGAATAAGGTCTATGGAAAGAAAGATGATGGGCGAAGGCGGTTGGTTGATAGCAACAAGACGTAGATCTCCCTTCTCCTGGAGTTTGCCAGCTGCCTTTACCTCGCTGCTCCGAAATGATAGTTAGTTGCCCTATCGGTCATTGCCTGCGTCGCAAACATCAGGTAATAGAGACGCCGCATGGCACGCACGATATACCATAAGCACATATCCCAGAGGTCCCGCAGTCAGCTTTGAGGATATTTAGACAGTTTCGGATGCTACTATTACTGAAACCTGAGATTCGAGAAGCGCGAAGATGGGTTTTACCTCGCGTGTATAGCGTCATGATCGGATATAGCGCCAACTTCGTCGATGGGACTTTGCCTCACTTGACCTAAATGGGTTGAGGTCTCAGGTCTTCCCTCCAACCCGTCTAAAATGATTCTCTCATACCTTCCTCACTCACACGTAGCAGCGCTTTCTTAGCGTATGAACAGTAAACACTTGACCCACGTGGCTCAAGCGTCCACACAACTACGCAACTGAGTAGCCACACTCTGTCGCAACCTCATTATCCTCACCCACACTCAATTGCACCTTGCAGAACTTTACCCACACTTACAAACAAGTCACCCAAACTATGGCTCATAACAATCACCCGCCGCCCACGAACCAAGGTCGCCAATTCATCCAGCATCCCATACAAGCACCAAATGCCGAGATCGCCGCCAGAATCGGCTTGCCAGATGACGCGGAACGTGTCTACTTCCGCAAAGTCCGACAGGTTTTCTTCCGTGATCAAGACTTCAACGACGGAAATATCGAAGCACATATCCTTCCCGAACGTGGAGCTTCGAGCTACCAGTTCGGCTTAGTCCACAGGCAGATGTAAAATTTGCAAGGCAACCTTCAGTCGAGAATGTGGGCCTCTCCGGAGGTTAACGCATCGGTATGGCAATTACTACTTACACCGTGTTCTTCTCTAATACACATGCAGTACTTCAACGTCGGTTTCGAATATAATAACCATGTACGCCTTCTACAGCTTGACCATCCTGCTTTCGAGACCCTGACCTGGGACGAGCGGGCCCCGCATGTTGAGGCCGCTTTCAACAAGCAACTGCTCGCGAAGATTACCGCTCCAGTTCAACAAGCAGTCGATATTCGCCGCGTATTCGAACAGGACAACGGTATATGGCTTCACATATACCAAAAACTGTATCTAACTGCAGCGAACACCGCGTGGAACACGGCCGAATGGGAGATTCTGGACGAAGGCTACTTCCCACCATTCAACAGGAGCCTCCTATACGCAAACGTCCGTGAGGCTATGCAGCACTTCGAGAATCGACCCGGACAGGATACCATCCCGGTACTGCAAACCGTGTTTGGTACCGTGTTTGGTACCATGTCAAACCGATTTACGCCGACCTTCACCCCTACGGTCGTGCAGCCGATAAACGAAGCAGCTTAGAAAGCACCGTGGTAGGCTAGATTGACCAACATGGCTTCTTTGGTGTGGGCGGTTTGTCCACGGCTGCAGCAGGAGAGCTGTTCAATTTCTACCTCGTCGTCATTAGATAGTAGAGTCTTGATGCCGAAATCACCGCTGTTCTCCACCACCACTTGTGATGACATGCAATGTCAGAGTCCAACAAGGCTTTACTTGCGAAGATTACTATCTTAATCTGATAAGCTTTTGCGTAGTTGGAGCAGTGCTGATCCTATCTGCCCTTGTATACGTCCGAATAACGGAGTGAACATCCCTGGTGATTGAGTCGCATCTTCGCTAGAGACGTACACAAAGGTAAAAGGTAAGTCTGGGTGTAAGGTCGAGCAGGCCTTGTCAGCCTCAAGTGTACGATTATGCGTTATCTCGATATGTTTCCTGCACTTCATGAATAGCATGTCGAATATGGTGAGACCACGGTGAGCGTTAAGCTACGATGCTCGTAATCCACTTACTCCTTACTATCGCTAGTACCTTAAGAAATCTAGAGGTTACAAAGAACCGCAACGTCTTCGACCACGAGTTCGCAGTATCTCAAGGACAATACTTGGATATAGTCAAAAGGTACGCAAATCCGGAGAAGAAGTCGTCTGTTGTCAAGAGAGAGGATGCAGATACCGAATTGAAGAGGAGGGCAGGCGTGTTGACGGAAAAGTGTGACATGGCCAGCATCTTTTTTCTCATCAAGGGAGCATTGCTTAGTAGGTGATAAAATCCGCACTAGAGGCATACCGACAACTCACTCGTTGGTTTGGAAGAACTCAGCGAAGCTGATTCTGAGGCGAAGGTAGCAAATTTGTGCAGCTAAATCTGTAAAGAACAACCGCTCTTTACCTATGTATATATAGATAGCTAAGTGACCTAGCAGAAGCTATGTTGTTTGGGCCAATACCCGCAACATTCCCTATCCCACCCTGTGAAGCTGCGTACACGGTCGACCGTCAATGCAGATCAAGGTCAGCAATCAGCAGTATCTTGCTCCATCAGAAGAGGATGTCCTTGATGCCTACGTGATGCGAATGCCTGACAAAACTTCTCTTTGCCGGTCTCAAGGCGAGGAGAACAAAAGAGAAACGGGGACAAGAAGAACGATGGGGACATCATAAGGTTGTTTCAAGCACCATCGGACGCCTTCCGCAGTCTTACTAATCTCCCCTCGGCTCAAACTTGTCATCGCCAAACAACGTACACCATCTTCTATCACCGCAATATCCGTACCTAACTCCGGGATCTATTCGGCCCGCACAGAATCTTGGAAGCGTGTTGGAGCTGTTGCATTGGTCAGTTCATCGTGCTCCGTGCTTTTCGAGTACGTACGCTTCGTTGCATTGCTTAAGCAAGCATGATGTAATTTCTTTGGTAACTCAACAATCAACATTATATTGAAAATGTGAGAAGTATATATCCACTTCCATTCTCACAGTGCAGAGAGACACACTTGAACGAGTGAACTAAATATTGCATAAACACACGCACCTAGGCTTCCGCCAGTCGCTATAATGTCCAGCTTCAAAAATGTTATGGTTATCGGAGTAAGTGTTATCCATTGCAGATAACCCGCGGTGGTGTGGTGGTCGACCGCAGTGATGTGTATCCAGAAGAATATACTAATAATCATCCAGGCCGGCGGCAACCTAGGGCCGGCAATCTTGTATGCCTTGCTCCACCACTCCTCTTTCAACACGACCGTTCTTTCACGTGAGGGCTCTTCATCCACCTTTCCGCCAGGCGTCAAAGTGCTTCGCGCAGATTACAACTCGATGGATAGTCTTAAAACCGCTTTCATGGGCCAAGACGTCGTAGTATCTCTTGTTGCTGGGGCTGTTCTTGGTAACCAAAACAATCTTATTGACGCTGCTATCGCTGCTGGAGTCAAACGTTTCCTCCCCTCGGAATTCGGCTCGAACACCACTGATGCCCGGACAAGAGCTATCGTGCCTATGTATAAATCTAAAGTCGAAACTGTCGATTACCTCAAAAGCAAAGAAAGCGAGATCAGCTGGACAAGTATAGTAACCGGCCCATTCTTTGACTGGGGACTCAAAGTGGGGTTTTTGGGGTTTGATGCAGCGCACAAAGTCGCGACGCTGTACGAGGACGGCACAGCCAAGTTCTCGAGCACAAACCTGCACACCATCGGTCTTGCCGTTGTCAAAGCACTCGAAAATGCTGAAGGTACGAAGAATCAGTATGTGTTTGTATCAGGCTTCCAGACAAGCCAGAAAGAAATCCTCGAAGTCGCGGAGAAGGTCACGGGAAGCAAGTGGATTGTGAGGAATGCTAGCGTCGATGACGCTATCAAGAAGGGAAATGAGAAGATTCTTCGAGGTGATTACTCGGGCATCGAGGATTTGATCTTGGGTGCGACGTTTGGGCCAAAGCAATTGGGCGACCTGAGCCTGGCGGGGCTATGGAACGAAAAATTGGATCTGGTGGAAACCGATATTGAGACATCAGTAAGTGCGGCATTTGCAGGAAGACTAGTTTATGAAGCATCGATCAGCGAGTAGAAACTGAAGGAAGTCTGCACAGTACAAGAAAACCGATCTACACATAGAAGATGCTTGGAGTAGACTCTACCAAGATATCATAGCAAACCACCATATCTGCCACGTTTTCCCATGATGTTCAAGTAAGATCGGCTTTTCCCGTATCCTTTTTGATGTCATCTTCGACTTGAGCCTGCTGTTGCTGCGATTTCTCTAGTTGCGCCTGTGCCTTCTTCTTCTGCTCCTCACTCATGGGTCGTGGCAGCAAACTGGCGTCAGGGTGCCACAGCTCCTCCTCTGTCGCATTGGATCCATCAACATCCTCGAGCTCTGGTGTGAGCGCGCGATACTCCGGTGGAACGCGGTCCAAAAAGGCTTTAACCAGCCGCGGGCTCAAACCTACTGCGTCAAGAACCGCACGATCAGCCGAAAGAGTTCGTAAGACACCGTCTTTTCCAAGCGATATAATGCTTAGAGGATCTTTGTTGAACTTTGCAAGGATTGCGGTCACCTCTTGCTGATCAGGGTGATTGCGATCGTAGGTATGCGGTGGGTTTGAAGGCGCCTCCGATGAAGTTGGCTCTGATGAAGTGTCTTCGGTCATCGCTTGATTATTTCTGAGTATTCGAGATGGTCTTGAACGTGGGTGAACATATATTCATCGCTCAGCGTCAAAGCTGAGTTGTGGATAAGCGTGCTAAAACCGGTTTTCGGTCATATGCACACCTGATACATCATAAGCGCTACCCGTGACTGCCCTGCTATGCTGACAACCGGCAGTTCAACCAACGATCCTTCCCGACTTGTCACGTCTTGGCTTGCATACCTCGGCCCGGACCGAACGACAGCCACGTTCATAGCTTAGTCTTTCTAAGCAACGTGGCGGATCTCTTCAAAGGCTATGATAGTAGTAACGCAGGAGCATCGAATGGTCCGTTACCCACTGGTCAGGACAGTAGTATGATGTAAAGCAGATGAATGACAGCATTGCGATCTGAAGTCCACCTAGTTACAACATGCCAAGGTGGCCTAAGTAAGACGCCCGACAGAAGCCAAGACAGAACTGATAACATGACATGAGGTGAAGGATTCATTCAACAAGGCCAAGGAAACCTATTCACCTACTTGGAAGCTGCTCGGGTCTTATCATGATATGTTAAGTAAGGCAACCAAAGCATCAACAAAGACAGCGAGGGGAATGTCCTGGAGTGGTAATCGCCAATGCTGACCTAGTCAATCATCTCCTCTTCAGTCTGAGATGTAGCGCCTTACTGTCCGAGTTGAGGGTGGTTGAAACGAGATTTGGAGACATTGTTAGGAGAAGACTCAAGCATAAAAGCTCGATGGAAGGGCCTCTTCGAAGCGGAAATCCCCACCAGCTCAGAAACGACAGTGTTTCATCTTGTGCACCCTCCAATACGTGAGACATACAACATGTTGGGCAAAAGCTATCTGGCGTTGGCCGTTGCTATTCTCCCTACTGTAAGTCGGAGTCCATTTATAACAACACCATGTATCCTAACATAATAACGAAGATTGGAGCCACAGCAATTAACAGATCACGATCTCCTGCCGAAAATCGTCACGTCGAGGGGCCATTTTCGGAGGTCGTGAAGGATCTCAAGACAGACGCTACAGGAGCACTTAGCGTCGGACCGGACGGTGTCTTGCGTAGTTTCGCGGGCAATCTCGAAGTCATTGATTACCGTCAGCTGGATCCCGAGCAGGTTCGATGGTTCGGCAAGCAACAGCTCAGCGCCTGGTCGAACGATGCAGAGATACCAGAGTCAGTGTCTGCCTTGGTACAAGGTACCATTGACGGACGACTCGTCACAGACGAAACACTTCTTTTACACCCCAGCGAGAAGCCGCAAATTGGACAGAAGTCTTCTTCCACTCAGAGTGAGAAGCGAAGTGCAGATGACCTTTTCATCAGGCAATCAGCGCTCTGTGCTGGTACAACTTGTGGGAGTCTTAACGATTGTATCCCGAGGGGTTGCAATGCCTGCTACTTTCCCAACGGCCCGCCTGACGGTCGTTGCCTGGACCCCAACCCCAACATTCCACCTCGGTAGATTCGTACAATGCTCCACAGTATGTCGGAGTGGAGATTGAAGAGCAACTCCTGAAATTCGGCTCATGTTAAGCGATCATCACCACCGCAATGCATGTATGTACATCCACTAGGTAGTCAACATCGCTTCTTCATTACCGTGCGGCCGCCCAAGTCATCGTCTGAAGTCAAACTGTGTTGTTCTGGTGCCAATTTCGCCTCTCTTAGAATGCGAACAGTATGACGAACACTAGAAGAATGATATAGTATAGTGCGCTCGACTCACTCATGGCTGCATCTAACAACTGCAGCATTCTGCATGGCTTCGCAGTTCCTTACTGTAGTGTGGATTTGCGCATATCACTTTTCAAGAAGATTTGCCTATGATAGAGATGTCTTTGCGTTGACCGCCACCCGTCTTCAACACCAAGGACCATTCTAAAGGGAGCACACGTCTAGCCGACTCATTCGGCACGCGCTGAGCATCTGGATGAATCCAGACCCAACCTTCGCGTAGAACAATATACGCGCTCATTTCAAACGAGCCGTAGATCTCGAAGGCAAGCTCGAAAGGTGGCCCATCCAGAACGAAGTAAGTTTGGTTGAAGCTTTGATGCTAAATCACCTATAAGTAAAGGAACATGGGTCGATGGGTCGGCACTCACCGCGTAGAGGTGAACCTTTTCCACTAACTGTGGATATTGGACATCAACAAAATACTTAACATGATGCCAGTCGATCTTTTGACTTTCCATGTGGGTGTTGCCATGGATTATCTTGAAATTCATCTGAAACATCTTCGCGGCATGTGCCACTTCGCCTGGACTATGTGGTTCTGGCAGAAACATGCCAAGTCCGCAACATGGCTGGGAGAATTCCGATCCACCTGTAGCCTTTGCAAGCCCGCCGATGAGAGCGATCTGCTCTTCTACGTGAGATGCTCTTGGTCGATCTTTCGCATCCGGCCTCATCATATGTCGGATCAAGCCGACTAGATGCTCATCTGCTGGTCTTCGGCACATATTCTCCTCAGTATCGAACCAATGTATAATCCTGTCGAGATTTGCCTGGAACGACTTATCTTCCCTTGCACGTAGTGTCTGTGTGGTTTCGAGTGAATAGCCCATGCATAATGTGATGATTTCGAGGAAGACGCACCCCATCGCAAAGATGTCTGAAGAAGAGCCGCTCGGGTCGTAGCTTGCGACCTCGGGGCTAAAATATTTCGGCGTGCCACGCTCGCCGTTATCCGTAAGACTCGACGACAGAGTGGAAAAGTCAGTTGCAGAGCCGAAGTCAGTTACCCAAAGGCCGTCGGCTGACAGAACTACATTCGACGGTTTCAAGTCCTTGTGTTTGATACCGGAGCCGTGCAAATACGTGACAGCACTCGCTATACAACCGATTGTCTTTTCGAGATACGTGATCGTGCTATTCAATGTGTGCTGGCTGTCGCTGCCTGTAAGACCTAGAGACAGGAAAGCAGGCTCTCGGTCGTGATCGTGACTTTCGGAGTAAAATGATAACAGAGCGTCGGTGGCTTCCCAGTTTCCATCTGTTGTGCGTTTCCGCAGCCAATCTGCGTCTTCCAATAGTGTTGCAAGATCGCAAGTAGCGACAGGCCATAGTAGAAGGCCGAGGACCGGCCCACGAGTATAGGTTCCTATAAGACGTATGATGTGCGGATGACTGAGACGTTTGATGATCTCGATCTCTCGACGTTCGCTTTCTCTGATCTTGCGTCGGACATATTTGCGCTTCCATGCTAGCCGAATCCCGTTGCTTGCTATTTCCGTTTCGTAAACCCCACCATGTACTCCATGTCCTAGAAAGCGACCTTCTACCAATGGCACTCTTTCATCTTTCTCGTAGTCAACATGTGACGTGCCGCGACCTGACCAATCCACCGGTGCGCCGTTCACTAATTCGCAGGGCAGCGTTTCCGGGGGTGGGAACGGGTCGGGCTTAAGTTGCTGGGAGCTTTGCTGCGAAGAGAACATGGCTTCTGATCACAAGCTTATTCTAAGTGTGGAAGCTCACGTCAAAATCTCGCTGGTCGCAATCTCATGCTGCTGGAAAACGACCGCCGCAGGCCTACATTGCAGGGGAGCTGTTGACGTCCAGTGCTCGTTTCTCGTACAAAACGCACTTTTGCCGATGGCGGTAGCGCGAAGAGAGAGGAAGGACGCGGGCTCAAGAGACGATGTTCGTGCCAGGTGCCCCCAGGGCGAAGCGACCGCGATTAGCTCGGAGGGGTGCGAGCCAGCGCGTCGTCTCAGCTGTGTGCCCCACTTACGTTTCCTTGCACAATCCAGAGTGCAGCTGAGCGAGCAGATTCGGGTTACGCGGTGAACGCCTTGTTTCAAGAGGGCAGGGCAGTCAAACTGCGACACTAATTTCGTTCGCCGAGTGACTTGGAGATGCAGCCCCTCATGCTGTATTTGCTGGAGGCGCGGTGTATGATTTGTCGCAATGATGTTCGAGAGCAAGCCGCAAGCGCTGAGCGCGGCACGTACCCAGCGCTTACCGGATATTTTTGGAGAGTGGAGGAGCATACTTTGACGCTTTTGCGCAAGGCGACAATGCGGTGAAGCCTTGCGTTCAAAAGCGAGCCCAAGACTGTCTCCAGAAAACGCGCTTGCAAGCTTCGATCGGAATGCGCAGCCTTTAACCTATTCGTCATTCCATGCGCATCCATGCAAACTTTGAATGTCTACTCAGAGTTATGAGTGAAAAGTTGCCCTAAATGGCATTAGCCCATGCCGCGACAGGGTATTCGTGGCCCAGTGGGTAACCATAAGCAATCTGATGCAGAAGCTAAACATCGCCCCCAATGTGGTGCTCAATATCTCATATGTTTTGCAGCATTCTCACAACTCCCTACTTGATTCTTCTCTCGTCCAAAGTCGAAGGAACACAGCTGTCAAGATCGATTATGACATTTAGGCCTTCCCACTACGAGCACCTATCCAACAGAAGCGAGGAGTTCTACGAGCCCGCCGAGCCGTACAGAAGTCCATCGACCTCGAGCGATGTAGAACATCTTGGATTACATCGCCACGATACAAACACCTATATCCAGCCATATGTGTCTCCCATCTCAAGAGGCGCCAGTTTGCAGGACCATGAATCATTCGAAGTGCCGCTGCAAGGCAAACAAGAGTCCGTTTTCCATCAGCATATACTACTATCGTCTGCTACCCATGACTTCGATGCCTCAAGCTTGAAGCCTGACACCTCTTTCGATCCGCCGCAAAAGCGAAAAGAAGGCTCTTGGGCGGATGTGCTTAACGACTGGTGGTGGTGGGAGCTTGGTAGCTTACTTCTGAGCTGCGCATGCTTCATTGCCATCGTCATTACGCTGTGTGTAGTGCAGGGAGATCCACTATCCTCATGGCGCTCTGTTGTATCGCCCAACGCTCTGATCTCGACTCTCGCTACAATATCGAAAGCAAGTCTCCTGCTTGCAGTTGCATCGTGCATATCGCAACTCAAATGGCTGTATTTCGAAAGCGCGCCTCATCGATTACAGGATATACAGGTCTTTGACGACGCTAGCCGCGGTCCGCTGGGGGCTGTGAACCTTCTCATGCGCCTTGGCTCCAAGGAAGCTTTCACACGTCAAAGCGGTGGAGCTGGATGGGCGTTTTGGGCCTCGATTTTGACGATTCTCGCGCTAGCTTCGGATCCTTTCGCGCAACAGATTCTCTCTTTCCCACTTCGAACCGTGCCGGACTTGACGGATCCGGCATCGGCTTTTATCTCTGCATCGCAAGTTTACGATACGGCTATCACTGGATACGAAAGGAACAGCCAGGACCTCAATATGGATATGGCCATGCAGGGCGCCGTCCAAAATGGCCTTTACACCCTGAATTCCCCAATGACGTTCGGTTGTACCACTGCAAATTGCACATGGCCAACCTTCTACACTTTAGGGATCTGCAGTTCGTGTAAGAACGTCACAGATCAACTGGACGTGAGCTGTACAGAAGACGAACAATCTAACCGAGCACTTATCGGAAGCTGCAATTATACGTTACCGTCAGGGTTGGCAGTGTCTGGCCAATACGGCTCTAACGCTGTTGGCGAGTTTGGACCACTCCTGAATGCTACTGCGAAAGCAGGAAGCCACACCTTCATGAAGGAGCATGGAAACCTCACGGACTTGCTTGTTCTTGCTGGCGTTACGCGTTTCAGCGAAACATGGCGGAGGTACACACGTCCTGAAGCGTATGAATGTCGACTCTCATGGTGTGCGAAACGCTACTCCGGTGTCAAGGTCACCAAAGGCGAGATTCTTACACCACACATACGAACCTGGCCCTTGACGTCTCCTTCCGGATCTACCCTTAATGACGGCATTCGTTTGGGTCGCTTTGAGGTGGGAGAGAATACAGACTTCGATGGGCCAAACGGGACGTTCGTGGTCAACGCGGTAGAGCACAACATGCTGGCGAACTGGCTTGCGACAGATTTCTTCACAACGGTCGAACAAGATGCCGTGGGACGGGTGCTATACACGCACTCGGACATGTCGCAAACTTTCGACAACATCGCGACTTCGATGACGAACAGGATACGCGAAAATGACAATGCCACTCGGGTATATGGGACTTCGTATCGCGAAGAGACCTATATCCGAGTGAGCTGGCCTTGGCTCATTCTACCTGGCGTTGTGGTGCTTATGAGTGTTGTCTTATTTATAGCCAGTATCGTATTGAGCAGAGGCGACAAGCAAGGGCTATGGAAGAGCACGACGTTAGCACCTCTTTTCACCCACATGCGAGGATGGGAACATGAAGGCTTGAGAGTCGGAAGATGGAGCGAGATGGAGAACCAGGCGAAGGGTATGAGAGGAAGGTTGCAAAGGGACGAGCAGGGCAGCCTGGACTTTGTTAGGTCATGATATGCAGGCACTGGAAGTGTTTGGCTATGCGGACCAGCGGCTAGACTTGCGGAGAGCTGGGCGCCTGACAATGGTGATAAGCCTGGCGCTACCCCGCTATGGTGCTGCACCTCCACAACTATTTTTCCGTCCTTCCAGATCCTCCAAAGTAATAATGGCAAATTCCGAGCGCACTATGCCATGCAATCTCTGTAGTGCCCTGCTCGAGATGTTTCAAGGGTTGCGGAAGGAGCCTATCGATATCTCGACTTTCCAATCGCAAGGCGCACTTCAATGTAGCGAACACACATTGCTGGTCCAGAAGTTCACAGAACACTGCCAGACGCCATCGAGGCATCATAATCGACCAGCCCAGAAGGACATGGGATTTTACTGCGGGCAGAGTCTTGGAGAGGTAACGCTAACTGAATCGGTGGAGAAGCTGGGGGTGGTTTGGGAGCTCTTACTCTCCCCGAGTGACAACGGCACAGAAGACTTCGCGAAAGGCGACACAATGGACCCTGACTGGGTTGATCTGACTAAAATCAAGCAATGGAAGTCTGATTGTCTAACCCTACATGGAAGCAGATGCAACAACCCCATGAAAATCTGGAAGACTACACCAGCGTGGCTTGTGGACGTCGAGCTGCAGTGCGTAGTTCCTGGAAAGGAACAAGTCAATTTTGTTGCGTTGAGCTATACATACGGAGACCGTCTCGGTCTCAAGATGGACGCTGAGCTTAGTGCGAGACTTCGAGAGACTCATGCATTCCAGAGCCCAGACATAGCGACGCGGATCCCCCCCACGCTTGCACATGCTATGTTTGTAACGAAGAACCTAGATGAACGATATCTGTGGGTGGACGCCTTGTGCATAGGTCACGACGATCCTACAGAAACTGCGCGTCAGCTTACAATGATGGGTTCGATCTACGCCAGTGCTATACTGACCATCATCGCTACTGATGGAGATGCTGGAGAAGGCATCTCCGGCTTGAACGGTATATCCGAATCCAGAGCATTGGAGCAGAAAGTCTTTCCATTTGGATCGCGCAAGATTATCGTTCGCAGCACCGGCATATTTTCTTTAGTCCACGGAGGTACCCCATACTTCTCACGAGGATGGACTTACCAAGAACATCGGCTAGCAAAGAGAAAGCTCTTCTTCCTAAAGAAGTCGGCACACTGGGAGTGTCAGCACCGGCAGTCTCATGAAGAACTCACATCACGTGCAGAAATAGAGTCGTACATCGAGCCACGGCTCGTGGAAAGCCTCGACGGATTTCCAGAACTAAGCTCGTTTGGAAACATCATTTGCGACTACAATGGGAAAGATTTACGTTACCCAGAAGATGCGCTACCAGGGATTACTGGAATGTTAGCTGTGCTTAGTCGTTCTTTCGAGGGCGGCTTCCTTTTCGGCGTTCCGGAAATGTTCTTTCATCGAGCGCTTGCATGGACCCCACACTGGTCGCATACGGAACTTGAGCGTCGAGAGCTATCTGATCGACCAAGACAAGATCAACTACCAGCGGGCCAATTGCCATCATGGTCATGGATTGGATGGAAGGGAATGGTGAAGCTTGGCGAAGAAGCGGCTAGGATAAATGATATATGTGCCACTATTGAGGAGACTTATCCCATGGTCGAGTGGTACACAGCTTCGTCGCCTACGACGAGCGCGTCTGAACGTCGGCGCATCCGTTCCACTTGGTATGAACACCGCGAAGAATGGAAAAGCGGAACCATAGATCTCCCCGGTTGGACAGCGGTAGAAATGGAGAGCGAGGAAGGTACGTACAAGGGAGAGCCACGCATCTTTCCAGCCGGGTGTGGAGACCGGGTGTATCGCCATCGAAACATGATGCACAACAAGAACCACGGTCCAACCAATGATTGGTACTTTCCGTTTCCAGTCCCAGAAATCTCAAGCGCAACAGTGGCTTCAATGCCCGAACAAACACCATACTTGTTCAGTCGAACACAGCGGAGTTTTGTTCTTGGGCAAAAGCCTAATGGAACCAGGGACGAAACAGATGACGACAGTAACAAACTCATCGCTCTCTGTGATTCTTCGAGTGGAAATTCAGTTGGTGCACTTCACCTGCATTCTAAAGAGCAGCTGAAACTGTTTCCTTTCGCAAAGATCACGCCTTCATCGGGCCACGACGCCCCTCATGATCGCTTCGATATGCACACAATCATGAAGGAAAAGCGAAACATAGATATAGTTGCAGACACTGCGGATAAAAGTCTGCCCAAGATAGAAATCGTCGCTGTCAGTATGACTCGCGTTGACAGCAAAACTTGGAATCAAGAAGCTGAACGCGCTGAAAAGCCGTTCCGCGTCAACGAGGTAGTCAACGTCCTTTGGATAGAATGGGAGAACGATATCGCCTATCGAAGGGCTGCTGGATATGTTGGAAAACAGAACTGGCAACAGCTTGAATGTGAGGACGTTGATCTAGTCCTCGGCTAAGGCGATATTCGCTGTTGTTTGTTTCTCAAAAATCTACTTCCTCTTGCTCTTGTTGACCTCGTGCGTCTTTCGTAAACCGTGATGTTTTCTCCGCAAGCAACTGAATCATGACGGCGAAGATGTACTATCGTCATGACTGCTGATCAGGCAACCGCTGTCAGCGTACGTGCTTACCTGGTCTTCTTACCCCACCAAGGCTGAGGCCACCCGCAGTCAACCTGCAACATCAGGCTGCCACTCATCTCCATATTCTGCACCGACTGAAGATCTCTTTTCGCATACAAGCAAACAGCACCTATCGGTCATCTAAATTAGCGAATCGATCCAGACCAGCGCTCAAAATGGCTGCGCAGTTAGAGCCAGAAATCGTTCTATACGACCTAGCATGCACCAAAGGTGTCTGTTTCTCGCCCGCGGTATGGCGCGTTCGTCTCATGCTCAACTACAAGCGCATTCCATACAAGACGATCTTTATTGAGTTTCCAGATATCGAACCGACACTTAAAGGACTGTGAGTCTGCTTGCTGTCGCCTCGTCTGCGTGGTTCTAAGGGAACGCTTTAAAGAGCCCTCTAACAACCTTACCTTAGCGGCATCCACCCCGCCAAGTCCTCTACAGGCTCTAAATACACAGTCCCGGCCATCTACCATATCCCGACGAACACCTACACCATGGACTCGACCCTCATCGCCCAATTCCTGGAAGCAACATATCCAGATCGACCAATTCCCTTGATCTCCGAGCTTGGCCACGAGATTGAATCCAAATCACGTACGGTGATAGGTCCCATATTCCGCGACTCAATCATGCCACGTGAAGTGAACATCCTGTCACCTCGATCGCAGGAGTACTTTCGACGAACGCGCGAAGCTGCTTTGGGATGCAAGCTTGAGGAGCTGCTGAGTAGCGAGAGGGAAGAATTGGCGTGGCGCAAGGTTGAAGACGATATACGCGCCGTTGAGCAGTTGCTCCTGACAAACGAGAAAGAAGGGCAGTTTGTATTGGGAGCGCGGCCGAGTGCGACAGACTTCTTCCTTGCTGGATCATTGCATGCGGCGAGGACGGTTGATGAAAGCGTGTTCGCCAGGATCATGAACTACCCAGGGTTCAAGAAGATCTACGAGGCGTGTGTGCCATATATGCAGGGGCATGAGGTACTGAATCTCACAGATTAGTCGCATATATCGCCGATGTTCGCTCAGTAGTAAGATGTTCATCACCAATTCCAAGTTATCTCATCGAAGGCCTCCAAGTTCTTCCATGAGTCCACACAGCGCGCGCACAAGAGGCGGCCCAGTCTCGCGGTCCACATCAGGGTGTGTTGTGTCAAGAAGCCTGACGCCGACCTTCATGACCTGTGAAGGGTACTTGAGATTACAGATCTCTGGCCGATCAGCTACTTCAGACTCCGATGCTACTGGTTGATGTGTGGAGATAATGCGAAGGCATGGTATACCGCTGTTCATAAGGATGAAGGAATGAATGGAAGTCTGGTTGTCCGATGTAGCATCATCGAGGTAAATGACTTTGCTCAGAAACGAACTGGGTTGTGCACGCATCGGCGTTGTGGTACCAGTCTTCTTCGCTCGGTCTCGCATCATCATACTGTAAGTCCAGAGAACCATGATGGCATGATACAGCATGAAAGAATCTGGACCACGGATCTGATATGGCGGAATATGTCGAGCGGCTCGTACTACTTGTCCAGCATGACAGATCGCGATCCTGGCTTCTTTAGTTTGGCTCCAGGGTGACAGGTGAGTGTACGCGCTATTGGCAGCGCTTTCGCCGCATTTGCCTGCAAATCGCGTAATCAGATCGAGATTGACATGCAGGTACATCTGCAAGAATTGGTGGAATAGACAGGTCACAGCCGGAGAGTTGCTAGGCAGAAGGTCTTCGCGTTGCAAGCAGTGGTATCTAGCGAGAAACATCAGCATTGTTAGCTATGCCAGGATTTGTACCCACAATTTCTCCTGACGCGATCGGGCCCAGAGTTGTGAAGAGGGGTCACTGCTCTCGTGCATCAGGGCGGACTGTTGTGCGTACTCCCAAATCTGAGCAGCAATGCCGTGAAGGTAAGAGGAACGAGCAACTTGCGCATCGATGTCCGCAGGAAGGCAGAGTATGGCGGCCTCGTCTTTGAGAAGCGTTTTGAGTGAGGGACGGCTGGCGACAATATCCACCTCGAGATAGCGTATTCGCCATATCTCTGCTGAAGGTGCTAGCCAAAGCGTCTTTGACGCAGGCAATATAAGCGTGAGTTCAGCGTACGTGATCAGTGGTGGGCGGTGCTTAGCCATGGTCATGTGGATATCGTGTTCGAATAGGTGATATACCAACCTGTCTGAATTAGATACCGAGTAGACGGGGTGTGATTCGTTTGTGGTACCTCTTGTATGATTCTTGCTCCACCCACCGCTTCCATTTTGTCTGTAGTTCCTCGTCGCTATCCTGGGCAGATGGTGTAATTGCGGGATAGCGGATGTGATCAAACCTGCCGGCACGACGCAGTGCCTACATAGTCAGTCTTTGTAACACAATCACTTCAGAGCGTCTCACCGTGACAAGAGACTGCAGACTACTCTCAGCAATTTCCATCTTTCTTCTATACCCACAGAATGCTCCGATGTCAAGCCATAGCATCGAAGCTTGGAGATATTCTAAATCGCGGATCACGCTGTTGTCGTTCTCAGACTGAGCGCATATCAGATTTTGCCCACTATAACATCAGATCTGGTTCTTTGATTTACTCACCAACCTGTTCAACGCGACCCTTACAATCTCTTGTAACGCCAAGCCTGTTCTGCTCACCGATAGTACGCCAAAACATACACACCCAGCCGCCACCAAGGCAGTGAGATATTCTGGACGGGCGGTTTCACTCTCGAAGGTATATGGATGGATCCATGCATCGGTCTCCGTTCTTTTCGCAATACCGACCTTGATCAGCTTGTCCACGCACTCTGCCGAAGGAAAGGACGGAATTGTGATCTGGCTTTGTGCAGTCTTGGAGACAAGTTGGAAGATGCGATCACGCGCTGCTGATGATAACTGATCTGGGATCACGACGTTGGATGCATACGGCATATGTGGTGATGAGGCAAGATCCACGTTGCGCTCATCTAGAGCGATATTTTCGTGCTCGCTGAAAGCGTGCTGGTTACGCTCGGGAATCCAGAACCTAACGCTAGTTAGCACCGATCGGTCTATCGGTAGGTGTGATCTACCAGGCAGACTGTTTGAAGACTGCATGACGCCTTCTTGCGGAGTCACTATCAATCTTCTCAAGAGAAGCATCTGTATTAGCCGGCGGCGTTGCTGGAGGCAGGGCAGTCACCTGCGACACCGGCGCTTCTAGCATTTGACTGACAGTCGGAGTGAAGTCGTTGCCAAAGATGTCGACTTGACCAAGCCAGTCGGTCTCAGGCATCCAAGCCGTCAGATCTGGAGGCGCTTGCATGTAGTCGACGCCCATGAAGTCCGGTGCTGGAACCATGATCTGCTCGAAGAAAGCCGGGATGGTATGCTGGGTATAGCTGGTGGTGTTGTAGAGATCGAGTAGAGCTTGTGCTTCAGTACTGGCCTCATTGAGGTACACGCCATTCAATTGTATGTCGTCCTCAAATCCGTTTGGGTTGCCTTGATCATTCGCAGTTGTTGCGAAAACTTGAGGTGGGTGTTCACTCGTAGTTGACTGCGTGAATGATGATGTATCGGAAAACTTTGTCACACATGATAGGCCCTTCTTTTGGCACCGCTTGCAGGGCCTGCCGTTGTCGCATTTGACTTTTGATAGTACGCACGAGTTGCAGGCTTTTGTGGCACGTTCTGCTACACGGTTTGGGCCAACAAGTCCATCTTTAGCATTCTTCGTATGCGTTGCTTGATGCCTCAGCAATAAGTCTCTCCGGTTGAACGCCGCAGGACACTCCTCGCACTGGAAAGATCGTTCATTGCGATCTGCGCAGGATCAGCAGAGTGCTGAGTAACGACCAACGGGGAACAGTACTCACGTGAGTCCAGATGCCGGTTCAAGTGGTCGGCACGTTCATATGTCCGGTGGCAGACTTGACACTGAAGCGCACCAATTGAGGCATCGGAAGTCCGCTGACGCTTGGAGGGTCGCGCATTCGTTGGTGTCACCGCCATATCGACAGACATTATGATCTAAAGGCTGAAGAACGGAAATGTGGGAGAGGAGCAGGTAGTTCAAAGCGCACCACGTTCTCGGGTTTCGGAAAGTGGGCGCACCTGCCCTTGCTCAGATGCGGGGTGCGTCTGGGGAGTCACGGCAGTCGAACCGTCGGCACATTAATCGCCAAGCCTCCAATTCCCTCGGCAGTAACCATGATTCACGACTCAAACCTAAGCTATTGAAGCTTTTGGCATACAACTGTAATCGCAGTAACTATATCGATTGAGAAGGCATGGATCGGGTATCTTTAACACATGCTGACTGGAGTGTCCGACCAAGTCTAAGCTACTGCAGCTCTCTGGAGACCGACTGTGATTGCTGAAATCGAACGCTTTTGTTCCCAATCGTGTACCCCCCGATATGTGCAGTTGTAGTCCATGAACTCATCAGGGCGCCTGTGCACGTTAGATCATGCAAATAAAATGCGCGGATTGATACTCACATTTTGATGACATTGCTACCCTTTTCCGTCGCAGGCTTTGCAGCCTCGCGACTGAATCGCTGTATCAAGCTCGCACGTTCATATCGACTCTTGAACACGTTTTCGAGGATGGAAGTGACTTCGTCTTTGGTAGGCCTTCCAGTGACGCTATCGAAGAGCGCCCCTAAAGCTTCAGCGTCCTCAATAGTCTGGCTTGCGCCTTGACCTTGGGTGGGCAGCATAGCATGCGCTGCATCACCGATGAGAATCGTACGCCCAGAATGCCACGTATCTAGCGGATCCAAGTCGCGCAGCTGCCAAAGGCCTATACTGTCAGCATTGCGAAGCATGTCCCTGGTCCAGCTGGGGAAGTCCTTGAACGTCTCCAACATCTTTGTTGGATCTCCTTTCGTCACCCATGACTGCGCTTTATCAGGGTCTTCATTCATTTGCTCGTCTGGTACCAGGCCGACAATGCTGTAGAGCTTTGCGTCGCGAGCGGGACCCATGATAAGTCGGCAGGAGTGTGCCATGATCATGGACGTGTAGGGCTGTTCTGGTTTGATTTTCGCAGAGAATTGCGGTGCACGTTCGTTAAGAACTGCAGTTGGTAGCATAAGCCGGTAGGCTGAGGACCCCGTGGGTTTGGGATGAATCTCTTTACCGAGAACAGAAGTACGCAGGGCACTATGAATGCCATCCGCGCCAATGACAAGATCTGCTTCCAGCGTTTCACCATTCTCAAGTATCACTTTGCCTTCTTCGCAGTCACAGCTGGACACTCGCGCCGAGGTACGTAGAACCGCCGGCTGGCCATCCCGTTCAGTACTTGTGGCTTTCTCCCTGAGATAGGCATGAAGATCCTCACGGTGCCACATGATACGGTCTGCCCCATACTGTGTCTTACTTCGTAGCGGTATCTCATTCACCATCTTGCCATCAACGCTATAGATCCTGAACCCGTGATCGATTGTACCATTAGAGTCCTCGAGTAGGGTTTCTAGCCCCCATGACTGCTGTAAGATCCTCGTGGCGTTTGGTTGGAGCGAGATTGTAGCGCCAATCTCTGTGCTGAGTCGGGATTGTTCCAGGATCGTGATCTGACGATCGTCCTTCCGTAAGGCTATGGCAGCTGCCAATCCTGCGATCCCACCGCCCACGATAATGATTCGGAATGGTACTGGTGATGACATCTCGAGCGTCTCCTATCTCGGAAGTGTGATAATAGAGATTGATAGAAGGTTGTGATATCAAGTTGAAGACGGATAAGGCATGCTGATGGCGAATACTGGGAAGGCGGGTAACTGATAATCGACAACTACTAGCTGCCCCAGCACGCGAAACCTTCTCGACTTGGTGCCTACCCTCCACTTTACGATTCCTCCGCTATTATCCCCGCATTCTAAATTCGGTTTCACACATGTCGCATATCACACCGTCGCTGTCGTCGTCGCCAGGGTTCGGAAATGTGGGCCTGGACAGGTTCGGCCCGTGTGGGCGACGTCGAAGGCTGGACGGCGCGCGCTGGTTAAACTTTGTTCGAAGGAATGTTGAATATGACCTCTGAAGCAACATCCACTCTTCACATATCAGATCTCATTCAACCTGTCAAGCAGCCTCGAAACCGACATATCCAACAATATGATCTCGACCACGACGAAGACGGCGCCCGTTACGCTGAAAGCTGTTGAAGATCAGCGCATGAGGGTGGACGGCTCTGATGCGACATTCGGCGACTGGAGGGATGACTTAGCCAGAGATGGCTATGCAGTTATTAAGGGTGCGATTCCGAAAGAGAGGGCGGACAAGTATGCAGATCAGATGTACAGCTGGTTGGAAGGATTGTAAGCATAGACACCAACTTAGTGTCGCAAACTACTTACATTGTCCAGCAACCTCGGCTTTGACCGTAACGACATGTCAACAGTTCACAAAGACAAGCTGCCTTTGATCACCGAGAAAGGCATGTGCCTGCAGTATGCTGTCACGCACGAAGACTTTGCTTGGTCCATTCGAGGAGAGCCTGGCGTTGTTGGTGCCTTTGAGAAGGTCTATGATAACAAGGATTTGATTGTGTCGTTCGATGCGATCAACTTTACATTGCCGTACGTTAGGTGCATGCATCTCTTGAACAAGCTGACAGTTATTCCAGTCGCTCTGATATTGCACCAAACAAGCCATGGCCTCATCAAGACCAGGACCCCGCAAAGCCTGGTTTCAGGTGCTTGCAAGGCTTGGTGAACCTACTTCCCAACGGGCCAGATGATGGCGGTCTGATCGTGTGTCCTGGCGGACATCTGCTGTCCGACGAATTCCACAGGGACATGGCCGATGAGGAACGCATCCCAGCGTGGACACCAGAATGGTACGGCTTCACCGAGAATGGCATGAAGTGGCTCGAGAACAAGGGTCTGAAGTGGTTGAAGGTGTGCGCAGACCCCGGCGATCTGCTCGTATGGGACTCTCGTACCCCTCATTACAACCTGAGCTCGAAGACGAACCAGCCCAGATTTGCGGTTTACACTTGCTACATGCCTGTTGAAGATGCGACCCAAGAGGATTTGCGAAGGAAGAAGGATGCGTATGAGCGCTGGGTGGGAACAACCCACTGGCCCAACGCTAGGCACACAGGCTCGAATGTCGCGAAAAGAGAGGGAGTAGATGACCCACACAACCGCTTTGAGCCGGTCAACAAGCCGGTCATGGATGAAAGGACATTCAAGCTGACGGGTATTCCGTACATCAAGGCCGATGCCTAAGGATAGCGAGATTGGTGGGTAGATGACGTCGAAGTTCTTCGAAGTTGATTGAGTGGTGAAAGAGCAGGCTCACGCGTCATTGACGCGTCACGCTAGTCTAGATTGGGACATTTCTCTCGTTGGCGAAAATGAAAAACAATGACATCAATAAACTAGTCTCCTTGACATTCATGCATCAACACCACAACGGATGTGACGGCCGGCCCACCACCAGATGGGCGCATTCAATTACCCCAGATTAGATGCTAACCAACTCCCTTAGTGTGTTGGCATCCAAGGAACTCCACTTTGATGCTCATAGACTGACCCGCCGACGCGTCTGAGCGTTACGCTTGTTAAGATCCGTCAGCAACGATAGCAGACGCCGACATCGCCATATGTACATGGCCACATCCTCCATCAAGAGCCATCATACAAGCAGGCTCGACAGGCTACCAACGGGAGGACCACCGCAAAGGATCGCAACTTGTCAAAGCCAATTCCACTTCGCAAGCATAACTGTATTATCGACTTTTCTGGATAAGAAGCGTCACGTCGAGTTAATCGCAGCAAAAGTCTTCACACGGCTGAGATTACAACGATCTGACTACAAGCGATATTGACGTTCAGGACCTGTAAAGACTAAACTACGACAACACCTCCCCAGCCATGCGAAAGCATCAATACCACAGCCCTAGTGCAACGCAGATTTACCACGGACACCTTTGACTGACGTCCACGCGAATAATCGACCATAATTCCGCGAATACGGAGTAGATTGTCTTCTCAACGCGACATCGAAGGATGGCCTGATGCCTTCTTCATCGCCCACTTGCCGGTATATGCCCTGATCTTCTTACCATACAGGAAGACCGGGATACCCAGCAGGCCGAAAATTGCAGTTAATCCAGCGTATGTTCCGAAGGCTCCGTCGTACCCATCAGTCTCGATGAACTTGGCGACACCATAACTGGTACCGAAAGAGACGAAACCTCGTAGAGCTGTGATAACAACAAGAATGGGCCCCGCACGTGCCGGGTACGAGTCAAGGAGGTACGTGATCGCGGCGATATTTGCGCCCACGAATGCGAAGTAGTACGCTGCGTTAGCGAAGACGTAGACGAACCAGTGGTAGTCTCCTGGGTGTTCCGCTGCCACACCATACAAAGTGGCAGCAAGGCACCCACACAGTAAAGGGATCCAAAGTAATAGTAGGCGATTTTCGGGCTCGTGTACACCACCATTGCGCCTTGCTCGCCACTTGATTATAGCATCGCTGCCATTACCGAGCAGTGGCAATGCCACGAAGGCGACAACAATCTGACCAGCATTGACATACGAAACGGCATTGTCAGACCAGTTATATGGTGGCGCGTGTACGATGGTGCCGTAAGTCGTTCCAATGGCAATGTTGACCCCAATAGTAAGACCATTCAAGCAGAAGGCCCAGAGCACGTTGGGGAACAACATGACTTGAAAAGTGTTGATGAAGCCATAAATACCTTCCATCCATTCCGGCTCATTGACGAAGAGGCGCATGTCCGACCATGTAGTACGAGGAAGGAATTTGGTGAAGTCCAGCGGGGGCCTTTCGGATAGTTTAGCTGGCAGTGGTGCGGTCGCTCTAGATTCCTCTAGCTCGCCTCCTTCTTCTGCGGAAAACTGACCGTAAGCAGTCATAGGTCGATCGTATTTGCTCTCGGGAACCCAGAAAATCGAGGCGATGAACGTGGCTCCGCAAAGTCCAGAACCAAGGTAATACCAGTTAGATGGACCAACAGCTCCAGCAATTGGCGATGCGCAGATGATGTACACAGCCGACAATACTGTTTGTACAGCAGACTGCCACATCAAGAAGGTACTGCGCTCGTGAACAAAGTGGATTTCCTGCATCTTCGTTAGGCACCTGTCCTCGTGTTCTCAATCAGATGTTCTTACCTGAATCATCATTGGAACCAATGCCTCGCTCTGACCGGCAGCGAACCCGAGCAGCATTCTGGCTCCGAGGTGTTCGTTGTAGCTTCTAGCATTTGCAGCCCAAACAGAGGCTGCGATGAGGAGCAGTAGCGAAAAAAGGTAGACAGGGCGTCTTCCGATTGCAAGAGCCAACGGCATGCAAATGAGGTTTCCCACGCCCATGAACATTGATGGATACGTCATGAGCGCCGTGATGTCCGCTACAGATCTGGTCAATACTGTTCAGTCACGAAATCTGGAGATCACTGACCATAAGTAGCCCCAGCCGCGGCATAGATAGGAATATACCAAGTTAAAAGCCCACCGAAACCCGAAACCAGTGCAAGAGCCAGACTGGAGAAGATGGACACCAGCACGATGAAGAGAATTTTGCGAAATTTGGACAGGTTTAATGGATCTGACAAGAGCGGTTAGTACGAATGCCACTCGGAAGATTGAGTGTCGCGGAGGACAAACCTCGAGGATCAGCACTGGGGGCTGGAATCAAGAAAATCTCGTCGAGATTGGTCATGGTCACCGTTCCCATCGCCGCCGGCTCCACGATCGGCTTCACAAAGCCTGTCTCGCCATCTGAAACGACTTCATACCTTTCGACTTTGGTCTCCATGGCCTTGGGGTCTTTGATGTCGTCGAGCATCTTTGGGAAGGCAAACGAAGTACTTGCGATGTAACAAGGTGAGAAAAACAAGGTTGTTGATGAAGATGTAAACCCGCTCGTCCAAACCGGAAGAGCACAAAGGGATAACGACGTGGAGATGCAGACAGATGATCCGCGCACACAGCTGGTTATATGTTGATATGAACTTCGGCTCCTCTTCTTGGAGGTTTCCCTGCTTGGTACGTGGCACTCCTTCTTGTCGTCTAGCTCGCCTTCAGACTCGCACCACGGCCGATGAAATCGTCGGCGTTTCCAAGCCTTGGTGTGGAAATCAATACCGGCTTTACATCCCCGCTCAGCTGAACTCCACTTCACGAGGGTTACGCGGCACAGCTCCTGTGCAAAGGCTCATCTGGGGTTGCTTAGATGACCTGTGGGGAAATCCGGGGTAGCGCGTGTGTCGGAGAGTGGGCTAGCTCGCGGAAGGAGGGCCATCTCCAACCAATCAGTACGATGCAATTCCCAACCACCCTTGGTTGGCTTCAGCTTCTGCAACCGCACCTGCCGACTTCTTTGACAAGGACGTGCACTCGCTTTCACAGTCTTTGCGATGTCGCAAGAGGATACTCTATCCTGACAGCCATGCTTGGTAGCTCGACTGCTACGTCAATGCACAAGCCGGATCGCCAGCATCACACTGTCATCTATGTTTTCGTTCCTGAAGGCAGCTTTTACATGCTTAGATCACGTTATGGTATACACTCACAGATGCGACGTAGATTGGAATAGCTCGTTGTATGCTGACCTCATCAAAAGCTATCTGTAGCTACAAAGGGACAAAAGGCAGTATAACCCTGCTTGGCGTCTCTGATCCGACATGTATTCTATGTTCTCCTTTGTTCTTCTCATGATCTGGTCGCGGTTGCGAGAAAGCCGTGTACTCCGCGATACTGGGAAAAGTTCCAGAAACTTGAACGCTCAAAGACTCGCCTTCGTCAAAATCCACACCCATCGACCAAATGCCTATCTCCAGCTTAACGACCTCTCCGGGAGTCATCTTCTCCTCTCTATCGTGCGGGTGGAATGGAAACTGTTCATGGATGCTTCGCGCTGGGTCGAATGCACGATGGCTGGCACGCAACACCCCTACACTACCCAGGTGCAAGTTCAAGCTTGCTCGCTCCTTCTCGGGGATATCCTCGATGCTCTTGTAAGTTGAAGGTATCGCTGAGAAAGGGAAGCAGAGATGCATAAGTAGCTTTCCGTCCTTGTCTCGCTTGCGAAGGATGACGAACACATTCATGTCGTCATGAGAAGGTGCTGACATGTACAGAACAGCCTTCGGCAGACCAATCAACCGCGACTTTTGTGTGAACTTATACGTAAATTCAGCGATTGATTTCGAGTCTTCCGAGTTGTAGCTGACGATCTCTGTCTTGGAAGGAGTCTGCTCAGCCAGACCAGCGCCGGATAGGTAGAACTCCTTGTATTGCGTCTCCGGTATAGGGAAGTCCGAGAATTCGATGCCATCAATGGCTTCTCGGTCACCAAACTGGAGCGCTGACCATCGCACTCTCGCCATCTTCTCCCAGTCGTTGTCAACACCCCGGAGATACTTGTCAAAGTATTTATGCAGTTCCTTGTCAGCATGAGGGTCGCAGTATAATTCGAACCATTCCTGGTGTGAGCTCCATCGGATCCACTTCTTGTTATGAGGCACCTCGAGCCATCCTCTTACAGCCCCCATGGTATGTATACTAGAGAAGTCACTTCCGCTGATGAATACGGGTACTTCGATCTTCGTCATATCAGGCCGCTTATCGCTCCAATACGCGTTCGAGACGGGTGATCGTCGGTACATCTCAGCAAAGTCCTCGATGCCACCGCCAGGGTTGTTTGTTTTGATGATGAAGTGGGTGATGAGGTCGAAGTTCGACATTGTGAAGACGCCACCTCGGCAGAATTGTTCGCGGTAGATGTCGCCGGATCCCTCCCAAGGTGCGATAGCGGCGAGATGGGGCGGACGCAGAGATGCAACGTGCCACTGGATAATGGCCAAAGCACTGTTGCCCGCCATTCCTACTTTTCCGTTGCTCCATGGCATCGCCGCGATGGATTCGATGACGTCGTAGCAATCTTCTGCATCTTGAGATCCCATGATCTGCCATGGTTAGCTAAGTCTGGCTACGGGAAAACAAGGGGACAAAAGTACTGGTATGGATCCATCGCTGTTGCCCGTACCGCGAGAGTCAACCGATATAATCGCGTAGCCACGCGGACACCACACAACTGGGTCAAGTCCCTCAAACTTCTCCAATCCACTGAGCGCTTCATTTGGCACACAGCAATTCCAAATGCAGATTGGTAGCATGTGAAGAGCAGAGTATTTCTTCCCGTAACACGACCAGCTTACTACCGCCGGTAGCTTTTCGTCTTTTGGAACATCGGCAGGCCTGTAGATGTCGACGTAGAGACGGCAGCCATCTCTGACTACTATCTCGACATCGTGATCGATCTGAATGTCTGATTCAAGAGGGCGGGCATTATGCGGCTTTTCGCCTTTGCGGATGACTTCCGTCCTGCCGGGTGTGAAGCCTTGATAATTGTTCACGCCCACCTCTGGCTTAGAGACGGGCTTGTAGGCTACTTGCATGGGGACTGGCATCTTGAAAGTTGAGGATAATGAGAGGTATGAGTGAGGAAGAGGGAGGAAACTGAGTATCTTCGGAGAAAGATCGTGACAGCTACTTGAACAACAAACAAATGCACCCCTCAACGCGACGCGTCGAGCGCACTTTGCAACGTAGCGGCGTCCACCTCGGCAAGTGTCCGAAACGTCAACTGTTCCCGTCCCCCACATGTGCCGAGACCCACAAACCCTGGATCGTGAACAACGCGGGGTATGGCGCCCACATTTACCGATGCTGGTCGGCAACGCTGCACCGGCATATCCAAACAACGACTACTATTCCGGAGACAACATCATACAAACTCTGCTTCGCGTTCTGGCATATAACACCAGTCGAGTGCAACCCAAAGTGTCTCTACCACATCTTCATTTCCATCCAGATTTGCAAGTCAAAGATCCAGAGGCTACCATAACCACCACCCTTGGCATACAACGCAGTTCCCCCCCTCCCAATAAGATGGCACCTCACGCCGAAGAGCCAAAGCCGGATAGCGGCGTTGATCTGATCTCGCACGATGGCACAGTATATGGCGACTGGCGCGACGAATTCCACAAGAATGGCACAGCCATCATCAAGGGCGCCATCACACCCGAGCGCGCAGAATACTACAAGCAAAAGCAAATCGAGTGGCTTCAGTCATTTGGTCGTGGTTTCGATCCTAACGACGAGTCAACATGGACACAAGAGCATCTTCCCGTGAGCTTCAAGGGTGGCATGTACTTTGCCTACTCTAGCACGCACGAGAAGTTCGTTTGGTAAGTTGCATGTCTAGTGCGGTATCGTTTCTATACTGATGCAAGTATAGGGAAGCTCGCACCGAGCCTAAAGTCATCGAGACCTTTGCCAAGCTCTGGGGCACCGAGGAGCTCCTCTGCTCATTCGACGGCATGAACATCACACTGCCGCGCCAGAAAGACCTCAAATGGAGCCCGTGGCCACACTGCGATCAATCGCCGCACCGCAAGGGCATGCAGTGTGTACAGGGTCTACTAAACTACCAACCAAACGGCTCGGAAGACGGAGGTCTGATATTGATGAAGGGCAGCAGCAAGCTGTTCGATGATTTCTTCCGCGAACAAAGGGAACAGGACGCCCACGAGGATAAGCCTCCAGAGGAGGAGGACTTTAAGGATCTCTTCATCTTCAAGGAGGAGGATGTGAAGTGGTTCAAGGATCGTGGGTGCACGCTGGAGAAGGTGAACCTTGATCCGGGTGACTTGGTGCTCTGGTAAGTTTTCTCAGTATTGTCTCTTTCTCTCATGACCATTTGGGTTAACGTCGTGCAGGGACTCTCGCACCATGCACTACGCCTGCTTCCCGCAAGGTGAACGAATCCGTCATGTCCAGTATGTCTGCATGACGCCAGCTAAGTTTGCGAAGAAGGAGGATCGCGAGCTCAAGGCTGAGCTGTTCAAGACGTGGCAGGGTACGACACATTGGCCGCACTGCAACATTCGCAAGCAGGGCCCGCCAGAGAGGAACGGTAAGCCAGATCCACAGAACAGGACGGAGCCGTTGGAGAAGCCGGTCATCACGGACAGGATCTTACAGTTGGCTGCTGTGAAGGCTTATTGAGAATCGTAGCGGACCATGTATATTGCGGCAATACGCACTTTCTTAGCATCAATGATAGCGTGACCGTCGGTGCTTGCTCCTTTGATTTTTTCTGACCTCATGCATGCGTCTGGGCAGCAACGCTCTTTCATCTTCTCGCATTCTTGCGTTCCCTAGTCTAAATAGGCTAACTAGGCTGGCAGTCGTTGTTCAATCTATGGTATGATCTTCGCCTTCCTCATCCTATCAAACACAACCCCCCACGACTCCTTCGTCCCCCTCTCCTCCGTGAACCCCGTTCCGTACGTCTTGCTCATATCAAAGTGTCTGTCAAAGTCAAACTTAGTCATGAGCATTTGTTCGGCAATTTGCATGCCACGACCACCATCTACATGTCCATTTTGCAAGCCATACTTCCTCTCCATCGCCAGCCAGGTCTCCATGTTGTCTTTGATAAACTTGCGTATGTTGATGGGAGTGGGTGCAGGTCCACTGGCCTTGAGGCCGAAGTATGAGCATAGTATAGGCCACTTTTCCTCCCAGTTAGAGGGTGTTTTTGAGTCAGCGATATTGAATGCTTCTCCCTTCCTAGGCTTGGCGGAAAGGGTGAGATGGATAGTCTGGCGAGCGATCATATCACTGCTGCTATCGTTACTCAGCGCCTTCCAGACTCCTTCTGTGCCAGGAAATGGGCATTCCGCTCCGTCACCATACAGTTCTTTCCACAGCGCTAGGTAGAGACCAACTGTCGTACCAAGCGAGTATGCGTTCTGGTTCGGAACATAGCCGACTATGATATCTGGACGAGTCTCAATCCAGCTCCACTTCTTGTCCTTGGCGTACTCGGCGATCCAGTCGTTTTGTGCATGATAGAAGAGCATCTCGGCGTACGGGCTGGGTATACGGGGGAAGGTTTCTTTGAGTGGAGGTAGAGGGAGTTTAGGCCCGGTCGTGCCTGGGGGAGCGGTCTCGTCGTACCATGGGAGCGCAGCGAGGAGGTGGACGCCATCTGGTGTATGTTAGTCCCACAATGTCCGGTATCTCGAAAGAGCGGGTGAGGCCTTACAAACTTTGGTGCCAATCTGCAACACAACATATTCCAGAGCCGGACATAGTTTATCCATGGCTTTCACTGCCTTGGAAAACATGTCCACTGCCTCTTCCATTTCCTTTTGTACATCTAGGCCCGCTTTGTATGCAAGGTAGTATACGTGTGTCACCTCGTCAATTTGTGGTAGCTTCTCTGCCAGCTCCTTCTCAAGACTTTCTTGACTATTGGAGAGTAGGTCGAGGCCGGAGACCAAGTTGAGGCGCGAGTCCTCTGGCCATTGTGTTTGCAATGGAGAAAGCGGGCGGTTCGTCAGCGCATGGACGCGCTTCCAGGTGTCCTTCTTTGGGTAATCGGAGAGGATTTCGTTGACGAAAGACCAGCCTATTGAACCATTATCAGCATATGGCCCTATCACGACATCCAATGGCTTTACTGACCTGTCACGCCAGAAGCGCCAAACACAATAGCCGACTTTGACATTGTTGTAGGAGAAAAGCGACCTTGAAGGAGGGACAAAGAGACAAGGTTTCCATGCGTCGTCGTTCAGCCACAGAGACCACATCTTGTCTCCTTGCATGGCGTACCAGTATGGAAGGTGGGGTTGCCGTTGCGATGGTGGAGCCATGGAGTCTAGACAGTCGTATCCCTTGTACGGGACATCGTCCGGTCTACTCGCCGTGTGCTGAAGGTTCAGCTACTCGTGTTTAGTCGTAGCGTTGGTGCTGCATATCAATTCTTCGCCGACCACTCCCGGCTGTAAAGCTCACACGCGTTCATCTTGAAGTCCCGCGTCGCACTGCGAAGAACACCCTAGGGAGACCGATTCTTCTGACGGGCCGTCAGCTAGCAATCTGTCGTAGTGTTGCCGCAGAAAGCGCCCGAAAAATTAGCCGTGGCCCGGAGACATCCTAACCTCTTTCGGACGCGTCAATTCCTCATCGCTGGAGAAGCACGAAACAGGAAGACTATCGGGTATTTGCAGTGTCTACTCGGCGCGTCAATGGCCGGGCGTTGGAGGTGGAGGAGAAGAAGGGAAAAGCAAAGGATGGTGGTGAGATGATTGCGCGAGGACCATGACGTCGGCGACGCGATGAGGTCAAGCTTTACGCGTCTGGCGCAGCCTCCAGCATCCATCTCTGATCTCGATCCCCACAACACCATGATGATGCTCGAATGCCGAATCATCGTAAAGCCACTTTATTGATTGAGCTATGGGCTATTTGATACTCAGTGGAACTCGTTCTTATCCGCGTACACGTCATTCTCGAGGAAGACCTCCACCTTGTCCGTCATCTTAGGCGTCAGATCTTCGCAATAGAAGATGCAAAGCAAGCCCACGATGCCGAAACTCAGACTGCTGAGTGCCACAACCTTCAATGCGTGCGCGTAGCTCCATTGAAATGCCAAAGAAGCAGCGCCCAAAGCCTCGGCGGTCGTACCTGGCACTTCCGCGATAGCGGCCGCACCGAGAGGAAGAGCTGCAAGTAAAGCTTGCGCATTCTCCAACGACATGCCTGCCCTTACAGCTGCAGCGGGAACCGTAGCAGCAGCCCGCGTGGTTTGAGTGTTGGTGAGGATTGTGGTGTAAATGGCTTGAGCAAGCGATCCTCCTGCATAACGAGCCATGCCCGCCAGGCCACCGGAGAAGCCGAGGTCTTGCTGCGGCACACCAAGTTGTGTAAACGCAATCGACTCATACTGCGCCCACCCGAAGAACGAAGCATTGATGCAGCAAAATGCGATCATCAAGCTTTGATTAAATGGAGTCACAAGACCCATCAGGGCGCCAAAGAGTACCATCCCAGTCCAAGTGCTGATCAAAGTCCACTTCCAGTGTCCTATCACGTTGCCAAAAGCCATCAGACACAACGATCCGAATACGAGGCCGACGTTTGGTGGTAGTGTGAGTAGCAGCTCGGTACTCCGAGACACATTCGGGCCTAGGTAAAAGATATTCACCATGGTCGGCCAGATGATGTTGACGGAGTAATAGAACATCGTTACGATGAATGCTACGATGAATGGCGCCGTGAATTCTCTTCCCTTGTGGCTCCGGAACAGATGCGGTGGACAGAGCTTGAACCTGGTGTTCGACAGCGTCTCCCAAACTCCGAAAGCGGCGATCAGGACCAGCCCAACTACCATAGGAGCTATGACGGTGACGTCTGAACTTGGCTTGTATGTGGTGTTAACGATGCCGACAAGCGTGAGGCAGATGCCTGAAACGATGAGCGCAGTGCCCACATAGTCAAGTCCCCGGACTGCTTCGCCCCACGGAACTCCTTTGGGATGCTTCGGCGGTTTGTAGAACAAGAATAGGGATGCAAAGGACATGAACTGAGCAATAAGACCAGCCCAGTAAACCCATTGCCACGCATCGACATCGATAGCGTACTGTGGATTGATGATCAGTCATTATGCGATGTCTTTTCAAGGTTGTCACTTACCCTCCCAACAATGGGGCCGATTATAACGATGAGGAAGACGAAACCATCCGAAAGACAGATGCCGATGTGTCGAAACTTGTTTGGCAAGAGTTCTACATCTGTCAGACTGACTGGCACGCGCATGTTAGCCCAGGTCACTCACCAGGGATACTGCACATAGCCATCTGCGCAAAGCCGCCCCCAAACCCGGTTATCGCCAATCCCGCTGTGAAGTGATCTGCTCCCTTCGCCGTCGCGGTAACGATAAACCCAACGCAACAACATGCATTGCCAAACAACAAGAACCACCTCCTCCCAAAAAGATCAGAGTTTGCTCCGGCTATCAGGAAACCAATGGCGTTTGCTGTCGTGTACGCGGGTATATACCATGCGCTCGACGTGGGATCACCGAACTGGACAGCGAGCCGAGACATCATGGCAGAGGTTGTAGGTACCGGCCAGAAAGAAAGACCAAATGTTGAAGACAAGACGAAGATGACGAACCATGTCTTCGGCGTTATAGTGGTGGCATCTGGAGAAACGAGCGTCTGCGGTGGTGTTGTTGTAACGGCTTCGATCTGCTCGACATCTGTTTTCTCTTTTGACGAACGGCGAACATCGCCTTCGTGGATGGCTGTTATCGCCATGCTGATGTGGTGTCGGGATACACACTTGAGGCAGGTACGAAACTGTATGATTGAGTAGAAAGATCGTCGCAAAGAGACCACTCACGGCTTGCATATATTCTTCATTAGGTTGTACATGTTTGCAAGTCAGCCGTGCTAAGTCACTACAGCCCCGATATCCAGGCTTCGGCGTCCCCGCATCTCGGATACACAGAAGCACAGATAATCATTGTAGCCAAATTCTGCTATTGGTTGGAGCGCGCCATTGTTACCAGTAGATCGATGTACATGCTCATAATCCGGGGTAGTGGATGTGGAAGTGGGTATCCGGGGTTAGGTGCGGAGAAGATGAGCGCTGGGTCATAGCGCTTGACCAGAAATGGGGACGAACGATCAAGGGGCGAGGACCGTCTTCGCCTGGAACAACGTTTCCGATCGAACTTTGCCATGTTGCTGAGGGCTTATTTCCTATACCCATAATGTTATCTTTCGCTAGCAAAGATAAGGACCAGTACACGTGCCAGAACATGGCGCATCGTGTAGTCTATGCTAATGAAGGAGAGACATCGAATCACTACAGAGCTGAAGAGGAGCTGAAACAGGCTGGAGACATTGACACCCAAATCGCTACCAGTGAGTTCTCGGTCTACGCAACACGCACGTTTATCGCCAGAACAACAGCAACATTGATAGAGCCCTAATACAACAAGTTACTGGAAAGTAATCTTCTAGCCGTAGAGAAAGGGCTTGGAAGAGTCATATGCTTAGCACTATTCCGTACCTCCCACTACCAAGACCCAGCAGTCCCGGCTCCAAAGCTACGCCAGTGAGGCTTCCAGATCTACGTAGCCCCTTCACGCGTAATCCCATCCGTAGCATCGCAGTCAGGAATCGCTTTTCCAAAGCAGATCATATCGTATCTAGCTCCGTCGTCATTATCAGTAACCCATTCACACTAACCAACCAAATCGAGAGGAAGTGAGTCTTACCCGGCCATGACCTGAATCCCCTTCTCCAAATTCATGAACTTCTCCGCATCCGGCATGAGCGCAGCTCGGTACTCGTCGCTCCCCGCAAACGCCTCCCAATCTTCCCATTTCCTAACCCAGATCTGACTGCACGCGTCGTATTCTAGTACGTCCATGCCCAGTTCCTTCAATTTTCCTTTCAAGCCGGGTGATTGGTAGAGTTGGACGTAGCGGGCTATCTTGACGGCATGAAACTTCTTGCAGGCGACGGTGAGATCTGAGTGAATGTGGTTGTAGTGCTTTTGGAAGAAGGCGTCGGTTACGGTGGGAGATTTACGGAAGAAGAAGGAGAGCTTTATGCACGCTAGGGAAGGGATCAGAGGATGATGGGTCGAGGATTGTAGGATTAGACGGTTGACTGACGCTGGTAGTTCTCTTGTTCGTCCCACGCGAACTGTGAATATGAGAAATCGTGCTGTTGAGGTATTGGTAATGTATCTTGGATGGGGATGGCATACGACGTACATCCATGGTTTTGAAGGCCATCTTGCCGCACTTTTGAGAACTATGTCACAAAGCTGAATGTCTCGTTGTTGGTGGTGTAAGCAACTTGATATACTTGGTTATCTTATAGATATAGCCACTAGAAGTAACCATGCATAACCGACTAGAGGCAAACGCGGAGGTAAGGTTCGACATGCGGGGTTATTGGAGATTCAGTGTACATAGTGTTACTCTGGACAAGACTTGCCTATCGCCATGTCTCGCGACTGATTGTTGGAAGATCGCTGGTATTTGCGTCCTAGCACGCAAAACTGCGGCGACACAACACGCCATCGCGGTTGGCGGATCACTACCTCCAAAACTATGGTCCATTTGACAACAAGACTGTGTTTTGAAAGCTTCCATCATATCAATTGAGCGAGAAGTCTAAAATACAACAACCTGTCTCTTCTCCGCTTTACCAGCCTCCATATCCGCAACCATCTGCGGCAAGTCATCGATCTTGCGGAACTCGACTTCTGGCTGTATACTATGCTTTCCGGTAAATTCGACCGCCTTCTTCATCCGCTGAGGAATACCCGTGCTTTCGGCCTTGATGCGGTACCGTCCCGTTGTCAGATCGAATGTGTTTATGAAGTCAAGTCCCTTAGGCGCGATACCGATCACCATGAGTAGTCCACCTGTTCTCAAAACATCTGGCGCGCCTGTGTATGCTGCGTTTGACGCGCTATAGACAGCCGCAGCATGACACCCCTTACCACCTGTGAGCTTCTTGATGTCTTGGAGATAATCTTTGTTCTTCATGGAGTTAAAGACAGCGTCCGCGCCAACCTTCTTCGCCACATCGAGTTGATTGTCATTGATGTCGAGACCAATGGTCTTTATACCCATCTAGACCTTGTCAGCTTACGATTGGTGGTACATGCTTGTGTGCAAACTCACAGCTTTGGCGTATTGTATAGCATATTGGCCCAAGCCACCGCATCCGATTACCGCTAACCAATCTCCTGCTTTCAACTCGCAGCTGTCTACCGAATGGAACGCTGTAATACCGGCACAGAAAAGTGGCGCAGTCTTACTCATATCCAGATTTTCAGGCAACTTGATAGCGTTCTGCCAATCTACGACCGCGTACTCGGCAAAGTATCCATCTGCTACGAAACCCTGCAATTTCTGGTTACCTGTCTCGCATCGCACATTGTGAACCATGCATCCTTCGCATTCAAAGCAAGCACCGATGAAGTAGTTGAAGCCAATTGCGTCGCCGACTTGAAAGCCTTTGTCGCTTGCCTCTTTGCCGATGGACTCAATATAGCCGACTCCTTCGTGGCCCAACGTGACCGCGTAGTCTGGCCTCATAGCATGGAGGAGGTCAGAGTGACATAGCGATGCGGATTGTATCTTGACCAGAAACTGATTTGGGGCTTCCGCTGGTTTCGGCACATCGTTCACGACGACCTTCTTTTCCTTACTGACGTTCGCGTGAGTTCTATGTAACAGCAGAAATGTCTTGTGCACTTACGGATCCCACTGACCGGCTTTCATTCTTACAAAATGTTTTCGGTATGCCTTGAAGAATTTTGGTATAGCTTGAGGACTATGATGGTTTTGGTTAATGTTATATATACCGACTATACACTCCTGATTCACTTGATGCAAAGGGGTGACAGGCGCAACAGGAGTGGAAAGACTGGAGGGGCTGTGCTACGAGTCATCCCGATGCTCCGAGAACATGGTTGCTGACTTGTTCAACGAAGCCATATGGACGGAAAAAGGTGGCCGAGATAGTGTCCTGGCTAAGACTTGGGGTTAGGATTGAAGCTTGGAAGAGGTGCTAGGTGCGGGGATGACAAGGCGGGGTAGATCTCTCTAAGCGTGGATTCTGGCTAAGCTCCCGCCATGCCGAATCTGGATCGCGGTAAACTGTAGTACTATAGAGACACGCTGCACAAGACTTCATTGGCATAAAGAGAGTGTTGTATTGCATTTGCTGAAGGTTTGCTGAGATATGGCTGACGTAACGTCACGCCAAGACACCTATTCAATCAAGCGGAGGGCACGAAGAACCAAAACCTTTGGTAAGGTCTCGGGTTCTCGATATCGCTTTGGTCCGCCGCATATACTCTCATATAGTTCTTCACCGAGACCTTGCTGACTCCATACATCTGCATGGCAAACTTTTCGACACTGTCTGGGAAGATCCAGAAGTGACTCAATTCTGTGTAGCCATCGAGGCTCGTCGCGCGCTCGCCAATTAGGCAATTGTATTCTTCGCCGTTTTTCTTCTTCCCAAAAGATACTACTTCGGTGCCGATCAATTCGCCGAAGTCGAAGGCCGGGAAAGTAAAGAGATGCTGTTCGTCCGAGCCTTTCGAGGGTAGAATCACATCGGTCCAGTAATCGTCGGTGTTAGGGATGGGTTTAGATTGAGCATGGAAGAGCTTTGTCTGGATTGAATTCTGTAGAAGGAGAAGCAGTTAGCTTGAAGTGCCAAAAAGGATTAAAGCAGTATGAGAGGATGAACTTACGAGTACCTCAAGTCGAAAGACGTCCGGTTCCATGTGATCGGATTTTTGCTTGGCTTCCTCGGGATGTTCGGAGATACGGATCACCCTGTTTCGTATACTTTCGAAGATATTGATGGCCTGGTTTGATAATTGGGTCTTTCGTTCGGGACCGTCCTTGAACTTGCTAGTCGGCACTATGGAAGTCTCCTTAGCCAAGGTAGCCAATGTCTACAAGTGAACTTACCAGCCTTGATCATGGTTTCGATAGCCTTGTATAGCGTGAAGTCGTTGAAAAGCGCCCAGGACTTTTCGAGGTCGTTAGCATGGATAGTGTCGAATCAGTAGGTTGTAGCTCACCCTCAAACTAGCGATCTGGTAATCGAACGGAGTAAAATAGTTCTCAAAGTTGGAGAGGTTCCTGTACTTTGCCAGCACCGCACTGCGCCAAGCCATGTCAGCCTCGAATCTCTCAGCTGATATCCAGAATAAGAGACAACGTACAATAACACATAAGAATGCTTTCCTGTATCCGCATCCTTATAGAACTGGTCTGCTTTTTCCTTCACAGCCAGAAGGTCAGAGCTCTCTTCAGCCTTGACGGCGTAGCCTCCTCCACTGGTACCGCTCTTGCTGGTTCCCGTGGACTCGATGATGGTGATCTTGACCGAAGCGTTTCGTTTGATGGAGCTGACGGCTGATTCGACTTCTTGCGTAATTTTTCCAGAAACGCCGTACATAGTCATAGCCACTTCAGCGCTATTAGTCAATGAGTTAGCGGGATGCTGATAATGCCGAAGGAACTGGAGAACGGTGGTACTCAGGTGACGGTGGAGGCTTACGATTGCTTGAGCTCGCTGGTCTCAGACGAGTTTTTCGCCGTGATAGAGACACGGGCATAGAAATGACCGCCCTTTATGAAATCGGAGATAAAACGGTCGCCGTATGTCGCGTGCTTGTTCTCCGTCTGGATCTTGTTGAAGGAGTGCTTATCGACCACGCTGACTTGGTGCTGAACCAAGACCTTGACCTCATATGTCAAAGTGCTGGTCTCAAACTATATGCCACTCAGCCTATGATCGTTGGAGCAATGAGTATTTGTACATACCTCGCTACGATTGAGGATGTCGACATTGACATTGCCCTCTTGACCCCATCCGGAGACAGCGGCGCCAGCACTGATTCTCATGCTCTTTGCTATCTTCCTGAGACAATTATGTAAGCAAGTGACGCTACTTGGGCAAGGTGATATACTTACTCGTATTCTTCAATGAACTCAGAATAATACTCTCTCTTAAATGCAGGGTCTTTGTCATCGTGACGCTCGATAGTAACCGCATCTTTGACACAAAGCGCTTGCAGATAGGTATTGTATCTTGAAGAATGCTTAGTTGGCCGCTCATTTGAATCGGAAGGCAGGTCTCACCCTTGGCCACGCTGCATGCCTGCCTTGTACGGAACTACTTCTCCCATGGTGAAAAAATGTTGTTGGAATTGTTAGGTGTCGCTTTGCGAGAGTAATAGATACTTGGTTGTTGTACGGGAATGTCGTGCTAAAACACCTTTGCTATAAATGTACGACCTGGAGTCCTCGATCTCGAGCCAGATGCAACCTCGAAATCCGTGCAACCAGGGGTCGAGAAGTCAGCCATACGTCGAGCAAGATCCGCGTGCCACATCAAGGTCCTCCGCAGCTGCATGCAGCATATGTGGTGTGTTCAAGGAATACATCTGCATTAAGATCATCCTACCCAGGCGCTGAAAGGTTTGACAGAACTCGATGGACGCGTTGCCAGTCATTCGCATCAATCCTCACTTCACCGCTATACCCAGAGATCGACTGTGCTAACTGGGCTAGACTATCGTGTCTGCAAGCGGGTTGCTCGCGGGCGGCTCGGATTGTTGTCCACCTAGGCAGCAGTGGCTTTCCGTTCACTCCAATAGAGAGACCTTCACGACGCGTGTGACGAGGATTTGTTTTTGCGGAGTGGGTCGGGTGCGAGGGACAACGTGCCGTCCTCCCGTCCTCTCGATTGCATTTTCGCGTCCGAAATCTAGCGGACTCGGATCGGGCCGTTCTGGTGGCGTTCGCATTTGCCAAATCGGGGTAGCAGCGTGCGATGACTTGCATGACAGTGACAACTATACATTGCAATTTGCCACTAATTTCAACCTTTACGCAACACATCTGCATGGTTGTATTGCGCGTCGCTTCTATATCTAGATAGGGTGCAAGAACGATTCCCACAGTTGCTTAGGAAGGGACTTTCCCGCTCGCATATGCATAAATGAATAGGTCTGTTACATCGTGTTGCCACAGAATCGGTTCTTGGTGCTGCTAGCCCACTATCAGAGTATACAATGCTGCATTTCAGGTGTTCTCGAACTCACGCTGAGGTGTGATTACATCAGCGTCTTCGATTCTCGTCGATACTGTTCTTTGCAACAAATCCTTTTAGTAACATGTATGTGTCCAGCATCGTGTAAGTGACAGACTGGCTGCCATGGACGAGTTGAATGCCGGCATGATTGACCGACTGTGCTCCGATCTCGGTCAAGAAGGTGATAGGTGATGAACTTGCATTGCAGAGAAGTTACCGATATTGCCATGATGTACGTCAAGGCAGCAGGCGAGCTTTCGCTGCGGAGAAACGTTGACGATCGGGAAGTCCCTTTGGGATGACTTTGCGCAGCGTACACCGCTTCATCACCTAGCATGATGTCTAAGCAAACCGCCTCGCTTCACGTTGCATATGCTGATACCGGATACCGTGACTAACAACGTATGCATCAAACTGATTTGCATTCATAATTTCCGCTCTGGGTAACATTTGACGACGGCTGCTTGCTTATTTGGACTAGAGAATGCAGAGACCGGTATGCAAGGTCTGAAGTATGGATATAGATGGTGGAGTCATTCTCGGGATGCCAGTAGCATTTTCCAGACCTGGTAATAGTCAAACGAGAATTACGTTGCATTGCATAGCATCAGAGGGCGCTTGCACTTTTAGACTGGATCCTGAGAGCAGATCAGGGTGTCATTGTTTCTTCCTCAGGACCAAGCTCCATGGATACTCAGCTGCACTCTAGTCATGTCGGAATTGTAAACAAACAGGCTTTTGTAGGTATCGCGTTGGGTATATATTGGGCCTCCACACAATCACTTCCAGCATACAAGCAAACACTACCTACCACTTGAATCCAACAGCTCAACGATCTCCAACATATTCATCATGGCGTATGCACAATGGGTTGTCATTCATATCATCAACAGTTTCCGAAATGGATCGATCAGTGTCAAAAATGCGGAAGCCATGTGTGAGTTCCTCCCGCCTCCATTTCCGAATTATTCTACCATTATTTTCTGGTACATCCGATAGATCGATTGCTGAAGTACATGTTAAGGGGGTAAATTCCACAAGAATGGGAACAAGGACGCGGAAATCGGCGCTGGCGAAGTGAACAAGATCAGCGTTGGCGCGGGTTCGAGCGAGAAGGTATCTTCGTGTGGACGCTCTGACTCTGCTTCCGGCACCGAAGGTAAATTGTGAGTGACACTTGCATCTTCACACAGATTTTCTTATATTTCTGCTAACATCGTGATACTCAGTGACATTTATGACGGCGACAACAGAGTCTGCACCGTTTACTGGTCTTGCCCTTGGGGTTCCAAGTCGAACAACTTTCAGATCCAGAACCGCAACAAGGACTATGGTATTACTCTTGGTGATTGGAACCAGGACTCTGGTGCCCTTGGAGAGGTAGACGTTGACATCTCGAGGAAGGGTTAGATGGTACGGAAGTAGAAGCCGTGGTCTTCGGCTGGAGGCGGATCGAAGCACGCTCAGCTCGCAGTATGAAGTCAAGATAGAATGCCATAAATGTCGCTCTTTCCAATATCTCAAAGACTTTTTCTCCCTTCTTATGGACGCACCCTGTTTCCTTGGATGTGACTGTTAGGTGCGTTTGGTTGTTGATGAGATAATGTAAGGCTTGGATGTCGTGTTGCGCTCGAGCAAGTGCCAGATGAGACCCCCTAGTCTGCGACAGCCAGCCTTCTAAGCTAAATGGCCAATATTAGTGCCACACCCCTTTCTATGGTGCAGCTTCGCTATATTTGACACTTTCTGGTGTCAAAGCGCAGGCACAACGCTGTCGATTAGCACTGCATTGTGTCGCGGTAAAAGTATGTATGTCAACCTACTTGCTCCATTGTACGTAGCTGTACAGTACAACTTCCATAGGCAAAGAGAACACTAATTCAATATCCTTCTACGAAGCACAGTGGCATTATCCCTGTCGGTATTCATGAGTGAAATTGATACAGCTATGTATTAACCCTTCGCAAAGATTATCTCCATCAATATCTGCCTAAAAGAAAGCACAGTAAACCTGGCTAGTATGTTCAGACCCTCCAGCGAAGACACTGCAAGTCTTATGCACGGAAAAGTCCACCGAGCAAGTCCCCACATCGGTATCACCCTCCACCAACGTCGCATACGCCTGTCCATTGTTCGCCTCGCTCAGGTCGCTGAGAGCCTTGCAGTCATCAGGACCCCTGCTTACGAGGCGCATGATGCGGTCACCACAGTAGGGAAATTCCAGATCGCAGAAGCTCTCGCCTGGAGTGAGATTCGGAGTGGGTTTGGCATCACAGCCACCACCGTTGCAGTCGTCGTGGACGTATATGCTGATGGAATTGAGGTCGTTGCCGCCGGTACAGGCTTCGGGTCCGCATTGCTCTGAGGTTTTGTTAATAGATGTTTGCGGAGCATAGGAGTGAGATGAGCGTACGCTGGAAGTAGTGGTGCTCGAAGAGGCGGAAATTGCCTGGGTCACGCTTCTCCACGGGGTTGGCGAGAGCGATGGGAGTGAAGGCCAGGATGGCGGAGATGATTGTAGTTGTGAGCATGGTTGGTAAGCGTAGAGTAGAGATAGATATGTAATCGAATGGAGGCTGTTGTACTGTGTTGATGGGTGATGTACAATGAGAGGAAGCCCTCCTCTTGTACTTTGGACAAGTTCCCGCTACGGCTGTTCGGAGCAGAAGAAAACTTGTTGACAACATACAGGGTGGGTCTATGGATTCTGAACGAAGCCTCACGACTGATCGCCGATTATGTCTTCGATCGAAGATGGTCGTAGATATGTACGCCTTATCTTGGCAAGAGTTGAGAGCGGCCAGCTCCGTCGCAGGTCAATCGTGAACGTATCCTCCGTACGATCCTATGATGTCCAACTTTGGCATCTTCATGGAATGCCGAAGACATTGAAACAGATATTATGAAGGTGACTCTGGATGATACAGAGCCCGTTCGTAGGGCGAGAGTACAAAGGTTATCGAACGAATGCGAGTCTTTCCTGCGCACTAACGATTGTGTCTTCTGACGGTAGCGCGACTAGAGTTAAGAATTCTCCACAGAAGAACACACTTAACCCTCACTGAGAAGGAGGATCTGGAGAGTGACTTGCACATAGCTGGTCGCCTTAAGACCGTGATAATACCATCTACGTCTACATACTTGGCACATGCTGTCAAAGGAGGACAAGCCGTGCCGAATATGCGCACAAAAGCTTGGCTATGGTCACTAGCAGAGCTTCTAAGACGCCAAGAAAGAGCTAAGAAACATGCTATTTCCCCAGGGCGGTACGCGCTCTTAGGCCTCCCGCCCCGTCCCGTACCGCGCATGCCAAGATGTGGAGGAATAGCTTTCAAAATCGAAATATACCTGTTGTGATTGCCGGATAAATTTTAGACCGTCAGGCCTTTAAGGCACATAGACCAGGGTAGTTAGTTTGATCTGAGCGCGGACAGACTCGAAAGCTAAGGATGGCCCGATTTTAGCAATACGATAATCACAAGCCGAGAAGACGAGGCTGACTGTGAGTGACTTGCGCATATGCGGTAGAAGAAGCGAGAAGTCGTCAAATGTATCCGTCATACCGCTACGTGAGTTGCAGCTAGTGTTACTCCGCCAACACGTACTTCACACCCTCGAACAAGTTATTCATGAACTCCTTCTGCGGCTCAGCAAGCTTCGGAGAAGGCCAAGCGAAAAAAAAGTGTGGATAACCATCGTAGAAGTCAAATTTGACGGGCACACTACAGTCTAGTCAGCATCAACTCTTACGATAAAGACACGAAACCTACCGAGCGTCATCTAGCATCGTTTTCATGAGCACGCCGTCATCCCTTAGCGTGTCATGTCCCGCAACAGCCATGTAAACCTTCTTCAAGTCCTTGATTCCAGGATGAAGAAGGGGCGATCCGTATATATCCGTTGGTGGAGCACCAAAGGCCTTCCAAAAGTCTCTCATCGCTCCCGCAGTGTTGACAGTGTGCTGATCATGCTCCTCCATCGCTGTGTACCCAGATCGAAGTTTTTCCGGAACACCATCCGGGTGCACAGTCACGGGTATGAGTGCGACAACACCGACGAGCCCATCTATGCTCGCATCCCGGGCTCTCAGCGCAACCGCGAAAGCCAGTTGACCACCGGCCGAAAGCCCGGCAGTGAGAAACTTCCCTTCGGTGGTGTTCAGCCGCTTCGAGTTGTCCAACGCCCATCGTAAAGCGTTGAAGCATTCGTCCATCAAGTCTTGGTGCTTGTTGTCTGGTGCGAGGCCATATTCGACAGACACAACCACTATCCCCCCGGCTTTTGAAATCGCCCTGCTGAAGGGATCGTCTCCGTTCACGTCGCCCATAGCCCATCCGCCGCCGTGGTAGTACATGCACACTGGCTTCCCACCGGTATAGCCGTCAGGCGTGTATATGCGCACTTTGGTCCCGTGATCGGTCGTCGTATCTTCGGTCTTTACGGAAATGTCGGGTTCGGGAAACGTGTATTTGGACGCCATGAGGCTGCCATATCGCATGAACTGCTCTGTCATGTTTGAGATGGGCGGAGTCAATAGTATGCGCTCGCCGAGCTCCTCTTCGAACTCAAGCCATGGTTTCGCGAACCCCTCGTTGGCCATGTTGTCCTAGATCGGTCGTGTAAGTTGTGGAGTAATTCTTCCATCTCGGAAGCCACTTTGTACCAAGGGCTCGCTGTCGTATAAAAGCTGGGCCCTTGGGTGGTTTGGCGTCATGTGGGAGTGTGTCTGGAGTGGCTCTCATCTCGACTCACTTGGACGCGGGAAGACGTCAGGGGTCAAAGCTTCCCCACTCGCTGCTACGCTGCCGCCTTCCCCACGCTTAAAGACATCCGGTACTCCCCGCCAAAAACAACATGGCCTCGGCTGCAAACACGCATCGCAACGCGTCGGCATCAACTGCTGCAGCGAGTCATGTCTGCTGTATTCGCGCGTAGACTTTTAATCTTGGGGTTTGATCATCCCTACTTACCTCGATAGCACTACTCACGACACAGGAACGCACACACTATGGTACTGAACATCGACACCAACAGCAGCCCAGCCTTCGCGCGCATACCGCCCTGGGTGAAGGCCAAGCTGCGTCCCATCGCAATCGAGAAGATTCAACAAGTGTATGATTGGGTCGAGACGGAATGCATACCTGCTGAGCGCATCTACAAAGCGCAGCTCAAAGAAAGCAAGACGCGATGGGAAACCCCAGCCATCATCCACGACCTGCGCAAAAAGGCAAAAGCCCAAGGCTTGTGGAACCTGTTTCTGCCAAACCACTTCATCGAGAGCCCAGGCTTGACCAACCTAGAGTACTCGTGCTGCGCTGAGATAATGGGGCGCGTATACTGGGCAGCCCAGGTGCGCTTCCTTGTATTCAATACCTCCGTAATGCTTTGCTAACAACGTACCGCAGACAATGAACTGCCATGCGCCCGAAACTGGCAACATCGAACTCCTCGCCAAGTACTGCACACCTGAGCAGAAGAAGCGCTGGCTCCACCCCCTCATGAACGGCGACATGTCCTCGGCATACAGCATGACAGAACCCGACGTCGCCTCCTCCGACGCAACCCAAGTCGGCATCAAAATGGAAATCACCGACAAGGAAGTCATTATAAATGGACGTAAACTATACGGCAATTGCCAGTACAACCCGGAGATGCAACTGTTCATCCTGATGGGCTGTTCCGACCCCAACAATGCGAACGCGTGGAATAGACACACGACGCTGGTGGTGCCCGCGAACAGCCCGGGGCTGAAGCAAGTTAGGAATCTGACCATCATGGGATACGATTGGGCGCCTGAAGGACACGGCGAGTACATCTACGACAACGTGCGCGTGCCGCTCGAGAACATCATCCTCGGTCCTGGACGCGCCTTTGAGATTGCCCAAGGACGTTTGGGCCCTGGTCGCATACACCACTGTATGCGCCTGATCGGCCAGGCAGAACGCGCTTTTGAGCTCGCGCTCGTGAGATGCATGGAGCCGCGTAAGAAACCAAGGGGCAAATTCATCGGCGAATTTGACAGCAACATTGAGCGTATTGCGGATATGCGCATGACGATTGATGCTATGCGGTTGGTGGTGCTTAATGCCGCGGATACTATGGATCTTCGGGGTAACAAGGCGGGGAAATACGCTATTGCGCAGAGCAAGATTATGGTGCCGAATGCGTTGCTCAAGGTCATCGATGAGGCCATGCAGATATATGGTGGTCAGGGCTTGACGCAACATACGCCGTTGCCGGAGCTGTGGACGTATGCACGTTTTGTGAGAGTGGCTGATGGGCCGGATTCGGCGCATAGACATCAAGTGGGGAGAGACCAGATGAAGACAGCGCAAGGGTTCAGGAAGAGAGCAGAAGGGTACACGGAGAGGTATAGGGAGCTTTGCAAGAAGTGGGGTCTTGAACCCGAGGAGTTCTGGGGTATCTTGTAGTAATAGATTCTTGTTTTTTGTGACCTTGATACGTAGGCGCATATTCTCGCGCGGTTCGACCTTTGCGTGGATCGCACCTATCTCTTCCTTCTCGTCGTCTCTTTATTGATACCATCTCCTCCTTCTCACTCTGCTCTCGGCATGTGCCGGTACGAAAGCGATCTTACCCACATCTTCATCCGTCTTGGTATCTGCAATCATAACTTTCAGGTGCCCTAATCGCCTTGTCATACCCGTTCCATCTGCTGCACTATTTCCTTGTATCTCGCGGTCGTGGAAATATCTCGAGTCTCTTATTTGGCTGCTGACATAACCCAAGATTCGAGGTGCATGACAGCGGTAATGCATAACCAAAGAGAAGACTGCCGCGAAAAACATGATCACCACGGATACAAAATAGATTACAATCCATGGGATGTCCAGAGCGTAAGTGGCCGGTAACGGAAATACAATCGTTGACGTAGTATTGAGATGAAGCGAAGTATCGTTATAAGGGGACGGCGTGAGACCTCCACCGTTGATCGTTGCATGCTGAGTGCTGACTTTCCACAGCGTGTTCCACAGCAGTGAGAATCTTTGCTCAAAAACCTTGATATCGACATCGCCCAAGTTTGCATACGCTGATGTCCCATACGCATTTGTCCCGGGATCGTTGGCTGCAATAAGCGGGTCTCTGAGATACCATTCCACTACACCAGATGCGCCAGATCCATACTTGTTATCATCGACTAGATCCATGAATGCGTGCATGAGATCAGTGGGTGTCGATGGACGCATTTCTAAGGTCGTATTTGGCCAGCGATACGTTCGGTACTCGAAAATGGTAAGGTTTTTGGGGTTAGTGGTTGTGAGCGTCTCCCGTACTGCGTTGACACCACAATCGGTTTTCCCCGAAGCCCCTTTTGATATGCAGGACACTTGAGCGTCGACGTATGTCATCTGAGGTGAGCATTGTGTGATGGACAGATAGGCGGGCGGGCCGCGTCTCGTCACGAACATAATGTCGTGACTTTGAGTGGTATCATTCCATACTTGTTTTTCGGAGAACTCCAGAAAGAAGTTATTATTACCGTTCGTGCCACGGGGACTTATCAGCTCAGAAAAGTTTTTCTGAAACTTGTTAAAGACCCATTCATATGACTCATTCATGCCGTTGATATTCAACCAAGGAGAGCACTGAAATCTGTTAGATTGAGGGCAACAAAAAAGGGAAAGAGAAGCGTCTCTTACTGAGAACGTCAGATAGTTTGCGGTTGTATTGAACGTTGTGTTGCCAGTGAAATTTCGCTCCAGGCCAGCAAAATGTTCGCCGACAAGACTGGAGTAGTTGTGTACTGAATCCTGCCAGGGCACATTTACCCAACGATGTGGCTCATTCGCATCGAATTCGGGAAGACTGTGTAGGTTAGGTATCCGTATGTTGCCCCATAGATCAGTAGCTGCTTGCACCCCAGCTGAGCTTTCTCCTCCGAGCGTGATAACAATATCTTGGTACGTTTTGTTCGTTTTGTCGACATACTGAGTAGCGGATGCGACGTCGTAAAGAGCTGAGGAATATAGAGCGCGAAGTCTGGGCCTGACGCGTGTTTGGGTGTCGAAGATCGAGTTCAACTGTACCTGTGAGCTGAGATTGTAGTTGTAGTAGGCAATATTTCCCGGTCTGGATCCCTCTCGGTCTCTCAAGTAAATCCCCCGAAACGACGATTGAGACCCGAGAGGGTTGAAAGCCCATAGTAATAGTAGAACTATACTTGAGATCCTCAAGATTGACCATTTAAAAACAGTAATGACGGAACCAGCAAGCTATTGTATGAGCATTAGCACCAGTCAGATTGAAAAATTGTACGCTTCACACTAACCGTTAAAGAGCCCATTAGCTGTTCCAAAGCCTGTATATCATCGATTAGCCAGGCCACGCATTATATATGACTCATTTCGTACCAGTAGGTCGATTCCACGTTCAACGCGCCAGTCGGCAAGTGCACGAATCGCATTTCCCAATACACCAGAGAAGAAAATCGGCCATAAGGTTGGTGCGATTCGTGTAGCCGAGAGCACTTTGATTGACCAATCACTTTCCTGTTGATCTTTTAGGTGTACAACAAATGCGCCAAGTACTATTCACGCGTTAGCGATACTTCGTACGTATCGGACACAAGACCTACTAAGAAAGCATATCGAAACGACTATTCCAAGAAATTCCCAAGTCAAAGCCCACGGCGTATTTCCTTTCCAGTATACAGGTGCGTTGACCTTTTCTGAGAAGGGAACACTACGGGCGCCTACTTGTGCCGAATGCTTGTTGGTAGTCTCGTCTGGTGGCAGAGAACGTGACTGCCCGTCATCCGAATATACGAAGCTGTCATTGGGACGAAATTGGTGTTGAGACACGCTGGCTCGAGTCCGTTCGTCAGTGTTCTGTTCTTGCCCATCTCTTCCCAGTAGTCGATTCGCCGCGCTTTCTTGTCCTGGCTGGATCACTGGATCAAAATCGGAGCGAAGTTGTGGCACCTCGTGAAACACGAATGAGCGCCGCTCCGGACCGTCCACTCGATGACTCATTTTCCCGTGGATTATGGGAAGGGAGTTGTATTGAGCCACTCTGCGAGAAAAACGGTGTTTGTGAACTTTTAGCAGGTGCGCCTCGCGAGGCCACCGACTACGAAATAAGGCTGAGCATGCAACCTGGTGCTTTTGGCCCCCATCGTTGCCTGCGCCCTTGGCGCTGTATGAAACACACGATTTTAGTCAGAAAGAGTTCCTGCCGGAAGGTGATTGGCCGTCTGACAAGCATGCCGCCGTTATAGCGGAGCTGAGGGCGAGCGACTACAGCGATCATCTTGCTCTCAATCGGCATGTGCTGTAGGGTTGAAAGTACACCGCATCTATAATTGGTGCGTTAGTGGCCAGATGTGGAAAAGTGAGAGGAGATTAAATCAAAGGGTCCAAGTTGCAGTGGAGCGCCAAGCCGCTAACCGGGATGACAGGAACACAACAAAATAAAGTAAGCGCCCTTACCGGTTGATGCTGTACTTTCAGGTGCGATATGATTGCGATAGCTTTGGGGGCGAGAAATTTGAATAAGTGAACTCAAAATTTCAATTGAGAGTTGTTGGTCGTGACATTCATCTATACAAAAAATAGACCAAAAAGATGGGTATCATTTCCAATCCGTAGTCCCCAGTCCCGTGACCATGTATCCATCATCATATATTATTCAATACTCATTACTCATACTGCAATAGGTGGTGACGACCTAAAACTCATGTTATCGTCATCGTCATCAAAGAAAGAAGCCACTTCCTGCGTCGACATAGCAGAGTCTTCGAAACATTGACTCGTCCTCGGTGCCACAGCAGATAGTTTCGAAGGCGGTGTCGATGTTGGCGCGCACTGCTTCTTGGCTGGAGGAGAAGCAGATTGTCCGGATGGCGTTGTTGTAGCTTTTCTCTTCGCATAAGGGCCAGTCATAGACTTTGGTAGCTGAGACGCCCTAAGTTTTGCGAGTTGTTCCTGGAGGTTCCCATAGGCAAAGGGACCTGGGTTCAGGCACTTCCCAGCTATCTTCTTAGGAGGTCTTGAAGTAGTTAAGGGCCTGCTGGAATTCGCAGAAGCCCGTGGCGTGGATTCTTTTTGCGTAACAGCGGTATCGGCTCTTACAGGGCCGGTCAACGATTTTACCGGCTTAGAGGTGGGGTTGACTGAGAGCTTTGCTGGCTCAGAGGGAGACGGCAAAGACATTGGTCTTTGTAAGGGCCGAGGATTCCCTGTATTCGCCTGCAGTGGTGCGGAAATTTTGCTAGGCACAACGTCCGTGACAGGAGCGACTTTACATTTCTCCTCCTCTTTCCGCGGCTCTTCGTCGAGATCGTCCAGAGAGAAGTCGAAGTCTTGGGTCGATATAGGAGGGATATCATCAATTACTGGAGGCACTGCAACCGTTGAAAGCTTCGGTGGCTCTTTGACTGTGGGCTTTGCTTCTGAAGCAAGCTCCCGCGAAACCTGGGTACTGCTTTCGAAGAAATCATCCCAGCAGTCGGTTGATGGTAGTGGTATTGACGGAGTCTTTTTCGAAACGGACGTGGATTCAACTGCAGTGAACGAGCTGGACTTGGATGCTGGAACTCCAGGAAGCTTGAAGCCCGGATTCTGGTTTGTGGTAGGCTTTGCTTTGATAGCAGGGGGGGTTTGTTTTTTCGCCAAGCTGGGAGGTGGCATACGCCCAGGTATCGAAGGGAGCTTAAACCCTGATCTTGATGTATCCCGTGGCACGCCGGACGGTGTGTAGTCGATGGCCACACGTATGGGAAACTGTGTGCGTTGAAAAGGATGCTGATCCAGATTCTTGTATTTTGCGATGAATGGAACCCGCGTCAGGAAGGTCTTAGTTCCCTGTAGCTGTCCATCTAACACCAAGCATTCTAATCGATCGTTCTCACAGCGTAAGACTCGCAAGTGCTGGCTCTTGGACAACTGGCTGCTTGTATTAAGATCCCGAAGCACTGTTACAGTGCAGCCGACCTTGACGCGCAGACGATGTGGTGGCAGCCCTACTGGATTCAGCTTGTGCAGCAGCCCCAGTGAAGGATCCCAGTCTGGTGTTTTGAGCGAAAGATCTTGTGACAGCAGTTCAATCAGAGGCTCGGGCAGTTTGTCCAAGGCAGCCTCGATCGCTTTGTTTATAGGTCCGTGAGTACGTGCGAATTCGCGGTCATCCTGTACAGGAATTGGTTGCCGCAGAGGATTTGATGCGACGAGCGGAGTGAGGGCGATAGGGTTGACAGGCGCAAGGGGTTGTACGACAGCAGGCGGAGCGGGCGCGATCGGAGCAACGAACTCAGTAGGCTGGACAACAGGCTGTAGCTCCTCTACCGGATCTGACATGACCATATCATGTGCTTCGAGAAGTGTGTCGTCGTCTAAGTCATCATCGGTCCACTGCTGTCCGGAGGATGCAGTCGTCTCCGGCAAATCGACTACCGTGTCTTCCTCATCGTCGTCATCCCATGGCTCCTTCTCCATCTGTTCCGCAATCTCTTCTAGCTTCTTGGTGAGTTCCAAGTTCTTTTTACGCTTCTCCTCATCCTTCTTCCTGCTCAGTCCTAGGAATGCTTCCATGCCATTCTTCAACTGCGCCTGCGTATGACTATATCCAGCAAGCTGAGTCGCTAGTCCGACACCAATTTGTTGCCTTGCTCTTGCCTCCTTCGCCTCTTTTTCTTCGCGCTTCTTCTTGGCTGCTTTGCGACTCTCCTCGGCTTTGCGGGCGCGGGCGGCGCGCTGTTCTAATTCGGCCTCGCGGTCGAGCTGCTTCTGCTGCCGCTCGTTAAGACGCGGGCCATTTTTCTTGGCCAGTTTTTTGAGCTCGGTAGATGTTTGTGCGATTCGATGAGGAGTTGGGGCCATGATACAACGCGCATGGCGGTGAGGGGTGCGGGTGGCTGCAGGGGGAGAAACGTACGTGGTGGCGAATATTCCCTGAAGCCTGGAACCGCGCTAAGACACGCAAACACGTGCCCGGATGACGTGCATCAAAACAAAGTATCCCGACGACTAGGCTATTGCTGTCACCTCTAGCGAAAGCCACAACAGCTTTTCATTGTCATTCCCCTGTCAAAACGGGCATATTTTCCGTGTCTGAAAACGACCAATCGAACATGCAGCGGTCTGCCGTGCCTCACGAGTCCATGCGCGCCGTCAAGTTCACGTAAACACTTTATTGATCAACGTCACACATTCACATCTTTTCCATCGTCCGATCAAACCCCAGATGCAAATGGACAGGCGTGCGTGGAGTAGGGCCGACATGACTCGCTTGTTGTTGTTATCGCCAGGAAAACCGCAGCCGACATTGAGCTCAACCCCGCCTACAAGCATCTCTGACAGCAGCAGGCTTGCAGGAAATCATCGACAGTGCATGTTGAAGGTGCTCTCTAAGGTTGACAGCGTCTTGACTCGTAACATCAGGCTAACAGCAGGAGTGGTGGCAGCAGTTCGTACCATTGACATTCCGTGGACCTGACAATTGATAGCTCAGTACAGCTTGCAGAGTACACGCTGAGCAAGGAACCATGTCTTTCGTACTAAAGGGTGTAGCATATATCACGGGTGCTGGATCCGGTATGTCTAGTCAAGCTGTGTAGCATATCCGACCAATGAGCTGACATCTTCAAGGTATCGGCCAGTACACTGCATATGCTCTTGCAAAGCAAGGCGTGCGCTCATTCGCCTTGCTGGATCGCAATCCCATCACCAAGACCGTCAGCGAACTGAACAAGATCTCACCAGATGTCTCTGTCAAAACGTTCGAAATCGACGTCACCGATGAGAAAGCCGTTGATGACAGTATAGAGAAAACGGTAAAGGAATTTGGACGGCTGGATTACGCGGTCAACAATGCTGGCATAGGTGGAATGATCAGAACGACAGATCAAATACCTAAAGACGACTTCGAGAAAGTCATGGCTGTCAATACCATGGCCGTGTGGCAATGCCAGCGTGCGCAGATCCGCCAGATGCTCAAGCAAGAGAAGCTTTCGGACTCCTATCGATCATACCGGGGCTCTATCGTCAACGTCGCATCGATGTACGGCCTGGTTGCACCACCACTCAATGTACCTGCCACCGCATATGCTACGTCCAAGCATGCTGTCATTGGCCTTACGAAGTCAGATGCACTCGCTTTCGCACACAAGGGTATCAGAATCAACGCGATCTCCCCAGGTTATGTGATGACACCCCTAGTGAAGGAGCACATGAGTCAGGGCGACATGATGGAAACAGAGAGGAAGAAAGTCCCTGTTCACCGCTACTCGGAGATGGAGGAAATCGGCGACTGTATTGCATTCCTACATTCCCAAGCAGCAAGTTACATGATTGGCGCCACATTAGTCGCGGACGGAGGATACACAATCGTCTAGAGCATCGTACTAGCCCAAGACCTGAATTATCAACATCCGTCTCACACGTGTCCTAAAACACGTAGTCCTCTTGTCAAACTTGACCTTCGACGCAATTGTGCTTTGCCTGGTCGGTCGCACCTCGGCAGAGGTTCTCCACCCCAGTTCTCCACCTAATCCCCGCAAAAAAGGAAGACGCAACTTCCATATCCGAGAAAGATCTAGCTACTCCGAACGCCTCTTCGATTGGCTAATGGGTCGTCTAATAGATCACTCATCATTGCGCGACTTGGATGTCCCGGCATTGTTGTCTGTGCAACCCTCGGAAATGCTTTGCCAGATAAAACTCATGAGTAGCCATTGGGATCGTTAGCCCACATCACGAATCGTCACCATCGTTCGATATTCTGATCATGCATTCACTTTATTCGCGTAACCCCAGATTCAGGCATTCATCAGATTGACTCGCTATGTGGAGTCATGGAGCTAAGACCTGACTCTTGAAGCCTGGGGATTTGCGGTGCAAACACACCGGAGCAAAGTTTAAGAAGTTAAGAGCCCTCGTAGCGGCAACGGTTTCCACTCACTGCTCAGCTTCAACTTTGCTTTTCTTCATCTTCCCACTAGTTGTACACTATCCACAATGGCGGACGGCTTCATCGTCCCATCCACGGCTGCGCCAGAGACTGATGCTCAGCATCGGTTACGGGGTCCAATTCACGCGCAACGCCATGTGCGCGTTGTCTGTATCGGCGCGGGTGCTTCGGGACTTTTGATGGCATACAAGCTGCAAAAGCACTTCTCAAACTATAGTCTCCAAGTATATGAGAAGAACGCCGAGGTTTCGGGGACTTGGTACGAGAATAGATATCCGGGGTAAGTGCAGATCTGAATGGTTGTTGCGGGGGATCATGCATCCTTCGCCCCATGATTTACCGAACCGGCTGCAGAAAAGCGGCGCAGTTAGCAGAACCTTGCTAACATCTCAATTCAAGATGCGCGTGCGATGTTCCTTCGCATAACTACACTTGGTCATTCGAGCCGAAATTAGATTGGTCCGCAGTATACGCCGGCTCGAAAGAGATCTTTGCCTACTTTAACGATTTCGCGCGCAAGTACGGTCTCCGCAAATACATCAAGACACAACACCAGGTTGTTGGCGCAACATGGAACAAGCAGAGAGGAGGATACGATGTGCAGGTCAAAGACCTAGAGAACAATCAAATCGTCAATGATCATTGCGACATCTTGGTTAACGCGTCGGGTATTCTAAACAACTGGCAATGGCCTGCGATACCGGGTCTGGATAAGTACAAGGGCACACTATTACATACCGCAAATTGGGACGACAACGTTGATCTTAAAGGCCGCCATGTTGGCTTGATTGGAAACGGGTAAGTGCCTTACGTATGATTCCCCAGCTCAGCAACTAACTACTTCAGTTCCTCTGGTATTCAAGTCCTCCCCACCATACAACCACACGTTAAGAAAGTCACAACCTTCATCCGCGAGCCCACATGGGTCTCACCTGTGCAAGGCCTCGAACAACATGTCTTCTCCGATAGCGAAAGACTCGAGTTCGCCACCAAGCCTGGCGCGTTAGTCGAATACCGCAAGCACATTGAGCGCGGCCTCAATGGCCAATTCGGCATCTTTCTCAAGAACACAAACGTCAACTCCGACACAGAAGCCTACTTCCGCAAACAGATGACCGAAAAACTAAACAACGAGTACCTACAAGAGCGCTTGATCCCGAACTGGCATGTCGGATGCCGACGATTGACACCAGGCGTCGGCTACCTCGAAGCCCTAGGAAAGCCCAATGTACAAACCGTCTACGGCGAGATAAATTCCATCACCGAGCGCGGCTGTGTGTGCGACGACGGCAACGAATACCCCGTCGACGTACTCATCTGCGCCACAGGCTTCAACACCTCCTTCAGGCCTCGTTTCCCTGTGATAAACTCCTCTGGCACCAACCTCCAGGACGTGTGGGCCAAAGAACCACGCTCCTACTTTGGTCTCGCGGCCGCTGACTTCCCAAATTACCTCATTTTCCTAGGACCCAATTGTCCCATCGGCAATGGCCCCGTTCTAAGCGCTATTGAGGCGCAGGCAGATTACATGTGCAAGCTCATTGATCGCTTCCAAACACACAACATCTCTACTTTTGCACCTAAAGCAGAAGCTATTGATGACTTTGTAGCTTTCAAGGATGAGTACATGAAGCGCACCGTCTGGCATGACGCATGTCGCTCATGGTACAAGTCTCTCGGCCCGGAAGGCCCCGTAACGGCACTCTGGCCTGGCTCTACACTTCACTATATCGAAGCCCTGATGGAACTCAGACTAGAGGACTGGGACGTGAAATACACTGGCAACAGGTTCTCATGGTTGGGCAATGGTTATAGTCAGACGGAGATCGATCCCACGGCTGACTGGGCGTTTTATGTTAGGGAAAAGGATGATGATGAGCCGATAAGTAGGTTGAGAAAGTTGCAGCTGATAAACAAGAGTGGGACGCTGGAGCCAAGCGAGGGTGTAAATTTTGCGGGTGGAAGGGCGGAGGGAGTAGCCAGCATGAAGGAGTCGAAGCTATAGATACAGGCGCGAAGGAAAGATGTTAACGAATGTATGATTGGTACGGAGAGTTACTTTTCAAGGCGATATGGATCATAGCCGGTTACTGTACTTGTGTTCTGCTCGAATATGGAAGAACGATTATGTCTTGAGGTTTTGGCCCATGTGAGTTTTGTGTTCTTGTTATTATCGCGTGCATCATGGACAAGAGCCTCCAATATCATGTTGACCCAGTGCGACGTTGAGAAACAAGGACGAAGGCCGCCTGAGAAATGCTGACCTGGGAACTTTGCGTTACGACGGTCACTGGATTTGTGCTTTAGTGTACGGAGCTCTGGAAAAGTCTCGGTCCGTCGAACACGGCCTCACTTACGGCAAAACTTCGGCACCTTCAACGCGCAATGAAACGCGACAAACGCGAGGATAGCTACACCGGTCAAACACATATCTATCAATCTTCACGAACGACGCGTGAACTGGTCAAAAATAGACGAGGCCACCGTAACGATCCATGGCGCGCTGACTTATGATTCGCGCTAAAGAACTCCGGCTCCCCAACCCGCGGCGCCCGTCGCTTCTCCCGCCCCACCAGCGAAACAATCCGACACAGCTCTCGACCAGCACCCAATTACTGCAGTTGGGAATAGCGACCGAGCTTTGGAGATCCGGAGAATATGGATTCGCTTCGTTATCTGCGTGTAAGCATTATACATTGATCGACAGCATCGATGAGCAGCATTGCAGACGCCTTACGCAGGTCAACAGCTGAAGAAACGAGCGGCCGGCAGACTCGTTCCAGAAAGCGCCTGACGTCGCAGGTAAACAGTAGTTACGCACACAGTTCTGTTTGGAACTACGCGACTCGAAGAATGTTTCCGAATTGCCCGCAAGAGCTATTTCCAGCTCTGTCATCGATCCCTTCAAACGTGCCAAACCCTGAGTTGTTCAAACTTCACTCCAAACTCCACAACTCAACCCTGTAGACCTTCTCTCGGCTAATGAGGTGATCGTCCCACATCACCATACCCAACCCGGCGCGCCAACGCACTGACATTGCCTATCCCGTTGGTCGGAAACAGAAACGATGCGTTTCGATAGGTACTATTCTCGTTTTTGGGCGAACGGATGATCGTCGGTGTGGTATAAACGCATGCATGCATAGTCGTACCAACGTCTGGAATACTGGGGTAGGTACCGGTATAGTGAGGACGCCATGCCGTGTCAGGGATGTAAGACGTGCATCTTGACTGTGTCTTGACGTTTTGGACAATGGATCAGTGTCATTGAGAGTTTAGAGTAGAGGCCCTGGGTACGCGAATACGCGAGTAAGACCGGTAAGTTAGAAGATATATATTCTACTGCTTCCATCGCAAAAGCAAGATCATCATCCAACAGCTTCTACTTCTCCCATCTACTCTACAGCACTCTCAACAACTACTCTATTCACTATTACTGCCGGCCAGTTCCTCTAATCCTCTACCAAATTTCTCACCCAACAACAAATATCTCAAAATGCCTACTTCCCAGATCTCCACTCCCCTCAACGGCGTCGACGCCGCTATCGTCATCTCCGCTCTCCACAACCACGACCTCATGATCAAGACGCTCTGCCCAGCGCTTGTCAGCTACGCTTTCGAATCTGGCGACAAGGCTACTTCAGCTACCTACACTGTCACCGACAAGAAGCCCATTGGCCAGGTATGACTTTCCAATTCCTACCTCCTTTCTGCTACAAACAAGACACTAACACATCGCAGACTACCTACAAGTTGACTCTCACCAACGTCCCCGAGGGTGTCGACTCTCTTGTCAACGCTAAGCCCCCAGTCGGTGTCCTCACCATCAGCGGCAAGTGGCGCGTTGCCAATGGCAAGCTCAGCGAGGAGATTGACATCGATGCCAACTTTATGATGAAGAAGGTCGCTAAGAGCAACGTTGAGAAGACTCACCCTGAGCAGCACATGAAGCTCTTGGAGGCCGCTCAGGCTTAAGCGAATGTTATGAATGGATGATGGAGCTAAGGGGATAGAGATGCATGGACTGGAGTAATTCAGATTGCATTTGGGTTTGCTTAGCATTTGAGTCGCGATGGCTTGGAAGTGGTTGTACGCATAGCTTGGTGTTTTTTGTTTGCAATGAAGCATTTTATCCTTTGTTTTTACTACGACTATTGACCATGATTGAGGTGGAGAACTGATCACCACCCTCGAACACCATCCTTTCCAACTAGTTGCCTAACGAAGCACTTTTGTAGTGATAGTAGAGCCTGCTAGAAACGAGAGTACTATATTGCACCCAAGACCTCTGATCAAATACACCTGGAGCCGCCATGATTTTACTATGTCTAAAAGACAGCACCACTCAACATTTGCATAGTTGTTATAACAGGGAAACTATATTCTTAGAGCTACTGCTCATTTCACATCGCATCTCGTTCCAAACACGACTTGAATTGAGACAGATTTCCCCATCGTCCACCCAATCCTGATCCGATGATCATCAATCGTCGTTGAATCGGCCGGGGATTCGCCACATCCAGTCGGAGAAAGCTTCATGCGCAGTTTGCCAGTCGAGAATCTCTGCGTAATCGCTAGTCGCTCGAAACTCGGCCAAGGGTATGAGGTAAGGCGTGCTGCACTTGGTCTCATTGTTCCACATCAGGCGTCTGAAGCGGAAGCAACGCGCAGGCTCGTGCTCATCCATTTTCACATACCGTGGATCACTGTGGCTACGCTCATCTCCTCTTCTGGCCTGTCGTTCTTGCCCAATTATGAGTGTATCCAGCGACGGACACCTAGACTGTGGTTCCAGATCCGCAAAGAACTCCTTGGCTGAACGGTGAATCAGGTTGTCAAAATAAGCAAGATCGCCGGAGCCGTAGAGAAAAGATTGACGGAGATGGAGGGTGCGTAACTTGGACAGCTCGTGTATGGGCAACTACTTCACGTTAAAGATAGAACTTCTACTTGAGCAAGGGGTAGTCTTACCAGGGACCTACGAAAATTATTACTTGACATCAAGGATCTTTCTGTGATTCTATAACCAAATTGCTCTAGGTTGGGACATGCCAGACAAATATTCTCCAATGCTTTTTGCGTAACAATGGTGTCACTGCGACCAACATTATGGTCCCCGGTTTTGTGTATGGATAAAAGGATGAGTTGCTGTCCAACATTTCGTAGACACACCATGAGGGACTCGAATGACCGTTGATTCCAGCAATTCCACTCCAAGCACAGACTTTTTAACTCGGTACAAGAATATAGCAACGTATCAAAGTCCTCTAAGTTGATGTCGTTCTTGTGTATATATAGACCCAGATGTTTTAATTGTAACTTGTGGCTACCAAGTCCATGTGCCAGAGCGGAAGCAAAATTTACGGCGTAAGGAGATCCCCAAAGGGTTAAGTGTGTAAGCTGTGAGAATGATATGATCTTGCTGATCCCCTCATGAAGAGACTCGCTAAGGGCAACTCCGGACAGTGTAAGTTGTCGAAGGTTCTCTAGGCGACCAGAATGATTGTTTTGGCATGAAAACGCTTTGGCAAGCCTATCACCAAGACGATGATCATGAGTTTTTTCCTCTTGCCCAGATTCTGTGCCAATGTGCAATCTTTCCATTTGCTTATACGAGCTGATTTGTGAGAAGAAAGTCATGAACCTCTCCTCATCAAATTTTACCCAGTCGGCATACACGTAAGGAAGCCAGAGGTCTGCCGTTTTTAAACATTGAAGGCAGTTTAACAGAGTAAAGTCGTCGAGCCTAAGATGAATATGTGTCAGTGTGGCCGCCTGACGACGGAAGAGATCATGCGCGGTCTCCGCATGAAATGATAGTGTCGAGAGGAATCTACAACAGTTCAGCAAGATCTATGCTGAGGAGTTCATTGCTTTGTGGCAAAAGTATGTCATGTAACCTCACAGGTCTGGCGCTTATGCCACCCGGGTATTGCAGAAGTGAGGTAACGCACCGGAAAGTGTGCAAACGATTGGCCGGGAAGTAAGCTAAGACTGCTCTTATCTGACTGATCTCCACTTGGCTCAGCTTTTCTGCCTTGTTGAAGTGTCGATGTGCTTGGACCTGGAATTCTGGAGCTTCTGGTGGTGGTAGACTATCCATCAGCGTCAAAGACCTGGTCGCATCAAGGTGCGCTTGAGAACCTGCATCCATGCAGCGTTCGAATCGCATCACCTCATCTTTATCAAACACATTGATAGTAACCTTCCTGTATAGTAAAGGCCTAGCTAGGTCATTCCACGCTTTTGAGGCTAGACATATGGCTTTGAGGTGTGAAGGCAATTGGATCTGCGTAGTTTAGTATAGAAACGCTTCGCTAGTAGCTGCACCTACATAATCCAGTATCAGAAGCTGTACATCCGCCGGTAAAGTCACTAGGGTTGACATTGTCGCATGCGTTTGTTGGCTCGTGGAGTGGAGAAGGGAGTTGTTCAGCGCCGCGGAGCGGGGCGGCTCATAACGCTTGTCTTGGCATCCAAGTCAGGATTAGCATATCTTACCCCTGGAGACGGCATTTCGACTTGCATCCGCCCATAGCCTGAACGCGCTTTCTGCTCACAGTTATGCAAGTCAACAAACTCCATTCAAACATGATCTAGTACTACTAGGAATAAAGCTATTTACTCGATCATGAATTCTCCAATTGCGATAGAAGACTCTTTTGACAGCGCCCTGACTTCTTCACAAACATATGGTCGATCAGCGAAGTAATCGAATCTGCTTTGCCACAGCAGCCATCGCCCACGTGACAAACCTGGCTCACCGTCCCACAGGTCCGTTTTCACCGCCAAGCCACTCTCCCACCCTTTCCGAAACACCGTGTTTCCCCGCCTGTACATATCAAGCCCCCCCACCAAGACCCACTTTGCAGCCGCCATCAAGTTGTAGCTCACAAGCTCTTCAGCATTGATGGCAAAATGCTTGAACGAGGTTGGGCGGAGATGTTTGTCAAATTCTAACTCCCGTGACTCATGACTCGTCTCAAGCGTCTGCCGAAGACAAAAGAAACCAAAGATAAAATATCCATTGTCAAATCCGGACTTGGCCAGCTTCACAGTAAAGACGTTATAGTTGACCCACCTATCTCCAGGTGTGGTTGGTGTTGGTGTTGGCGCTTGCTTATATTCCGGATTCCAAAGGTATCTTAACCCTGACAAGCCATCGTAGTCTTCACAATGTATCGAGGCGAGGTACGTGTAAACTGGATTCGGTGAGGGAGGTATATCACGGATAGCGAACAGAAGTTTGATGATAGCGTCATGCGATTCCGAGAACTCGGCTACTGTTTCTAGCAATAACCGTACGACGTCAAATCCCTCATCTTCAGGCTTCGACGACGAGGTGCGGACGGAGTCCAGGATTGCTTCCGCAGCAGATGCAGGCGAGGTGTCGTTCGAGACAAGACCTGCTAGGATGCTGCTGCATTTTTGTCGGGCGGAATTTGGCCTACTAGAGCTCGCCTTTTGAATCAGCCGTTGATCCATGGCGAAGAGTTATGCCTGTGAAAAGTGTTGGTGTGGTGTTGAGATTGGAACCACGGAGCTTCTCCTAATTAGGCAGCTGTCTTGGCACACCCTGCGTCATAACTAACATTCGGCACTAATCGCAAGGCTCATGTGATGGTTATTTACGCACTTGCAGCTAGGTTCTCGATAACTAAAGTTATGTACAGCATTGTTTGATTTTGACTAAGATGCGCTCCACAGATCGTTCTTCCCTTTCCATGTCACCTTACTCCTCGGAGAGGACGTCCTTCTTCTCCTTTGGGGGCCTGAATCCACAGTATAAGCAAGTGTCGGGGTATCCCGCCCATGGGCTCCCCTTGACTGGTACGCCACCGTTTGCGGTCCACATGTTGACTGGCTGAGGGTTCTGCTTCGCCTTGGGGTTGACGCCGACATCGATAGTAGCATACAGGCCGTCCTCGATGGTCTTGCCAATGAGCGAAATCTTCATCACTGGATCATCGCCGCCTTGCTTAGCCATGTTGAAAAGTGGGTCTGCTGCGTTGGTAGTAATGGCTTGCTTGTTGGTGTTGTAGGGAGACGTCTTCTCCACTTCACCCATGAAGTTCTGCTCGATATAGAATTGGCCAACGTGCGAGATGGTACCGCCCTGGATGGTGTTGTTGGCAAGGAGCTTAGCACCATGGTGGATGATGGCTGTGATTGTTAGTATCGATGTATGTGCGAAAGCTGGTAGTGAGGCTCACTGTGGAGATGATTTGTGCGGCCAACATAGTGCCCTGGGATCAAGGTGATGAAGGTGGCGGTGCCGTTAGCACCAGTGGGCTGCACACCCCGAAGAGCATTGGTCGCAATAGCAGTAGCAGAGCCATCGCCATTACCTTTTGCCTGAACACCGGTGTAAACACCAGTGGCGTTGCTTCCCCACATCTCGACGTAAGCATCGGTGACAGGCTTGCAAGACGAGGTGTCGATGATGTTGATATCCAAATGAGTGATAGCACCCTTCTCTCCAGTCAAGATATCCTGACGGACGAGCTCACCGGTAACCCCTGAAAACTGTGAGCAAGCCCGCTTCGTCGGGTGTGATTCTCCACTTACAGTAAGGGCCTTCAGTAGCCTCAGGGTCGAGCGTGCATGCTGCCTCAGCACCGTAACTTTCTTCAACTTCAGCAACGTCGCGGCGGACAAGTTCATGTTCCTTTGCGAAACCAGCTGCGACCCGAAGTTCGTGAAGCCTGGCCTCACGTCTTTGGTGCTGCTCACGAACCCATCCGGTCTCGACGAGATCCCGCTTACATGCCTGAACACTTCGACGATTCGGGTGATCCAAATGAGCCTGTCGCCTCAAGATCTCCCTGTTGGTGTTGCCGCCAGGATGCGCGACAACACCCGTAGCCAAAAGGACGGCGGTAAAAGCTTGTGTGAGCTGAACCATGATTGATGACGATGTTTTGTGAACACGAAGAGTCCCAGGACAACCCTCACCATGCCATGCTTTCGACCTTTTTATACGTTTGGCTCCCTGCGCGCTGATGCGTCACTTCTGCAGGTGCCGTCAACATCGTTCTGGATCTACGGATCTGTGCTGTCGCCATTCTCGTCACCGCACAGTCTAAACGGTTTACCCTGTTGTGTGCTACTCTCCACAGATTGTCCAGGATGATGTCCATAATCAACATGGTCGTGATAGGCAGCGGCAATTGTTCGCTTCAGTACACGCGCCGCAGCTATATTGGCGTTCATCTAGTGCCCGATCTTGGCGGCGGGGGGAATGTCGCATGGTAGTCTTGGTACGACTCTCCAGGACGTCGTGTGGCTAATGTGAGCCAGTCGCATATTAACCGGAGGCTCCACGCTTGGTGATCGGTAGTTGAATGCGGTGTGATGCGTCCGTGTAGAGATCTAGTCCTAGGAACACGGATTCGGGAATACAGAAGCGAATATTTTTGTGTGTTCATAGCTACGTTAGCTACCTTCTGATTTGAGCTTGATCCGATGTTGTTGAATGCTGCGCGTGGAGACCGGGACAGAAGATCATGGACCTGACTTAGCCAACCTCGGTTAAGCGAAAGGAGGGCGGTTGGATTTTATTGGGCCTTGGATGTACTGTGGTATGTACAGTTGGGCGGCCAAGACACCATCTAGGTATACGCGTGCATTAATGAAGACCGGTAGGATTATAAGGTGGAGCAAATGACATGACCTGTATTGCTCAGCACCAACAACGTCGTCGCACGGATCGGGCCCATGATGCCGAGTGTGCGTGTCTCATGTGCCAGGCACGAAGCGGATCCTTGTAGCTGCGATATGTGACATGGTTTACAGTCGTCACTTGGCCTGAGAGCGGCACTCGCAGGTGGCTCAATTACTCATCCGCTTCTTGAGCGCTGAATCGATTCCAGAGACTGTGCAAACCGGTTCCGTGGCGGGCTTAATCATCCTGAACTGAGTTTGTGCAGCTCATATGATTGTAGAGAGCCTCTTTCTCGGATCTCCTGCTCATTGTGGGTTACTCTCCGACTCTAGGGTGTCGATTGCCGTTGCATTACCCTTCAGACGATGCTTGTCGGCTCCTAATAACTCTTCCTTCGCATCTCGACATCCGATGCGAAACTTCTTTGCATGTGCATGTGCATCACCATCCTGGTTGAAAGATAACGACCCTTTTATACCTCTACTGTGAGCTATAGTCGACTGGAAGAACTCGATGGAGCGAAGGACTCCATTCTGGGACATGTGTAGGATTCGATCACCGCTATTGGCAGCGGAACTGATATGAACGCTACCAAAGGGGCAGATAACGCGAGTGATCCTGAGAAGAGACAGTGACAATAGGAATATGTCCACTTAGCTCCATGTCTTGCATATCCGACATGCCGTCCTCAAGTACTGGCACGCAGTGGCGGAGCGTCTGCAAACACGAGGTGGCTCCTTGGGCATCGACGTGGAGAGATAGTGATCTCAAGCTCCTAGTACAAAGATAAGAGACATATTTGGTACATTGAAGTTGGTAGCCGTAGGTATAGCGACGTAGGTTGAGGTTCGTGTCTTCATAGCGCTTCGAAGCCTGGAATGTTCTCCCTGAGCTACGAATTGCACTAGTCCACATTGATCCCCACACAAGCGAGCCGTACCCGGCGGCCCACTCTCCGTACTCCTGGCCGAAACACCAACCCTTTACAGCTGAAACCCACAACGCCAGGACAGCCCCGACACCAGCGTCTTGTGATGTTTGGTAGCGCTTTCGCCAGAGCCACGGTGACGCGATCAAACCAGCGCCACACCTGCGTAGCACGTTGAACGAATTACAATGCTATAGCAAGTCCATACGGGGTACGCCCTTGCGGCAGTCACGGTAGTGTCAGCGTCTCATGCGCACGAAGTCAACTATAGTGGCGAAACGCGTTGGTGTCTGGAGGTGATGAAGAAACGACGAAACATCGCAATGCTTTTGTAAAACCAATTTAGGCGTTCATGCTTGCTATTGCTAACGTTTCCTTTACTTCAACGTTGTCGCTCCCGCCATTTCACAGAAGCATACATCGATATGGCAACCTTTCTCAATTCTCCGAACACACCCGCCGTCGCACATACATTTTATCATGACGATAATATTTCTCGAAGCCACAAGGCAAACCTCTCTGGAGCGACCATGTTGGATCTGTTGAGTGGTCCTGAAGGATCGATTGCTGCAGCCTACGAGTCTTCAAGTTTGCACCAACGGACTCCAAAATCGAGACGACCTTCTCAAGCATCAATCACTAAATCCCAATTGCGTCAGACGAACAGGACATTGGTTGAAATCATTCATAGCGTCCAGGCTGAGTTGGCGACTCAGAGAGAAGCAATGCTCGATATGGAGGCGCGAATTGTTCAGCTCGAGAGCACATCGCAAATCAAGATCCAAGACTTTGCGCCGCGCCACACAATTGCTGGACACCGCAAGCGGTCTCAGATCAGAAGCAAGGAAGGTGCTACCCGCGAAACACAAAGAAGCTGGGATGCATTCCAGAAGGATGCTGATATGCTTGGCCCCCCCATCATCGCAAACGAATTCTGGAAGTCACCCAGTCGATTCTCTGGTTTCAACTTCGGCTTCGACCTGCTCGAGACAATACCAAAGTCATCACATCCTCTTCCAGATGTGGATGATGTTCCGGATCTCACACCGGACGAGCAGCCACAAGCCTATACGCCAGGACAGCGCCGGATCCCTCCTAGGATCACCCGCATCAGGACGGCAGATCCCACGACTATGTATCACGATGCTGTGAGCGATATCAGAGAGCACGTCATCGAGTTCGACAAGATTAAGGTACCTATGCCACCGAAACTCCAAACTCCGCCACGAAGTGCGCGCAGCAGGTTGGCATCGGTGCACAGCCCGGACGATGAGATCACGGCATTGCCGCAGATTCCACTGGTACCAGCTGCACCCACGCACAGCTCACATCGCAGTATTATGAGTATCAAGAGTCTGCTCCTGTACAGAACCTCTTCGAAAAGTCATAAAGCCGATTACGCTCAATCTGATCATCGCCGTTCAGGCTCGTCTATGCGCTGCTGAGCAGGCTGTAGACATCATACGCGGTGCTCATCGTCGCCCAACCCGAGCGCATCGTCTCAGAACATAGACCAGAACAATCCACGTGGAATATCATTTTGACGCTTCTTTCTTCTCATGACCGTTGATTGACATGCAACTGTTGCCTGCTTAGAGAGACTTACCTCGGAGTTAAGGCGGCTTGGCATTTCTCGCGCTTTCCACCAACGAAAACGTCATTATTTGTTCGCATATATCATCGTTCCGCCTTCCGCCTCTCCAACGCCAACAACACTGCAAAGGCACACACGCAAACCATGGCGTCCCTCTTACGGAGACCGTTCGCCATTACGGCAACACTGCGACAAGCTTCACCGAAATCACAAACCCTCACATTCCGCGCTTTCCACAACACGCCACTCAAGCAGCACCCGCACTTGTTCCGACCCGCAAAGCCCACGGTATCGACGTCGCAAAATGTTTCCAAGTTCCAGCAGGCATTCCGACGCGGATATCAGCAGGCTGCCTACAACCCTGTAGCGCAGGGAGATATGCGACAGCGTCTGCTGTATGGAGGTGGCATCTTCGCGGGCACCCTGCTTGCGATCAATTTCATCTTCAATCGCGAGACACGCGAGGATGGCGGCATGCCGCCGTTCGAGCGTGAGTACCTCAACGACACCTTCATGCACACTGGTCTTGGTATTGGAATGATTGGAATCGCAGCCCGCGCTCTGCACATGAACGGATGGAGCTTTAGACTTATGAGCGCGAACCCGTGGCTTGTGCTTGGTGTTGGTCTCGTTGGCAGCATCGGAACTATGTACGGCACCATGGCCACTTCGCCTTCCAAGTAAGTATAGAGATCGGTCTTCGACAATAGAGTAGAGATGCTAACAAGATGCAGCTACGTCCAAAAGTACGCCCTCTGGACTGCCTTCAACGGTACCCAAGCCCTACTTCTGTCGCCACTCTTCTTCATGCACCCTGCCATCCTCGCTCGCGCCGGTCTCTACACTGCTGGAATGATGGGCTCCATCGCCTTCGTCGGCGCCACCGCCAAGACAGACAAGTACCTCTACCTCGGTGGCCCACTTCTCGCTGGTGTCGCAATCGTCGCTCTCTCCGGTCTCGCTCCCCTCGTCGTCCCAGCCACCGCTGCCCGCACACTCATGGTCACCGAGAACCTCTGGCTGTACGGTGGACTAGCAGTCTTTGGCGGCTTCACCCTATACGACGTTCAAAAGGTGTTGAACCATGCACGCCAGGCTCAGGCCGGCTTGATCCCCAAGGACCCCGTCAATGAGTCCATCTCGCTTGAGCTGGACTTTATCAACATCTTCATCCGCATGGTACAGATTCTGGGCATGAGCCAGAACAGGAGGAAATAGATTTATCTCGAGATGATTGCATAAGGAGAATGCGAAGCTGATCTATCAGGTCTTGCTTTTTCTTCGTTTCGTTGCATATGCTATGAGTTTTCACTATAGCTGTATATTACTCCTCTCTTAGTTCTGTTAAATATCATCAATGAACAAAAACAATCGAAACAAACTTCACCATACAGCTTTAATCTCAGCTTTCTCCCTGTCCTGCTCCTTGTCCTTTTCGTCTTCGTCTTTTTCCTTATCCTCTTCCTCCTCTTTGCCTTTGTCCTAGCCAATTCTTCCCCGCCATTTCATCTCTTTCGGTAGCAGTCAGGCAAGATCGTCAATGAAACCCTCCTCAACCTCATCAGGCTCCTCACGCACCACGGATCGTACGTCGAGCAAGCCCGTGTCAAGGCGTTTTGCCTTCATTTCCGTTAGTGTGTATCTCGAGTGCTGTCTGCATACCAACATACCTAAAACAAGGTCTTTGCGTACATACCATATGCGGGCAATCGGCTGCCTGGTATGTTTCTTCGTTTGAATTGGTTGGCATTGCAAATATTGTATACCAGATTAGTCGTGGTAGGTTATGAGTTTGAAATTTTTTGGTAGTGTAAGGGTGCGGTGATGCAAGTGAATGTGAGTTACGAAATTTCTAAACCCTCAGACAGGTGAGGGTGACAGGAGTTTCCACGGGCTGTAGGACGAAGATGAGCGACTGGGTGAGATTGAGACGACGTAAAATGCGAGGAGGCATGCAGCTTAGTTACTTGGAGTAGCAACAAAATACCAAGCGATCGACGCAAACCGTTCAATAAATCTTCTGGATTCCAAAGGGCAAGAAACTTTGAGGGCACTGGTCGTGAGTACTATCATGCACTCTTATCAGGCATATAATTTCAACGTCCAAGTTCTACCATGTTTCAAGCCCAGCAATAGGGCAAAGAAATGCATTTCAATTGCATCTCAGCCATCTACAACACTTCCTTACTCCTGTCCAATCTTGAATACGTACTTGACTCCACTTGCCTTTCCATCTCTCAAATTCTCCAACCCCTTCTGCACACCTTCCAACCCACCAGGTACAACCTCATGCGGATGTGGTGTAAACCAACCCTCAGCCAATCCTCTCGCCATGTACCTAAACATGATAAACGCATAATCGCTGTCCTCGCCGTGCGCTGTGCCCACCATAGTCTGAGACTGCTTCACACTATCCGGAATACCCTCGTACTTCTTGCCCGGCAGGACCAAAGTGAGTTGGCCCTCTGGTTCGAGGACCTGGACAATGTTTGTGTAGGAGTTGTGTTCCGAGACGGCGTCGTACGCGTAGGGCAATTTCTGGCCTTTAAGGGCGTCCTTGATGCCCTTGACGACGGCTTCGTCTCCCTTGCGGTAATCCACTATCGTGTCGCCCTTTGAGCGGTCAATCAAGCCCTCTACAAACTTCTCGCCTTTACCCGCGACGGCGATGATGGGATGGATGTTCGCCTTTTGAGCAAGCTTGATTGCGAATGCGCCTACGGAGCCAGCGCCACCATACACGACGAGAGGAGTGGGCTCCTTGGCGGGTGTCCAGGGATCAGGCAGACCCATGCGTTGATGCAGGCCGATTGCCGCTGTCATGGCGGCAAGGGGGAGGGTGGCGGCTTGTTCAAAGGAGACGGAGGAAGGGATGTGGAAGGTAGTGTGCGCCCATCCTACGGCGTATTCGGCAAATGAACCACCAGGCGTCATCATCTCGTGGAAGGAAGCGACCCGGTCGCCGGCCTTGAACTCGTAGACATTGGGTCCAACACTGTGGACGTAGCCAGCAATGTCGTCGCCACTGTTGAAGTCGGGTTTCATGTCATAGGCGGGGATTTTCCTGGGAGGATGTGTTAGTTGAGGCTATTCGATATCTATTTGTGTTTGTGGACGCAAACACGAAAGAGAGAACATGACATACCAGTCCTTGGGATTGCTTCCGGAAACAACAACTTTGATGACGACTTGGTTCGCCTGTGGCTCAGGGACAGCGACGTCCTTGACAGTGACCTTGAGGTCCTTTGCTACTTGTGCCTCCTTCATCTTGTATAGCTCTTTCTGGTGCTGTTCTGAGATTGTTACAAAGTTATACTAGACTGCAATGCTACGTTGTCAAAGCTCAGATAGGACGACGTGATGTTGCGTTCGAGGAGGTCAAAGATATACCATAGAAAACGAGGCGCTTAAGCATGTTTAAATCTCTCAGCCTTATGGAAGCTTTCACCCTTGTCCGACGTCCAGAACGTGGCATTGTGGATTAATAATGACGGAATGTGGGGTATGTTAGTTTGAGTGGAGTTGAGCCAGTACGTTGTCGACGTCGATGACGCGACTTTTCGGTACTGATCCCACAACGGCCAATAGCCGAGATTGGCCGGGCTGGTCAACGTCTGCAGAGTCATGAAATCCGAGAACATGCATGATTGACTTCCAGCTCTCCCTGAATCACGAATCATGATATACGCCATGTAGTTGGGTTCCAGCGTACGATGGATTCTGGGGATATCCTGGTGTGACAACATGTGAGCGAGAAGCGATCGAACTTAGGCAATCATCATCACTAATCAAGGTCGAGTACGCGACAATGATCATAAAAGTTGAAGTGATGCTATTGACAAAAGACCCACAGCAGTACTCGCAAACAACTATACAAATACAAGCTGCACCCCAGATGCAATCGTAACCCAATGACTGACGCCCAGGGAACTGCCATGGGCAGGGAGATTACCCAGTAACACCGAACCCAAACCATCGTTAATGCGTCTAGACAGGGTTTTCGAGGATGAAGACAGATCCAATAAGACAGACACACCCAGCGCCGGATATCGAACGAAAGAAAAAGTCGTCAAAAGCCCCATCGATGTCTCCTCCAACCCCCTAAAACATCCAAATCAGCCAAGTCCGAGGCATATTACAATTATCGCCAAACGCTCTTAGAATTCGGCATCAAGCTACCTCTGCCGACAGACGAACTCCCACTCGTAATTCGAACGGCTCCCCTCGAATGCAGACTCGGTACTGCGAGTTCCGCAGTCCTCGGCCGAACGTCGTCACCGACATTCGCGACTGTCGTCCGTCTAACCGCGCCCTTCATGATGGGTGTAACGCGTGGGGACAAAACGCTGTGCTTCCAGTCAGCATCACCGTGATTGGATTTGACCATTCTGCGCGCCGCACCCGCGGAGAGAAGTGAGTTCTCGTTGGGCGGACTACCAACTGTTGTTGCTGCTGTTGGACTACGGCGGCGATGCGCGCGGTTTATAGGGACAGAGCCAGCGCCGTTGGTCGAAGAACGGCGCTTGATGGCGTGGCTGATTTGACGTGCGTCTGAAGCCGTCCATTTTTCCCCCTCGGAAGAAGAATCACCGCCGCTGTTTCCCTCGGGTGCTGGGACTGAGGAGGCGTTCTCTACAGTGCTTAGAGATGAGCGCGGGTTGCTGCCGATCTCGCGGAGGGGCGATGCGTTGTCAGAATCGGAGGTGTATGCGGCGTTGCTTCGAGATGTAGGGGACCCGTCTGAACGCTTGGAGAGCGCGCCGACTGCGAAACGTGACGAGCCTTTCAGGTCGACAGAAGCTTTAGGCGGCGTTGGAATAGGCGAAGATTCGCGGCTTCCACTCCCATCATATCTGGCGATAGGAATGGAGGTTGTTGAGTAGGCCGGGGGCGACCTTCCCATGGCAAGGGCAGGGTTTGTTGGTGTGCCTGCTACCTGCTGTGGTGTTGCTGAGAACTCTGCTAGGGTACCGTTCTCAGTGTCATCCTTCCAGCGCACTCCGCGTTTAGTCTTGGAGGGTGACTTTTTCTTCTTCATTGGCGAAAACTGGACGCCTGACTGTCTCACTCTTCCCATCAACTTTCGGCGTGGTGATGATTTCATAGGCGACGAGGTGAGATGCGACGAATCCGCCATAGCTGGCAACGACAGCCTTGGCATTGCTATTGGTCGCATTGGAGAAGACTGAGATGGTTCTTGAATGTTCACTGGCTTCCTCCTTTTAGGTGTTCCTTTGTTACTTGGTTCGAAGAACTCAGTGATTGGCAGACCCCCGTCTGGTCGGATAGCCTGTGAGGTCGCGTTCGTGCAAGCATTCATAATCTTCGTAAGCAGCTTTCTCGCAGCCTCAACCGCTTGGGCCTCGTCCATCTGGGTGATCTGGCTTATGATTGTGACCGTCTCGATGTGCGCCTGGATCAGCGCCTGTACGATGGCAGCATCGCCACCTCGTTCTTGATCCAGTAATGTGTTGAGTAATTCGCGGTCGGCATTCGATTTGAGCAATTCGTACTCTCTTGTTAAGTTCGCGGCGTCATGGCCATCAGCATTTCCATCCACCTCTGCCAGACCCTTCAGTCCAACACTCAGCGCTGTATCCATCTTACTTGTCCAGGCGGTACGCTCCAATCGCCGATGGCAATGTTGCCGCGTCTGCTCAAGCTCTGCCGATATTCCGACTGCGGTGTCCCTCATTGCCGTAACTTGAGAAGGCATCTCCTCATTTTCTCGAACATCCTTGACGTTATCAAACGCTGCGATCCACGACGAAATGAGCGAGATGCGCTTCTCTGCCGTCTTCAGAGTCCGCGACATGTTCAGTCGCTCACGGCGTTCAGGCTCAGAATCCGCATAAGCCTGGCGTAAGCGTACGACCGCGTCACGTACTATGCCATCCTTCTTCTCGCTTTGCTTCTGGAATTTGACCATAGCACTTCCTTCGAAATCCTTTTGCTTCTTCATCAACTCTTCAATCAAATGTCTCTGTTCATCAATCTTGACAAGGTAGTCCTTTACGTGTCGGTTGACATTGTATACGTTCTTGGTGACCTTGGTCTGGATGTTCTTCGCACGGTTGGCGTATCGAAGGGTGTTCTGCGTCTCATCGAAGTGTGCACTTGACGGACTAACACAGACTATCATGACAGTTTTACAGTTTCCGCCAAGAGAGAATTTGAGCAATCGCGTAAGTTTCGAGTTGCGGTATGGAATGTGGTTTCGTTTCCGGGGATCACACAGGGCGTTAATGCAGCTGCCCAGAGCAAGTAGCGATTTGTTGATGTTGGCACCTTCGGTGAGACGCTCTCCTCGGTTCTTGGTAGCGCTCGCTCGCTCACTACCTGCCAAGTCGATGATACTGAGGGTAGCCATAGTGTGGGGTTCGTTGACCGAAGCGTTGCGGTCCTTGGAGGAGACGTTGATCTGAAGTACGGCGTGCGATCGGGAGGAGGTAGCGTTCGCTTCGGTTGGAGACATGGTTCGGTATTCGTTGCCGCGGACAATGATGTCCATGACTTCTTGGACCTATGGTTGTTAGACGCTTGTCGAGCAGTGGGAACCGGTCACTCACGCTCTGCGGCCGATGGCTCGAGAGACCAGCGACGGACACAGCCTGGTTCGCATCCTCACGTAGCATCAATGGGTGCTTGCTGCCACCTTCCACCAATAAGTCGCGAATCGTCTCGTTGTAAATCTCCAGGTAAGAGAGCGTGATCTCGGTGGCCTTTTCATCCTGTATGTCCTGAATCTTCTCAAACAGCTCTTGCATGGTCAGGAAGATGATGCCGGGCTGCTGTGATGTTCCACTGGTGACATGTTAGTCCTCCTCAGAGCAACTAGCGGTGTACATGAACATACGTGATGGTATGCGTCTTTCCGCAACCTGTAGCACCATACGCAAAGACAGTCGCATTGTATCCATCCAGTACGCTGTCTAGCAGGGGCTTCGTGGTAGCTTCGTATACGTCGCCTTGGGAGACCGTGTCGTCGAAGACGCGGTCAAAAGCGAATGTCTGGTCCTTTGACCGCTTGCCCTGCGGACCTACAGTCGATCGTCCGAACCGCTGAACTGCGTTGTCTTCTGGGGGATCGAAGATTCTGGCATCATGTTAGCTTCGGTGACTGAAATGACACGAAGCCTCTCCTACAAGCACTTCTCGTCCATGACCTTGATGACAGGTCGGATCCCCTTATGGAGCTTTGGCGCTGGCAGTCCCGCCAGCGAGCCATCTCCGAGGAACAGCGTCTGGTCATCGTTCCTCGTGACCTGTGCTGCTTCCCGGATAGTAAAAGGGCGGACTCGTACGGTGACGGAGATGGAAGACGCGCCCGCGGCGGCCATTGTTGCGCCCGAGAAATGTAAGAAAACAAGGCAATCGCACTGCGCAGCCTCCTTGCAATGCGTATAGAGAAAAGAACTGCGAGCGAGGGGTTAGTGTTGCGGGCTGGAGTCGATAATGACGATGTTCCTTTCGGAACTTCTGTTATGGGACGCACGGCCGCTGGTAAACAGACAGGGATCTGGATGCGGCAACCACGACCCTGTTGCCAAGACCGTCCTCTTATCCCCACAATTTCCGACGAGGCTGCGACATTATCCGCCACATCTCTCCTGTCCTGCCAACAAGACCCACAACACTACTACCATAATCCCCATTGCTTCTTCAGCCTTGTGCGCTCGTACCTGTTGTCATAGCTTAGGTAAAGGGGCAAGAGTGGGTCATCACAGCAAGTGGAGAACAAAACGTGCGATGCGCATCTCACAATAAGATTTGAATATCATGCAAATGGGAAACATGCTTCCAACATAGCATCGTCAGCCTCATCCCTAACACCTCCTCCACTGGAAAGCATCAACGTCAATCACCCACGGGCCATTTACACTGAGCCAGCTAATCCAATGTCGCGGCCTACAATCAACCGCAATCAGTCATCTACTGCTTTGGCGCTGTGCACTTCTGCCACTGGACGTACACAACTTGGGTAAACTTGAGATCGGTCGAGTCGGTGGTGAGGAGACCAGTGGCGCTGGAGTTGGTGGTGGTCAGGCGGACCTGCGAGTTGATGTTGAGCATGCCGTTGGTGCCGCATGGCGCCCACACGACCGAGGTGCTGTCTGCTTCGTCGTGCTTGAGGTAGTCGCCGTTGGTAGGTCCATCAAATTTGTACTCGGTGGATGTCTGGTAAGAGAATTAGAATCTATATCAGAATGCTTGTGCTGAGATCGAGATTACCTGCTCGGTCTGGCCAGAGAAGTAGTAGGTCGACTTGAGTGTACCAGAGACGCCCTTTTGGATGGCAGAGTAACCACGGTAGTCGGCAGACAAAATGGAGTACTGGAAGCCTCCTGGGTATTGGATGTCAACGTTCAGCTGGCAGTTCTTGCGCTGCTCCGTAACAGGGATACCAGGGCCGATAGATGCAATGTACGAGTCGAAGATCAAGGTCATGATGGTCCTGTCAGCATTGATCTGGGAGCTCATGGTGCCTTGAGGGCAACCGGTTCCTCCATAGCTGACACCACGAATCTTGACCTGGGTTGTGTGAGTTGATTGCCTCGTAAACATGTACTAGGAGTCCTCGTACCTGGCCAGGTGGTGGGGCATCACCAAGCTCGATGTTAGGAAGCGCGGGGGCCGCAGCCGCAAGAGGGAGGAGAGCAAGGAGCCACTTCATGTTGATGAATCGGAAGATGATCTTCGGAGAGTGCTGAGTACAAAGCTGATGTAGTAGATGAGGCCGAGAGTAGAAGCTGGATGATGATCATCAAAGGGCGTATGGACTGGGTTATATACCATTGCTCCGGCACCAGCTCTTCACCTTTGAGTGTCTTAACCACTACCGCGGCAACACCATCTTGGTTGATAGCAGCTACGACCCGAGCGCGATAACAGCTGCCAAGAACTGTAGCAATATCGAGTACGATCCGACCGGCAGGCCGCTTATGCTCATAGGTCCAAATGGCAAAAGCTGCTCAGGTGAGTTCGTGTTTTTCGACTAGTTGTAGCGTGAATCTGTGTCTACACATCCTGAGCCAGCCTCCGGGCTAAGCGGCAGTCTCTGGGGTATGTGATAGACTCGTTCCGCTGTGCATATCGCTTCCAGCTGCCATGCTAACCCGAACCAAGATGGTGAGGCATGTTCATTTGAGCTTTCCGGGCGCGGCAATACTATATCCCGCATCGTGGCGGCTGTTCAGGTATCGCAAGTCAGCGGTGCATGCAACCTACCCGAGGACTGACTACCGACGGTATAGCTATCGATACAGACGCACACTTGTCGCGTGGACCGATAGAGCCTCTTGATAGTGGATACGGATAGCAGACTTGCGATTGCTAGGGGATACAGCGGCCATCACATATCAGATTATGGTTAGTGTACCAAAGTCCTCCCACGCAAGCAAGTCGCCATTCGCTCGAGTCATTGTTCGCATGGCCGGCGGCCAACGCAGTGGACATAGATATGAAGCCGAAATGAACTGAGCATATTAGCCTGGGGTACCGAACTCAGAATAGAAACACGGGGCCTGGAAGCTGGGAACATGCAGACCATGAAGCTGACCGAACAGCAAGGCAAGCTCCGCACTGATATTGGCTTTCATCTATTGATCCTGTACGTAACTCTGTGCCGGAAGATATGCGGAAGCGAAAACTGAAAACATTCTGCCTTTCTGAGACGAGCGGCCTGGCATTGCAAGCATATCGTGGTTGTGTTCATTTCGTAGATCTGGAGAAGTGAGGAGCTCTTGGCATGTAGATTAACCTTATATTAAAGCTTGTCGTTCCATCGGTGCTCGAGGCCCTGACATAATCAATATTAGCGAATACGATCTGCTGCCCTTGCAGATATCTGCCCTGGAAGTCTAGAAAGGCGTCTAAAAATAATAGCGGGAAAGTTAGTCACAACGCATGCATTCGACAGCTGTTTGCGGCACGTGGTGACTCGGCAACACGCCACGACCGAGGATTCATCGTGTGAGCCCAGGCCTGACTACTGCCGGTTCAGCAGCGCAGGATGTAACCGGCGTGAAATTGCCAGGTGAAATAGATTGAGGATTGATTGCATGCTTCGTGTCGGAAACACGACCAAGACGGTCAGCCGAACCTGCCTTTGAGGGTAAAGTTTTCGAATTATCAGTCGAGCGCGATGACAATAGACGGGATGTATACCCCTCTATACACGACCTTAATGAGTGTGAGTCAATGCCAGGACTCAGCTTACCGCCTGGACTCCAAGAAAGAGGAGAGAAGGAAACAGCAATTCCGATCGGTAGTACTGACATCAATGCAGCAACCGTCGCGCCATGACTCTCGCATCTGTACATTCAGACGCGTTCATAACAGGTCCTCAGCAGGACTTTTCTGGGCAGCCGGATGCGAGCTCAGTCGAGACGTGTCAAGTGTGTCCGTGAGCGCTCTATCGGGTTGTAGGTGACGCTGTGAACGTGGACCGAGCAGTTAAGAGAAAGGACAATGCTCCAGCAAAAAGTCAGAAGGACCGGTCTGTACATCGACGCCTTATCGCTAGGGAAGTATCTTGGACTTCAAAAATCGGTCGTGAAAGAATTCGCTGCGACTGATGTCCGGGTAAAGACGCGCAGCGAGACGGACAAAACGGAAAGTGCGCGAAATTCACCAGATACAACAGGGCTTCGACGCGTCGAAAATGGCCGTATGATGGGTCTTCACGACTTCAAAGTGAGCAGGAAAGCGACAGTTGCGCAGTCAAGAAACTACACATCTGACAAGTCGTAAGGTTCGCGAAGCAACTACCCCGCCACCCATGTGGTTGGCGCGTGGTGGCGTGGACCCTCCGATTTGTCACCCAGAATGATGGCATCATTGCCGCGGTCCATTGCCTTTTCCCATCTCAAGCGGCGAAACTGTCCCAATCGCTCATATACATAAAAACAACAAACTATCCTTACCAAAGTAATTCTCCCTTGTTATGCAAACACCACAAACTACGCCAATCTGAAGCTCCTTACAGTCTTCCTCTCCATCTTCCTCTCCTACCTTTCCATGTCCTTTCTGACCAAATTCTTCCGCCCCTTCAGCAGTATGTCGAATGCGCCCGCACAGCCCATGAACGTACCCTCGGGTGCGCAAACCGCGACCGTTGCCGCAGGATGTTTCTGGGGCGTCGAGCACATGTACCGGAGGGAGTACAAGGGCAAGGGCCTGTACGACGCGCGCGTTGGATACATTGGCGGCGATACCGAGAACCCAGGGTACAGAGCCGTGTGCAGTGGACGCACTGGTCGTACGTAATCACCTGTTGTGCGACGAGACTCGACACAAGCTAATCAAAAGAGCAGACGCCGAAGCCCTGCAAGTAGTCTACGACCCCGAAAAAGTCACCTACCGTTCCCTTCTCGAGTTCTTCTACAAGATGCACGATCCCACCACCGAGAACCGCCAGGGACCAGACGTTGGCACCCAGTACCGCTCTGCCATCTTCTACCACGATGCCGAGCAGGAGAAGATTGCGCGCGATGTTACCGACAAGGTGAACAAACAATGGTGGAAGGGTGGTGTTGCGACGGAGATCCTGCCAGCGGGGAAATGGTGGGATGCGGAACAATACCATCAGTTGTATCTGGACAACAACCCGGGAGGTTATGAGTGCCCCAGCCATTTCTTGAGGAGTTTCCCACCGCTGCAGGACTAGTGTGTTGGAACAGGATATATGATCGCCATATGCGCAACGTAGAATGACATGTCTCACGGCATACACATTTCACTTTTGTCGGTACCTGCACGTTTGCACAAGCGTTAGCAATAGATGCGCCCAAGTTGTGGTGATGATGATCTTGTTCACATTCCTAGACGATAAGATATATATCTACGATGGGGGCATAACCTCAAAAGTCTGCGCAACCTCCTTCTCCCAGCCGAGTCGATCTTTTCCAAAGATTTCCGCTCCAGGCTGGAAGTTTTTGATACCCTCGTCCAACAATCCTGTCCTTAGTACGATGCTATCGGGACCTAGGACTTCTTGCTGGTGGTATACATGTGTGGTGCAGTTTTTGCAGTAGAACTAACAAAACATTTATATTAGTAGACGTTCTCATCATGCCTTCGACAAGTCACAGAGAGAAAAGGATGAAGCATGACGTACGCAGTGAACGCTCTTTCCAGAGTCACCCTTGTACGTGTATTTGCCAAGGTCGTCGCCCTTGGTGATCTTGAGAGCCTTGAGAGGGATAATCTGGTTGAGTGTGTATGTCGAGCCAGAGAGCTCCTTGCAGGTGTTGCAATGGCTGGTTGGTCATTAGCTACTAATGTTTGATTGATTTCCTGGCCAGAGCAGGAAATTTGGATGATGCAAACTTACCAAAGGATGTGAGCCTGCTGGTCCTTCTCCAGGGTGGCAGTCCACTCTGTCTGCTTGCAGTGGCAGTGTCCCTTGAAGTCCGTCATTGTGATTGGTTCCGTCTAAGAAGAATTTCCGTATTGAGTTAGGAAAGACCAAGGTATAGTAGTCGGATGATGGACATCAGGGTAGTCGACAGATGGTATTTATACAAAGACTGCCCACGGACCCAACGTCCTATCTGCTCCGACTTTATTCCATCGACCCCCATCCATCTGGTTTTAGCCCGGTCCCTCCTCGTCGGAATAAGGTACTGCCAGCGTATCAGCAGCGGTTGCTCTGCATCCAAATCTCCCGATGCGGGTATTTGTCAAGAAAATGCGGGTGCTGGTGCTGTCATGATACATGGGGTCTGGTTATGACGTTCTAGGCTTCCTGCTATTATCGTGTCGGAATAGATGCCGTTGTCTGCCGCTGCCCTGAAGCTTCTGCAATGTCGGCAACTAGACTTTGACTACCGCTACGGACTATTGCACTACGAGTGCCGGTGGATATACTATCCGTAATCGGAAGAGATGGCAATTGAAGAAGGGAGAAGCTTGGGGCCTATATGAGGGGTAGTCCAGGCGCGTCCCAGCAATCAACAACGCGGTCGGGAATGACGTAAGCGGGGCATTTACAGCACAGCCGAGTAGCTCGATACTGCATTATTGCGGATCCGGTGTCTCGAAACGCGCTGAATTATGGGCGTGACGTGGCGAGGCTAGGCTTGAATTTCAAATCATACGATAGCGATGGTATGTTTGGGACTGTCGAACAACGGCTTGCCAAGTGTCATCGTATGCTCGCTTTAAGAAAAGAGTCGATGAGAGTAAATCTATCCACCGATATCATCTTCAATCTACTTCGAGCAATTGGTATCGTCCTCCATGCTTATCTAGTGCATCTTCCACCCTCTCCATGACAGCCAGTACCTTCTCCTCTTCGAGCCTCCTTCCTACAACCTGTACAGCTACGGGCAGACCGGCCATCTTCTGTGCGTCGTAGTGCTTGTACGCGCCTTGTGCGACACCATTTAGTTTCTTGAAGCTGAAGTCTGATGGCAAGGCGTCTTTGACAGGATCGACATGTGTCACGGGGATGATTCCAGAAGAATAATCGAGCTTTATTTCGTCAGTACAGGAAAGCAGTAGGTAATTTCGTGCCCGAGGAAGACTTACCAGGTTGAACATGAAAGTGTAACCGCAGCTACTGACTGCATCATGCATACCACCATGAGGCACGGCAGGCGTCGCGTTAGGTGGGGTGAGCATAACATCCATGTCAGCCTCCTCAGACCACCACTTGTAGAAGTTTGCCTTGAACGCCTCGCGCTTGCCGGCAAGCTGCCAGTACTCGTGTGCGGATTTCGGATGCCAGTCACGTAACAGGCCAGCCCAAATATCATCGCCCTTGACGTACTTCACGTACAGGTAGTGCATGTACTTGATGAAGCGAGGGAGGCGCATATAGTAGACTAACTGCGCCGCACCAAGATCATTCCATTCTCCAGTGCGGAAATGGCTCATGAATGTGTTGCCGCCATCACTGAGGAGGAGTTGAGATGCCAGTTGCAATGCCTCATACGGCGACGGTGGCTCAACATCAAAGACTTCATGGCCTTCCGCTGCGAGTGCTTTGGCTGTCTGGTCTAGAGCGCGTGCGCATGCTGGTGAAGGATCGGCGACGTGATCGGTTCGCATCACGCCTATGCGCAGCTTCTTCTTCTCCTTGAACTCTGTCTCGATGTCTTCCCTCCACTCCAGTGGATGGACAGTGTAGTCGTATTTCCAAGGCTTCATCTGGATGAAACTGCGTGTAAAGTACGTCAGGTCGTTCAGTGTTCGTGCCATGGGGCTAAAGACGGAGGGTATGGCTTCCTGACCTGCCATACTCGTGTTCATGCCCACTTTTGGCCATCGTCCCGTCGAACATCGTATCGAGTAGCAGCCGGAGAAGTGGGCAGGGGCGCGGACAGAACCAGCGACATCTGAGCCGATGCCAATGCGACTACCACCGAACGCCAGTAATGCAGATTCTCCGCCTGTCGAGCCTCCTGGCGAGTACTTGTCGTTGTGTGGGTTCTTGCATTGACCCCAGACGTCGTTTGTGGACTCGAACGAAAGAAGCGTCGTAGGCAGGTTGGTCTTGACAAAAGGCACGGCGCCAGCATCCTTCAATATCTTCACCATGACTCCATCTTCTGTAGCAGGTTTCCCAACATTCCTCGAATAGCCGACCGAGATATCGAAGCCCTTGACTTGTATTGAGTCCTTCAACGAGACAGGAATGCCGGCAAGTGGTCCTTTGAGATTCACCTCCTTCTCTGCCCACTCCTCGGCTTCGGGGAAGAGTATCTCCGTCACGCAATTCGTCTTCTCCTGCGCCTTTATCGCGACTTTGCCGTACGTGCGCAGGATATCGACGGGGCTGGTGATTTGCTTGTGGACATCTTGGACGAGCTCCTGAATGGGTTTGCCGAGGATGGACCGTTCTTGTGAGGACAGAGGGTATAGGTACGGTGTGGGAAGTGTCGCGATCTTAGAAGCGCGATCCGACTGCTTGCGCTTGCTGGTGGTGGAGAGTTAGCTTGTCGCGTCGGCGGGATTGTGTGGGGTGGGCAGGAAGCTTGGAGCAACTCACCAGTCGGCTTTGTGTTGCCAGTATTCCGAAAGACCCATCTTGTAAGTGGAATTATGAAGACGAAGCAGTCATGGAGCCCAAAGTCAAAAGAAGAGCTCAATGAACCCTCGGGAACGATTCCCAGTCACATGTCTTCTGAGAGCCGCGATTATGCGTCTTGCTATCTGGGAGCTGTGTCGCGTGGACCTGCCGCTTCGGAGCTGACCCGAGGTGGATTGAGCTTCCCGGCGGGGGAGCTCTTATCACCGCCATGTCAATACACGCCCTCTATCAACACCACGCCTTACGACAAGAGACAACCCCCACTCTCGGCCTTTGCACATAGATTCTCACTACATAGTAGCCAGTATGGCCTCCATCGACTTGTTACTGACAGCATCATGTATCGGTAGGTCGTATGGCAGGAGCGCTGCACTATGACAGCCACTAGGCATCCAGCACAACTCTGCATCACTGAAGCCTCACTTCCTACGTTTGACGCGGAGACCTATCTGAATCGTACACAGAGATCAGCTAACCAATACCAACGAGGTACCACCAACTCCCATAGCAAAGCATTGACGCATGTAGCCTCGCTGTCCTCTCATCACCACACGCGTCTCTTCAGCAACGCCATCACCAAAGCACAGAACTATTCTCCCAAACAATGTTTCAACTTTCCTCGCATCTGATTGAGCCTCAACAGATAGCTCCCGCGCGCGAGGTAGGGCGGGAGGTCGATGTGGGACCGCGGAAGTAATGCGACAGCCGCTACAGGACCTCTCACCCAGTCGATTCTGACATCAAACTGTGGCTCCACATTCTTCAGGTACCGCTCTGATTCTATGTACCTGAATGGCTTCCCCGGACTTGATGGCCTGGATTGTCAATGCGGTAACCGCTGGCGCACTGATGCGCGCCAGCTCGGACATTTTTTACAAAGTACCGCTTCTCGATGCTCATTGGCCCATGCAGCGACTACTCAAGATGCCATGAAACCACTGTGGTCCAGACACACGATGAGCAAGAATAGCACGATTTCGACCTTACTCTTTTCGACATGTTGTTGAGATGGCATACAACTCTCACTTGTATAAGATGAGCTGGACGCAGCGTCGTAGTAACATCATCAAACACATCATCAACCAGCTCATCACAACTCACTTCTCTTTTCGTCTTTTTTCGTCTTGTTTCCTTATTTCCTTGTTTCCTATCTGGGTCTCATTTATTCAACGGTCTTTCTTACCACGACACTCTCTCTTCTGCTGTGCAGACCGCTATCGCTTCCTTGCTGCATCAATCGCTTTGTCTGTCTACTTCCGTCTCCATCGGATCCTTAGCCACACCCACCCTACAACATCCAACTTTAGTCCGCCAACATGCCTGTCCCCAGCTACAACGCCATGCCTTTGAGCAAGATGTTCCTTGGCGCTCGCGTCCTCCAGGCAATCTGCATGATCCTAATCATTGGCATCTGCTCCAACTTCATTCAAATGATCGTCACAACCGGTGTTGAGCCCCCCAAAGAGTTCGTCGGCACACTGAGCGTGGTAAGTACACTTATGGCTTCTCGGTTCCTACTCCATTTCTAACATGCTTTCTCAGACATGTATCGCAGCCCTCTACATCATGGTCAGTGTAGGCTACTACTGGTCGCAAGCCAACCTCGGTCTCCTCGTCATGACGGGCGTCGACTCCCTAATCCTCATCGCCTTCATCGTGTGCGCTGTCACTCTGGGAAAACCCATGTCTTTCCTCAACTGCTACGTCATCGGCAAGTCTTCCGCAGAAGTTGACACGATGTACGCCAACGCTTTCGTCACGGCGACGGTTGAGAACCTGAACAAGAGCACGAGCAGCTTGGGTCATTGGGCGGGTGTTACGAGGAGCAACTGCTTCCAGGCCAAGACTGTCTGGGGCATGGCTATCGCGCTTTGGTAAGTCTTGAGTGTGTTCGTCATAGTTGTTCGAGTACTAACATAGCTCAGCGTACTCTTCACTGTTTCTTGCGCTCTCCTTCCTACGCTTTGGTACAAGAACAACATGAAAAAGCCTGCCAAGACCGTCGAGGAGGCTTAAGCATCACGAATCCTCGACCTTTCATACAATCACGAGACACAAAGACTCAGCAATCGAAAAAGGAATGCGCCTGACAATAGTGCTGTCTGCCAGTTCCCCCTCCTTCACCTCACTATCAACACAAAAAACTCATGTCTTTCTTTTATCTGTCAAAAACGCAAAAATAGTCTGCATTGCGAGGGAGTTTGGAGTCGTCTATCATCGTTTTTGTTCTCTTCTTCAGACATTGAATGTCGATAATCCTAATGGATAGTTTTGGGCCTAGTTGCTCTATAAAAATACGATTATATGAGTCTATTGTCCTGTGTATGTGCTACTGTAATCGATCCAACTCACTCCAATCACTCCAGCCATCTTTTGACTCCGTCCTCGCTCGCTTACTGAGCTACTTGTCGCTGTCGTCATATGGCCTTCCATTTCTTTGTTCAGAATACGCACTGATAGTTGGACTTCGCTTGGCTAGCGTCCGCCCGCACTATCTTTTGGCAGTGCTTGAATGTGGCATTCCGCTTGGTGGTTACCTATCCGCTTGTAGTGTGCTCATGAATCTTTTATCCACTACATCTGTCAAAGTAGTAGTCATCACCGGTTAGCTTGATGCCGCCTCATCACAAGAACGAGTGAATAGTGTTTACCGACACACCACTTCCCATTCACTATCATTCTCCGCAAACCATGGCGGGCTTGAATTCGAGCTCATGGAGCTGTCTAAATTCATTCAAACACATCTGTCGATACGACATGCCCGGCTCAAGATCTCCCTATCGTGTCCCACTTCGATAAACTGCACGCAGTGCACCGCTAGAATCATTCAAACAGATGACTGTCTTCAAAGTATAAAGTCTATATCATGAGCTCTCTCTTTACTCTTTACTATACTCCAATAATATACATTCAGGCTTTGTGAAGACACCAAGACTCTCCAACTACATCCTTCAAAACTAAACGACATCTTTTCCATAAGTCAAGACTAGCTCTACCCCAACAGCATCCACGGAGTAGCCCCTACATACACCATTCAACAATGTGTAAACAAATCTACCATTGTTGTACCAACAATAACGATCCCACTGCCCGCTGCACAGAAAGAGTGGATCTAGATGATCTAAGAAACCGTGAAACATGCCCCAAAGCGCAGGCTCGGGTTATTAGTGGGAGTGTGCCAGTGGCCGATATGTGGGGGGCATGTGGCGATCCGGATTGGCAACCATATTTGGGGAAACACGGACGTGTCTGTCTAGTATGTGGAAGAAATGCCAAATTGAGAGCGCGATCAGCTGATGTGGTGCTTGTAAAAGCTGGAGCGCAAAAGGGATCTGTCGGAAACTGCCCGTACGAGCCGAAGGGCGATGATGTGATTTCGAGAATGGCACGTGCTTACTACCATACGGGGTGGTACTGGTTTCCTGAAGAGTATGAGACTTGAGTACGTTTGCTTGGGAAGAAAGGGTCATGCTCGGGTGTTTGCGGGTTGATGTTCGTGTTTCCGGTGGGAAGAAATATAGGTCGTATTAAATTGTGTATATGGGTTTTATTATTGAGAATGGAGGCTTGACTGAGGCGAGAAAGGTTATCCTCAGGAGGAGTTCGAAGCTAGGTAGTCGTATTTTGATACATGAGGCGGTAGAAACCAGAAAATGGAAGTCTTTTCCTCCATCTAGCTGGATGTTAGCAGCACCCTGATGTGCACGGTGTCACTTCGACTGAATATCATGTGTCTGACGTTCTACAGCCATAGGATTTGCACTGGGACATCCTATACGCCGTGCTCGTAAAGCATCTCACTGCTACCACCAACACTCCAATAGCTACCATGGTCAACAAAGACAGCGACTAACGTGATCGTTCCATGGATTTTCACTACGACCACATCACTCACACCATATGCGGGTCTGTCGACAGATTTATCAGAGAGAACGTGGTGTGCTAAATCATTGAACGAGCCTCTAGCTATCTGGCACACGCAGAAACGGCACAACCCTGTGAACCTTCCAACTTCCAAAGTCCGCCCTTTCATAATTTCAAGCTGGAAGGTGACAAACCGAAAAGCCTGGCGAAGTTTGCGACACAGTGAGATCCATGACCGATCTCGGCTTTTCGAGATAATCAATCATGAGCTGCGAGCAGTGTTTTGTATGCGTCAACGCTCTCACATGAAGATCGAGGTACTTCTGATCTTCCTGATAGCCGCGATGCAGCCGTCGCCACATGAGCGCGCAGTGCACCATATGCTCCCGGATCTCCGTAAAGTAAGTGTTTGGCGCAACCACGTCGCCCATTTCGTCTTCGGTAAGGAGGCGCTTGGCTTCGCGTGTTTCGTACGCTTGCCATTTGGCGAGACGCTTGAAGTCGTCTAGGTTCTTGTGGTCGATGCATGGGTTTGGCACCCAGATATTAGAGAGAACGTCGTAGGTGCAGTCGTTTGCTCTGGCGGTGGTAGAATTTGTGCCGCAGTCGAGGGTTCTCATGCGTGGTGGTTGTGGGGGGAATGGACGGATGAGGTAGCCGAGGAGGGTTGTGATTGCTATCGCAAGGAGGAAAACGACAGCATGTAAAGTGATACTTCTTCTCCAGTCTCTGCTCTTGGAAGGCAAGAGCTTCAAGCTGTGCGGTTCTAGTAATAGTCTTTCTTCATGCGAACTGTCTTGCGAACTCTCCGTCTGCTTGTCGTCATTGTAGGACTGATTTGGAGACATGTTCTTGGACAGAAATCTACTCGATCATCAGTCTATGGCGGGAGTTCAATCGAAGATGGTATAAATTACCGTCAGACTCTTGCAATCCACCGGCGGATAGTTGTATGTTTTGACACCGCTGAAGTCGCGAGCTTGAGTAAAATTGTCCTTTGACACTAGCATGTGCCCAAAATGATAGATTCAAGAAAAAATGTGAGCTCCAGAATTGCTGCCATGATACAGCCTAGAGTATGGCTTGGATACGCGATAAGCCATCTGGTACATCGCTTCTTCTCATCACGTTGAAGAGTACAGTCAGCATGAGTAAGCTTTTCGGCTGCGGGCCGATGCGCTTTCTACTAAGAACTTGCTGTGTCCAGTATCTGAGTAAAGACTAAATGATGACGATTTAGTACCGATGCATGTCTGAGTAGTGCCTTCGAGATGCGCTTGAATCGTTGTCGCAGCGGCTGTCAGCCCACTGGCGCCATCCACAAGCATCTCGCTCAAGCCACAAAGCTTGCGATCGAGAACCACATTCTGCCGCCCAAACACTGCTGAGCTTCATATGTGACTGTATATAGAATGATTTGTCAGCGCCAAGTGGAGAATGCGATGTCTCTTGTCGTGGCTTCTTCGATGCGACACGTGTACAGCTACTACGCGCGGCGCGTTGTCGACGCGTTCGACCCGCTCCTAGCACGTACATCATCTCACTTGAACACTTGAGCCGCTACGATAACCCCGGCTACCCTATCATGTTGATCGGGGCGCCTTACAGCATGGGTCATCTTGCGCTTTTGCCTCTACAACATGAGATCCACTAGCCATCCTCCTCCTGGCCCATTCATAGTGGCGTTCACAAGAAGCGACTCGCTTCCCGCCGAATCTCTCTCAACCGTGATAATCGCTCCTTCATCCTCTATCCTCTTCATCGATGCAACTTTGGTTTCACTTTGTGCGTTGTCGGTCCAGCAAACACGCATGGCGCCTCGACCTTCATGGAGATGCCCAAAACAATGCAGCCTCGGCTTGACTCTCTGCACCGCGTTTGCAAGCTTCTCGCAACCGCAATGCGTTCCGTCGTGACCAACATCGAGGTCGTATTCTGGATTTACTGGAAAGAGCGGAGGACCATGTGTCATGACAACATCGACCCCAGCGGCTGCCGACTTCGCACCAATATTGAACCTATCCTCCTCTTTGCCGTATGCGAAAGCGTATCCGTTGAACTCGGGTGTGTAGGGGCTCGCATATACACTGAATCGTCGTCCGTCTTGGAGAGTGAATGTGTGTGTACCTTCGTCAAGGTAGTGAATCCCATGAATCTTCTGCTCCTTCATGAATGTGATGCATGCTAGATGATCGGCCATGTCTTCCGGCATGTTCTCACGCACCCAGCTCTCGTCAAGCTCAAGATCGTGGTTCCCAGCGATGACGAGTTTCAGTTCCGCATCGACCGATTTGATATCTTCTACTGCGCGCTTGAAGCTAGGAAGACCGCCGACTTGCGTAAGGTCGCCGCAGTGTAAGAGAACGTCGACTTCTAGCGCCGGGTTGAATGATGAATAAGGCCATGCTCCGTGGGTGTCAGAAATCGTGAGAAAGCGGACCGAAGATACCATACTGGATATCGGGCGGTATAGAGATAGTGATATCGAGTAGATTGACGATGGGGGTCGACCCGTGTGGGTAGTCGTACTTCTGTTCAGGATAGCGCGGTGAGACTGGTGTAGAAAGAATTAATTAAGGCAATAAGTCGCTTTGTACTCACTAATGTCCGTGAGTCACCCGGAGCTGTACGGTTCATCCATGCAATGGTATCCAGAACCATGGTAATATAAGCGAGTTTCGACAAACGATATAACACGCAAACCCCGTATCAGTGATGCACTCTCCTATCATGTATTGGATGTATCAATACAATATAGTTTGTTGCGACACGGAGGATGCGTGCGACATGATATAAGCAGTAGAAAAAACGGTGTACAACGATGTGAAAAGAATCAGCCCGTGAATTTGATGGTAACCTCAGCCACCACCACTATCCCATCATTTGTCCTTCCTCTCTTGCGATAACAGATCCGACTCAATATCTCGAATCTTCTGACCACCGTGATTTGGCTTAAGCCAGGACAACTTTGCATCCACCTTGTCTTCCAACTGGCGAAACCTATTAGCATCGTGCGGTTGGCCAGGTAAGACGTCGCAGCAACTTACAGCAGGGTATTTTCTGCATGTCAACCATACGAGCATTGTGAGACTCAGTGTACCGGACATAAAAACCAGGTACCACCACCATGGTGGGTTGTCTGCGAGAATATTGACATTCATGCCAAACAAGCCCTGGTTGGAATTAGCAACAAAACTCAGCCAAAAACTGTGACTCAGGTATATCACGTACCGAAACAAAGGTGAGAGGAAGAAAAACAAACTACAAAGTTAGATCTGTTTGAAAAGATACCCACCTTGGCTTACCGTAATCCAGCTCAGTCGCTTCATGCTTATACTTAACGAATTCGATTTCTGTGATTCCCTAATAGATGTCAAGTTGAATTCCTGGATGAGAGTCAGCGTCATGGTCTTTCTGTCTTCGTAGTAGATGGATGCAACAACGGCATATCCTGTGACACGTTAAAGTGGAGCTTACCAGTTGGATGAGTGCAGATGAGTCTTCGTCGAACTTATCAAATCGAGACTGGATGGTACTTGAGAATTCTTGAATAGTGTTAGCGACCAGTTTAGAACCTTCGTCTTCGTAGACCTTATTCTGATACCCTTTAAAGAAGTTTTGAAGGGTGTCGACTTGGCCACGATGCCCGCGCCGGAGATGTATCCACGTAGTTGCATCCACCAAGAGTTCATCAATGACACTGCGCGACTTTCCGTTTGCATCGAGCACACGGAGCCGCTTCAATTGTTTGTAGACGTCAGCGTACACAATTATTCTATCTTGCCAGCACGGGGCAATTTCGACTTACAAATTTGAGAAGGTAGATGTCGATCTGATCACAAAACTTCAACCAACCCATTATCAGCTCCTTTATGAGGTCGTCCAGGAATGCCATCCCGCTATTTGGTATCGAAACCTTGCGCAGCGTACTCCAGTGATCGATGCTGACCCAACGGTTGTTACCACCCAGATCTGGACGTATCTCTACATTCCAACTGATCATCAACTCTTTCAGCCTGTATCCGAAGAGGTTGACAGTCCCAGATGGTGCTTGAGAGGGCACACCAGCGAAGATTGAGCACCGCTGTGTGTCGTGATTCGGAGAGATACCGTATGCAGGCAAGATTGGGAAGGCGTAGATCAAGGAGTTGATTTTCCAAATTCCACCATCATAGTCAGGCCAGTAGCTGGAGTTAGGGAAAGTCCTAGTACCCAAGGTTAGTGGCCCTTAGTAGGCCAAAAGCGAGTAGTCAGACAAATACTTACAGTAATCTTCTCTTCAAATACTGCATGGGAAACTCCTTCATCTGAAAACGTTCCATGTTATGGAAACATATCTCTTTTCTTCTGAGCATATCTTCTTCGAGCTGGATTATGAATGGTTCATTACTCTCAGTTCGCTTACCAAACGCCTGTAACCAGTCTTGTGCGGTTACCCGTGATGTATCAGGGGAGTGGTCTAAGAGCAAACCTATAACATCGCCATATCCAAGCCCTATCGCCAGCTCAACAGCTGTGTGACCATTCGCACCTTTCTCGTCGATATCAATGCCGCATTCGAGTGAGAGTCGAACGATATCCATATCTCTTTTGATCACACCGATATGCAAAGCAGAATTTGAGGCCGTATCCCTGATGCTTGGTCCAGCAGCTCGAACGAGAGCACTGGCCAGTGAGATTTGCTTGCCTTCCAGCAACCTTGTGAATGTTGTTCGATCCACAAGACTCAATAACTTCATAGCGTCTAGCCTGTCATACTCGATGGCGCACCAAAGAGGGGTTCGCTCCTTTGTATCCACCTCAGCTAGAGATGGCCTTTCTTCAAGTAAACGAGCTAGAACAGAAGTTGATCCTAGTTGTGCTGCGAGGTGTAAGCCGCTTCCAGGAAGGTCGAACCTTTGACTATAGCCTGACTGCGCTGGCTTTTGGTCTGACACTGACATGACCTGGTTGGCGGAAGCTACCTTATTGTCATCCATAAAGAATGAGCGAATGAGCATGGCTGGTACGTTTTGCAAGTCCTGAAGGTGATGAAACCAGTGCCGTGCCGCGTACTTGTACAACTTATAGTTTTGCAATCTCGACTCGTACTCAGCATCCGTTTTGCAAGGACCCTTACTAAACTCATCCAAGGCAAGATATTCCAAGCAACGCCTCGCAACCATGGTTTTGGCGTCTGGACACCAACCATCCAAGGTACTCAGAAGATACTGTGAAGCCGGTGAGAGTATGGCAAAACGATTGCTGTTTTTGTCTTGGTTGAGGATGTTGAAGTCCTTGCATAGCCCTATAAACTGCTCATAGTCTATTGCCTTATCTGAGTTCAGAATGGATCCATCATGATCTCTTTTGAGTATATATCGCATCTCAACTTCTCGTATGGGCCTCTTCATGAGGAGAAGCCATGCTAAAATGTCTCTGACAAAGTTCTGTTTCGTGTCGCCGAGCTCTTTAACTCTTGCGATGAACCGTTTGTAGAGCTCTTCGAGGAGATCTCCAGTGAATTCCAGTTTGGGTTCTATGTTTGCGCCTCTCATATTCATAAGTCCGTCCATCAGAAGTTTTGCAGCAAGTATCCTAGAAACGTGTTAGACAAGCTCGCAGCTTTTGCATGGTAACTCACAATTCGTGAGCATCTTCAATAACTCTTTTCTTCACACGACGTTCTACGATCGGTCTACGGTGAATGAATTCTGGCAGATCGTTCATCCTTTGCTCGATGTAAATGTCCAAGTCTTTTTCAACATTTGCGCCGCCAATTAGAATTTGCGGATCTTCGTGGAGCCTGCTTCCCTCATCTGGACTGGTTGTGAGGAGAAGTCGCAGATTCTCGTTCCTCAAATCGAGAAGGCAGGAACGCAGTCGGCCACGATTTTTGGTCATTTGATCTAATTCGTCTACCACGACGTAGACGCGATCGAACCTGCCGATTAATTCGGGAAGTATTTGCGACAACATATCTGCCTGGGACGGGTTCGGAGTTCTTTCACTGAGGATGTCCAAGACATCTTCCATGTGCGGTTGGTTGCGACTGCGTAGATACGACGTAGCCAGTTGCTGTCCAAGCTGATACAGTAAGCTTCGTAACAATTGCACCGCGTTACGTTCCTCTTCACCAGTGCCCACGTGCAGAAACGCAACGCCAACCCTACGTCCAAGGTTATCCTGGCGCAGGAGCGTATCCACGACAAGAGACGCGGCTGTAGTTTTTCCAGAACCGGGCCGTCCCACAAGGAGCAGAGTGGGCGGGCCATCCTTACGCCAGTCTTTGAATTGAGGCGTTTCCAGAATCCACTCTAGCGGCCCAGGTAGTCTTCTTGAGCCAGGTCGTGTATGTATCTCGGCACCACTGTTGTCGAGCCACTTCAACAACTTGTTGGCTTTGACTTTAGGCTGATCATGCTCCATCTTGGCCGCTCTGAAGCTCTAGCAACCAGCCACAGTATACACGATCCAAGCTGTTCTGCCGATAGATGGATCATACGCACGCCGTAATGTGATCATATGTCGTCAAAATGACACCACATTCTCAATTCAGGCTGCCAAGGCTGAGGCTGGAAGAATGTGGTGTAGGACAAGTCGAAAGTCAATAAACCACGATAGTGGGGACTAGCAACGTCGATTTAGCAGGCAAATTCGCAGTAGTCGCATGCGTAGCGTCTAGAGAAGGGGAGAGTTGGGAGTGGGTGAATCGCGACGTCGTTAAGATGTCTTAAAAGGTGAGATGATGGCGCAAGGCAGCTGCGACGCCGATCTTGAGTAGCTGCGACCACTTATCTGCAGGTGGCGCCCAACAACACTACAGTGGTCAGCCCCCCGGCGCTTATGAAATTTGGAACGTGACCGGAATCCACGCAACCAGTCGTTCAGAATTCCATTGTAGGCTACAATTGAAGGGCAATACGTGCACTCGAGTTCGTGGCGGCGGAAAAGGCTGTCGGATGGTCTCTATCTCGAATCAGTCAGCGTTGCTGTCCACCACGATACAGAATGTGCCCTTGCATCTGCTGGAGGCCTGATTTTGTTTGGAAACGGCCTTTGGTCTATGCTTTAGTACATCGTTACTATTGCAAATACTCACACAGCGAAGAGTTATCATGATAGCAGATTTAGCATTCTCGGTAAAACTCGCGCGACTCATTTCATCATACGTGACCCTGTTCTTGAAAATCGCACAGCAGAAATCCATCCAGCGCCTTGCCATGCCATACATGCTGAGAAAAGAAAACGCAAATAGCAAGTTAGATCCCAGGAAAGACACACCTCACATTCACAGCCTCCTGCCCCTATCCTCTTCCCCAGGACTCGCTGTCCCACTTCCATTCATCGACCCGTATCCATTGATCTCACTAGCATTCGGCATAAGTGTCTCCCTCGCCTCCTCAGCCTCCTCTTCAATGTTCTCCCGTTGGATCTTATGGCTCTTTCGCCACACAAATGTCACAAGTGCGAGACCGACAAGCAGCGCCAAGCTGAGCAAAATGACGTTGATAGGTACGGGATCGTTCTTGAAGGTCTTGTGCGTAGCAGCGTCAAGGGCAGATTGCGAGAAGTTGAGGACACCGGCAAGGCAGATGATGAGGCCGTAGACTTTGCCGAAGGTGGCGAAGCCGAAGACCTTGGCCGAATAATCGCTGGGAGAGGTGTTAGTAGAAGGTTTATATGCGGTGTAGAGATGACTTACGAGACTGCGGTATAGTATAGAGGTCGGTATAGCACAAAGAGGATGATGTTGGCGTATGCAGCCCATGTCTCCGGAATCACACCCAGTACTCCAATAGTTGTCGCTACAGTGACAAGTAGGGACAGCGTAAAGGTAGTGCTTGTGTTGTCGAGAAGCAGACCAATAAATGGAACTGACAAGACACCGCCCACGGGAAGTGCGACATCAAAGAAGTTGTTGATCTCAACCGCCTTGTTGTAGTCATGGAAAAGATATGTGTACTGCGTCCGGATTGTGGCGACAAAGTAGTTGATGCGCGTCATCTGGAGGACCGTGAACAGTGTGATAAGAATGAACCAAGGAGTGCGGATTTGCTGGCTGGCGGTGCGACCGTGTAGCGCTCCCCAAACACCTGAGATATTCTTTTTCTTGTCTTCCTCTTCAGCCTGCTTCTTGCCGTCTTTGGTGCCAAGCAAAGATGTGATCTCGCTGACAATGCTGTCGCGATGTGCTCGTCGCGCATCCTGTATGCTTCGAACCGTCGCAGCGTCTTCGATCTCGTCGTCTGAGTCGTGGATGACTTGCTCCTCCTCTGCGCTGGTAACGAGTTCACCAACTGTTTTGTAAGACACCGATGGCATGAAGAGGACTTGCACCACAAGGATAAAGGCCGGAACGATAAGATAGATAAGGAAGAACTTCTTGATCGAGAATTTGCCGTCTGTACCTTGGTAGACAAGTCGGTACATCAGAAAGATCGCGCTCGAGGTATCGAAAGCTCCGGTCAAAAGTGCCAAGATCAGTCCAGAGTACTGCGGGAATGTGTTGCTGAGCTGGAACGATGAAATGAAGATGAACGGTCCGCCCAACGCCATGAACAGATATCCAGGGATATAACCATCAAGCGGCAATTCCTTTGCGAACGCGAAAAGCAATGCGCCAATCGTTATAGATATCGCCCCAGTTATACCGCACACGCGTGGTCCGAAGCGATCGAGGATTGTACCGACAGGAAGCGCGACGACGTTCGTAGATACAGCGGCAATGGTGAACATGAGGTTTAGCCGGAGCTCCTGTTCGTAGCAGACGTGTACATCTTGATCCAGTTCTTCCTTTGTGCAGTAGTCTCTGTATACACCCTCCTCAAGTAGTACGGGTTTTATCGCGGCGTAACCGAAGACGACACCGGCGGCGAAGAGGCAGTAGATAACGGCGAGTAAGACCTGGACTACGCAACATTAGCTTCTGTGTGCCCATGCCAGGCCGTGCATGATACATACGCAGTCTCTTCCACTTAGGCACTTCGAATGCGCCTATCGTTGGCTCTTCGCCAGTTTGCTCTGTCCATGTGCCGACTGGGTTGAAGCTCATCTTCCGGTGCCTAGAGTCCGGGCTTGCCTCTCTACTCCACGGCTCATGCTCCTCTATCGACGTCACTCGTTGCGAGAGCGACATGGTGGGCTAAATTCCTCCTATATTACAATAGAAAATATCGATGTATTGCCCTCAGATGAGAACAGAAGTTGTAGTCCAGAAGCTCTCCAGCTGGCGTTTGGGGTTCACCCGGGTATGACGTCGCAATCTTTCTTTTCAGGAACCTCGGCGCAAGCAATTGGCCAACCAAACTACCTCGACAAAAGCACCACGGAACGAAAGTCCGCGATTGAGTATCCCGTGGCGCACAAAAATATGGGAAGCAGGGTCCTATATACCACAAGTACAGCGTCGAATGGCGCAAAGCGGGGACTTGCTGGCCTGCAGCCCGGGTGCATGAAGGCGCTGACAATCCGACGCGCTGGTTCGCGCGTGATCACAAATGCTGGGCTGTAAGGATTCTATTACGCAGTTTTATACCACGTGTGAGCTGTAAATGTGAGAGTAATGCGCCCATACTGACGATCTATATTCAATCGCACGCAGGTTTCTGCATTCCAAAGTTTGCCTTTGTTGTGAAGACAGGATACTGCGAAGCTCGATCGTGAAGCTTGCTGCCAGCTACAACCAATAAACGCGCGAGTCAGCCGCGGACAGGAGCTTTGGTAACCGTGCAGATGAGATGCCATCAAGCATCAAATTTTCTTCCTTTCCACCTCCACATGTTCGCTGAACGCCGATGCACGATGGACGCCTCCTGCGGGCGCTTTCCGATGCAGAAGCATTGAAGTTTGCGAGCACGAGTGCAACTGCAGAGTTTTCTATTGGCTTGCAAGGGGTGGGAATGTATGTCTCCGCCGGAAAAGTCTAGACTTCCGGGGTATACACTTGGCTATCGTCCCTTCGTCCCTTGAAGTTCCAAGGGTTTGGTCTTTGAGGAATACTAGGGCTGACATTCCGGGTTCTGAGGCTGGTATACCCAAGATTGAGATTCCCGGCCCCTCCGGACAGTTTAGGCTGTGGACAAAGACGCCGTCGTTACATACCAACAACATCACTTTCAGATATGCTATCGTTCCATGCGGTCGCAGAAGAAGCCTCGCTGAACGATAAGATCATCGTGGGCCGCGTTGAGTAGCTTATGCTTTCTTTGTACTTCATCTATCCAATGCAAGAAAGCAGGTAGGTGCATTACTTTCGGACGCCACCACAATCGAAGAAAACAGTCAATTTCTTGAAGTACGACCAAACGAGTGGACTAGGCTACAAGACACCTCGCATTTACCATAACATCATGCCCAACCATATCTGTCAACTACCATCTGGCGCCCAATTCCTCGTCATTCATCCAAGTCATGATCCCAAGCAATCTTGTAGGCTGGGCGTGATTGTTCACAGAACCGACGATCTGTAAAAATGGGAGTAGTGCTTTACTCAACGTCGACCGCATCAATCTTCTTCTGAGGCTCACGCTTCTCCACATCAACAGCGTCGATCTTCTTCTGGCGCTTTTCAACATCGACCGCGTCAATCTTCTTCTGAGGCTCACGCTTCTCAACGTCAACTGCGTCGATTTTCTTCTGGCGCTTCTCAACATCTACAGCATCAATCTTCTTTTGACGCTTCTCGACGTCGACAGCATCGATCTTCTTCTGGGGTTCGCGCTTCTCGACGTCGACGGCGTCAATCTTCTTCTGGCGCTTCTCGACATCGACGGCGTCGATCTTCTTCTGAGGCTCGCGTTTCTCGACGTCGACAGCATCGATCTTCTTTTGGCGCTTCTGTGCAAGTGGAGGTACGAAGTCAGCCTATGTTCTGCGCGGGTTTCGTAGTGTTATGGCTCACCTCAACGTCAACGGCATCGATCTTCTTCTGACGCTTCTCGACGTCTACAGCGTCAATCTTCTTTTGGCGTTTCTCAACGTCAACTGCATCAATCTTCTTCTGGCGTTTCTCAACGTCAACGGCATCGATCTTCTTCTGCCTCTTCTCGACATCCACAGCGTCGATCTTCTTTTGGGGCATTCGCTTGGCGAGCCCAACTGGAACGATAAGGTTGTTTAGAAAACTTTTAACACTACCAAGGTCGTGTGGCTTGCTTACTGGGTTCGACAAGGCCGAGACCATTGGCGTCTGCAACAGGTAGTGCAGAGACGAGAGTGGTCATGCCCATCAGGACGGAGAGGATGGTAGTCGACTTCATATTGATGGATGAGAAGGACAGACGATGCTAGAAAGATCGTGTTGGACTATGAATTGATGGTTCGTTTCGTTGTGATGGTGTTCAGCCTGTGGTAGGATGTTCTTCTTATGTACGACGAGGCTGTCCAGCCAGTCTGCACCACCAAGGACCTAGGTGTCGATTCGGCGATGTTCGAACCCAACTCTCCCGAACCTTACTCACTGGTACTCTCATTGAGTCTTACTCAGTGCAAATCCGGCTTACCTTTACTCCACTGAACATTCGCAAGACTCAGTGATGGTTTCGGGTAATTTCTACATGCTGAAGTTAGGGTAAGCGATTACCTTACAGGTTCCTCATTCTTACCATGGCACAAGGCGTAACTGATTGCTTACACGAATTGATGATGACTGTTCACAGACAGCTAATCATTGGGCCTTACTCAGCACGGACCAATCACTTTTACTCCGTTACTACAGCCTTGTGGGGGCTGCGTAAGCATCGACACTGGTCAGTAGTCACAACGAATGACGACGTACCTCGCTGCTCTGGATGGAACATTTGTTCACAAGTCTATCACATATGGTTCGAGTTAGCGACGAACAAATTGAACGTCAAGAACACGAGCACTGGTGTGATCCCTTCTATAGGCCAAGATGAACACATTCAGTATTGAGAGCGTGCATATAGTGGTGTGCTGAGTTTAGTTCCAGTGCATGTTCACAGTACTGTGCACGTGGACACCATGATCTTGCTAGCCCATTCGTCAAGCAAGGATCAGAACACAGGGATTTCGCTTTGGTCGAAGACGTGCATGTATCCCCGAGAGCAAGGCAATGTTTTAGATAGTCATGCTTGGTAGAAATCAACAAGTTGCCTGAACTTGGTTTAGACTTCATTCTCTGAAGATTACGGTGACGATAGCTACGTCAGACTGTATGCTTGTGGACACGTGCTTGATTACAAGCTATCTCGGCATTGAAGCCTTGCTGAGATTTTCCGCACTCGGACATTGAGTACTGAATTCTAGGAGGTAACGCTAGCCTTGCTAGATCCCTCGTCGAATGAGTCAGGATCCCTCAGTTTCTCTTCCTCATCACCAATCACAAACGGATCGAATTCCTCACCTTCCACATGCCCATAGCCCTTTTTGATGTTGGTGCGCTTCGCAAACATCATCATACTTATTGCCAGCATCTCAATAAATACCACCATCGCCCAGAGCCATCGTAACTTGATGCTCTTCCTCCCATGTAAAAGCCCAAGAAAGACATTGAGGTTTAAAGCCAGAAAGAGGATGCGGCCAAGATAAACATGAACCAGGGAAGATCTAGTCCGCTCTCCGTACTTTATGTAGTTTATATGGTGTTTGTAACCGAATGTGATCTGAACTGGCACTGCGACAGCGATCGCAAGACCAATCATCTTGTGTATCGACGTGAAACTACCAATCTTCTAGATGTTAGCTATACATGAATGCTGTCGATACCGTTGACCACATACCTGGAACAGATGTGTGCTTTTCATTACACCGATGAAACAGCCAACTAATAGGCCAGAGGCAGAGAGTGCTTGCACGATCCAATGACCACGAAATGACCACTCAAGTCCGCTGCGAATCAAGAAAATTCCAATACAATTGAGAACGACAGCAAAAGATAGTATCGCTCCATGCGCGTCCCACATGTTGAAAGGGGAGCGGATCGCTGGATTTCGAAGCTCGGAAGAGCCCAGATCATGAGTCGAAGAACGATCTCCAGTGATTATTGGATATTCCTCGGCCTGGTTCGTGGATATCGCCTGCGCCATATCGAGGAACTTGAGACCTTCATCACAGTCAGATAGTGCATTTTCAGGATCAAAAGACCCATAGCTTACCATAATCTGTATGCATATCCATCCTCAAGCTTGGGTCGTTGGTTCTGGTCTTTTGTATAGAGCTGCTCGCAAATAACCATGGTTGTTGTTCGCTGGTAGCGTTCAGTGGACCTAAACCAACCGTCTCGCACGAGTAACAAGTGGCCTGCAAGACATGGAAACCATTCTCGTCAACTTCCGTCCTATGCACGTGAACCTGTCTCTGGTTCTTGAGCGGATGTGGTGCGTCGTGTCCAACTGTCGAGCGCAATGACAAGACAGTATCTCCGCAATCTCAGTAAGTCCTTATAAGGGTGTCAGATAACGAGGCAACTCACCACCTTCTTGTTCTCCTGGCCATAGCACAAACATCAAAGCTCGATCCATGATCTCTCCAACTCCAAAGGCTGCCCATCCGCGACGTTGATAGAACTTGACGGAAAAGGTCATGAGCAAATCATGTCCTCTTGCATGCTGCGATTTGACAGTCTTTATTGCCATGCATGCATCCGAATGCAGCCCTGGATCGATGTGGCATATTTGCACTGACTCTGATGCTCGGCAAACATTGATTACAGCGAAGAGCGATGTGATTAACAAGTTGAGCCGCTTCATAGTTGCTGAAAGTTCTTGCTTCAAAAAGGAGGTTCAAAATCGCGTTTTTCTTTTCGATGTAATGCGGAGTGAAGATGGTGTGTTCCCTCATCTGATCAAGAAAGCTAGCTTGAAAGGGTCAATTGTGGGGCTGTAGTCAGCGTCTCACAAAACAACTACGGCTGACTATGGCAAGACAATGGGCGCACGCACTCGATGACGACCGAGGATTTTAGTTCGCACAGAAGCGATAGAACGATGTTCCTAGGAAATGAGCCTCTAGACACTTGCATACATCCGCTCGACCTTTGAGTATTCCGATCCCTTTTTGCGATAGCTCTTCCTTTTTCGCCCAAAGTCATACCATTCTCAACGCGCCAAAGCGCAAGCGAAATGTCTCCAGTTCACTCGAACTTTGTCGACAGTCCTATCGGCGTGGTAAAAACCATGATTCACTCGATTTCCAGACGCCCTGCAACGTACCCGGGTTTTGCATCTTCCTCTACTTCAGACCAAAGCGAAGACACACCGATCCGACCCAACAAACACGAACTGGGTGCAAGACCTGGTGAAAGACGATCGCCATATGCAATATTACCCTACATTGTCAACATTCTGTTGGCAGTAGGACTGACAGTTCTTGTCGGATTTGTCTTCCGTCCCTTTCCACCGCATGGTCCTAAGATGAAGACATTGAGCTGCGGATCTAACCCAGCCGAGGCGCGCAAGAACGGCTGCACATACGATGTGCTAGGGAATATTTGGGTCCCTACTCCCTGTTTAGACACGGAAAATCTCGCTGAGTTCAAGCGCATGGCTCCCTGGCTGGCATATGACTCTGCCAACGCTACTCTTCAGCTCACAGAGGAGGAGATGTCGGAATACCTCATACCAGATGGGTACTGGACACCAGTACGGGAGCACATGATTCATTGTGCTCTGATGTGGAGAAGATTGCATGACGGGTTTGAAAAGAACGGAAGGTTGTTGGATAAGCATGTTATCCAAATGCACCATACTGAGCATTGCAGCCAAACTTTGATGGAGCATCTTGATATGCCTACTTCCTTCCTCGACGAGATACGCACTCGAACAGAGGCCGGATATTCCAGTTGTCAGGTCCCTGCTTAACTTGTTCGACGCACTTGTATTTAGTTATCATCCTAGGCAGCAAAGGCATTTTAAAACGTAGCTAGCCGGTTTGCACGAATTCAAAATGATCTTTGTGAAGCAACGAGATGAGTAAAGGTGAGATTTCCAATGAACAGTGTTGTGCACTGTGCGTGGACATCCGCAGATCGGGAAAGTTGGCTGGCTTCGATCACAAAGCGCGGTCTCGATACAGTGCGCGGCGGGTCAAGTCAAGATCGGAGATACCTCTCAGAAGCATAGCGGAGAGTACGCGCACCAGGTTCGGGTATGTGTCGAGGAGTGGTCAAGTTACGGATGGTTGTTAGTTTGGTCGTTGTGTCGTAGCTGGGTTGGTGAGCGCTGAGCTCGGGGTGGACTCTATTTTCTCCGGCGCGTCCCTGGGGTCGCTGTTCAGCGCAACGCTGCGCCCAACGCTTGCCAGCCCGCCTATTTTGCCATCACTCAGCCACGAAGTCATCTCAATCAAAGTAGGCACTTCTAGTCCAAGAAGATCCACTCATGATTCGCGCAATGTCAAAGATAGTAAACAACGCTGTGCATTTGGTTCATGGAACGCTGGGTCAGCGCCACTGCAGATTGAAAGCCGCCTACCTAGGTAGAGAGACAGGCCACACTGTCAACTGATGGTGATGACAACATCATCAGCAATGAGAGTAAAGACACTAGATCTGATGCGAATAGCTGAGTTTCATGTCTTACACCTATGATTACTATACCCTTGTAGTAAGCTTTTCTTCCCCTGGAGCTTCGTCACTGGCTGCGATGGGTGGAGACCGTGCAGTAACTTCACGTGGAGTGCTGGTATGCTCGTTCCAGCATTACAGCCCGAATCATCTTATCTGAGGATCAAGACCTCACCCGACACTCTTTGATCATCAAATTACATGGAGAAGCTACAGATAGCTGAAGGCGTGGCCTCACAATCATTGGAAGAGGAGGGACATCCATGTTTACCTCTCACGGCTTCTGAGGGCGGCTTTACGCCCTCGAGCGCCTGTATGATGGGTGCCAGAACCCTCGCGGAACAATCAAAACAGGGTTCTCGACAACTGTCCACTGCATCACTCGTAGCCATGGCATGTGGACTTGGAGGGTACGTCACATATCGAGGTGATAATGACATTCTTCCAATTAACTTCAAGCTGCAGCTTACAGATTCTTTGGTCCACAATCTTCTCCCACGGCTCATCCTACCTTTTTTCTCTCGGTATATCCACAACCCAGTCATCGCTCATATGGGCAGTTGCACCACTCTGTGGGTCAACCATTCAACCTATCATGGGTGTCGTCAGCGATCGATCACGTATTGTATGGGGCCGACGAAGACCGTTTATCCTCGGCGGAGTGCTATCTACCATCTTTGCCGCCACAACATTAGCCTGGTCTGAGCCGATTTCGGTAGCGGTCTGCACGCTCTTGGGCATTAGTAATGTCGACGGATGGTGGGGAACTGTTACACGGACTGTTGCTATTCTAGCGATTATCATCCTCAACATCTCGATCCAGCCGCTCCAACTTGGCCTTCGCTCGTTGCATGTCGACATTTGTCCGCGAGAACAACAAGCCATAGCAAGCGCATGGGCAGGCCGTTTTGCTGGTATGGGAAACATTATCGGCTATGTTCTTGGGTCCCTACCACTGCCTTGGATCTCTAGTGATTATGATGCCATGAGGTTCCGATATATGGTTTATTGGACTACCTTCGCACTCATCGCCTCGTCACTTGTCACTTGCTACTATACCGAGGAGGAAGATCCGTCAATGTCAACGTACGACCCGGGTCTTGAGCGCCCAGTCTATCGAGTTTTCCGAAACCTCCTCGATGGCTTCTCGCAAGCCCCCAATAGGGTACGACATGTCTACCTCGTCCAATTCTTTTCTTGGCTCGGATGGTTTGGGTTTCTATTTTACAGTACAAGCTTCATCGGACAGCTTTACGTCGACGAGCAAGCAAGAGACAATGTCACGATAAGCTCATCAATCAAGGACCACGGGATGAGGTTAGGAGCTAGGGCGAATTTGCTCTTCGCCACTGTAGCTCTAGCAACGAACATCGCGCTGCCGAGACTCTCAGTGATGTTGAGATCGATGCTTGCAAAGGCGAAAATTTACAGCAAAGGCGCTCGAAGCTCCTCTATACTGACTATCATTTGGAGCTCTAGTCAGGCGCTTTATGCGACGAGCGTTCTCTCCACGATATTGGTATCATCAAGTGCGACAGCAACGTTCATGATCGCTATTGCCGGTATCTCATGGGGTGTGACCCAGTGGGTACCATTCGCCATAATTGGTGAGGAGACAGCAAAGTTTTCCACCGACGAAGAGTCTGCTGAAAGAGAGGATGAACATGTATGGAGCGTGGTACAGGGCGGCACAATCGTTGGTTTGCACAACACTGCCATATCCTTACCGCAGATCATCGCGGCCCTCATCAGTAGTGCAATTTTCTGGGTTGCGCAAAACCTAAATCAAAAGCATGCTATAGTATGGGTAATAGGTTGGACTGGGGTTCCTGGAGCAGTAGCTGCTTGGCTTGCTTTCATAATGTAGGCAAGTCAGCAAGCCACAACCGAGTTCAACGCAGAAGATTCGTCACGAGCACATCCTCCATCGCAACACTATGATGTCGATTTTCGTTACGACTTAAATTCCATATCTGCTCCAGCTCTGATTAGCATGTCAACGATTTCAACGTAGTCATGCTCTATCGCTACATGTAACGGCGTCTCTCCTGCCACATTGATGGCATTGACATTCACGCAATGCGACAACCCGAATGATATCAAGGACGCATGTCCGGTCTGCGCAGCGAGATGCAGGATGTTGTTCCCGTAATCATCTATGATGTAGACGTCTGCTCCATTCTCAACAAGAAGCTCCGCAATACTATCACGGCCTTTTATCACAGCTTTCTGCAAAGCATTGAGGCTTGGAGGTAAGGTAGAATTCGATGAGGAAGTAGACGCCGATGACGGGACCGTGGTTCGACCCTATTCAGGCCGTGTCAGCATTCCAATATGAGTGAATATGAAGTAAGAGTGGCTGCAGCAGACATACAAACAAAATGAGATCGTTCTCCAGACTCGTAAGGGGAGTTGTCAAATCAAACACGTTGGTCATTTCGTTCTTCTGTTGCGAGGCAATGTTGCTGTTTTCTTGATTGGATATTGACGAAATGTTCCCTGCTTCTCCTGTACTGCCGAACAGGAAAGCTTGGACAGAAGAGTCGTTCGGTGATACCGCTGCTGGGAGTCCATTGCCCGTCTCCAGATTAGGCAATAGTGCATCTGGGGCCGTGGGGTTGATAGAATCTCGACGTGTATGCTTCGATTTTGTTGATTCTTTCGGTGGCGTTCGACAAGACTGCTGATTTTCTTTAGGTGTCGTTGGTGGGCTATCTGATGTGCTGCGATTGAACACCTCCAGTTGCTGTAGTCGACGCTTGATGTTACGGCCTATGAAATTAGTCATGAATGGGGTCTAATTGGGGTGGATACCCTACGATAGTTGCGCTGCGCGATTCGATTTTGCACTCTTCTTCGCTCATTAGCATCGGTCAAAGATTTCCAGTCCTCGTCTTCCTCTTGTCGTGACATGATTCCTTGACTTTTCTTTGGTGACATTGAGTTTTGGTAACGTTTGCTGCTCATGCTACTGAGACAGTAGCTAGTTAAACCGAGGCGCTTCACATCCCGATGTCAGCTTTGTGATTCGGATTCAGCAGGTACGTCCGCCGTGGACACGGCCGGATGCTCTTTGGGCGATCCGATCCGCATCGTTGTTCGATCGGCATCATCTTTCTGATGGTAGAGACACAATAACCTTACCAAACATGTGATTGAGAGTTCGTGCTAACCTTCATGGAGAGTCTTTCGGTTTCGCGTAACTCAAGGTGGGGACTTCCTAGGTATACGTAGCAGTCGTAGTGCGGCGTAACTACTCGGACCGACGCATGGCGAACTCGTACCCGGAACTTTAACAACGCAATCAACACACCTGGTCCATGTCAGATAGCCTGACGTGCACTACCAGGTCACATCGCGTATATACCCACGTTGATAGTAAAACGCATTAGTGTATTAGCTTGTGAATCTAGGAAGGTCGCTGAGTAAGATGCGTCAGCCTCGGATTTTCCCCGCAAAATCACTACCAAGGTTACGCCCGACAGGCGATAGAGACGTAGACTCCCATCATAAGTACCAATTATCTGACAGAGGAAACCATAGTTGGAATCGTAGTCCAACTCATCGCTACCACTGGAGAAATCGGATAGATATCACGATGCCGGCGTTTTCACTTCGACCAAATTCACCGAAACCTGACTTTGACAACTATCGTCAAAAGCCACTTCCAGAAGACTTAGAAGAGCAAGACACGTTACTCCAAAAGAAGATTTCAGGATCGCTTTGGTCAAAGCCCCATCGAGGCATTGCGTACGCGAATCTAGTGGCTGTGGCCCTCTTCCTTTTCACAATTGTTGTCGGATCGCTCGCATGGCTAGGCGTATCTGCGACACAGCAAACCGACAAAGCACCGAAACTATCAAAGGCATACACCGATTGCGGTAGCAACTACTCAACAGCAATCGCGGCCGGGTGTATATACGATATCGTTGCTCCCCAATGGACACCACCAGAGTGCTACAATGCAGCCCTATCTGAAGAATACGCTGCGAAGATCCCAAAACCGATGTTTTTCCGTTGGGAAAATCTCACAGAGCCGATACCAGAAGACCCCGTGGAGATCTCAAAGCATGATACAGTCTGGACATTCGACAAATATCATACGATACATTGTGTATACATCCTTGAGCTTGCAGCATTAGCTGCGTCGATGGCTTCTTCTGGCAGCCAGGATGTTTTCTTGAATCACGTTGCAGCGAACTCCAAACATACGAGGCATTGTACCGAACTGTTATCAGGGAATATCAGCTTTCCGGGCGAGACGGAGATTCATCGTCCTGGATCCGCGCTTCGCTGCAAGGGATTGAGGTCTTAGAACAATGAATCTATACGCAATGCGAGTCTACCTTATGCAAGACCTCTATCTTAGTGTCCAATACTGTGAAACACCAATGTACTGTGAATGCACTGGGTCTGAGTTCTGTGGAGGCTTCTGGACACTTTGCTGCGCCTAGACTGACATTGAACATTAAACGGAGGCTCTCATGATCTTGCTGACGCATACATAGATTGGTCGCCGCGATGTTTTCCCGGTGGTAGATGCCCATGAGAAGTACACGTGTGTGATATGCGTACAACCGATGATTATCGCCATAGAGAATGAGGCCTCCGTCAGATCCGAAAAAACATGCATCATTCTCGCAACATGCGTATCTACGTAGGTAAGTAATGTGCCATCTCAACCGGACATCAAGAGTCACTACACGCAGCGCAGAGTACCCATGCATGCAGATGACCATTTTCGCCCCATTGTCCCCGCATGTAATCAATCTTCGCGCTCGATTTCGGGGCTGTCAACACCGAGATCTTGAAGAACTTGTTCTCTCTACGTGACGGAAGTCCCGACGATTACCCGTGTCAACTACGTAGATATGCCAGTCACGTTTTCCCAATACGCGATGACAAAGCTTTGGATCGAGAACTATAGCAAGCATGCCTATCCAAGTAGAAACGTGCCGGTCGGACCGATGCTGGAAACCGCCGACGCACATCCGCATGCAAGTGTTTGCCAAGATCGCACCGGTGAACATAAGCCCGCTGGGCAGTCTTGACATGCGTCTGCAAGACATCACTATGCCGAAAATGCACAGAACCAGATGAACATCACGTCGTCAATCGGTGCCATGATCACTGACGCGACTCGGGGCCACGTAGCTCTCCACAACCCCGCCCCCAGATTCCGCATTCTCGTTCTTCGAATCGATAATTCGAGATGCTGTCGCCAACCGACCGCTGAGAACTCAAAGAAAAACAACACATAAATCTCTAGGATGAGAAAGGTAAGACGCTAATGGAGATATCCGTAATGCAGGCAAAGCAGTTTCAAACAAGGACCGTTCCATGCTCACTACTATGCAGTAAGACGCTGAATTCTTGCAGCTGCGGATCTGCGCTTCGGGCCGAGGCGCTAAGCACCTGCCCGTTGCTATGATCCATGCTGCACTGGCCGTACGATGTGAGGCCACAAACTAAATCTAGCCAAATCTCACTCCACACCGCTTACGTCTGTATGAGTCTCTACTCAGCAACTGCTTACTACATGTTAGTCATCGGGGTATTTCAGCCGGCTTAACGTTCCGCTCCCGCAGTGGATGATGCATGTTGCGACGTTATCATGTGAGCAGCTTTCGGATTTGCTCAGGACCGTAGCATCCGAGACTGGCGTTGAACTTCATCATTGAACGTTCCAAGAAAACGTTGTCTGTCTCAACATACCAGGCGACTTTCACAGCCATACGCCGTCTAGTTCGCCGGCACAGTTCATCCTCTCTAACCGGTACAGTCCGGCCAAAACCAAAGGCCAATTGTCGGAAATCGATCGAATCAAGAAGGCAATCGAGACGATGGGGGCCTTCTTGACGAAGCCTTCACGGCACGACAGTGGAAAAGAATATATTCCCATACCAAACCCTGAGTCTTGCACCCCAGAGAACCATCACAGCAGAGAGAGACGCGGGCGTCTACCGAAAGGTGTCGTTATGGTCTCTGTCGCCGCTGTTCTGGTGTTGTTGATCCCAGTCACCTATTTCCTCTTCGTCGCAAGTACATGGAGTGGCGCATTCAACCACACCAGCCTACCCATCCAGCATGACGACAAAGGCACATTCATAGCCTGCCCAGAAGACCCTTCATCGGCGCGGAAGTTGGGCTGTTATTTCGACCTTCTTGCCAACGGTTGGATTCCAGACCCTTGCTTCGATGCGACTATGCACCACGACTTCGTGGATGGCAAGGACTACGGTTTCTTCGAGGATCGAAATGGCGAGCACCGAGTACATCAAAACACTGTTATGGAAGGAGATAACAGCAGGTATCCGGACGGGCTCTGGGTGACGTTTGAAGAACATCACACTCATTGCCGTTATCTGGTTAATGGATCGATCAGAGCCGTCTCACGACCTCATGGAGCTTTCCTCGACGTGTATCTGGATAGGGATCATATGATGCACTGCTATGGTGTTCTTGGAGAACATCGGGACTCTGACCATATTGAGACATATGTCAAGGCTTTCTTCGAATCGCGTAAATGTTACGTTCGTGATTGAGCCTCATCAGGCTCCCGAACTGTTCGCTGTTTGTGGAGTAGCAATCTTCAGCTTAGGAACAATCGCAAGACACAGTGTTAAAACTTCAAAACAAATGTTGTCGCAACCTGGATAATAGAGGTGTTTCGTTGTTATGCCATCATGATAGTCTGGCACAGTGCACCGGGAGTAGTGACGAAATGATGTTGGACGATGTGCTGAATAGGCGGGCGGAGGAGGCGGGGTTGTCCAAGCGGGCGCCGGGCAAATTCAGCGCCAGATCGCTCCAAGACTGGCACGCCAGCCTCACCACTATTCCATCACCACGTCCCCATTATAGACGACTTCATGGATGGTCTACACGATATCCGACTTTCCACGAGTTCTCTATAGACGAGGTAGTGCATACATATAGCCCTATGAGGCTGCGCTCATAGCGGGCCGTAACGGCGGCATGCTCAGTCACTATACAGACAAGCAAACAAAACAACTGTATCGAAAATTACTGTCGTTAGTCATTGGACGTGAGTCTCAGCCACAGTTCCACTCTAACGCGGATCTTGCTACTTTGGAATTGACAGCTGCTATGTTGCATACAGCCACCTTTCGATGAATGGCCAATGTCGCCTAGGGTCAGCGTCACGCCTGGTAGAACCACATGACTTTAGCTTGGTCCAATCGTGTCCAAAACTTGTCGAGAGAATTGCAGCAGGCTACGTTGCAAGCTGTCTATATAAACACTGTAGCCTTGCTGCAAAGCATGCAGCCTTTCCATCGTGTCTCACACTCAACTCTCCCATGTAATCTTTTACTCTGTTTTCGGCAAGATAATGTCTTTCATTTCGCATGCGCTTAATACTCATCAGCAAGAGCAAGGACCTTTAGAAGTTACCAACATTTTTCAAATTGTGGGATGGCGTTTAATGCTCGTCCGCCGTGTATTTAATCAATTGCAGTTCGTCGGGTTAAGGCTTCTTTGTTATGTATTATGGCTCAAAATTAGAGCCTGTGCAATTATCATCTCCCATTTCGGAATTGGCCGCCGAGATCTTGCTAGCACATTTGATATTCGAGATCATATATTGGTATGTGCACCGAAACCTCCTTGCGTAGATTAGAGAGTCTCACTACATTCCAAGTCAATCGTTTTGGCTAGAGTACGGTCCCAGAGAACGCCTGAATGGCAAACCTTCTGGCGCATGTACTATCTCTGTGCAAGGAACGAAATGGACTTCATAATGGATTATACCATGGCTTGGAGAGCCCAGCCAGGATTTGATTTAGAAGTTATCATCTTTTTTGGACAACGGCCGTCGTTTCTCAGTCCCTTGTTCACGGAGAGCGGACGACAAAGGCCTTCTTACACATCTGCGTATGTTTTACGACCTGCAATGCACAAGACGTGGACTCTTCGAATTGGTCAGCGTCAATTCGGTCCAAAGGATCGATGTGGTAAAGGTAAGACCTCATTATCATCCTTCTGTCTCTTCGTTTACAGCCTAACACTCCTGCTTACCTCTAGCTTCATAACAGCAACACAGCGGGTAAACGACTCAAAGATACACTGGATCTAGGTCAATGTGGACCCTATGCTCGCCAGTCCCATTACTTCGAACATCCATCAGAATTGGATGGCAATACCATAACAAGCAGACTCGTCGCCGAGGAAGTATTAGCAACACCCGATAAACAGCGGCACGCACTTAACATCATACGCAGCTGGGATCCGCAGGTCACTAGTATAGTGATTCTCCCCCATCGTGCTGAGTTTGATTATATCGATCGTCTGGTCTGTCGTGGCCTCGACAATGTTCAATGCGGATGTTCAAAGTAGTATACAGACTGGCTTCACAATCGGCAGCTATGTCGTGACCGCGGGTATCTCTCCAAGGTACTTTTAGACCACAGAGCAGACGACTAACCTTGGCAGGTACTCTGTTGGTTGCCCTGGTTGCATTCCTCGACAACAAGGTCAACGCTACGGAGCGTTGATCTTGGTGGCGAAGTATCTGGCTGCGTTCAGGAGGCCGTCACAATGATTCGCTTGCTAGGGCTCCGCGCCTTTCGAGCTCAGCGCCATATGCCGTCAATTACTCCAGATCAATATCAGCGAAAGAAATCCCTCTCTCGTCAGTTGCTCACCAAACTCCTTCCCATCACTCAGTTCATGAAGCGCATCCCGACACACCACATCAATATCCCATAGTTGAAACAGACCCGTTTTGACACCTAAGAGTCTCGCATGCGAGTGTCAAGAGAGATCGCCCGGCCTTTCTCTTCCCCTGCTTTTTGGCTAACCTCGAATTTTGCTATGGCCCGAAGGACCTGTTCCGGTCGCAATCATAGGCAAGATTTCGCTAAACTTCTATGTGGATGAGATGATTAGCAGCGTCAATGCTGGTGGATGCAGCGCAGGAAACATAATTCGCGGCGGGTCACTCTGCAGCGTCCGTTGCTATTCCAGATATATTGACGAGAAGAGATGTTGTCGTGTCAGGAAGCGCAAGCGAACTACAAGAGGGTGCAACTTTGCGGAATAACAAACGCTAGTCAATCGGATCAACGGTTCAAAGATGTGTGTATGGTTTGTGGCGGTGGATAAAAAGGAAGAAGACGTAGACGTTGGTAGGGGAGACCTGTGTTGTACTTGGACTACTGGTAGTTAGCGTTTCAGATAGACGACCAGATGCATTACCTCGACCAAAGCTTACTCCAACCTCATGTGTTTGGCGCAACGCAATATGAGCTACGGTTGTTTCTTGAGCTTTGGCAGCGGCAAAGTTGAAGTAGCCGGCTGGACCCTGTTGTGTTGATTACGTTCCGATGATCAAGGACGGCTGAGATTTGTTCCAACACACTGTCGGCCTGTTGGCGATCACTCGAGTATTCAACGAAGTAGAAGTCTTGAACCGCAAATGACGGTTGGCTGTTTCCAAAAGCGTTGAGTGTGGTTGTTGTCGCGATTATGCTTGTAGCCGCCAAACCTAGTTTGAATTGTAGGCGGCATGAAAACAACAACATGATGATTTTCGGAATAGTCGTTCGTTATAGACGACCGACGTTCGAAAGCGGGCCGAAGCCAAAGGACGCGACTCGATTGCATCATGCAAGTGTATGCATAGTCGGCACGTGAAAAAGACAAACGACGCGTTAACCGGGTAAAACTCAATGGCAATGTCAGCAAAAGTCGCGGCAGGGAAATGGCATTGTGGTTGGGTGCAGGTGTTCGCATTGTCTTTGCAGTGATTTGCACGGGATGAAACCTAGACAGGATCGACAACTGGGCAGGACGCTAAATTTAGTCTCCCGGCTGCGCCACTGCCCTAAGGCAAGAACATTAGGTTATTCAGCCGATGCGCTCAACAAAAGGCGGGCGGCAGCCTGCCTGATGGAGAGGATTTGCAGTCATGATGGGAGAGGTTTGTCGTGATGCTTGACATAGCATGTAGTCCATCCTTATATCACAATCAAAACGAGAGCAATCGCGCCAATAGCGCTAGGGGTGCGGCGGATGTGGCACTTCCGCATTCTGCAGTTGTTAAAAGTGTATTTGTGAGCCAATCACATGCGCGTCTGCTCCGTCGGCATCACGATTAAGCGTGAGAGGTCGCCCTACTCCTTTACACAGAAAGTGGTAGTGGCATGACGATGACGTTGCGAGAATGCCTGCGATAGCAGACGTGTTAATGCAATGGATGTCGCCCTGCTCGCCAGCGTCCAGCATCGTCACCGTCGCGCGTCTACGAAAACAGACCTTCCCGCACCTTCTCTGTGGCCAACCGTCGAGTCGAAACGGAAGGAGCGTGCTGTGCACCGGTATACGAAGCTAGCGCCTTGTCGCGCTTTCTGTGGCCTGGCTTTCCTCTTCCGCTGCACCCCACCGTAAACATTCGCCTCAGGAGTTTGCCTACCAGCGCTGCGGGTCACTCCAGCTTTCCAACCTCACCCGCCTTCGATTCCTACACTCGCTATACGACTCTTTTTAATCCCCCTCTTGTCCATGCACTGCCGCTGCTGATCACCCGGGCCCCGTCGCCCCTGCCAACTCAGCGTCGTAGCTTCCTCTGACGCCTGTTTCACTCGCTGCAGGCTTACCCTCGCTCGCTGTAGTACTCCTCCTCAGCTGCGCCCCAACGGATCCCATACCAGAACAATTCGACCTACACCCGCCCACCACACTTTCGAGCCGCACACGACACCCTTACGCCGACCCACGACACCTCGCCGACCCACGACACCTCGCCGACCCACGACAACCGCGTTGAGAGGCAGACTGGAGGGTGAACATGAAGAGGGGGACGTCATAATGGCCGTTACCACCTCGCGCGATGGCGCGCTACGGCTACCTGACAATACTCAGCTCGAGATGCCCTGCCTTCAACCCACACAGACGCCCCCACGGTCGAGACGGAAACATTCCACGTTGCCGACCCTAAGCGCATTCTTTCCCCTTGTCCTCGTCCTGGCCATTGCCTCCTTCCTACCGCTCGCGAGCGCCGTATTTGTAAATTTCCAAGATTGCCTGACACGAGTCTACCTGGCCGATGGCAAACAGACACCCTACCTACGCTTCACCCCCGAGTATGTCTGGGCTGACTTCAGTTCCGAATACTTGTTGAACGTCACCGTCTACGGAAATGTCTCCGGCCAAGCCCAGCCTGGCCCCTACCCACCGCTGGACGATGACAACTGGAAGGACCCAAACATGACCTTCGGCAAGATTGTGAAACTCGCGCCGAACCACAAGCACTTCACTACTTTGTTCTGGAGCAACAGGGTCCTGTCATACTCGGCATACACGGCTCCCCCCACGTCGTTCTGTGACTCCGTCCTCAACACAAGCTGCCCGGTCGCCCCTTCCTTTGGTGGTAATTTGAGCGAGTTCTGGACCATGCCTGCCGTCAGTGTTGCACACAAGTTTGACAGCTCGTATGCCTTCTCAACATGGGCCTCGACAATGCGCATCGTCTCTGGTGACGACAATGCCCAGGCTCTTGGCTGCATGTCTGCCAACATCACCCCAGATCTCGGCAAAACACTCACGGATGCGCTGTGCTACTTTCCGGCTGCGATACTTACGCTTGTGGCTATTGCAACTGTCTTTGCCGCCACGTGCAGCCCCTGGGGGACCTCGAACATCTTCCGCTGGACCACCAACTACGGTCGAGACGAGGACTTGTTGCGCTTGGTCACCCCGGGATTTGGAGATTGTCTGCAGTACATCCAGTTCGTCGTATTGGCAGGTAGTCTCAGTCTAAACTATCCCGGCTACTTCCAACCCGCCATCAGCCAGGCCAGCTGGTCAATTCTTTTGTGGAACCAAAGCTTCGTTAGTGGAGGTAATGGATCCCAGAGTCTCGTTGACGGCATCTACTTCGCCAACGGAACGTACGGTCTGACTCGGCTTGGCCAGTATGTCGGTATGACCAAGGACCGTGATATATGGGCATGCATGGCTATCTTCCTGCTAGTCCTCATCGCCTGTGTCGTTGTGCTTACTCAGCTTGGTTTCTTCGTACGCTGGCTCTACCGCTGGCTAACTCAGACACAGGACGGTGACTTGACAGGGAAGAACTTCGCCTTCACAGCTGGCAACATCATCCGTGTCGTTTTCAACTATTTCCTGCTCCCCATCATAGCACTATCCTTGTTCCAGCTCGTGGTCGGCCCGCGCTCGCCGGCTACCGTCGTCTCTACAGCAGTCATCATGCTTATCGTCGTTGCTGGAGTAGCCACCTGGATCTTCTGGTTCATCTTCACCACACGCCCTCGCGCCCACTTGTTCGACGACCTTCCCACTGTTCTGACCTACGGACCCCTCTACAATACTTACTCTGATGATGCGGCGCCGTTTTCCTTCATCCCTGTCTTGCTCACCATCATCCGTGGTATCGCTATTGGTGCTATTCAGCCTTCTGGTATTGCTCAAATCATCGTACTTGCTATATGCGAAGTGATTCTGATTCTCACCTTGCATGCCTTCCGCCCTTTCCAGTCCAACACTTCGATGAACGCCTACCATACCTTCTTCTCGACTGTGCGACTCATCTGCGTTCTCCTCTCGGTGGCGTTCGTACCGTCCCTTGATGTAGACGAAGCACCAAAAGGGTGGATTGGGTACATCATTCTATTACTTCACGCGATTGTCTTGATATTTGGCTTCTTCCTGAATGCTCTTCAGACAATCATCGAGGTCTCTGCCCGACTTACGGGTGCAGGCGCTGACACGCGAGGTGGTCTTACCAAGGTCTTCGGAAAGCGACAGCTGTCGAAACGTAACGGTCGCCGAACGACTCGCGGCAGTCTCAACTCGAATGCCGCCATGCTATCCCACGATGAGAATAAGAACATACAGCTCATGAACAGCCGTTCTCGGAGCTTGTCTGCCAGTTCAGCTGTTCTTCTAAATGGACCATATGACCGGGATAGCCAACGCGCAAGTGTTGGATTTGACGGCTTCAGCCAGGGTGACTACGGAAATGTCAGCCCAACTCCAGGATCAGGTCCAGTACCTTTCACGTTCTTGGGCGGGTCATCAGGCCAAAGCTCCCGTCGACCAACCATGGGCACCATGGATGCCGCGGATCCTTACTATCGACCTCCACGCCCTCGTAAACATACCATGGATTCCATGACTGCTGCGGCGCCCGGAAGGGGACCTTTAGGAAGTGCAGACATTGTGGATGCACCATACTCTGATAGTATGGATGTCGAAGCTATTAAGGCTGGTGAAGGCCCATCTCGTGGCTCTGGAACACCCGCCCCGGCCTATCTGCGGCTGAACCGCGACGACTCTGATCCCAATCTCGACAGACGGAACAACAACAACACCGATTATTCTGTACGCGAATCTGACTTTTACTACGGAATTCGCGGCCCTGCCCTGTCTTCGCAACCCACGCGAAAGTTGAAGACGGGACCAGCGGATCCAATGAGTCCTGTGTCATCGGCTACAGGTTGGTTCAAGAGCTTGAACTTGCTGGGTGGGCGCAAGAAGGAAAAGAGTAAGGGTTTCGAGGTTGTTAGAAGCACGCGCATGCCGCCACAGATGATGGCTGTTGAAGAAAACGTCGAATCGCCAGAGGTTGTGCAGGAGCCATATCGTGATAGTCCAGAATCGCCTCCGCGAGCTCGGAATGTATCTGGAGGATCGGGCGTGGCGACAGCGGCCGTCTTGGCTGGCGAGAGACGAGACTATACCGATAGCGATTCGGATACGAGCGAGGACGAAGAGGATTACGGTCCCGTGGACCGTGTCTCACCCACTGCGCCGGCTCTGGGCCCTATCGAGAGCTTTGGCGGAATTGAGCTGCCCAGTAGAATTGGGTCGCGTGCCTCCCGCATTACACAAGCAACAGGACCCCCAAGTCGCGTACCGTCAATACCACGGAAAAATTCCAGACGTACAAAGTCCACGGAAGCAGCTTATCTTCCAGACCGGTTGTCCACAGTTATGGACGTGCCAACATCGGAAAGCCCGATGAGTCAAAGACGAAGTCAGCACCTGCAACCAGGTGGAGCTGGCGGACTGCCTATCCGCCTACCTTTTGGATCTACCGACCCGTCACCGGAGCGCTCGCCTGGGCCATCCGCGGCGTCGAGCATATATCGCAACGACGGTACGAGTGAATTGCATGCGCCAACACCAATTGGCGGAACGTCGGAGCGACCTCTCAGCACTGGAGTTGTTCAGCATCATGTTACTCAGGACAGTGTGGAGCGGAACGTGTACGACGCGGGAAGCCACCTGGAAGCGTCGGCAGAGATCGTGGACCGGAGTCGCAGTGGCAGCACGCAGCACAGCGGACGCAGCTACAAGAGATGAGGTCATTTCATTTAGATGTTTTCGGCACCTCAACAAGGGACTGATAAGTCCCATTTGTAATCTCGATTTCGGCGCACAACGCGCACTTACGAGTCTCATTACTGTACAGTTGTTCAAAAGCGATTTTGATGGCGTTTCTTGGAATATGTGAGCGATTGGCTCTTTAGGGCGTAGACGTTGGCGCTATATACTATCTTTACTACTACATACAAGCGAGGTTGGAGGACGCTGGTAAGACCAGCACGTACAATAGTAATCTTAGTCAATTTGAGACTACCTATAGGAGGCTATGCGAAGCTTTTTGACACGTGAAGAGGGCTGGAAGGGATGCGTCGGCGATTCGTTGTTCCTTGACGAGGCTAAGGCAGGCGTGGCGGCGCAGATGGTCGCGTGAAGGGGCTAAGATAACGGCGATATGACGCCTGAGGCATTCAGACACGACGAAGCTCACGAACCCCTCGAAGCTAGCTGATATTCCTTGTTTGGGCCGTGCTTCGTCTCGCATCACCTGTTCTCTCTGGTCTGCCTTTGCTCCTCCTGATAGCCTGGACCTTGTCCCCTTAATCACGAGCGGCGCAGAGAGTGGTTGCAGTTCCCCTCGCCGAGCCGACGCGCGCAGGACCCACCCACCTCCGGCCTCTACACCGCAACCCAAGGCCGCGCAACTGATAGGTGAGTGAAAGCTACTTGGAGTGTGGCCACGTGCTGATTGGAAGAAGCAGCGCTGCTCACAGTGTATTACTAAAAACGGTGCGAGCGTTGTTAGCAGAAAGAAGTGGCGGCATGTTGCCGTGAGCCGGCCGACTTTCTCTACGAAGACCGCCCCTCCCGTTCACGTCGCATAAGCAGAGGCTCACTTGCCTTCGATTTCGGCGCAGTGGGGATAGATTGAAACTGTCCTCCGTCTTCGGTCACGTCGATCCGTCATAAGACGTCCCAAATGCCTCCGAACGCCCACCAACGCCCGAGCGGTCCCTTCACCCACAACTCGCACGCATACGGCGGCCAGTATGACGGAGCGAGCAGCAGTGTAGACGGACAACGCGAGGCTGTCATAGGGAGCAACTCCAGACATCATTCACAGGGTGTTGTTGCCTCCCATTTCCTGGCCCAAGACCGCGAAACGTGGATGGACTTTCTGAGAGACGGCACCGAGACCACTGTCAACCAGCAACCACAGTCTGCAAACTCCTCCCCCGCTGCCGCCTCCGAAGCCCGTTCAAACCCCTCCTCCTCACGCTACACACTTCCAAACCGCCCCTCACCACGCACTGAGTCGTCGTCCTCTCGCAGCTCCGATCGCAAGCGACGCCTCACGACCGCGGACTCGCCTTCGAGACGACCATCGAGCATACGCATGCACTCGGAAAACACTGGGGACTCGAATACGGACCCAATCGTGTTGGACTCGTCGCCTGCTTCGAATAGACCACTTCCACCCACTCCAACCATGGGCGTTGCCTCACATACGCATACGGGGCCGATGAGGAGGCAGAGCGATATCGTGCTGCCACCATGGCAGCCGGATAGCGAGGTCTCGCAGTGTCCTGTGTGCAGGAGGCCCTTTTCGTTTTTACTCCGCCGGCATCACTGCAGGTACGTACCAAGTCTCATATTCCAATGAAGTTGGGCATAAGGCGTTGCCGTTTGAGGTGCTTTGGCTTCATCTGAGGATACGGCTGTACCGACTATGAACAGCATACTAACTACGGAGACAGGAAATGCGGAAGAGTTGTATGCGCTTCCTGTTCGCCACATCGTATCACCATCCCCCGCCAATTCATCGTGCATCCGCCATCTGAAAGCACCGCAAACTTCATCGACCTGACTGGCGAGGAAGAGAACGCTATGTCGCCATTCGGCCCGTTCCGTAATCCAGCGCTAGGCGGCGGCGAAGAAGTCCGCGTTTGCAACCCATGTGTCCCTGACCCAAACTTCAGTCCACCACCCCGATACGACTCACTTGGTCATGGGTCACGCCCCTTTCCACCTCGATCGACACAGGTGCCATCCGCGCCGCCGCCGCATCCTCGTGCTCATAGGAGTAGTTCGAGTGTACATGATGCGAGTCGCTTTACGGGTCAAGGACAAACACATGGTGCACGTGATATCTCCAGTGAAAGTAGTCAGAATAGGAGAGTGAGTTATCATGGTAATTCCAATATAGGAGAACGACGTCTCCCACCCCTTCCTCCATCTGCGATTCAGCAGCAACACCAGCATCCTCACCACCGCGCCCCTTTGATCTCCCAAACTATAGCCAATAACCGCGCTCGACAAGCGCAAAATCACGTAAACTTTGGCTACGGATCTTTCTCCGGCACCAGTCCGTTTGGTCAAGCGACGTCCACGCCTGTGCCTCCTCCCCTGCAGCCACAGCACGCTCAGCCACCCAGGCCTAGGAGACAGATTCCCGAAGAAGACGAATGTCCTATCTGCGGCGAAGAATTACCACCAAAGGGTCCAGATGGCGATGATGCAGAGAGAACGCAGCACATTGAGGAATGTATTGCTTTGCACTCTGCTTCTCCTGGTCCCACAGCTGCTTTGAATCGAACGCAGACGCAGAATAGCCAAAGTCTGCCTACTCAGCGGACGCGTGGTATGAGTAGTGCGGGTGCGAATCTCAATAACAATCATAATAACAATGGCGGCGAGGGGGCTAGTAACTTGCAGAACCGAATGAGTCATGCTGCTAGGGGCATGTTTCCTTATGTGGCGACGGAGAAGGATTGTGTGGATGAGGAGGGGAGGGTGGCGGAGTGTACGATTTGTCTTGAGGATTTTGAGGCGGGGGATAAGATGGCTAGGTTGGTTTGTTGGTGCAAGTTTCATGAGGTATGTTTGACCCTGAATGAATGAAGTGTGAGAAGAGATGCTAACGGGAGAACAGACTTGTATCAAGGAGTGGTGGGATAAGAAGGGACGGGGTGCTTGTCCTACGCATCAGTTGCAGGAGTAAGGGGTTGTGCTGTTGGGTATTGCACCGTTGATTGCAATGGCGCATGGTGGCTTCCTATAGATGGGGTCTGGTTCTGGCGTTACTTGTGGTATACCCCTCCATCATTCTTTAGCATCCGGTATCTCGCAATGTTTATAGATCGCCTGTCCTTTGGAACGTGGTGGCGTAGCATAGTTGCGGCTAACATTATTACTACACTCATTATATTTGGTGGTTCTATGCGTGTTGGTGACGTTGAATTAATTTCTGTTAGTCTTGTGTATAGTGATGTGGATGTCTTGACGTGGGTTACGATTTGACGGCTGTAGATAAGGACGTGTTATGCGCGGCGTTCTTCTTACTCCTTCTCCGCGGCTGCCTTAAGGTCAGCTAACAACCCAACTCTCACTGTTCATAGCAATCACCCCTCGACAAGCATAGCGCCTGTGATATTTTTGTATGCTTATGACGTTTCCATCTCATCAACTAAGACGAGATGCCCGTTTCTGTTCGCTTCGCGCATGGAGGCCAACTTCTTGAGTCGGAAACACAACGGGACAGTTGCGCTGCGACATATCCACCGACTGAAACAAGCCTAGCGGGACCGGAAAGACCAACATTCAAACACGAACCTCTTCCCATCGACGAACAATTCATACGTCTCATCACGATTGAGTCTAGTCTATCACAACCCGATGGACTCATCCAGTGTTCCATGTCACACACCAAGCTGGCTGGCGCCATCTACACATGCTTATCGTACAGATGGGGAGATCCCGTACCCCGCAGACTGATTCTCATCAATGGAAAACAAGCTTTCATTCAGGCGAGCCTTTTCGATTTCTTGGACTCGGTCCGTTCAACAAACCGAGATGCGATCTGGTAAGATGCCCTGTGTATCAACCAAGACGACACAATGGAAAAAAACCGTCAAGTGGCACACATGGGCGAAATCTACTCTGAAGCTTGGTGCGTCTATGTGTGGCTGGGTCGACCACCAGAACGGCCCCCTGGATGTGATAACCTTGTGGACTGTCTGTGGCAAAAAGCGTACGATTCAACAAGGAACGCGGAATCAGATCTCTACTACTGGCTTGTTCAACACCTCTTCTACAACCAGTATTGGCTGCGGTGTTGGGTCATTCAAGCGATCATTCTAGCGCGACATCTTGTCGTTTTGTTAGGCCCCGACACGACTGAGTTCTCACAGCTCCTTGAAGCCGCTACTCAACCACATTGGTCGGCTTGGTGTAAATACAGTCCACTATCTCAGTTCGCGAAACTCCGGACGGAACGCTTCATCCGCAAGGGTTTAATTTCGCTACTTTCGGACTTCTCAATGACAAGGTCTACTCTTGATTAAGATCGCATTTTTGCTTTCGCGTCAATATGTCGCGAGAAGGCAAGCATCGGGATTGACTACACACATACAATCGACCGTCTGTTCTGTGAAGCCCTAAATAGTTGCAAGGAATCGTTTTGCTTATGCTCGGCTCTTGTGTTACTCTCTATTCTCTTTATCCAGGCACGGAGACAATATCGTATTTCTGGCTCCAATCATCACCTTGAGATCAATGTGCAACGCCTCCAGTTCAGCTTCAAGCAGAGGGGACAGACACTTCAACTTCATAAACACAAGAAATCAGCACATGACGGAAAGATCATAAGTGTCAGACAAATCAACACGGTGCAGGTGCGGGATCGTCGTCATATATGCCCCCTCCTACCACAACTGCTTCACGATCTCTTTGAGGTGCTTTTGTGTTTCGTCTCCACAAAAACCATGATTCGTATTCTGCATATAACACGATGGACGATCATTCCCTTCGTGATCTGCAAAGCACTAGAACTATACTAATGTATTCACTGGATCACGGACTCGATAATCCAGCAAATTGGGTCGGTATCGAGGACGATCAGGACTATATATGTACCCATACCTTCACCGTCCAATGTACAAATACTGGACATCTATTACATGTACCGTTCACGGTGCTTCAAGATTTTCTGGAAAGATCTTTTGGCCATCAGCAAGTTTCTCGATCCGTAAGACATTTCATGACTTTGTGCAAGACGGCGGAGGGCCAAATTGGTGACTCTGTCGGATCTTCTGCCCTCTTTCGATTGGGTCGAGAATGATGGGATTTACACGATACGCTTTCTAATTATACTCCGATAGTTAAAACAAGTAGCTCTCTCTGATGCCCACGTTTTAAAGCAGTCGGTGAGATGAATAATCACGCTTAGCGGTGTTTGTTTACTTCATGAGTTACTCCTAGCATTTTCGTTAAGTGTGCCGTATCGGGCAGATGCGGGCACCAGTGCTAGCCCCGCGGGCAGGTCGGGCGGATCATCGACCCGTCAACTTCTTGGTCCCCGACACGTCACATCTGATGTCCTTCAGCCTTCTTCCAGTACTGGCTCCCGCGTCCTGATATAATATATCGCCATCGCTCTGATTACTCCTTTGGAACAATACACCCAGAGGCATCCAAATCGACGCGACGGCCCCGAGAAGCCAATGTGTCTACCGAAAATGCGAAAACCATCGCGCGACACGCGACCCGGCTACAACGCGTGAGCAGTCCGCTTGTGCAAGAGCGCCCAACCTCTGCTTTTTCGTCCTTGACCACATATGTCAGGCTGAGGATTCGTGACGCCTGTGATGGATGTATGCACTCGATGGTAGGGTGTGGTCGATGCAAGGCTCGAGAAGTCTGTCATAGGTCGAGATGGACCTGCATCCGCTGAGGCTTGCAGTGGCTGCATGAAAAGGCAAAAGAAGGCAAACAGGCGTTCGTATTACCACAGCATTTAGGCTTATCGTTGTGTCATTTGACGAAAGAACTACGTGTCCTACAGTCTCAGCCGCTCGTCATGGCCTGCACAATGAAGCCTGTAACGATGCATTGACTTGATGCAGCCACGGTGAAGTCTTTCACCGGCCGCTACGAGTTTCTTCGCAGAGTCTGTATCGCTACGCGAGGCCAAATCATGTGAGTAGCAGATGAGTAGGTCAGGCGCTTACATAGCCGTGTTTACGTCCTGTTGCTTGCCCTGTTGCTTGCGTAACCTAGACTCACAGCCACTGCTCTAAGCCGTTTCAGCACAATGGTTACCTATCTACCATGGGCTTTCTCAACGTCTTCTGTTGATCTCAAACAGGCGCTTATGAATGAGATTAAGAGACGGTCCGAACAAAACCATTTACCCTACCGTGGTGGATTTCTGACGTTCGAATTCATCGACGAACTCTTTACCGTTCGTAACATCGCTGAACAACTCCAGCTACTTCAAGAAGGCCCTAGCCTTTCATGGAAAGAACGAAATCGCCTCGCGCAATCCATCAAACGAGATCAGCAAAAGCTTTACGCAATCCTTCTTCTCATGGATAAGTCGAACCGCCTGACTTTGAGTAAAGCTAGGGACTTCACCGACAAGAGCCTTTTCCCCATTGCGCAGCACGGTCTTGCTTCTCTTCCATGCCCGTTGGAGAAGTTGGAGAACTCGGAATACTCTATCCTGTTCCAGGACATTGCCCATGAATTCTTTGTGAAGCAGTTCGTGTTTCCACCCAACTTGTCGACAACACCGACTCCGACCTACCCATCATACTTCATATTTCCATTCGCGAGCGCGCGTCTCCCGGTCGATCATGGTTCATATGGCGATGTACGGAAGGTAGAGATCCCCAAGGGATTCTTGGAACCTTTACAACACAAAGAAAGCTCCAAGGTATTCATAGTCTCGTCTAAACTCGGGCAATTTAGTCTAATGAATATTCTAGAACGTCTTTGTTGCTTACAAAAGGATTCGAAAGCAAGACACGACGTCTTGGAAAAAGGTAGATTTGGAGTATAAAGTACTACAACAACGGCCTCACAATAACATCACGCCCTTGTGGGGTAGCTTCTTCGCAGGTATGGAAGACACTCAAGATCCACAGAGCACTGCTCAATGCTTGTACTTGTTGTCGCCTGTAGCAGACATGAGTATGCAAAAGTGGATCGGTGATGAGAGAGCTGAGCATAAATCTTTTGAGTTCATTTATTTCGACACGATGCTAGCTCTCGCATCTGGACTCGCGTATATTCACAGAGAAATCGACGACTTCGTGGCCTACCATCGCGATATAAAGCCGAATAACATCCTACTCTTTCCTGGTGGCAATGATAAGGTCATCTGGAAGTTTTGCGACTTCGGTACCTCGAATCTCAAGTCCGCGAACGACACCAGAACCGCGAGTATGGTTACGACTGAGTACTGGGCGCCTGAAGAATACTTCGAGCCTCGCACAGAGGACAAAGGGTTAACGCGTGGTCGCCCACATGATGTGTTTTCTCTCGGATGTGTGTTCCTTTGCTTGTCAACAATATTGCACACGGGCCTTGACGGTTTTGCAAACTTTAAAAAACGACGAGAGAAAGCAGACAAGAGTAACAAAACCTCACATTTGAAGGGTGCGTTCCACAAGACGATGCCGGCGGTACACCATTGGATTGAGAACTTGCATAAGAAATGCAAGGAAAACCAAACCCAGCAAGTTTTGAGCCGCGAAGTATTACTTCTTATCTCGGAGATGCTACAACCAATCGATAAGCGTATATACTCATGGGAGGTAGAGGTGGACCTGCATATCCTTGAGCAACTGGAAAATGACTCTACGAGCGTTGTGAATCGTCTCCGCCAGACCATACATGGATCGGGAGGTTACAATTCGAAAACAAAGCACAATCCTTATAGACGCGCGAAGGAAAAGGCTGATAAAGAGGATACGTATAGGCCCAAGCGTTCAGAAGAATTCTTCCGTGTGATGGAAGAGTATGGCTGGCATGACTACTCACCGCAGTCTACTACCAGTAGCTCTCAGCGAATGTCGGGCCGATCTGTCTACTCAAATCTTCCGCCACTGTCCGATCAAGACACGCTTTGTGGTGGCCAGAAACTCTACCAGCAGATATCGGATACTTTCTCGAGATCTGATATTGTAGCACTTTACGGAGTTGCTGGCATCGGGTAAGCTGGGCCGAGCGCCAGGCGATCTTCCTACTGAAAGATCTACAGGAAATCCAGAAACGCCTTTGAGTATGCCCGCCAATTTACGAGTCTCAGTGAGCAAACTTTGGCTAGACATGTGTTCCACGTGAACGCCACAAGCGTTGAATGCCTGTTACGGTCATACGATGCCATCGCAGATGTGATCAACAGCTCTCAAGCCGACCCAAGCAATAGCTATCGAGAAGGCTTTCTGGTCACAAGGTATACTCTTAAGTCCTGGCTCGAAGATGACAAGAATGGGAGGTGGTTCATGGTTGTAGATGGACTCAATCAGACTAGCAGCATAGGGGACCTTAGAAACTTGCTGCCAACCCCAAGGGATGGCGTTGGTCAGATTCTCATCACTACACGGGATCGTGCTGCGGCTAGGGAGTACCCAACGAGCAAACAGCACGTACCACCGTGCATCGAGGTAACTGCACTGAACCCCAGAGACTCGATGCGTCTCTTCATGCAGAACATCGACGAATCGCAGAGACTGGAGAGTACCGAAATCACGGACAAGATCGCATCTCTACTCGAGAAGCTATGGAGTCCCATCATGATCAAGCTTGCTGCCGAAAACACCATCAGACGCCCAATCTCAGTTCTACACTTAGAAGAATTGGTGGAAGATAACGGGTTGTCAGAGGTGAAGGCGCCGTTCAAGTCGTACCTGGAGTACGTTCTTGAACCTCTAGATAGTGAACTTTCTATTGGTTCAAGTCGACGCTGGGAGGTTGGGACTCTATTCTTGCTCGCATTCTTTGACCCGGATGGGGTCAGCTGGGAAATCTTGAAGAAGAACTATGACAAAAAGAAGAAGAAGCCGGGAAAATCTGAACTCGTAGGCGTTCTTGGAAGATTGGAGGATTGTGCCCTTATTCGCAAGGTAACGATTCGTAAGGTAATGGAGACTACTGATCACGTATATTCGATTAGCACGGGCAACATTCGACAAGCGATATTAGAAAAGATTGAGAGGGATGACGGTCCCGAAGGTCTTCTAACTCGCTACAGCAAGGCTTTGTCACTCGTCTACAAATTCTACCAACCATTGCGCAAGTCGAAAGATTCTGCTCAACTTCGTCAGATCGAGCACTCGTTGATGCCACACTTCGAGTGCTTCCTGCGGTTCACCAACAAGCACGCTCAGCGACAGAGATTTCGACTACACGATCTGGCCGTACGGGCCGTCATCTGCTTTTCGAAAGTTCTTATTGATCAAGACAGGCATAAAGAAGCCATGGAGGTCACTGAGTACACCCGAGAACACTTCAAGCCCGAGAGAGCTGATGAAAAACAAATGATGCTGCATTTCAACCTTGGAAGGCATCTAATATCCATATATCTCACTCGCCCAAAGGACGCAACTTCATTCCATTACCGATCCAAAGCAGAAAATCTAATAGCTGAGTTGCAGTCAGCGGCCGACATGTCAAAAGGGCATGGTGTGACGTGGACGTGGCTGCCCTCAATGGATCTGAAGATCAAGTTAGATCAAGTCAAAGTTTATCGGCAAGCTACACAGTTTAGCGAAGCGCATCGATTGTTATCAAATATCCAGGACGGTATCGAGATCGCGAGTACCAAAGGTGGCCGAGGCCCCAGGCATACCAACAACGAAAGAATTCGTGGCTTCGCAGCACGTGAACTGCAGACCCTGATCACATATCAAGATGGGCTGTTGCATACGGCCGAAGGCATCTCGAAACATAAAGGCAACCCGAGAGCTGCTCTAGAATCTTGGAATGAGGCTCGAAATTTACTTCTGAAGGCCAAAAAGGATGCCAAGAACACTCGCCCTGCCGATCAGGCGTGGCACGATGAAATACGCGCTGCGATCGCAGTTGCGAACACCAAGATTGGGCAGAAGCATCTTATCCAAGATGCGATCAAAGCACTAGAGCTCGTGTTGGACAGAACAAAAGAAAACTATGGATCGGTCCAACGTACTAAGGACGTGGAACGCAGGCTCAACGAGGCGAGGCTCAAGTCGAGTAAGCATGATGTGAAACTTGCGATGGAAAGCTCACGAGAACTCTTGGACTGGTACGCGAAGCATTGCGGGTCACATGCGAAAGACACCGAGGACTGCGCGTTGCAACTCGTGAGAGGGTTGGAGAAAATGGGGGAAATGGATGAAGCACAAATGGTCAGGAAGAAATATAGGTTGGGGAAAGACTGTACTGATGCGAGGAACATGTGGAGTTGGAAAATGTCAATCATGGTCTTTTTTCTCAGTCTCTCGGTCGCGTCGTTATACATGAAGAGCCAGTATGCGTAAACTAAATTTCACTTTGAACTGTTCAATTCAAGCTCCGTTTCCTGTGTATGCATCATGCCTGAGAGTCCACGCAATCAATATGCCTACATCCTGGACCGCCGAAATTTTACCATGCAACAAAAGAGAATAGATGCGGCAACACATTGGATACAGATAAGGTACAGACTATTCGCGACATGTTTGTAAAAAAAAAAAAAAAAGGCGAAGTGACTTACGAAGAAAAGCGCCGGGAGATGGTCAGAGGGTATAGGTAGTAACAAAAACCGGCAAACGTATGCTCCACAACAGATACGCCGAACTCCAAAGATGCCCTTGATTACATAAAGTCATTATCATCCTCTAGTTGAGCTAGACTCCATTCAAATGTATTCCGGAAGGCAGTCTCCTATGCTCACCTCACTTCCTGTCGATAAAGTGGGCGAGCATGGGTCAACATCATCTTGTGGGATTCGAGACGCCTCTTCCGTGGGCGTCTTGTTCCCAGTACCGAGCGAAAGTGGTGGTATTGAAGATGCATCAACTGTGGGAGTTCGAGGGGATTCGGCGGTAGGAGTTCTGTCTCCAGTGCTCACGGTGAGCGGAGGTATCAGTGGCGATCGGGGGGTAGGCGTTCTATCCCCCACACTGTGTGCAGGGTTTGAAGCGATAGCGAGGAATTGCGGGGTGAGGTATCGTGGATCTATTGGCAAGAGGAGGAATTGCTGGTACTGGGGTAGCTGGTGTAGCTGGTGTTGGCTCTCGCCTTCGGCGGCCGTCGCTGAGCGATCCCCATGTGCGACAACTGTGTCGGCTGCTCCATCTGGAGGGTTTTGTGGGTTTCTGTTTGCCCTGCTCAGTCAGCATGCATTCCATAAGTGCGCCGTCGGGTAGACTACTAACTGTTCGCGTTGGTCGTTAGATAGCTGCGAACTAGGCAGTGGAGCGTGTGGTTGGAAGAGATCCGCCAGTACCCGTCCATTCGGCGCGTCTTCTTGACGTGGCAGCCGTCGAAAGGGAGATGTTTCGTCGGGCGAGCGGGGCCTGTGCCCTCCATCGGTCTGAATAGATTCCATGACTTCAGCGGATTTGTGTATTGGTATATTTGCAAAGGCGCTGCGACAAGTAGCTGTGTATAGCCTACCCAAGCCCAGCGGGTCCTACAGCGGAATGCCCCAACCGACCGTGCTGCATCACGCGGCCCCACGTGCCAGTTATCGATAAGCTGTGCGTTCTTATCCGGTTAGCTGCTCATATGCACGCAGTCCCTCAGCCTCGGCATCTGCTCAAGCATTTGGGATGAGCCGCTGCCACCAACCGGCCTTGTGGTAAGTAAGATTCTCGCAACGATCCACATGCCGTTGATCTCGTAGCCGGTCCGCTCGACAAATTGCAGCAATTCCTTTCTGGTCCCGAACAGTTGGCAGTTTACCATCGTTCGCTGGCTGCTTAGATGATTGGCACTATACCAGGCTGTCACCTAAACGTTATGCGAGTCTATTACAGGTAATCGATGATTTGTATTACTATCAAGAGATGATCCCTTCCATATTGAAGCGCCCTGGCTTACTTGATCATTTCTTTCTAATGTTCGATGTATCGAACACAAGCGGATTCGGTTTATCCGCGTCTCGCGCCACCTCGTAACGCCCAGAGCTTTCGCTGGATCCTCCAGGGCCGTTCACTGTTCCTAATTCCCATTCAACTATGGCCAGTCAGCCCACCCTGCGATGCCACCGAGACAAACCCTACCATCGTAGAAGACCCAGACTCGATCGCCTTTCGCGTATTTGCTTTGCGCCTTCGCGTTCACCGGTGTTTTCGGACGAGCCATGCTTGCGATAGATCTTGTTTCTGAATCTTGGTCAATATTTGTTCGAGTACACGGTGTACTTTTGAAGCCTGGAAGACCTGTGGGTTACAATTTGCGCAACATGGTGGAATACCGAGCATGCGTTATATCATGTCGTGGCAGCGAAGAGGGGGATGCATAACTGTCGTCATATGGCTTGCGTTGTGCAACCTTCGTATGCAGCTTTCAGCCTTTCCAGTCACCGGCGCAGACACAGACACAGAACCTTCATCCGACGCAGATCGCTTTCAGCGTTTTCACAGCATCCAGTAAGGACGTTTTTGTCTGCGGTGGCTGGCCTTGGCTGGCGAGAGGGCGTACAGGCTGCGCCGTCTTACGCCCTGCAGAGTTTGCCTTTTCGCGCACACAGTTGATGGCCTCTCAGCCTGATTTAGATGAATCAATCACTCATTCGACTCATCATTTAACTTGTAGTAAAACTACCCGTATCTTACGATGTCCTTTTTCGAAACATGGATCCCATCTCCACCGCAGCGAGTGTCCTAACGTTACTAGGCGCGGCTGCAGGCACGATAAAATTCATTCACGACAAAATAAACTCGATCGTCGATGCTCCTGACGATATCAAAAGGCAAAGTGAGCGACTTGGACACCTTTCCATAACACTTGCTAGTGTCGTTCATGCATGCGAACAGCTTCCCGACGACTGTCAGTTGACTGTGGAACTACGTGGGATAGGCGAGCTCATCGAAGTTGCCAAGTCACTGAAGGCCAAACTCATCACCAGAGAGAGTCGCATGAAGAAGAATAACTTCGACAAAATTTACGAAAGCTGTAAATGGCTGCTGGCAGATCGGCAGATCAAGCGCTTCTTCGACTCACTGGATCAATGGAATACCATTCTCCTCCAGACTCTCGGGGTTATCCAAGTGTTGGTCAACCACCTTCCATTCGATCCCTGTTATTAATTGCTTGTGTATCTTTAGGACGTTGTTGAAGCGAATCTACGCCCAGACGTCGTCGTTAACGAGCCTCCCGCACCTCGCTCTACACACTCCACCGACCGCCCCACAAGTTGCGACGACACCTCACTTCGACATAGAAAGCCAAGTTACAGTCTTCAAGAAGACGACTTCGAATTCGATCCAAGCATCACACGTAAAGGATAATCGGTTTGCTTCTTTGGCAAGACTAGCTGAGCCTGTGGGGATGCTGGTACAATATCAATACCACATGCAGGTGTCAAGTATCAATCTTGCTTTTTCTGGGGGCAGACCGATAGTGAGACGCTGGTCGCGTTCTGGAAAGGAAACTCACACAACTCTATCTCAATCGGAAGGTCATGAATCTTCGCTGACCTTGTCAATGCCACGGATCACTAGTCGGCGTTTGAGGGTGAGCGTTGCCGGCTTTCGAACACGGCCTTGCGATGCGACGCTAAACCTCCGCTGGGTGTTCCGATATCACAAAATACTCGCTTACGATCATCCGTACTTTGTGGCTATCGAGAAGGACGATATGGGCTATCTTCAAAACCAATTATCATCCAAGAAGTTGTGTCTGTCCGACTGCATTGCTGGGGGCCACAGCTTACTACATGTATGTACTACACGTTGATCAAAGAGAGCACACACTGACGAAGAGTGACACAGTATGCAGTACGTCATAATAGGTCAGCTATCGCTATGATGCTGATTGACGAAGGCCTTGACGTCAATGTGCAAAACGACCGCGGACAGTAGGTGCTAACACCCTCTACCGTTCTAGTATACTGACAAGAACTAGAACGCCTCTCCACGTAGCTGTACAGCAAGGCAAAGACTTCGACTGTGCTCGTTTACTTCTAAGGCATGGCGCAGACGCTTTCCAACAAGACAACGAAGGACGAAGTGCATTACACTATTTCCACAACGAAGTGGTGCGACAGCTTCTACTCTACTATGCCGATGATATTGACCCCTGGATGCAAGATCGGAGCGGCATGACTGTATTGCATTGGGCGTCATGGAGTCGTAGCTCCTCCCATCAGACTTTCATCTGCTTCCCAACTAAAGCAGAGATATCATCGTGCTACCGCTTGAAAGACATGTACGGAAAGTCTATGCTGCACTATGCTGTACAAAGAGGCAATGCAGACCTCATCGCCTTCTTTCTTGCTAGTCCAGATGCAGCAGACATGTCAGTGCCAGACTTCTCTGGAAGATCGTTGCTTCATTTTGCTACGGAAAGTGGCCGACCGGACACGATTAACATGATGCTGGATAGAGGTATCGATATCGATACGGTCGATGACCAGGGTCGCACGGTACTACATCATGCAGCTATGCGCGGTAATCTTGTCGCTGCTCAACGTCTCATAGAGCTGGGTGCAACCCACCAGTTAAGCTGCAAAGACCATAGCGATCAAACCCCTGCGGATATAGCATGCCAATATGATTCAGAAGTAGTCCAGGATTACTTCAAAACGCTTGGTCACTCGAGCGTTGATGCCAGGGAACGAGACAACGGTTGTTTGCCTTCTGAGACACTTAGTTCGGGCAACAACGCTGACAGAATGACATGGGGGATAGCTTTGCTAATATTTCTAGCACTCGCGACAATATACTGGAGTAATCAGGCAAGTGCTCTACCTGGGGTAAGCGTGATACAAGCGCGCATACGAACTGAGATATCTGGAGAATAGATCAATAGCGAGTTCGAGCGGATAACACACTGATTCTGAGGGATAACGCCATCTCGCCGCTAGAACAGCCGGTCTCACTCCGCTTCCGCCCTACTTAGGACGAGTCGGTAGTCGGACACAATGCGGAACAAGATGAACATCCTAACGACTCTGTAAGAAGCATAGTCGATGAATCCTACGATTGCTACTTGTTCAAGATTCATCCTTAGCTCCAATAATGTGACGCTTTTGTTTTATTTGGCAACATTCACCGCTCTTACAGTACTTGATCCAGGATTGGCAGATCCATCCATGTCCTTCTTATATACAAGCATACGTCGGGTGTGAAGAAAAAGCAAAGCTCAGCGGCGCCTTTTATCACAAGGCGCGTTCATAGTCTCCCCCCTTAGTACCTAGTACTAGAGCAACTTTGTTACGACCACGGTCATGATCCTAATAGGCCTCCACTTATTAGCGTTTAGTGTCACTCGCTGGGTATTGTCTAGTATTTTAATATATTTTAAATCGTGTCCTTATTAGCCCAGCCCTATTAGGCTGAAACTATCGCCTTAGCCGTTCGTGACTGCAAGAAGGTGAGGGCTTGCTAAAACTCGTAATTTTATTCGTGTGTAAGCAGTAAGTACCCAACCCAAGGGTGCGTCTAGTCTAGTGGCCGCACTCACGCGCTTGATCTATAATATACAAGCATACTCTGCGACTCCACATTACCCCAGCCCAAGTGTGGAACATGATCAGTAGGTTCAAAGTATTTACCCACTGACTTTGACCGTATACTAAGTCTTTGCTCTATGTCGTTCCGTTGTGGCCCTTCTTGTTGCTTATACCAGATCCATGCGTATACGAATGACACTCGGAACGTCCACTCCGTAGAGTGATTGGCGCGTTTGAACCAGCTGTATCCTTTGGAGACAGTTTGATTCTCTTCCTTGTATTCGACCGGGCAAATGGGGTCCAAATCTCTAATCAGCTGAACTAACAAAGCGCAAGATCCTCCCTGGTGAACATAGGTGTTGGGATCTAATTTGAGCTCTTGGCCCGCAAGCTCGAACTCAAGATATGGGCCATCCGTCACAAGAAGTGCTAGCTCATCCGAAGGTAGTTGATGAATATCGGGTTCCAGCATGTCCAAAATAAGTACAGTAGTACACATACAGATGGTGTTACGACACGCGGCGACAATTTGATACGCAAGCCGGAATACTGGACATTCGTAGTCGATCGTTATATCATCTTTCTCGGAACACAACGATACCAGGGAGAAGATTCGATCTCTAGCAACACTGCATCTTCGACTGTAAAATTTGAGAAGAAGGCATATCAAAGGGCTGCCAAGTATGGAGGCCCTGGTGGTGTTGAGCTCAAAGAAGTCCCTCATTGGGCTTTCTGCCACGGATTTATTGTGAGTGGACAGGTAATGCCAACCACGATCCAGACTAGAAGTCTTCAAACCGAGCATGATGATGACATGGCGTGCCAATACAAGCTCTTGCGTAATCCATGCTCTTGACCAGTATGCACTGCGAGCAATATGTTCGTAGTCCGTGATTTCTTGTGGTTTACAGTCTGATACTCGTCAGATCAGATATATGTTCGTATGATAGTACATTGTCTAACGTACCGTCAATCGGCCCAAGCCAGGCAATAACGTATCTCGCTTTCGAGTATATCATACCCATCTGTGCGACCTGATGGTTGCGTTCAACCACGTTGCTTTGGTCAATACACAGAGCGTCGATCCAGTATTCTACGTGCTTGTATTTGGTCTGACCGCGAGTATTTCCAAGAAAGTCGAATAAATTCTTCTGTACGTAAAATCGTTGCCCATTGATCAGTAGAAGATGCTTCGACTTCGGTTCACCCCATGCATACGATAAACAAGTGTAACGCGCATGTGTCGTCGTACAGCGCATGGAGCATTGGATATAACCCTCGACCGAAAGATCTGGACATACGGTGACGAGACGTATGGAACACTTTTGGTGATCGAGGGGCCTGTGTTTGAATAGTACTCCTGGTGACAAATGAAGTGTGTTATGTCGTGATGGGTCTTGTACTGCATCAGGGTAGGAAGGGTGTTCTTCAACTTGAATGCATAAATCATCAGAGCCTTCATCGTGTTTCGGATGTCTTCTAGGTTGCGGAACGTTCGAAAGGCTTGCCGTAAACGATATTGAGCTTCCCGCGCCAGCATGCGACGTTGCCCTCGAACTCGAGGGGAGGAGCGATTCCCAGATTCGCGTGATGATAGCGCTTGTCATGCCTGCGCTCAACAACAAGAACTATCAAGACTGGTTTGGTTAGATTAGTGGACTACGGAAAAAACAAGAATGTCACACTTTCGAACGCTGGTGCTCGAGTGAACTGCGGTAGGTTTAAGCTAAAGCGGGGTCGTCGTCCAACGCGATCTCTATTGAGGCGAAGCATGTTCAGCTGCGCCCCAACATAATGTCAGCATCCGGTCAGCAAGAAGCATTAATTGATTGCTTCATCCATGCTGACACTTCTACCTATCTGTAACCACGAAAACACGAACTTGCAAGACAAAGATGGATGCACTGAAGGATCCCGTTATTCTTACAGGCCCATCAGCGCAAGACCAGCAACATACTGGCATAAGGCCAGCTGAACACCACCAACGTTTCAAGAACAGGCCCTACCTGCAATGTCTCGAGACTCTCGAAGACGCGTTTCCGGCGCTCAAATCGTTCTTGGAAAAGCTCGCCAATGAAGAAGAGCCAGGCCGCAAGGCTGTCAATTCACACTACCTTGAGCAACACAGGCGACCACCAGGACGATGCTATTGCTTGGAGTTCGAAGACGAAAGTGTCTCTGTGATAGAAGAAGGCGTCTTTGAAAGCGCTGGCGCGCTGAGGGGATATTTGCAAAAGAAACCAGCCACGCAAAGTCGCAACGAGAAACACAGACGCCTCTTCATCTTGGAGGATATGGAGCCAGACTACGTCGACGCCCTAGGTCATCATCTAGGTGTAGATCCTTTGGTTTTCAGCGAACAAATGAATACCTGGAACTTTACGGACTCCTGGTCTATCCCGCACAGGGGGCTGCCTTCGATGTCAATACCAGAACAGTCGTTCACCTTGCGCTATTACGAACTGCGCACCTTGCTCGAGCCCAAATCGGTCGACGTTCTTAGCTTACAAACGTCATTTGCAGTCAATCGGCGCGTAAGTGTCTCCATGAATATTGCGTGTAACACATACACTAACTTTGTACACCCACTTTTAGAGGTATGAAAGGTGGAGAGATATCGATATACCTTCGCTGGGCAAGCCCGACCGAAGACATGCTTTTGTGAGACGATGCGCGTCATTCTGGACATCGCAGGGCTCGTTGTCAGATGGAACACCAGATGATCTGGGGTGGGATGGTAAGTTCTCCAGACCAGCTTGAAGCCGTTACCCATGGCTAACAGTTATGAGTATAGCTGTTATCCTTGTAGACCCCGCATTTGCTGCTACTTGCGCTGTACCACCTGCAAAGCCCACAAAACCAGATGAACTCAAGTTCAACGGACTTCCAATAGACCCAAGCGCACTCAAGACTCTGGACGAATGTCAGATCCTGCAGGCCGAGAAGCCATTCAAAAGTAGGTCGGCGCTCTGGAGAGCGCAAGACTGGGGTGCACCTCCAGCCCTCCAGGGAACTCCCCATTGGAGTTGGCCGTATCATAACGGATGCTCTACGTTGGCTCCATTGATGTTCTCCGAAGTCGGTATGCGAGCAAAGGAGGCAAACGTTGGGATATTCCAGAAGAAGCGGAACCTCACGAGTGCCATGGACGAGATGGTGTTCTACTGGACGAAGCTCGCCACTCCCGACCTCATCAAGAAAACGAACGAGAAGTCATCCAACTCTGCGTTTTACCTCCTCAAACACGTCGCGCAGCACTGGGTGAATCAGCTGGAACTCATGAACACTACTATCGCCAGAGCCGAATGGTTCTCCGACGACTATCAAGCTAAGATTGACGACAACTTGAGTAAGCAGAAATGGAAAAACGATCTACTCAAGATCAACGAAATCGCGAAGGATATCAACTACATGCGCCGACATTTAAACCACTTTTGGCGCGCCATGTACCTGAATCTTGAACGTTTGGGAGTCCAATTAGGTTCCGAGAGCGTCGACAGAGACGCGTCCTTAGCACTACAAGGTGCACAAAAGGACTTCCTCACCATTCACACAAGGATGCAACCTTTGCGCGATCGCGCGGAGGCCTTGAACTCCGTCTCAAACGATCTCGCCAACCTGCGCGCGGCATTCAGAGGCGTTTCAGATGGCGAATTCAGCCTGCGTCTTAGTTTGTTCGCCTCTGTTGTCTTTCCGCTCACATTGCTCGCGGGCATCTTTAGCATGGGCGATGATTTCCGGCCTGGAAAACCGCAGTTCTATAAGCTCTGGGCCATCGGTGTGCCTGTCTGCTTGGTAGTCGCGCTTGGACTGGTGTACGGAAGGCGGCCATGGGCGGTTACTATCGATATTTGGGAGTACGTAAGAGTTCGGCTCGAGGACCTTCAGCTGGTGAAACCCAAGAATGGGAAGGCTGCGCAAAAACCAGTCAAGACTGGCATTGAAGAGCACAAAGTGAAGAAGAGCAGATCTATAGAGCAAGAAAGTCTGAAGAAAAGAGCAAGCCGAAGGAATCGCGATGAAGAACATGGTGACTATTGAACAGAGAGTGGAGATTTTGGAGGTGCATGGCTCAAGCGGGACCATTTCGTCACCGACCGAGGCAGCGCGTGGGCCTGGTAACCTTATTTCCGCATCACCGCAGCAATGGCTTCCAGCTGCTCCCTTTGCCACCGTTGCGAGATAGTAGTATGCGTATCGTCTTCAAGCCTCAGCACAACTCTTCCATCATCACCGCCTAACCTCGCTGCAATTTGCACACCATGGTTGGCAGGCACGAAACAGTCGTCCTTGCCGTACCACAATTGCGCTCGCAGATCCTTTCTGATGCCTTCGATCTGGAAACCCCAATCGCGACACAACACCTTCCCGTCCAAAGCTATGCCTTCAAATCCTTGTGCTCTCGCTTCGCGGGTTGACCGCAATACCAGGCGAATGACGTCCTCATCGTTCATGATCTTTCGGTCCCTTAGATCCTTTATTTTGGCGAGGCTTGATGGAGACAGCGCGCGCTGAAGACGCTGTTCGTCGGTCATGTCCATTCGCCCGAAGACATCGCGGCTGAAATACCATTCCATCAGGAACTCGGGAGTGTACTTCCATCCGTACGGGAAGCCAATTTTGTGCATAAAGTCCGCTCCCTTCATGCCGATGTCCATCGGTCCAAGTCCGCATACGATGGATATGCATTTCAGCTTCGTCGGAGGAAGTGATGCTGCGCAAGCGAGAACGTATGGACCGCCTCCCGATGCGCCTAGTATCGAGTAGGATTCGAGTTGCAGATGTTCAATGAGGCTTTCGAGATCTTTCGGGCAGTCGAGTAGCGTTCGTTGGGGATGTGGTGTGCTCCAGCCTATACCAGGCCTATCGACCGAGATTATCCTCAAACCTAGCTCGAGGCCAAGGTCGTGGTAAAAAGCGGCTTCGAGGCGAGAGCCAGGAAGTCCGTGGTGGTACAAGATTGGGTGACCGGTAGGCGAACCGTATTGAGCGTAGCCTAGTTTGCGGCCATCCGGAAGGGTGCATATATCTGAACTATCATCGCCCAAGGGATAACGACACTCGTGCGAGCTACTATCCTGATTATGCAAACTCCCTTGGTGGCTCTTGCTCATGACTAGGGGTTCGATGGTTTGTTTTATCTAACAAAGGCCGGACGAATTGGGGTTTGGGGATACAGTATCCTGCTTGCAAGTATAGTCGCAAATGTCTGCATCCATTCCAAATTTTATCACTACAAGACTCGGTTTTATGAACATGCTGTTTGCTTAGGAGAGACCTGGTCGGCTTGGACGGACAGCCGACCAACAGTGTCAGATGTTCTGCTTACTCCGACTTTTCCCGCATTCTCTTTGTTCAAGCCAGGCAACAGTCTTCTACGTGTCATGAAGAACTGCACACAACCGAACCCCTCCTTTTCCCAACGAGCGCAGTGTTTTATCAATCTCGTTTCGCACTACCAGTCGAAGTCGGACGGGTGCAGGCTAACGGGGCATTCTGCTCTATTCTTTGCCAACGAATGCGACATGGGCTTTATCCCACGAGAGGTGATACCACAGGGTTGAATGAAATTGCTTTATATCTTGGATTGGTGTATTTATCGGCGGTCTTTGTAGCCTACTGATATTTCTTGTTCGGCAATCAAGAATCCGAGATTGTATATGTACGTAGGCAGCCAACAGCGTCGAAAAAACACGACGAAGCTAGACCTTTACACATACATCAGGTTCTATACCAGACTTATCGCAAGAAAGTTTGGGTACACTAATCAGGCAGCTGCATGCGCACCATGCAGTAATCACGCCATGTTAGCATCAAAAATGCTGTGAATACTCAATGTTGTGCTACTTTGTTACTTCCGCTGCGACATGACACACACCGTTCAGTACGTAGACAGACACTTCGGGGTGCGCGATCCTGCAACTTGATTCTTAGCATTTCACCGAAAATTCACCCAGAAGTTGGCAGTACTCCACTGGTCACAAGTAAGAGCCAAGACTTTGACGTTACAGATGTCAAAAAACAAATCATTCTCTAAACTCGTATCGTGTGTATCGTATCATAAGCGAGGCTGATCATCCCAGTAAGCACTACACAGCACCAATAATTTCGTTGCCTTCTATGACGTCTAGACCACGTTGTGGGAACGGATGTTTGACGTCGAAAAAAGCGTTGTTCGCTCACGTCCGAGATCAGCAAGACCCACGAGGCAGCTAGGTAATGCCTTGATCGTTGTCCTCCATGCATATCCTAGCACCCACGCGTTTACGGAGACCTTGCCCTTGCGAGTGAGGCTCAACGTTGCGCTGCATACCCCAACCGCTTTCTCTCCATACAATACGCCACTGACAAGTCGCGAAACCCTCCCAAATAGGTTCCCGTATGTCGATCAGGGTACCATTAAATTTCGCATTCGGGAATGAACCAGTCGCCTCCACTGCCTCGGATTCGAGAGAACAATGGCTTTGACGGGATGACGCCCTGCAGCAGCGACTTTGTCGGCGCTGAGCGCTTTACTGCGTGTGCATGATCCCGGCTTTTCTGCTGTGCAATGTGAACTTCACGCGTGCTTCACCAATGACAAGCTTCGCATGACGATTGTGTGCCGTTTTCAGGTGCTCGATCGAGATGAGGGTAACCCAGCAGCCTGTCGCTCTTTCTATCGGCGTGCGGAGGATGCGTCTCTAGCACATGGCGTAATTGTCGGTGCTGCATGGGACGAATAATTGGTGGGATACCACCCACCAACCATATGCATGTGAGTACCTGGCTAGACCTGTGGCTCATATATCGGGCCGTAGCGTCATTGTGTATGTTTTGCAGATTAAGAGAAACATGTTATCTCAATGCATTGAGGCAATATCCCCTTACACCCATCCTTTTCTTCGCAGGGATCCGAATCTAGTCGCCGATTCAAGGGACGGCAAGGCTGTAACTCCGCCGCGCACGTTTTGAAGCCGCTGCTATAATCGGACTTTCCGGCTAAAGGTGAAAAATAGGTGGATTAGTTTTCTTCATCATATCCGACACGGCCGAGGTGTTGAGGATGTATTGTTGCAACTGAAGAAGAAAATGAAGGAGACAGCGAGACTGTGATTTGAAGCATTTTGACCAGGTACTCGGGTCAGATGTGACCATGGTCGCATATATTGGGACCATCACGACCACCATGTCGGGTACATGCAGCCATACATGCACCGAGAAGCAAATGGCAAGACCAACACGTAGATGCTGGGGGATTTGGTGGGGGTATATTGTATTGTTGACTCCCATGACTGCATGCTAAACCAAAAATACGGGACGTGCGGTGAAGGACGTCGTAAAATGTATACCGATATTCGCTAAGTATGCTTCCATGTTTCCCGTTCGCAATGCTGAAAATGTGTTGCTCCAATGACTCCTCTATGCAAAGTGATCTCCACATTACTCTGTCATGATCATATCCGCTTATCTAAACCCCTCACTACCTATGAATCCACTCCAATCATCCATGTCGCGGCTCTCGGCTAGAGGCGTAAGCGAGGATAGAGGACCCACAGTCGATGGATGTATAGCGACCGAGCATCTCATATGCACTTGCTCTCCCTGTTGGGACATCCCGTGAATGGTCGGCGAACATATACTTGCGGCCTCGGCGATACTCGACATCGGTAACGGTACTGCAGAGCTAGAGGCGAAGTGGTGGTAAGGTCTCGGATCCGAATCGTAAGAGGGATGTTGAGGTGTATCGAAGGGGGTGTAATCTCCTGAGCTAGTAGTCCGCAGTGGTGTGTTTCGCGATGTTCGGGCCGTTGATCTATCATTTTCGCTCGGAAGGGAATAATGCGGCCTCAAGAGTGGCGGGTGTGCATTGGTTGGAGGGATTCCGGGACAGGATCTGTGCCTATGCAGGCTGTGGCACTCTTCTCGCGGATGGCTCCATGAGGAAGGTGGGGTTTCATGTCCTTGACTTCCGTCCGGAGTTTCAAAGTGCCAGCTTTGATTCCAAAACATGTCGTTCTCCGGTTCTGCTGATGCTGTGACCATCTGTAACTGGTTGTATAAGTGAAGCGGAGTGGTTCTCTCTTCTCCTTGAGAGGTTTGCCACTCGTGAGGACCCATCGTATCTTTCCTCACGTGTCCATGCAACACGGAGAAGTCAGAGGGCGATGCTGGAGCCGTGTAACCATGCGGCTGCATGTAACCGTCCCCGGACCTTGTCGCGTATCTTGTGGGCGCTGGTCGCAACGTGGTCGATCTGCGGAGACCCTGCATGATGTCCGCTGGTCTAGAACTGTCAGCTTCCTCCTTGGACGATGCTGTTTCTTTCTGATCTGCCGTGTGGAGATAAGATGGCCCTTGTTGTTGGTCTCCAAATTGGGCTGAGGTTAGCGCTACGTCTTGGATAGAATGTTGACCAGGGCCTTCGAGCAGAGGCATTTCCATATGGCCCATGACCGTATCACTTCTACTCGAAATCCTTGTCGATTCACCCTTGCCAGGTTCTTGGGCTGCCGCGTTTCCCTGTTTTCGTGGTTGGACGCCAGGTTGTTTTGTAACGGCTGTACGCAGCTCTTGCAAACCCCAGCTGATCTTTTCCACGGCTAGTCCGGCAAGGCTATGCACGTTGTTCTCGTAGAGATCTTTAAAGATGACGAATGCTTGTTCTGCCTTCATGGCGCCAACGGTGATTGTCCGGTATTCTATGGCGTCCAATAGGAGGATCATGGAACTGTTGAAGGACTGTTGCGCTAGAGTCCAATTGATCAGCGCTGCTGGATCTCGGTGATAAAAGAAGATGAAGGCGGTAAGAACAGCTTCCGATGAAGCAATTACTAGCGTTCTTGCGCGACGAGCGGCTAGTGCTGGCCATGTCTCTGGCTGGAAGCGGTTGACAGCCTGGAATGCTGTCGCACTATCTGCGCCAATAGGCACAGCGTCCTGGGTGGTGTACTTCTCGAATCTCTGCCGATTCAAGAGCACGATGTACGTGTGCGCTTTACAGAAGTACCCTATAACATGTGAGCGGATGTGGACACATGTTTATCTGCGCTACGATATTGTAGTTAAACGTCTCCAATTCGAGAAGGTGACCGAAGTCATGGCATGGGGAAGTGATACGTACCAATAGCTATAGCGTACAGATCAGGCAAATTAGTCTCAGGGTACATCCAGGTGTCATTGAATTGCAGCGTTTCAGGCACCGTATCCAGCAATCTTCGAATTGCGTCTGTAAGCTCATCAATCCTGGCACTCGTCAAGCGGTCGCAACTCATGATCTGCCTGGCCAATACGGTGAAATGGTTGACGAATTCGCCAAAACGTAGCAAAACCGGATCAGTCGTCAGTCCGACTGGCCAAGGGTTATCTCCAATGCCGGTTATTCCAAGAGGTCTGCCGAGCGTCATGGACATGTGTTCATCTAGGTGCAACATATGCCACCACACCTTTTGTCGCACCGCGCAGTCCTTCTCGTTTGTAGGCGCCGGATCAAGATACTTCGGGTGGCGATGAAGACCAATCGAATGGGCGAGGCGAATAGTAGTACCGAATAAAGTGTATGCGTCTAGCATTCTTCCATCGTTGGTCAGATAACTTCCGATCATGAGCAGCGTTTGAATGGACGAGAGGGAAGGTTTGTGTGTAAATGCGGCCAGTCGTAAAGCTTGCATCGCTGCTGCGACTATATCATATATGTTAGTTTTGTTACCAACACTCTCCGATAGACTAACTGTAGACATTGCTCTTCTGCGTTTCGACTTCGATGACTTTGACATTCCATTGTCCTCCTCCTCTATCCCACGTTGAGTGCTGTGCCCCCAGTGCGATAAGCCCAAACAGGAAAGCCAAAGTAGTCGGATAGAGCTCAGAATTCTTTCTGGCGTCCGACAGGAAGTCTTCTACCTCATTATTCGTCATCTCCGCAGGCACTTGATAGACTCGTCTCTGGAAAGTTCTCAAGTATTCCATAAGTTCTTCCCTCTCAGGCAGACAGCTTAGTAGTTGTGGAAAACATTCGTCTGGTGCAGCACTGAAAAGAGTAGGGTAGGGGTACGTTGGCGAGCTGCGGAACATATCCGAGCCGCGAGGTGTTGTGTAGGATAATGGTAGACAGCTGGTGTCCGCTGCATTGAACTTCAAATGTCAGTCTCGATGTTTAGGCTTGAGCACGTATACACACATCGCTGACGACAGTAGCCAGCCCTGGCGAGCCAAAATAGATGCTGTCTTGCCATTCTGAAGTCTGAAAGCGTTTCTGCTTGGTTGTGCGTCGCTTGTGAGATGTAGCGGCGCCGTCTCTGGAGACAGAGTCGGGTGAGATTTCGCGGCCAGCGTCATCGTCATCCAGCGGTATTTGGCAGGAGCGTAGTCGTTCTTTGAGTCGTAGGTTCTCGGCGCGTAATTTCCGAAGCTCGTAACTTTGCTGGATTGGAGCATAGTTGCCGTCCTCTGCGATAAAGTAGCAGTCCCGCGGAGAGCCACGAGCACAACATGCCGAGCATGGCTTTGTGCGATCACACTATGCCAAGTCAGCGCGATGTACCCCCATTTTCCAAACCGCTAATGTGTCGCTTTCACAGAGTGTTGCGTGGACCGCAGTCCGAGGAGGGAAACCAACCTTGACCTTGCGCTCTCTACACTTCGTGCATGATAGCAATTGACGTGGCTGTTGTGACTGTTGCTTCCTTCGGTTGGTGTCGGCCGCACCAGGAGAATGATCTTGAGGAGTATGTATTCGTTCGTATGGAACATCTGCAGCTGACATAGTAGAACAAAACTAGTTTGTCGTGCCGTGTCGAATATTGAATAAGACTAACTAGAGAGACGCACTTCGAGAATGATACAATTGTTTAACGAGTCTGGCAGACAGTATGGTATACATCGAGTCAGAATCATATATTTGGTCGATTCGTGTTAACGAGAAGCTCGCGCCATCTGTTTTGTAGGAACATTCTAGATATCACCTCTAGCCACTGGCACTGCCACGATAAGTAAACACACGAACGCGAAGCGTCATTCCAGTTAGGGAAGCCTCCGAGCCATTGGTAGAGTAAAGAAGCGCTAATGTTAGAAATGATGGGCTTTCACCGTAGTCTGAGCTCCCGGACTGGCGGTATTACATTGCGCTTACGCTAATACGCATGGAACACCGAGGTGCAGTTGTACAAAAGATATCGCCAAGCGGGTTGAAGGGGCCATCGGAACAATACAGGATGCTTGACACAGCACACAGATCTGACGCACCTGTCGACGGCCCGAGCCTCTGGGTCTCCCCACCCTTCTCTGCCCACGCGCGCATATGCATGCACAACGAACCGGATTGCTTGCCGGTTAAATGCTTCCTTCCTACAACTGAGCGGAGAACTCGATCTTGACATTACAGATCTACATCTATGTTGGTTGTTCGTAGCAGGTGCCACCGTGGCTTGGTGTGGCTTGCAGGGGCGTGTGTTGGAACGCCTCCGTTGCTTCAAGCTTCCATTGGACAGTCCTAGTTGTTTCGGACGTTACTACTGCGTACTGTCTTTTTTATTCCGCAGCAGGATTGATGCGAATGCGAGGCTGGCAATTTGGAATCGATGGGCTGTTGAGAGTGATCTACAATCACGGAGCGCAAGCCCCGTGGTGTAATGCCAAAACGCCTCGTTTTGCCACCATCGGAACCTGGAATTGTTCGCGTGCCAGGCATACCGTCTGCCGGGACGTCAAACATAATCAACCCCACGGTCGCCCCGAAATTCAACTTCCGCGATCTTCTGTCGGCAGTTGCGAGAAGAGCAGATGGGAATATTCTAGCAAAGTGGCTTAGACAGCGTTATTAGTTCGGTCCAAGAGGCGAATTGGCTTCACCCAGATGGTTCTCGAAAAAAGGTCGACTCTCTCCAGCGCCACTTCCCACTCATCACCTTCTTCGCAGTCATAACTGTTCATGAAAACCTTAAGGCCATACTCCGGTAGCTCACCTTGCACCAACCCCGCCCCTGCCTTCACAGACCTTGTCCAGAACTTGAATGCTTTAGGAAGCTCCGCTTCGTTGTACTGGAAAGCACGAAGGATAGCCTGGGTAACCCAAAAGCGCGTGGAATTCCGCTTGGTCTGGGAGATGATCCGCTCGCGAGGGGAAAGTGTGACGATGGATTCTTGCATTTGGCTTTGTGAGAAGGGGAGTATGGACTTTTGCCTCGGCGCCAATTCAAATTTTCTGCCCTTTTGTGCTTCCCAGCGTAGGACAGCCTCGATTTGCCAGTGCGCAATCATGTCTGTAAAGCGACGGAGAGGACTCGTGACTTTGATGTAGCTAGGAACTCCGATGATCTTGTGTGGTAAAGGCGAAGAATGTGCAACGGCCATGCCTAACGATCTTGTCCATCGCGAATGGAGATCCAGTCGTACCTTTCCGTGTTTTTCGTAGTGGGTCTGCACGAGCTGTTGCAGCTCCTTTGGTTCCAAATCTCCGCCTGGTGGTTCGATCGTACCCCTGTACATCACGGGTATGTTCCGCTCAGTACACCATGCAGCCGCTGTCTGACCGGCAAGCAGCATCATCTCTTCGGTAATGTTCTTAGGTCCGATCTCCAACTGCATCAAACCGTCCGAGATCGAATTCGTTACCTCGATTATCGGGTCTCCTTCGATAAAACGTGCCCGATCCAATGATGGGGCGTTCCAGCTCAAGCCACCCTGGCTGGCGCTCTCGAAGACACGAGCACTAATACCCGCAGTAGCAAACTTGACACCACCAGCAGTCTTTCGCTTCGTCCATAAAGCTTGGGCCGCAGTATAAAGATTACGCAGGTCATCAAGTTGACTTGGAGCAAGGCTCGGTGGTTGCCGTTCTGTGCCGCGTGGCACCTTACCACCGACAACAAGCTTTCTTGTTTTGCTCGGACTGTTGTCACCAAGAAGAGCAGCCACCTCAGATGGCGTGATGCTTACAACATTGTGAACGGTGCCGGGCTGTATCTTCGTTTCCAAGACGGAGCCAGTACCGTCAATACGGGAACTGAAGGTGATGACAGGGCGGTTCTTGTCAAGACTGAAGTACCCTTGGGCAGCCCAAGCTGGAAGCATAGGGAACGATCGCTCTGGCGTATACACGGATTCAGTCATATGGGCGGCAAGACCAGATAGCGTGTGGGTTTTGTCGAAGAATGCTGTTGGATTCGCAACGTGTACATGAATCCAGAATTCAGAAGATGCGCCATTGACTTGTTCGATCGATATGCCGTCATCGATCTCTTGAGCGCCGACATCGTCGATGCAGTATACTGTCGTCGATCCCCAATCGTGGCGAAGATGTGCCATTGCATCTCGAAAGTCAGGATTTTTGCGTATAAGCTCAACTTTATTATTAAGTACTTCCAGGTTGCGAGACTGTCGAACGGTGGGAAGCATCAGCTGCTCGTCATAGATCGCGCGATTGTCGTGGGGCGAGATGACACCGATTTCTTGTAAGAACAGTAAACCAGTACCTTTTGTGATGTTGCTGAGAGTGTCGTCGTGAGTTCCTGTGCCGGCGAAGACATCTGAGCCGTAGAACCCTGATGACGAGACCAAGCTCGTACAAGCAGATTGAAGACCAGCCATACCCTTGAACTGATCGGTAAGTACCCATGCTTGTAGAAACTTGATGATCTGTTTGTCAGTGTTTGAGAATGTCTCTCCCCAAGTGATGCGCAGATTGGAGGATCCGTCCGGTGGCGAGGAATTCTTGCTAGGTCCAAGACCCCCATAGGTTGGCTCACGGAGCTTTCGACTGTTTGCGATAAGTTTGCGGGCCTTCTCAAGGAAATTCGCAACGTAAGTATAGCCGTCGGTGCGGGCTTGCTGAGCATCCTTTCTGGACTCGAAACTTCTCACAGACAAGGCACGGTATTCGCGATATTCTCGGATCCACTCTTGGACTGCCTCCATGACCTCGACATCAGCCTTGGGTCGGATAGCAAAAATGTTCGTCAGACGGTGATTGCGAGCATCGGAGTTGAAACGGAATTCATTGTGGTGGAGAGCCTTTCGGACGGCCAGGAGAGCTGCTGGTGAGGATATCCAGGAAGAATCTTGCTTCTCCAGTAGTTTCTTCGCAATCTGTGACAGTGTCATCATACGTGTCTTGGTGTTGTCTGCCAAGACATCGTAGGCCCCGTCCAGTACTGAGGCATTTGTTCTGTAAATCTTCTCGGCTTCTGCTGTCATGTGTTCGAGGGTCGCTACGACCGGAGCGGACAACTCTCTCGGAACGTGGACTTCACCCTTGGGATTGGCTAAGCCAGGATTTGTAGGCAGGAAGGGAACGAGTGGCTCAAGAAGTGCGGGATCAATGCAGCCTTGGATAGCGAAAGACACGCGACCAATCAAGGAATGTGTCCATCGACCATTGACGGAGAAGAATTGACTCTCATTATTCAGTTGCTGCACGAAAACAGCAAGTACGGGTTCACGGCCCGGTTGCGTGAGTTCGACCACGTCGCCGGGCTTCAGGAAAAGGCCGATAGTAATGACCTCTTCTGCCTCATCTTCCTCCGCCACACCCCACTCGCTCTCTTTTGCATCCTGGTCGGCCTTGAGAGCGGACGACAACTTTGATAGTCCGTTCTGCGTATTGTTGCGTGCGGGGTGATTCTCGAATGCCGTAAGAATCTCTTCTGTCGGTCCACCAAATTGATGTTGCCACCGTTTGAGATGCTCACGAACTGGGATTCCTTGGGGGCGAGCAAGGAGAGACGGATCTGGGGCGGGCGTAGAAGTGGTGGTGGTGGTGGTGGTGAGGGTGGATTGTTGTGAGCGCTGACAGTTGTTAGTCGTTGGTTGTCATACCGGACGTTTCACTTACGTTGGCAGCGGCATGGAGCGCCCGCCTCTGCGTTTGTGGGACTTTTACAGTAGAAAGTCCACGAATATTTTGTGTTGGACAGGAACTACTTCGCTGGGCCAGTAGACGCCATCGGCATCGCAGGCATACATTGCCTGCAGCCCGCCCAAGACGAGGATACATTTTGAGGCGAATCGTGAATGATGTCGTCAATCTAAAAAAGTGCTGCGGAAGGAAGGCGCGCTTGAACCGCGAACCGCGGCCCGTGCGAGGACGCTAAGTCGCTGCGCGAACGCACATGTTTCCTCTGCAGAACTCTGTCCCTCGTTCTTACACCACACTACGCCCAAGGTACGTACACCGTCTCCTCGTCTTCACCCCCGACTTCATGATGTATTCAAAATTATAGCATGTATTATCCGACGTCGCTTCGGCGAGACTGCGGAACAAATTTTTTCCTGATTGAAATCTTCACATGTCGACTTGTTATCTGTCCATGTTGCGATGCACATCTAACGTGTCTCAACAGGCATCATGGCATCTGCCAAAGCGCCCAAGGGCCACTTCTCTATCCTGTACTTTGCAGCGGCTTCAACCTTCACAGGCAAGACCAGTGAACATCTTCCTGCTCCTGCACGAGCTCGCCATGTCTTTGCTATGCTGGAAGAGAGATACCCGGACATTCGCAATAAGGTGTTGAGCAGCTGTGCTATGACAGTCAACATGGAGTACGTTGATGTCGGGGAGGACGATGCTGAGGATGCAGACAAGCAGATTGTCGAAGGCGACGAGGTTGCCATTATCCCGCCCGTGAGCTCGGGATAGCTCATGGAGTGGTCTATGTAGTATGTACTTGACGATGTTATGAGCCATGTCCTCCACAATGATGGCGCCTACTGTAGTCGCGCAAATAATGTATGATGCTTAGTGAAGTCACGTCCCATAGCACCTCGGGCGCCCGGTTCGTCCTGCTGCTGGAGTCGTCTCAGTGTCAGTCAAATGAAAGTGCGGAAAAGCTCCAAGCCCGATTCGGGCTAGCGCCTGACGTTCTCTGACAGCCAGGCTCGATCCACCTGCGCGGCATATACGACCACCGACGCGCCGACGAGAGCGATTTGGTCTCAGAAACCAAATGGCAGACCACGAAATAGATCCGAGACTCTTCGCGAGTGCATCTTCAGTGCAACCGTCGCGGCCGCAGATCTACACATCTGCACAGCAGCAAAACACCGGCCATCCATACTACCTTCCGTCACCCACCGCTCAACACCATGCCCAATCCCTCCCTCAACCCCCGCAGCTCTCACAGCTATCGCAGCCTGCCCCACTAGGAAACATACTCGATCCCGCCCTCGAGCAGACATCGCCAACCGGACCAGAGGCGTCGCACGATGACGACGACCACGAGGACGATGGCGACCACGATGGGTACGTTGTAGAAGCCCAACCTGCGCCGTCGCGGCAGCTGGCGCGCTGTGTCGCAAAGTGCACATTGCATGCTTCAATGGCTGCGACAAGCGCGATACGCGTCTAAATCAGTTGAAAGCCTCTTGGCTCTCTCAGATGATTGTCCCTGAAAGCAACGCGTGCAGTCGCCAGTGCGCTCGACAACAACAAACCATCACCAGTGGATATACGCTAACACTGACCAACAGCGCCCACGGAACTCCAGGTTCTGCCAAATCCCCCGCCGACCTCAAGCGCCCCAGAGCATGCGACTCATGTCGAGGACTAAAGGTTCGCTGCGACCAAGAGCGACCAGACGTGTCATGTAGACGGTGCGCCAAGGCAGGTCGACCTTGCATCACGACACCACCAACCCGGAAGCGCCAAAAGAAGGCCGACAGCAGAGTCGCCGAACTTGAGCGCAAGATCGATGCATTGACAGCGACATTGCATGCACAAAAGGCAGGCGCACCCGAGATCAGGCATCATGGAGGCATACCACAACCTGGAGCCTCTACCGATTCTATGCCTATGCCGGTTGAAGGCCAGTACCGCATGGGATCACTCGAGCACGATTGGTCTCAGTCTCCGGCTGGCAGGTACCCAGATATACCGCCCGGCTACGGCCCAGCACAGAGTATGCAGAGAGCACCTGAGCCAAAGCGCAGGAAGCTGGACAACACATCACACGCTGTGAGTAATCAGGTCAAACACACGCGCGGCCAGAGCTAACATTTCAGACGATCCCCGAGGACATGGATGCCATCCATCGTGACTTAGCAGAGCACCCGGAGATGAAGCGGACCAGCAAGAACAAGATTCACGCTGACCATTCGCACATCAATATTCTAATCGACAATCTTATGACGCCTGACATTGCAGAGCGCGTCTTCTTTCGCTATGTCAACGAGATCTGCCCGCATTTCCCAGCCGTGCCTTTCCCTCCTGGCACCACAGCCCGTGAAGTCCGAGAGAAGAAACCGCTTCTCTTCCTCGCTGTTTTGGCTGGGTCCTCGCACGGGAGCGCAGAGCAGTTGGTATCACAAGAGACACAACGCGAGTTGACCAAACTCCTCAAGGACCAGCTTGCTGACATCATCTGGCGCAACGGGGAGAAATCGCTCGAGATTGTTCAGGCACTACACATCTCTGTGCTTTGGTACCGTCCGCCCCTCCACTTTGAGCAGCACAACTTCTACATGATGGTCAATTGCGCTGCAGTCATGGCTCTCGACTTAGGCCTTGGAAGAAAGGCAACACCAAATGTCATGAAGCTTTCGGTTGGTCCATTCAAGAGGTTTCATCCAAACTCTAGCAGCGTCGAGGCCCGCCGAACGTTCCTCGTCTGCTACTATCTCTGTATGAGTATCACCATGGTCCTGCGACGACCGATTTTGCTTCGCTGGACCAACTATATGGCGGAGAGTGTTCGCATTCTTGAGACCTCGCCCGAAGCACTCCCATCGGATAGACTACTCTGTCAGCAAGTCAAGATGGCGCACATAGGAGAGAAGATATCGGTTGAGTTTTGTATGGACGATCCCTCGGTTGAGGTTGCAATCTCCGATCCCAAGGTCATATACGCCCTGAAGATCTTCGAGAATGAACTGAATAGCTTGAGGGAGGAGAACGCCTCTTTGGGAGACGTCGATCGTAAGTTGTATCGGAACACATGCCGCATCCACACTGACCATCGCAGCAACCCTCCGCTTGGCAGAACATGTCACGAATCTTTACCTCCATGAAATCGCGCTGCATCAGAATCAAGGCTCTGCTGATTTGCAGCCCCCTTACACCACGGACGCGCTATCTCCATCAGTTATCATTGCAGCGAAGAAAGACGGTCCTGTCGGCCCGGCACATATAGGCGCTCTGGGTGACTGCCTCACCGCTACCCACGGTATCCTGGACACGATACTAAGTATCGAACTAGACATTCTCCTAACTCTGCCTGTCATCTTCTGTAGGTTTCTTACCCATTTCCTATGTTCCGCGCTAAGAATTCTCAGGTGTCCGGGCAATCTACGCCATCGTCTGCCTGATGAAGATGTGGGTGTCGGTGACGAGCTCTGGCGAAGTGGGGAGCATCATCAAGAAGGAAGATCTTGAGATCGAGGCCTACACCGAGCAACTGGTCTCCATGTTCAACGCCATTGTTTCCCGTGATGCTCAATCACCCCATGGCAAATTCTACTTTGTCGCCAAGCGCTTACAGGAACGATTTGCGCACATCAAAGAAGGTGCCTCTAGCGACCACCAAACTGAAACCGACCACGAATCCGCTCGCAACGCTAGTCAACAACCATCTCGACCTTCCACTCGCCAAGAGCCCGCAAATCAAACACCACTCCATCTCCTCTCCGAAGTCGCCATGGGTAGCAGTAATAATGCTGCTTCACAACAGCAACAGACGCAAGCGCATTCTCGTTCTCAGCAACAAGCACAAGCCGCTCTACAAGCACATGCGCAACATTCCCAGCAAGCCATGCCGAACTGGTATCCAAACATGAATGCGCAACCTACGCCTGAGATGATGAGTTTTGGTCCGCAACAGCCATTCGACATCAACTTTGACTTCACACAATTTGACCTTGGTACAGGCTCGGATGCAGATCTGTCGGCGCTCTTCATCCCGGATTCGATGGCAATGTGGAGTTACCCCACTGACCCTAATATACAGGGCTACAACGGATTTTGAGATTTCCGATGTCCGATGTGGGTTTCGATGGTGCAGTTACGTGTGCATAGCCCGGGCAGAAGTGTAACGGTGCATGGTTTGCGCATGAATTGTACAGTAAAGATGTATCGTTTGTAACGAACCTTGGCGAAGCAAGTATAGAAAGCATGTAACAATACACAATTAGCGAAACCCAAGATGTGTGTAATATCCTCGTCCTATTTCAGCTGACCCCTATGAAGCGTGTATCGACGCCGCCGGATGCCTCTATGCAGTTCATAAGACTATACGTCTCTTGGAAAATTCATGTATTCGCGCAATCGCGTGACTATCTCCCACATGTTACTGTGTTATGTCCCCACTCATACTCACTCCAACTTGAACTCAACCTTCCTCAAGAACGCTTCCAACTCCGTAAGCTCTCCCACTGCCTGCTCCTTGGCCCACTGTACAGCCTCTTTCTGTCCCTCGCCATAATACCCATATTCCCTGTTAAACACCCACATCTCATACAACTGCTCTCTGAACCCTTCTGGGAAAAAGCTCTTGACAACCTCATCAGGAAGCTGAACATGCTTCACTGTCTTGCCTGTCACCTTACTCATAACACTCGCAATCTCATCCGGCGTGTAAAGGCCCTCAGCCGCAGCAAAGAACTTGCCCGCGTATTTCTCTGGCTCAGCAAGAATGGGAGCAATCCACTTTCCAGTCTCGGTGATGTCAATGTACGGCACGGACGTGTTACCAGGTAAGATGTCTGCTAGAACAAAAGTACCGTCGCCGGCGGGAGAAGGACGTGGTTTCATTCTGTCTAGCAGATTCTGCATGAAAGATGCCGGAGCGAAGAAAGCACTCTTAACAGGTAGGTTACGGATGTACGCCTCAATCTCGGCTTTGTCGTCAAAGTGCTCTACATTCCTCAACTTGCCCCCACTGATCTTGAATGGGTGCGACATGGAGCTGAAGATTATGTATTTAACACCTTGCTTGATAGCTTCTTCGCACACTGCTTTGGCTTGGCGTGTTTCGACTTCGCGGGTGGAGCCGGTGTATTGAGTTGTTGTTATGAGGAAGACGAAGGTGCAGCCGGAAAGGGCGGTAGGGAGGGTGGAGGGGTCGTCCATGTCAGCTTGAACGAGCTCTGCGCCTAAGGATCTTAGATCCTGCATGGCGGAGGAAGCGGTGGAGCGAGAAAGGGCGCGGACGTTGTACATTGCGGAGAGCGAGGGGGTGCTCAGGATGGTGCGGACGACTGAGTTGCCTTGGTTGCCCGAGGCACCAAAGACTGCAATCGTTGACTTGGACATTGTGGGAGTGTTGACGGTGGTGTTGATCTTTTGAAATCCAGGTACTGATTGATAGTGTTGAGAGGATAGTTCAATATTCGAGATGATGAAGCTTGCAACTGGTAGACTTGAACGTCAAACCTGGCCTTTACTTATATACTCTCTCCTATGGGCGTGCGCGATCCTTCTTTCTACTCTAGCTCGTTGCATCAAGCCACACACCTCCAACCATCATGAATGCCTACGGCTATACACACCGGAATTTACGGCTTTAGGGCCTTCACTATTTCTAGAAAATCGTCGTGGTGAGGCTCTTTATGCCGCTACAGGATCGTTCCGAAGTATCATTTCTGTTGTCAATCGCTCCAATCGCGTAAGAGACCTTGTTGGTTCTTGCTGTAAGGCCGCCTGCGCCAGTTGTCGCTGTTGTTGAAAACATGTCGGAGATGTCTGCTGTGTTCTCGGAGACCGAGCTAGGATCGGATCCGAGACTTGGCGAGGCTTAACTCCTCTAACTCCTAACACTCCCCTGCTATCTGCGGGGTTCCACCTACCTTTCGCGACTTCGCTCTCTACGTATCGCGTACTTTGTCATCAGCTTTTGAACATAAGTTTTTGCCTCCGTCTTTGACGAAAAAACCACCCCCGGTGCTGTTGCCTTCTGTATGCGGTACCCTGAAGCATGAAGTGGTTGCAACCGCGCTTAATGGATGCGCCTGCCGCTGGCTTCAAGTAGGTATCGCTCTCGTCCGTCGTGCGAACTGAGCTGGACGTACTGGACTCGTCATGTGATACATGGCAAAGAACAATCACGAAATAGGCATCTGGACAAAAGCGTTAATGCCCACTACCGATCATCGTCCCCAAGGCAAAATACACACCAACGCTCTTCTATCAAACATGTATTATGAGCAAGTTATTGCCATGAAGTTGCGAAGCCACACGTTGAAACTTGTCAACGTTGCCGTGCTCGCGTTCTCAGCTTATGATTGGGAGAATGCAAAATCTCGACTGTCGATACACTACCCACAGAGAATCCAGCTTGCCACGGTTCTACAGGGAATAATTTGCTGAGTAAAACAATGGGGTTGTTCGTAGGAGAGCGTAGTGGTTTGGCGCAGGTATGGCGAAAGAGATTGATGTGGAGGAGACGCGCGTAAAGACTGGCTTGTAAACCTCTGAGTTGTCTAAGAGGTTGGTTGAGAATTGTAATCGCCGTTCGGGTAGCACCTACATCTCAGGGAACGTTGTTAACGGTGGACACGGCTAGCCACACCCGTAAGCAGTGACGACATACGGAGTACTGTACGACCAGAGAGCTTAAATACGCGTACTCGCTTTTGGGGGTGGATCCTACTTTTGTGGAATAACAAAACTGGCGTAACAGTAAAGCTTGTCACTATAATGCGGGGGGCTAGCTTGCACTAGTGCTTGGGTTGAGGCCGGATACGTTAAGAGAGAATACGCGAATGGGGCCTAAACTACTTTTGGTACAACATGGACACCGAATTCGCAACAACTCCTTGATGCGGCGAAGTAGATGAGCCAGTGGTACCTTTCTTTCGAAACTATACGTAATGTAGAATTTGGAGAAGAGGTATAAAACTTCCGATCAGCTGCTTTTGCAGGGCCCATCTGATCAACAAATCATCAGCCAGCATGGTAACCCAGAAGATCTTGAGCTTTACGGCTTTCCTAGCGCTCTGCTCTAAAGGTCTCGCAGTGTCAAACTCAACTGCAAAATGCGTACGTTCATGCCACTCTTAAGCACTCTTAATCCTTTGTCAGCTGATTTAACACGACACCAGATTCCATCCGACCCCTGCTGGCCTTCACCGACAACATGGAGGTCTCTGAATGAGACACTCACAGGCCGCGTTCTACCCACCACACTTCCCAGTTCTGTCTGTCCCGAAGGAGGGCCGGGAAGCGAAACCTGGATCGTCAACGCAACGAACGCAAACGACGTGCAAGCCGCCCTCAACTTCGCCAGCGAACACAATCTCAAGATCAATGTCAACAACACCGGCCATGCTGGTTTCGGACGCAGTTCAACCTGCGGTGCTCTGTTCATCGGAACAGGTGAAATGAAAGGCGTCGACTTCCACGAGTCGTACACACCTCAATCTTGTTCAGCGAACCACTCCCACATGGCCGCCACACTAGGCGCCGGTCAACAAGACGACGAAACATTCCAAGCCCTAGCCAAATACAATGCTGTAACCGTTGGTGGCACCTTCGACACCGTAGGTATCGTCGGTTGGGCGACAGGCGGTGGACATGGTTGGCTCACAAGCAGCTACGGCATGGGCGCTGACAACATCTTCGAATTCGAGATCGTAACGCCCGCTGGCGATATCTTGGTCGCAAATGAATGCCAAAACAGTGACATCTTCTGGGCTACCCGCGGCGGCGGTGGCGGCACATTCGGCGTCATAACACAGATAACGATGAAGGCATACCCTATGCCGCGAACGGCCGTCTGGCTCTGGAATATCCAAGGCAGGAATAACACTGACGCGAAAGAATGGTGGAGACTAGTTGCCTCGCTTCACGCCAACATGCCAGCAGTGAATGAAGCAGGTTTCCAAGGTTACTACACCATTGCTGGTGCTAAAAACGGTCCTCTAGCCATGGGTGGGTACTTCATGGCGTACGACAAGTCGAACTCGAGTTTGACGACCGCTATGGAGAACTTCCTCGCCCCAGCACGCGAATCCAGTAATCTCGTCTCTTCCACAATGTCCAATCTGACCACGTACTCTCGCTGGATAGACGCCTACAATGGTCTCCCAAAGCAAACCCGCGACACCTCCTCCGGACCCGGTGGCGTGATATCCACAACCCGCCTTCTGACTGCGGACTCGCTGACTCAAGACATCGAGGCTAGTGTCCGTATGTTCGAGACTATTGGACCCCAGGCAGCGGACTATGAGAAAGGCATGTCCAGCCATATCCTCGCTGGCGCTCTCATCGCTTCCCCAAAGCCAGTAGATAGCGCGTTGAACCCAGCATGGCGCAAAGCAACCGTTCACATGATCGTAAAATCTGCGTGGGATACTGCTCTTCCCAAGATTACCGTACGCGAGTTCCAGGAATCGTCAACGAACAGAACAGGCAGAGCTATGAGGGGCCTTTCACCAGACTCTGGGTGCTATGTCAATGAGGTCGACAAGTACGAGCCCAATTTCCAAGAAGCCATGTACGGACCCAATTACCCGCGTCTACGCGCCATCAAGGCGAAGCATGATCCAGAGAATTTGTTGTGGTGTAGACGATGCATCGGGAGTGAAGAGTGGAAGTATGATGAGCGGGATGGGCGGCTCGAGAAAAGGGCTACTGAGGATGTTTGGCCGAATTTTGCTTACGGATTCTAAACCTAGCATGTCATGCGAGGGTAGTACAAGAGGCAAAAAGAGTCATTGTGTGAGGTTTTGCACGACTAGAACTTAGTACCTTGACCAAACCATAAGATAGATCTTGGATAGGAATAATAGCTAGGTCTTTTGCCTCAGCTTATCTTGTTTTCACAAGTCGACCTACTCCGTCCATCTCCCTGCCTCTAGATCTTCAACACCCACCTGCGCCCCCTCTTCCTTCAAAGCCCCTTCAAGCGCACCTTGCCCTCTCCATCCATGTCCAATCCTCCCTGTACTACTCAATCTCCCTACATCCTTCCCATTTTTCTCCATAAAATACTCTTTTTGTTCCTCACTCGGCTCATGCTGCTTCTTCCACTGCTTACTCTCCTTGTCAAACTGGTACCCATTATACCAGTCCTCAGTCAGGGCATCTGACCCATATTCCTCCATCAGCACTTCTTCGTACGCATATGGTACTTTGACCTTCACGCCTTCAAATGTAGATTGTCGGAGGGGGAAGAGCTGCGTGGAGAGGTAAGCGTGTGTGTCTTTGACGTAGAGTTGGGTTTCGGTATCGAAGGCATCGGGATCGGCTTCGTGGGCTGAGGGGTGCGTGCTGGAGTAGGGGGAATCAGCGAGTTCCCTTTTTTCTCCGACGTGGATGGTCGTAATGTCGATGTAGAGACCAGTGGAAACATCGATCCAGCGGATGTCGATATGGTTGTAGATATCTGTTGTCGATTTGTTGGTGTAATTTGGGTTTACCTCAATCAGGTATTTTTTGCCGGTTGTTTTGATCTCTTCTTCCCATGCGAGACGTTTTGAGCGGGTATCTTCGTCTTCGTGGTGCTGTTTCAAGTCGACCAATTCATTTCCTTGCTTGACCTGATTGTCTGCATTGTCTAGTGCAATCTCGAGCCCTAGGTCCCGAGCATCGAAATGATGGACTGTCATGTTCCACCATGTCCCTAGTTCTGCAGCTCCTTCCTCTTCTACAATGAAATCCAAATCCTTGTCCCATGGCATCAGGCCTCCGCCCCACCACCAGCCTAGCAATACCCCGTGCATGATCCAAGTTTGTACCCCAATCCTTTCCATCGTTTCTGTATACGCTCTCAACATAAGCCTGAGGTGCCATATTCGTTCTTGGAAGGGAACCTCAGAAGAAGCGAATCGGCCGTCATAATGACTGTTGAAGGTGGATTCGTAAAAGTATTTGGTCGGCGCGTGCGCGTACGTATGCCCATTGGAAAAGGAGTTGACAAGGGGCGTGAGGCCGCGGAAAGAGCGGAAAGGTGTGCTTCTGCGTTCGACAGGAAGCGCAGTGATGAGCTGGAGGAAGGGCACGATAAGGAGCGCAAGTTCTACGGGAAGTCTCATCGTGACTGGGGCCTCGTCGGTATGAAGCGCATTGTTCTACCACCCCGTTGTCGCGTTCCGGATTATCCTAGATTATGAAGGGTGCTATAGTGAAGAAAGAGGTATGTAGAGGCAAGGAAGCATGACAAGATGATCGCGGAAAAACCAAACGGTGTTGGCTGACAAGAGGGGATAAACAAAGAGCCGCAACGACTCGTTATCGTGTATCTACATGGTGGGCGATTCAGCGGAATACAGGATGGGGCAACGTGCAGAGCCAAGGAAGATCAAGCACGCGCCAAGGACCTATGCCGCCCGTCTCATGCTTCTAGCCCGCATGGATTTTCCGAGGCTAATAGGCTAGCGGGCTGCCCTGGATGTGGAGTGTATCGATGCATCTTGCGTGTCCGGTCCGTTGTTTGTCGGTTATCGTGAGGTTTGCTGCTTGCGTGTCGTGTTGACGTTGAAATTGAAAGGAGTCTAAGTGCGGGCTAGCCACGCGCGCGGCAGTGAAGTCTGGCAGACTAGGCTGCGCGTCCTCTAGGCCCGCACGTGCGATGCCGCATGGCAAACACGCGTCACGCTAGATTTGGTATACGATAGCACAACACAATCGGAAGTTGTCGGAACCACCAGCGAGATCAAGTAGAGATCAAGTTTTGAGGAGTACATGGTGAACCAGACATTCGGTCGATTTACCGCGATTCTCCACTATACCACTCGATGATGTGCAGGAGCGATCCGGTGCGTTATTAGCTGGCGAAGGTGCGCTTCGGTCCGCCAAGTAACTCGGGACCAGAGGAGATGGAATACCCATGGATTGATTATGGTGACGCTAATGTACGGTATCAAGAGCCGCATACAGACATTGGGGTTTCAAATTCATTCTGTCGTCATCATTGTTGATCAACATCGTCAAGGCATGAACCCAAACGAGGCAGAGTATCAGTTTGGAACCCATAACATCACTTCCCAAACACAAGTGCATGATTATGTGATTACTTGAATTGCATTTCATAATTCTACAACCACACAATCTGACCAGCATTGGGTTGATTTATACCATAGGGAAAAAGAACCCAAGTACAATTTTCCCATCATCTACACATATCAACATGGTGAGCTCCTCCAAACGTATTGATCACAGCTGGCAAAACAAAAGGCACCCTCCTGTTCCACCAGCTGGCCGACGATCCAATAAGGCTCCATAGCTCAAATCCAAACCCGCCATTTGAGAGAACGGACGCCGCTCTGAACGGCTAATTACACTTTCCACCGCTTTTGTTCGTGTGAAGTATACACCGAGAAAAATAAGACAATCCGGTGCTTGAGTATGTAGTACCGGAGAGACGAAATCGAAAAACAAGAACTGTATGTTCATTCATGGAAAGAAGACGCCAATGTACGCCGCCCGATGTTGAAAACGCCACAGTTGTTAAGTGAGCGCTGAATATGCGAAAACCAGGAAAAGAGAGGGAAGGAGAATCTATCAACAAGCACGTCTGCGACACCGGCAAACACAGCAACTAACAAGGAAACCCAGAAAGCCAGCAATTAAAGGGGTATATTTGCGAAGCTTGGAAAATCATTCAGATCCTCTCTCGTATTTGACAGGGTGGAAGAGTGTGTTGCGCATGCATAACCGGCCGGTGCCGTTCTCTTCTTCAACTGGGCCGCCCTTGTCGTTCTCGCGGGAGCCGAGCCATCTCCGCCACCACTCGGATGAGAAACCGGCGTTGTAGTAGAAGCTGGTGCCGAGCTGATTGTGCTCACCCCAGCCGAAAACGCTGTCGGTTGGCTTTGGGGGCTTGTTGAAAGTGCCGTCGAGAGCCTCGAGCGGCCAGTTGTGGTCAAGGTACACGGGGTGTGCAGCGTAGACGGCCTTGAGGCCGTGGTGGAATGCGACTGTTGGTGGCCACATTTCAGGGAACATGTGGTGCTTCATCAAGTATGTTTCGCGGTGCATGAGATCTAGTAGACGTTTTGACAGGCGCGAGACTGTAATAATAGCACATCGTCGCGGAGGCTCTGGAAGCTCGAGATCGTAACCTGTGACATCGTCGCGGAACACCCAGTTGGTCTTGGCCGGGTCGAAGATTGGGTTGAATGTGATTATGTCGGCGTCTTCACCAACACCCCACTCGTAGTTGTCCTGAGAGTACGAATGCGGGGGCTCGGTCTCGGGAGGGCTGGGAAGCATGCCGGTGTTCTCGAACTTGGGTGGGCCCCAAACAGGCTTCTCATCGCTGTTGTAAAGCTCCTCCTCGACCGTGTCGGTGAAGTTCTTCCAAGAGCCGTGAAGTTCAGGAATGTAATAGCGGGATGATCGCTCCCACAGACCCTTGCGGGGTTGCTTCTTGGCCCATTCGCCGATCTGGTTGTGGAACTCGTAGTAGTGACCGCTGAGACGTAGATCCATCTCCCAGTTCCAGTAAAAGTCGTACTCGGGACGAGCCTGAGCGAACCATTGCATCGCAAAGTGAGCGCTGCGGTACACAGAGTGAACGGGAGCTTTGGCGTGGTTGTAAACGTTGTTGGGGAAGGGCTCTGGGTAGTACATGCGCATTTGCTGCTCGGACCAGAGAGTTGCCATGCCCCAGAACTCCTTGGGCAAGTTGTCTTCAATGACCTTTTGGTAAATCTCCTCAGAAGACCAGATAGGAAGGCTATCATCTTTGACGTGGAGTAGGAAGTGGACATCGTACTCGCCCCCGGATTTGAGCGCGAGCTCGTTGATCATGGCGCGCAGAGTAAGAATCTGGTAGTCGCTGTACTTGTAACCGGTCCAGGTGCGAAGGACGTAGGCGTGACGGGGCACCTTCTTCTTTGCGGGTGCACTCTCGTCAGTTGTGTTCTTCTTGAAGCGGTGGGCGTTCTTCTCGCGGCATCGCTTCATGGCAGACGCCCAATTGACCTTGCGGTAGTCGACCTTCTTTTCGTAGCTCCAGAGCTTATCAGCACCAGCCTTTTCAGACTTGCCGTCCATGTCAAGACCACCCTCATCACGCGAGTACGAGTAGCCATAAGGACCAAGACGACCGAAGCGGTCGAAACACTTCTTGTCATCGAAGCCAAGCTCTTCGTAGGAACCGAAGAAAGGCGCAGTCATGTTCTGAGGAATACCGGGATAGGCGTAGATGTCGGGGAGATCGACCGTCTCCTCCTCATCGAGATAGCATTGCTTTACCTCGTCGTGCTCCTTGAGGTACTCGGGCGAGTCGAATTTGTACGGATCGAAAGGCTGCATCTCGAGCGGCGGCTCCTTGTCTTCCTTGGACATGTGCGGCCACTTTGGCTTGATGTTGTCTTCCGGGTTGGGGCTCTGCGAGTACTTGACAAAGTCCTGCTCGGACACCCAGTCACCATAGGGAACGAGCGTGCGAACGCCGTTGAAGAAGCCATTTAACCTGGCAAATTAGTATTCGATGCCTGCAGTGGCAAATGAGTATGCTTACCGTGGGTAGTGCTCCCAGTGGTACTGTTTCCGCTCATCGCCAGGTTGGTGCTGGTGGTTCCACCTGTGCCGCCTGTAGATGCCTGTGCCGAGCATCGAAGCCAGCAACACGATGGTGACGGCGAGTGTGATGAGACGCGCGAAAGACAGTCGTGGGCGCTGGAGGCGGTTGGCCCAGGCGGGTTGGCTGTACTTCTTGCCCCATGACTTGCTGCTGAAGAGCGGCAGCGGTGATGAGGCCTGGCTGTCCTGGCCGGGCACCTTTTCGTAGTTGAAGCGCGTTCGGATGAACAGCTTGCCGGGATTGAATCGCGAGGCCATTGTCGTGATCAGATGTGCGGATGTGCTGTGCAGCGTGTGGGTTGCCTATCGCATCTGCGGCGAGGCTGCGCAAAGGAGGTCGCTCGGGAAGGCGGGAAGCACTTGTTGTGATGGGTATACTCGGCCGCGCGAGTGATGTCGGAAGACAAGACGGAGCAAGAGACTTGGGACGACAGCGGAGAGTGAAACGAGTGACTGTCCTGGAGACGAAGGCAGGATTATGGCGATGGCTTGGAGCGTTGGGGAAGAGGGCGCGGGCTGAGAAGGAGCGACCGACCCTTTTTCCCTCGTTGCTCGCCCCAGACAGCCTAGCGCTGCCTCGCACCTGCCGTCGCTGTAGCGCTAGCTTACAAGGGTCAACCACCGATTTCTGGAGCAAGACGGCGGAAATGCATGGGCTAGTCCATGCACCGGTCCATTCCAAGACACGCAAAGCTCTCCAGCTACTGCTCATCACGGTCGATCCGCTCCCTCCGCGTCTTTGCTGAGTTCCCATCCAAGACGGCCTTGAAGCTTCTGATGCGTTATCGTCGAGCGCCGCCCGCCACCAAATCAAATGGCGCCCAGCTATCAATTCACTCTATCGGGCCCTGCATGAGCCATGGCAAAGCGCACTATGCAACGGCCTGCCTTCCCGCCTCAACAACGTCGGGCGGAGCTTCCATTTTTTTTCTTGACGTCTTGCAAGTCTTGACGTCGATGGCGGGTCCTACGACAGTCGTCCAGTATTGCGTCTATGCATCCCCCTTCCCCTGCCGCGACAGACGAAGCTGGACGAATGATGAAATTGTGTGCTGAAGGATTTGGCCGTTGCTCAACCCCTGGGCGTTCGCAGAGGCAAGGTGGCGTTGTCTGTGATTGGCTTAATCAGCGCCCCTAGCCTTGCATCCGACACCAGCGTACGCGTCCTCTTCGAACGGCGCGGGCGGAAGAGTCTAGGCTAAAAATAAGACATCAGCGAGCCATGGCAAAGTGGGCTCAGCAATGCAACGAGAGCAGCTGCATGGACGCCTGAGGTGTGCGCTGCTGATACAATAGTGTTGCATTGCCTCCTCGCAAGCTGAAGCTGTCAATTTGCATGTCACCTGTTCCTTGCCTGCAATCAGTGGTGTTGAGCCATTTCGGCCCCTCTGACAGGCCCCACAGTTCCAATACTCTGCTGCTGCAGAACATGGGCAAGACTCCGCAGGAGCACATGGTATCCCACACGATGACGTCCAACCGCGTGGATCCCGTCTGAGAGTTGTGATCCTCACCTTGTTTGGGTCCATCCGACTGTCAGCATTCGCGACCTGTCGTGGTTTCCAGGAGCAACAAAGCGGGCACGCTGGCACAAGACCGAACTGTATCGTCGCCACAACAACTCAAAGCGGGGGTACTGCTTTGACCGATTCGTTCTTGACGCCATTCCTGCAACCGTGGCGATAAATCCCGTCTATATAGTAGATATCGCGATGCATCTTCATCGAGATAAGCGCACGTCCGCGGTGCCAACCACCTCGCAATGACCATACCTCGAAGCTCGATCTCCTTGAAACAGATGGCTTGCTGGTTCGGCACCTCTCCGGGGGAACGATGAAATGGGCAGAGGCCAATATTCAAACAATATTGACCTGAGGTCTGGCCATCAAAAAGTGAGCACGTGTAGATCGTGGATTAAGCGCCGCAGTCGACGACAATCGTGGAAGCTCTTCAAGCGTGTTGTGCCTACCCCCTGACAGAAAACTCTACACCTTTGGCTTGCGCGTTGGATGTGCAAGTGCGACTTGAAACTTGCGTGGCTTCTACGCGTGTGCCTTCTCTGCTGGATCGAGCTCTGATGGGAACTAGTGGGGACTGTAGTGAGTTGCAGCGTTGTGCTATAATGGTCAGCGCCTCTTGGCTTGCGAGAAGGCGCAGAAAGCTATCGCATCTCTGCACTTGCACTAATGCCTAGTAAGAAGCAATCGGAAGCGATACACCCTCCAAACTGGCAATGCATCTGGATCGCGATTCGCGTTGGAATTGTGCTGCGCCATTCTGCAGACTGGAAAGAATGTGAGCAGATCTTCTCATCTCCCGTAACCTTAAGCACGTTGTACCAAAAGAACAACAGAGACAAGCTTCGAGTGTTCCTTGGATGTATTGAGGGCGCACGAGGTAAGCTCATAGGGTCATCGTCGATTCCATTAGTGTTACCAGATGCTAGGATCCTCCCAAGGGCGATCCTCTGCCCAGATGCTACCTTCCTTCGTCTACGAAGATATATGATTTGTGGTTTCGAGAGCAGATGGCAAGGCGCAAAATCTTATGTATCAGTAATGTGTGTTTACTTGTCCTTAGAAATGCGGCCTGTCTCATGTAGAGGGGGTGTTTCCCTGCGCGGAAGTCGTGAGTGGCTCGCTGTCGCCGAATGAACAATTTGTTTTCCCACCCCAGATGACGTAGATGCAAAAGAAAAAGCATGATCATTGCATACGGGGATTAATTGCTTTTGTTCCAATGGTCGGGGTACGCAGGTGACTACCATGAACGCACTGCGAGGCTGCGCCGGTGATGAACCAATCAAAATGAATCAAGCTCCGAACGCGGACGGGCCTTCAAATCTCCGACGTTCCTGCCACTTTCGACTCATCGCAACGACCCCACGTTCTGGAGCATTATACCAGACAACTTTGAACCCTAACCGCAAATATGCCTGGAACCAGAGGCCCCGTGCCTGTACCGCTCGAAACAAAAGGCCAAAACCTCACACAAGAAATCCTCGATCTCTTAGATACAAAAGAGCCTCTCCAGAGCAATGAAGACTTCCCCGCAATATCGCAGGCCGAAATCAAGGCAGCGTTGGATAGGCTAGCAAGTCGTTCGATGGTCGCATACAAGTCGTTGGACTCAGAAAAGGTTGTTCTCACACCAGAGTCGGAAGGCATAGTAGCAGAAGGCAGCCACGAATTCAAGGTCTGGAAATATGTCAAAGAGAAGGAGAGAGTTCCAATCTCAGATCTGCCTGTAGGTATACCATTCCCAAGTAATTACTTTAACGTGCGACTGACAGCAATACAGAACGTCTTCGGTAAAGAGGCTGCAAGCGTAGGACAGGGCAATGGTTTCAAGAACAAATGGATCAAGAAGGATGGTAGCGACATCGTCTTGCTCCAGACTGAAGAGCCAAAAGACCTCAACCGCGAACTCCTCCAGGGTATCAAAGACACCCAATCCCTCGACGACGCCAAAATGCTTGCGCAGCTGAAGAAGAAGAAGCTTGTCACCGTTACGAAAGTCATCACATACACAATCACAAAGGGCCCCAAGTACGCAAAGGAGATACCAGTAGAACACACCGACTTGACTGTCGAACTTCTCGCCAACGACGCGTGGAAGACTGCAAACTTCAAGCCGTACAATTTCGCTGCGCTCGGCGCAAACCAGGAGTCTGGCGCATTACATCCTCTGAACAAGGTTAGGCAAGAGTTCAGGAATATCTTCTTCTCACAAGGTTTCGTCGAGATGCCGACAGGACAGTATGTATTGGTCTGGATATCATATTAGCATACGACTAAAATCTTCTAGCTTTGTCGACACTGGTTTCTGGAACTTCGATGCCCTCTTCGTACCGCAACAACATCCCGCCCGCGACATGCAAGACACTTTCTTCGTCTCATATCCACCAAAAGCCGACAAGCCACGATTAGACCCCGCGAACGAAGCTACGATGGACCGCATGGAGGCCGGATCAAAACGGCTCTTCTCCACACCCGAGAGTGAGAAGAAGGAAAAGAAGCCCCGAGACTTTGAGAAGTACTGGGAAGATGTCAGGAAGGTTCACCAAGATGGCGCTTTCGGCTCGATAGGATGTACGCAACCGTTGATCCTCATATCTAACATGAACCATTGCTAATCCCACATGCAGACCGCTACCCATGGGAGGAAGACGAATCCCTCCGCCTCGTCCTGCGCACACACACCACCGCCGTCTCGACATGGGCGCTCCACCGTCTCGCCGAGGACCCACGCCCTGCGCGCTACTTCTCCATCGATCGCGTCTTCCGTAACGAAACAGTCGACGCAACCCATCTCGCTGAGTTCCACCAGATCGAAGGTGTAATCGCCGACTTTGGTCTCACCCTCGGTGGCCTGATGCGCTTCTTAGAAGACTTCTTCGCCAACATGGGTCTCACGAACCTGCGCTTCAAGCCCGCTTTCAACCCCTACACCGAGCCCAGTATGGAGATCTTCGGCTTCCACGTTGGCCTCGACAAGTGGATCGAGATTGGAAACAGTGGCATGTTCAGGCCAGAGATGTTGGAGCCCATGGGCCTGCCAAAGGACATGAGGGTTTACGGATTCGGATTGAGTTTGGAGAGGCCGACTATGATGAAGTATGGAGTTAGCAACATTAGGGAGTTGCTGGGTCACAAGGTTGATTTGAGCTGGATTCGGGAACAGCCGGCGGTGCGTTTTGACAAAGAGTAAACCATGGGACGAATCAGGAGAAATGGAAGAGAAAAGATTAGACGATACGCATGACTGTTACGATAGGAGACGAGTCTTGTGGAAATGATATCCAAAATGAGACTAAAAGTCTTTTGAGAGATGAGTTTGTCCGTTCGTATTTACTCCATGATTGGTATACCGCCTTTTACAACAACCTCACCCGTCATCCGTTGGCTTAGCTTCGTCTGCCAAATCTGTGCGAAATTCTGTCGCCCTCAGGTGTGTTCGTCTCCACCGTGCCGCGGCGTGCTCTACCACAGTTGCGACTGCCTGTGTATGAGCTCTGCACTTCTTTTGTACGCAGTATTTGACCACACATTATGTGTACTCTGGAAGCCTTACTTGAATAACATCTGTTCTGAACCCTCCAATGTCTTCATTCCTTTTCCAAACTGCTCTTGACATCCTCTTCAATCATCTTGTTCCTTGCGCCCTTGTATATCCAGCTCTCCCCTTCTTTGATACCCCACTTTTTCTTCATCCATATCAATCCATCCTGGCCCAGTCCAAATCCAAGCCCAACAAGCAATCCCATCCGTATCGTCCTCGCAGCCGTGCTCACAGGAAACTGATGCCACGCACTCCACAGCCCACCCGTAACCATACCCGCCAACCCACTCGATACGAAGTCCCTACTCCCATCCACCCCGCGATCGATTCTCCGCATGTCCAATTCGTCAACACCTTCCATCTCCTCCATTGTGCGCCCCGCGCGCCATGTCCCCCGGAAGACATCTAAACTCTCTTCCACGATGAAAAATATTGAGGACCACGCTGCAATATATGTGCCCTTTTTCAACCCTTCAACAATGCCATAGCGCCATTTGTAATAGTTCTTCGACTTGTGGTAGAGGTACCAGCCGGGGTTTGAGATGGGCAAGCGGTGCGCGTTTTCGGCGCGGAAGCGCAGAGAGGCCATGTGTCCGGCGTTGAGAGAGCCGAGGGTGAAGCCTGAGAGGAAGGAGAGCGAGGTTGTGAGGAGGAGGCGGCGGTCGAAGGGCATGCCTAGGCGGGGAGCGTAGGGGAGGGGTTGCGAAGGTCGCGGGGTATGCCTTGCGAGCATTTCTGGGATCTCGATTGTGGATTGTTGGGGCGATGTTGTTGCCATTGTGAGTTTGATGCCCCACGTTGGGTGAGTGAGTGGTGTCGTAACTATAGAAATGCGTGTCTGCTAAGGTTTGCGATGGGTGCGGAGGTGGTGCGGAGATTCTCGAGGTTCGATATCGTTGAAAACAGGAAGGGATGCTAGTAATGGTGTTATGTTTTTCACGACGCCTGGGTGGTATGTACCCCGAAAATCGAAACGAATATAGCCTTTGACGTATGAAGTCAATGGAGTATGGAGTATGGCAAAGTCGCGGAAGCTTGTGAGATCACTACGCCAAGATGTCCATGCAGGGATCTGGGTCGCGCTTTCCCTCCCCGCGAACCCCCTCCATTGCTTTGCCAACGACGCGTCTAGATCCTCCGAACACTTCAGTTGCATCCAAAAATATTCGACAATCTTGAATACACGCGTACAATACACAACGAGCTACTCCTCATCACTGTGGTTCATCGCCACCTTAACAAGTAACAAGCTCTATTAGAGTATACGGTCACAACACGTCACAATGGCGACACCTTCACCACAGACATGGACGCTTCGCCTCAAGTCTTACAAAACCACCGTCATCCTCCATGTCGACCCATTACATACCTTCGACACGATCAAAACCTACCTATACGACGCTCTTCAAGAAACGGGTTTCAAGAACTCCGCCGGCGAATCGATACCACTACCTTCGTCTGCGGCGGAGATCCAGCTCGGTCGCCCGGCAAATATCAACGACGCATCCGAGGGCTTCAGACTAGGCGAGTGGGAGGGGGCATACATAGTTAGCGACGAGGAACAGGTGGAGGGCAAGGGCAAGGGCAAAGCTACCAAAGCAAACGCAGGTGGTAGTTCAAGTGCTGGAGCAAAGGCTGACACAGAAAAGATCAAGCAATGTCCCAAGGGCGCGGGTCTGAAAGATGGCGCTGTGCTGGCTTTCCGGTGGGCTGGCGATGGCAGCTGGGACGGTGAAGATGAGTTCGATCTCAGCAAGGACAGTCGAAAAGAGGACAACATGTGGGGTGTTACCCTGGCGAGCTTTGAAGACGCGTATGGTGTTGAGAATGAGACGGATGTTGGTGGCAGACCGGAGTTCGAGGGCTGAGTGGGGATGGACAGTCGATCAAACTCACCATCCATGGTCCGCGACCCCGTTGCATGCAGAGAATGGAAATCATGCAAAATGGATAATACCCCACTCCGAAAACATGCATCGCGAATGCTTTCTGTATACTGTAAGCGGCTTCTCGGGATGTCCAATCACGGCATCGCTGACATTCGCTCAGTGACCTCATGGGGTCGTGCAGCCTATCATGTCCACCCCCAGCCTTACAGTCGCTCTCCAGGCTTGGGACAGCACAGCCCCGCTTTGTGTCCCATTTCGTTCCACGAAAAGCCTTCTCTTCTTCACACCACCATTTGTACAACGTTTGGTTCGCTGCGACACGATCCAGTATGGACGATGCCAAACGCCTTACGCAAGCATCAAAAGATAGCACAATCTTCAAGCACCAGCCTCTCGATCATTCTAAGCCATCTATCCGACTCGTACATCTACTACCTGCCCTTTCGCCTCGTAACCAGATCCAATGTTCTATTACGCACGCTACTGTAGGTGCTAAATACACCTGTCTTTCCTACCGATGGGGCGATCCTAGCCCATCCCAGGATGTCCTCATCGACGGCAAGGTTTTCACTGTCCGCCTGAATCTCTTCGAGTTTCTGGCAACGGCACGAGAGAAGGCCGCTTCTGACGCTTCTGCTTCTCTCGGACCCTTCTGGATAGATGCGTTGTGCATTGACCAATCAGACGTTCTCGAACGCAACCATCAAGTTCGTCAGATGGGAACAATCTACAAAAACGCCGTGCAAGTCTACGTGTGGCTCGGATCGATGACCTGGGATCGCCTCACTCTTCTGCCGGTTCTACAACAAGCCAGAGCTCTCATGCATGAATGGGACACTTTCAAACGGCACAGCGATATGCTTGCTCAGCGTGTTATGGACAACGATTACTGGACTCGTGCATGGATCGTACAGGAAGTGGCGCTTGGCAGGGATGTCATCTTATGGCTAGGCGCCGCCTCCATCAGCTTGGGTGATATGGTGCACGGATTAGACTATGTCTTCTATCTAGACAGAGCGGTGCAATCACGTCTCATATTCCAACTTGGTCGCACTTGGCAGAAAGGGTTCTACAAAGACAAAAACTTGGTTCATTTACTAGACTGCTTTCGAGATCAGCAGTGCTCAGATGTTCGCGACCGTGTCTTCTCGCTCCTTTCATTAGTCACCGGCGAAGGCAGAGACCTAGAGGTTAACTACAACACCTCTCGAGCTGAATTAGCAGCGGAAGTATTGCGTCGGTGCAAGAGCTCACTATGCTTTTGTACGGCGTTGATGATCGTACAGATGCTTGAGCTCGGAACTACTGACACTCCGGACGCAGAGCAAGACCACAGGTTACTACCCTGCCTCGAATTTTGCGTCGAATACGTTTCTGCGTCGTCTCGCAGCCTCCACGATAGAAAAGTACCATGTGGGAAGTGGCCTCCTGGCTTGAGCTTCTCTGATACCTGCGACTCTTTGGCGCTGTTCCCTGCTAGGCTCAATCAGTACCTAACCTACTGGGACGACGGTGGCCCTGTGCAGCAACCACCGATGCAGAAAGAGGGTGTCGTGTTTAGAGCAGTTGAAGGCTGGGAAAATATCTACGTTGTGCGCATCTCATTGCAGTTTCTGGCAACAATGGTAGAGTTCCCTGTCGACATATGTGCGCACGCAAAGAATGAGTCTCAGAGAAGTGGTATACCAACAGGCTACCCGCGAATTTGCTACGCTGCGGATGATTTTGAACAACCGGGATCTGCAGAATCATCGTTCCCACAGGTCCAAGACAACACAACCCCGACGGTACGGAAACGGAAAGCACGCGCAGCAAACGTCAAGGACGAGTGGATGCAACGAGATGCAATTAAAGCAGTATCGAAGCGAAGGAGACAATTCATTGAGTGAGGACGACTGCAATCGCAGAGGCAGTTGAAGAATGATGCAAAAGCACCGGTGGCAGCCATAGGGTAGTGTGGACGGATGTAAGTTTCTAATAAGATGTTAGAGAACGGTAGACAGAAGCGAAGGACTAGAGATTTAATAATGACTGAAGATTCTACTGTAAGTTGTGGCGTCATCTAATCATTCTTACAACTGCGGATGTGTTAGGAGTGGTAGGCAAAGTTTGCATTTATCGACGACATCACGTTGTCAGTAATTCAGTTCAGCACCTTTGCTCATCTCTTCTAATTAAACTATACAGTGCTATCTAATCCTTGCAACGATATCTTATTACTACTATACCAGTCGCGAAAGATGTCGAGTAAGTACCTACAAACACAACAGGGACAATAGATCATGCGATCAATGCCTGAGCGTTACGTGCTATATCGCGCACATCATCTGTCATCGCAGTCGGCTAGAAAGTGTATAAAGTCTTTATTATCCAAAAGAGTGTATCCATTTCATATAGTACAACAGAACAGTGCTGCACAATGCTAAGACCCAGAGGCACTTTACAACATTGAAAAGAAGGATCCGCCAGCGGTTCCATCTGCTACGGGTGTCAAGCCTCATACCTCATCGTATCAAACCAGTATGTTGAATACTTCTCCGACCCCTGCACGTCGTGTCAGCCAACCCAAAGAGCGAGAGTCGTAGAGCTTTACATACTGAGAAGACATAGGCCCACGCGTAACACGCAGCGTACTACATGGAGGAGGTGGCTTGTGCAGAACTACCGCCCTGTGGGGAGCCATCACCTTGACCTCCTCTTTGACCATTTTCTGCTTCGTTTCCAATCTTTTGACTTGCTTCTTCGGCCTCTCGCCTTTTCTTGTTTTCTTCCCTTCTTTTCTTAGAACTATCTGCAGCATCATTCATCATTGTCTCTTCATCTGGGCGAGGTAGTCTGAGTGAGAAACCCTTGTCGGATATGTTGAGTCGTTAACTCTCGCGTAGTGTATTAGGTCGTGGTGTTGGTATTACTCGGTCAATGGAAGTGCTGTCTGTGTGGTTCTTGTACGGTAGTGAGTGCTTGAAGAAGAAGAGTACAAGCAACTGCTTTATACAGCATCGATATCTTCACAGTCATCATGTACGACTATCTAGGGCCCTCTCTGAGTCTTGTTTACTTCAGGTAGTCAGCCATCACTGACGGCCCGTCAGTGCATTGAGGGCTATCGGTAAGCACGTCAAACAGCGCCCTCAGAGTCACACTCTCCCGACCAAAGCGATGATGATTCTACCCGTAAATCCGAATTTGTACCACTACGTTAATTACACTTTGCTGCGAAGATGCTCATCGTAATCTTTGGATGTGCAACGGGCCAAAGGCTCAGTGCTAGACCTTCAAGCCAGTGCGCGCATGTTTCCTTAGCAAACATTGGGCTTTTACATCATAACATCATGCAATAATCAGTTCTGGTGGCTATCGCCTGTTTGTATTCCAGGTCTGACATCCGGAGGAGGCGGTCTCATGGCCAAGACACAAATGTAACCGAGTCTCGAAGTACGGGCCGCGATTCTCCAGTCGTTGGGAATCCGTGCCACAACTATCGACAACTTAGTAACGACTTCGGTGTTACTATCGGAGCGGCCGAAAGTTATGAGTTGCGGCGTAGCGATATCATGGCGGTCCACGCACCCATCACTTTCCTTGAGACCCACTGTACTGTCTGTTAGCTGCGAATCCAACATTAGCGGGCAAATGACAACTTCGAGTCAGTTTCATGTTACAGAAATTGCAAGAAGTGAGTTGGAAGTGAGTTGATTACAGACTGCCCAGTCGAAAATCTGCTAGGTCAGAGTTACTTTCCAAGTGATAACAAGGCATTGTGGCGACAAAGCAATAACCGTTGAAACGCATTGTCTCAATGAGTTGCACTGAAATTCATAGTAAGTCAAGTGTCTGCTTTCTTGTGTCCTATAGACAAGATGCTTTGTGATTCCGTGTACCGCACGACGTGTTTGGTTTCAAGTAAGCAAGCTTCCAGTCATGGAAGTCGTGTTGTTCTAATTCTTCATAACGGGAATTTGAAAGCTTCGTTTTACGTCGAATCCTACGATTGCAATCACCCAAACAGCGTCTACCGTGCCGTAAAGTTGCATCACCTGACAGGCCGCTATGTCATGAATGGACTAGCTAGTCAGACGTGTCATATCCGGTCCGACCCAGTCTCTTACGCGTAAGTATAACTTCCGTACCTACCAAAGACCCCGAAAAAAACGTTGTAACCCTCACTAATCTGCTTCTGACCGCTTCGACGCGAGTCCTTCTGATTGACTCCACCGCGAACATTATGCTATGCGACGACGTAGCGCTGGACGATGCGGACCAGAAATACGAGGCCTGGAAGCGAGGTCTCGACACCGCGCAGGGAGCGATTATCAGGTTCGTGACCAAGGAAGCCAAAAGCCGTGTGGCTGGAAAGTTTGGTGGTTATCTTGAAGGATCTTACAACATATCCTTGATCGTCATGGTCAGCGCAAAGCCCACATACGTGATACGCTTTCCAAAACTAGGACGTACCGCGGTGTGTTTTCTAGAGGAGAAAGTTCGAAATGAAGTTCAAATCATGCATCTCCTTCGTGAGAGAACCACCATTCCTTTGCCAACAATCTATACCTGGGGTACGACTGATGATAGCCCATCGCAGATCGGGCCGTTCATCATAATGGAATATATCGGAGGAAGGCGACTGATGGAAGAATTGAAACAACCTACGGAAACCAAAGTTGGCGAAGTCGATCTTTGGAAAGACTTGGGCAACCCAAGGGTACTTCATGCCTACACCCAGATAGCTGACTATCTGCTGCAAATTTATCAACTGGACTTCAACGCAGCCGGTGCTATAAGCAGAAGCCACACACGTGACTGGGTGGTCGCTGAACGGCCTCTCACAGACCATATGAATAGCTTAGCGACCGATGTTGCGAACTTTCCAACCGAACTTTTCCCCACTACATACTGTAGCTCGCCAAGGATGTACTTTCAGCAGCTCGCCGACCAGCATCTGAATCATCTCCATAATCATCGAAATGCAGTGGACAGTCTCGAAGATGCAAGGAGGTATTTTATCGCCCGTCATCGTCTCAAGCAGTCCATAGACAGATTTCTATACACCAACAACAACACAAGTCCTTTCAAGATCTACTGCTATGATTTTTGACCATCGAACATGATCGTGGACGAAAACCTCGACATCAAAGCTGTTGTAGATTTCGAATTCTGGAATGCGCTGCCTGCACAATTCGCCCACGGCCCACTCTGGTGGCTCACTTCATTGCGACCAGATGAGTGGATTGACAGTGGCTTCGATTTTGGAGCACTAAGATCAAGACTTGAGCCGCATGTTGAGCAATTCCTACCAGTGATGGAGAAAGTGGAGAAGGAGAAAGCCACGGACGGATCTGTGGCGTTACTGTCCGTTCCCATGCGAGACTCATGGATCTCCGGCAGATTTTGGTTCAACCTTGCGATGGATGACAGCTGGACTATCGATGCTGTCTATTGGGCTGCGCTACATAAGCCTGGGGACGAGGTGCTAGATGAGGCTATGGAGGACGAATTAAAGGCATTTTATGATATGAAAATGAAGCAGCTGGCAGCGTTTAACGCAGAGTGCAAAGAGCGTGGAATCGGAGATGCAGGTCATGTACGGAATTGGATCATGATAGTATGATTGTACGAAACAAATTGAACTTCGAAAACCTGTAATTTCAGACCTTGTCCGGCATTGTTCTCTTCCAAGCTTACGTACGAAGTCAGAACTGGCGCAGAAGCAGTAGGGGTAGCCAACGTTTTACGCGACTTTACGCATTGCATCGCGATATGGCCATGCTGATGCTAGTGAAACGCATATGCACTAGATTCTATGGATAGTTTGATTACCCAGGAGTAGAATCCTTGTTTTGTGGGGTGCAGCAACGTGCTTTTCGATGTGAGGGTGCGGGCCGGGCAGCATTCCATACTAGTTCCCATGATCAATTTCCAGCGCTAGTCATCGTAGCTACCTAGATGGGCTAGTATGTTTGAAACTATCCCGACAGCGATCCAATCGCGTAGTCGGTCATCGCGACCACTACGATAAATGTGGTAAGTGGCCGAAGCGTTGTCCATTATTCGGTCACGGCTGGGGAAGAAGACGGACGCGCTCCGGTACTTTGAGTGTTAAGCGGGTCATTACACTTCGCAGACGAATATTCCACGAATCTGGGGTACGGCACATGGGTATGAGCCGGAGGTACTAATGCAATGCGGCTCGGGAAGCTCGTGGAAGTAATCGAGGATGCATCACCATCTCTTCTCCGGCGAAATCAATCTAGTCAGCCGAGTGTCTGAAATACCTGTAGGCCGACTTAGACCCAATAGAAGTTTTAAGAATCTCTACGCCCATCAAGGGTGTGACAGACTACTCGTAGCAGGGGACGGAAGATCGCCGTGTTCGAAGAGGACATGGAAACCGCTGATCATGAGATCGCAAAGGACGAAGTGGTATATAACTACCAGAGAGATGCGTCTTTATGCTCCTCGTCAGCTCGTTCAATCGCTCAAGTGGTGCTCCATCACAGCTTCCTCCGTTCCACAAGATCCGTTAAGGCGGCAATCTTTCCAATATGTTTTCCAAGATTACATCTCTTCTCGCCCTTGTGGCAACGGCCAACGCGCATGGCTACCTCTCTTCTCCGATGAGCCGAACTGGCTTGAATGCACAAGTGAGTGTGCTAAGCGATTACATGTTTGAATGCGGGCATTGACACATTGTAGTCTGGTGCGGATACTTGCCCGGAGTGTACTATCCTCGAACCCGTTACAGCATGGCCAGACCTTGACGCCGCAAAGGTGGGTCGCTCGGGCCCTTGCGGATACAACGCTCGCGTATCTGTGGATTACAACCAGCCCGGCCCTCGCTGGGGCTCACAACCGGTTATCACCTACAAAGGCGGTGATGTGGTAGATGTACAATGGTGCCTCGATGCCAATGGTGATCATGGCGGCATGTTCAGCTACCGCATATGCCAGAACCAAGCCATTGTCGATAAGCTCCTAACCCCTGGGTACCTTCCGACTGAGGCAGAGAAGCAGGCAGCGGAAGACTGCTTCCAGGCCGGCGAGCTGAAGTGTACCGATGTTGCTGGCCAGACGTGCGGTTACAACTCCGATTGTCAACAGGGCCAAGCTTGCTGGAGGAATGACTGGTTCACATGTAAGTGCATCTTCATCTGTTTGACCAAGAACACTCCGACTGATATCGAAAAGGTGGCGGCTTCAATGACGGTTCGAAGTGCAGGAGCGTCGATAACGCACCTCTCAACTCGTGCTATACCAGCATCGCTGGTGGTTACACAGTCAGCTCAAAGATCAAGATTCCCAACTACACGAGCAACCACACGTTGTTGTCTTTCAAGTGGAACTCATTCCAGACTCCACAGGTCTACTTGACCTGCGCGGACATCAAGATCACTGGCAGCGGCTCAGGCGGCTCCACACCACCCACTTCAAGCAAAGCCCCAACGACCACAACGAAACCGACTTCCACAGCGGTACCCAGCGGCTGTGCGACACCCGTTGCTACTGTAGCTGTGACATTCGACTCCAAGACCACGACAGTCGTGGGCCAGACAGTCAAGATTGTTGGATCGATCGCCCAGCTTGGTAGCTGGAACACAGCCTCTGCACCCGCGCTCTCCGCGAGCCAGTACACCAGCGCGAATCCGCTCTGGTCCACGAAGATCAACTTACCGGCTGGCACCAGCTTCGAGTACAAGTTCATCAAGGTTGAGAGCAGTGGTACCGTGACGTACGAGTCGGGTGCTAACCGTGTTTATACCGTGCCGAAGGGATGTTCGAGCACAGCCACCGTTGCTAGCACGTGGAAGTAGGCTTTTCGATAATCGTTTGGATACGAGTGGCCATAAGTGTTCTGAGGGGGCAATATAAGAACAGGAAAGGTTGTGATATGTTAGTCATTACTGAACGCATGGAATTATGTCAAACCCTCGTTGGAACGAGCCGTGCAAAACTAAGCCCGTGATGGAACATGTCATGATTCCTGGCCGTGTTACAGATAGTACCGTACAAGTGTCGGAATCTTTAGTGATTCACGGTTGCGGCAAAACTCCGCGAAGGAAATATGCCATGCTTGGGCTCTCGCATCGTAGGGAACGACCTCATGACGTCGGGAGGCTGGGAAGCTTCGTTGTTCGTCACGTGTTCGCGTCCAGCCGCACTAATCTCCTCTAAGTCGCGGATCTGACGCGCTCATCTCTTCCCTTCCTTTTTCAAAGTTTTGAAAGCACAACCATCATCCCGCCTATTGAGATTAGAAAGCTAGTCCAAGTAACGGCTGAGTCTGCAGAGACAAGCCGGTTTCTTTTTTGCTGATGACGCCATCAGTGCCTCTCGACCGGGAACACGGTACCCTGCGTCTTGGCAATCCGTCGCGTTCCTGCCATCCAAATGCTCATCAGGCCGGCAACATATCAAGCTCCATCTGGCAGGTCGTGTCACCACAACATGCGTATCACTAAGGACCCCGCTCCTATCAGCGATACCATTGTCCAGAATGCACGAGGCCAACGTCCGCCCAGATGCCGGCTCAATAAAAGTCGGTTAAGCCGTGGAAAGCTTCCTTGGCACACAGCTAATAAGGCAGGTGCGTACATGCAAGATCTTGGCAGCGATTGTGATGCTCCGCTCCGCATGTTGTGACGCCGCCTGTGAACCCGGACTGCATATAACAGCATCTCAGGCAGACATGGTTCTCTAGAAGTTCTTTCTGCACTTCCGACTTCTTTACACCTTCTCGAATTGTACACGAGAAGATGGCGATGAAGAAAGCGCTTGTGGCTGCTGGCCTCTTCCTGGGGTCTGCTAAAGCCATTACTGTCGAGTATGTCTTACTGGGTATTACCGCAACAGTATTCTAATTGTAGTCAGGGGCATGCTTGCTGCACCTCGCAGAAGTACTGGCAGTCTCAGCCCCAAGGGAGTAAGTATTCGCGCAGATGTTTAAAACCAACGCTGACGGGATAGGATCGTGCCTTGTTCTCAGAAACTAAGTTCAATTGGACGTCCGAGAAATCCAGCACTTCTTGGTACTTCATTGACACCGAGTCTGGCAACATCACAAAAGCACCTTTTGGAAGCGACGCCTCGGAAGTGGTATGGGTCGGCGATACGGAGGACAGCATCCTCTACCTCAACGCTACCAACGAGGAGATTCCCGGAGGAGTAACTCTTTATACTGCCGATCTCAGCGGTGACTCTTTCGAGCCAACACTGGTGGCATCATTGCATGCTCCCCTCTCCGGGCTGAAGGCTGTGAAGACCGACTCAGGAATCAACTTTGTCGGAAACTGCCTTGCCTACGAGAGCAATGGAACCGCGTACAACCCTGAGCTCGTGACTGCACCGAAGAGTCTTGGTCAGTTGTACGACAGCAATTTCATAAGGCATTGGGATTACTACATCACTGCCGAACGCGTAGCTGTTTTCAGCGGAGTCCTCAATGGCGGAAACGGAACTTACAGCTATGGAGGCGAGCTCAAGAACTTACTTTCTGGCATGAACTACACCGTCACACGCCCCGAGAGCCCGGTGCAGGGTTCTTCGAGCGACCCAGGCGACTATGACTTATCTCCAGATGGCAGCATGGTTGCCTTCCGCACCAAGTCTCCTGATCTTCCCAAGGCGAACTACACCGCGAGCTACATCTATGTTGTTCCGTTCGACGGATCTGAGGTCGCCGTGCCAGTCAATGGTCCTGGCACCACCGCTCCCGAGACCGCACAGGGTGCATCTGGCGCTCCTGTATGGTCGCACGACGGCAGCAAGCTGGCCTACACCCAACAGGATGGTATCGATTATGAGTCTGACAAGTACAAGCTCTACGTTGCTGAGATTGATGGCATGAACAGCGAAGTTCGCTCAGTCGCTGAAGACTGGGATTCCAGCCCCACCGGTCTACAATGGAGTCCAGATGATGTCGACCTTTGGGTTACGTCGGAGCTGTACGCTTCTGTCCGCCTCTGGCTTGTTCCCCAAGACGCGCCAGCTGACTTCACACCCGTCAACTTCACTGGCCCCGACACTGTTCTCTCCGACTTCGCCGTTCTCCCTGACGGCAGTGCTTTTGTATCCGCGGCCGCTTCCTGGACCAGCCGCATGTTCTACAAGCAATACCCTGGTCAAGACAAGCACGTTCTCTTCTCTGCCAATGAAGTCGATGCGGAACTTGAGGGTCTCACGTCGGACTCTGTATCGAACTTTTGGGTTACCAACGATGATGGCGACGATATTCAGACTTTCGTCTTCTACCCTACCGACTTCGACCCGAGCAAGAAATACCCTCTCGCATTCATTATCCACGGCGGTCCGCAATCTACTCAAGGAGACAACTGGAGCGTGCGGTGGAACCTGAGACTTTGGGCTGATCAAGGTTTCGTTGTTACTGCCACACAATTCACTGGATCCCCGTCTTACAGCCAGGCCTTCACCGACAAGATCCAAGCAAACTGGGGTGGAACTCCTTACACCGACCTTGTCAAGGTTTTCGAGCACCTCCGTGACAACGTCGAGTACGTCGATACCGACCGCGCCATCGCCGCCGGTGCGTCATTTGGCTGCTACATGACAAACTGGATCCAGGGCCATGACCTAGGTCGTGAGTTCAAAGCCCTTGTCTGTCACGACGGAAAGATCAACCAAGTCGGTTCCTACGCTACCGACGAACTCTGGTTCATTCAACGTGACAACAACGGTACTGTCTGGGATAACCGCGAGAACTACGAACTCTGGGACCCTCTTCCTCATTTTGTCAATGCTAGCACACCTCAGTTCATCATTCACAACGATCTGGACTACCGTGTTGTGCAGGCTGAAGGACTGCAGACTTTCAATATTCTGCAGAGCTTGGGCGTGCCGTCGCGCTTTTTGCACTTCCCTGATGAGGGTCATTGGGTTACTAGTAGACAAAACAGTTTGCTGTGGCACAACTACATCTTCAACTGGATCAGGTACTACGTCGGGTTGGACGAAGAACTAACCATGGATGGTGTTATTACGCAGTAGATTAGCATCTAGAGCACGGATGGCATTACTTGAATGCTGCGAGCCCAATTCAAAAATATAACTGTACTGTGCATAGTGAACAAATTACAATCTCCGGTGCCAGGTGCATAAAGTCGAAGGGATAATTCGGTCCAGCAGCTTTGGACTGGCGTTAAACTATCCTTGGCATCTTTTGCCTGGCGCTGACCGTCTAGAACTTACTATGGTTAGCATTAAACAATATTGCAGTCCTCGCGGTAGCTTTTCATAACGTCGGCGTCTCGCATGTGGGGACACGACCATCGTCATAGTGCTTGACACCTTCGCTTCCTCCTACCAAGTTCAAGAGACCCAATTGGGAGCTCATCCGCTGTTGCTTACAACAGCTAGCGTGAGGTGCTACGTCCGGACCCGAGTTATTCACAAGTGCACCGAGCACGCGAACCCGAGTGCTGATACCAGGATAGCGAGTTCTATCTGCCATAATGAGCTATGTGACAACCGTCTACGAATACGCGTGCTAAGAGTAACGTTTTGTTGTTGTCGCAATCATGAATCACGTGCATCATACCTTGAGCGAGATGGTTCTCAGAGTCTTATTCACTGTGGTCGTTGCAACCACCTTGTTCGCACTGTTCAAAACATTTCAATCGTACATATCGCTCAGGCACATCCCCGGTCCGAGAGCAGCAGCCCTTACGAACCTGGTTCGGCGCTCATGGGCAAAATCTGGTCGCATACATGAGATACATCTCCGCGTGCACCACGACTATGGTTCCGTCGTCCGCGTAGGACCGAACGCTGTATTGGTCTCGCAGCCGCGCGCTATCGACAGCATCTTTGGATTCAAATCGCGGCCAAAGAAGGTAGGTAGAGTGCTCGTAAACCTTGTCCTCTAGCTAAGCTGAAAGATGCATCCGACATCACAAGATTCTCGCTGATAAAGCCACCCAGTCAGAATTCTACAACGCGCTCATGCCGCGCATGAAAGGCGGCGCCATCCCCGACGTTTTCGCGACGCTGGACGAGGATGTGCACCGCCAGATGCGGCGTCCCATCGCGAACCTCTACAGCATCGGAAACCTCATCTCGTTCGAGCCGCTCATCACGTCCACGCTGCGGCACTTTTTCATGCGACTGGACGAGCGCTTCGTGGACCGTGCGGACACTGCATTCGATATGTATGATTGGCTACAGTTCCTTACGTTTGACGTCATTGGCGAGGTGACCTTCTCACGACGCCTCGGGTTTCTGGATGAAGGAGGGGACATCGAGGGTGTGATCGAGGCGAACTGGAATTATTTCAAAGCTGCGGCACCGGTGAGTGTGCGATTGCCAGCCCCCTGTAGTATATGTCAATAATGGTGATGGTATTTTGTGATGCCATGAGCTGATTCAGGATCGTAGAATACCCAGATGCCTTGGCTGGATTATTTGTGGAAGGATAATCCCATATTGCCCGCGGGGTCGAAGAAGAATCTCGTGGCGGAGTTCTCTTTCGCACGAATTCATGAGCGGATGAGCTTGACACAAGCACAGAGAGAGAGCATCAATCAGCGTGACTTCCTGTCCTGCTTTATCCGGGAGAAGGAGAAGGATAGCGCGTTACCTCCTAGGTGAGCATTCCTACACAGACTCTACCCAATGACATTCATGCAACACTGACAATGCGATAGCGCCGTCCCCACCTGGACAAACTCAAACATCCAAGCAGGCGTCGACACAACCAGCATCCTCGAGAGCGCCCTCTTCTACCACCTTCTAAAGAACCCGGTCACTCTTACAACTCTACGCGCCGAAATTGATGCCGCCGCAAAGACCGGCCGCATTTCCGAGTTCGTCTCGTGGAAGGAGTCACAGACGCTGCCGTATCTGGAGGCTTGCATCCACGAAGCGTCTCGGCTGCACCCACCCATTTGCTTCCCGATCGAGCGCATAGTGGGGCAGCAAGGACTGCAGATCGATGGCTATGCGATCCCGCCGGGGACTAGGGTTTCGATGGTATGTGTTTTCGATGGATATCATAGATACTGGGAGACGAGGCTAACGGAGTGACGGGGATAGAGCCCGTGGACGGTTCATCGTGAGAAGTGGTTGTACGGGGAAGACGCTGAAGTGTGGCGACCAGAACGGTGGCTCGTGGGCGAGGAGCAGAAGAGGACTATGTACAGCTCGTTGCTTACGGTACGTTTTCACTCCCTTTACCAGCACCCCCTAAAGTGCTCCGTCAGGCTAATGAGGCACGGACCAGTTTGGCGCGGGCCATCGCTCTTGCCTGGGGAAGAACTTGTCGTATTTCCAGATTTTCAAGCTTGTGCCCTCGCTGCTGCAAAAATATGATGTAAGTTGCGATGCGAAATATTTTCCGTGCGTCTAGGGCGTGGTTTGAATGAGAGGCTGATGTACTGGTTAGCTTGAGCTGATGCGGCCGAGCGAGGAGTGGAAAATCGAAAACCATTGGTTTGCGCAGCCGTCGGGGTTTGAGGTGAAGATCACGCGAAGGAAGTAGACAGTGGGAAAGCTTGGGAGAGAGGGATGTAAGAGAAGGCTAGAGGGGCTTGCAGGGTGATACAATGCACGACCGACTACGTATGCAGGATAGGTATGTTGGAGCTGAGAAGCCGTCATGAGACACGAGCATCTGACTGGAAACGGTTTTTGCCTAGATGATATTATTCTAGAAATGGTTGACTTGGGTGCGCGTAAGCAACGATGCAGTAGATGTTGACGAGCCGACGGAGCTTTGGTCGAGGTTGTAGCAAGAGCAGTGTGCAAGGGACATATGAACAGGCAGCATAGCCTTCGAAGAAACCCACGGCCTCGATTGACTGGTATATACGCCTTGGAGGCCTCACTCAGTTCCATGAGAACTGTATCGTGTTAAAGGACAGCCTCTATTCAATGTTTGTTCTAGGTAAACTCAGACCTCGACTAGCCCAAGATAGGACAGTTTGTGACGATGGTCACTTACTAATCGCTTGCATCATTGAGCCCCGCTTCGGTGATGCCCACCATGCTTCTTACCTCCCAAAACTTTCGCAGTCTGAGTCCTGCACTTTCCAACAAAGCTTTGAATTCGGTGGGCGTCCGCTCAATACCGTTCAGTGTCGCCATGAGTGCAAGGTCCCTAGTATGGCAGTACCGTACATGGTATCCATAATTTGCAGGTAGCGGACTCGGAGCCGGAGGAATCTCGGCGCAGCCAAAGGTCGTATTCATGACGGGATCACATATGAGAATACGCGACTTCGGACCCATAGCTGTTTTTATCGCCTTGAGAATTGCGACGCAGTAATCATCGGACCAATCGTGGCTGAGAACTGTTAGTAGGAGAGGATTACATGCGGGACTAAAATGAGGTCTACCCACAGGATACCACGCAGCCAGTAGACATCGGCATTTTTTACGGGGTTCGGTTGGAAGAAATCGTGCGCTTGAAACGTTACGCGACCGCTGGAGACGGCATCGGGCGCTTCCTTGGGATAAACCTTGTGCTCGCCACGTTCGACATTCTCGGGACGATCTTGCACGACGAACTTCAACTTTGGGTAGACGTTCAGCAGTTGAAGTGGGAAGCCTCCTGTACAGTAAATTAGCTAATGTTGAAGCCGGGCGGAGAGATGACGTACCAACGCCCCCACCAACATCAACCACAATACCTTCCCCGAGCTCGAGCCAGGGGAAATCGAACGCGTGGGCAGCACCAGACGTCTTTCCGCCGGCTACCATGGCCAAAGCGAAATTCTCAAGCTCCGGTCGATTAATGACCACGCCTGGTGCGTCTCTAGAATCACTGCAAGCGGACAGATCTGGAACACCTGGGTAGCCTGGACCGTCAGAGACAATTTGACTAGGCAGAAGCTTTTCAGTCATCCACTCCCAAAGCGGCTTGTTTGTCCCCATGGCGCGGTGAAAAGCTGTCTCGTCAACCTTGTATGAGTGACCTGTAGAACCGAGTAGGTAACGAGGAAAGTGGTCTGACGACGAGTAGATATGCAGTCCACTTGGAAGTGTCAGAAAGCCGACTATGTTGAGATTAGGATGTTTGATTTACTTACAATAGCTGCACATAAGCTCTCAAGCCTGGATTATCAACCAAAGCTCCAGAGATACGGTTGTTCGCGAATCGGTTATCTGCAACCTCGCGGAAGATGTGAATGGAACACAAGGTTCTCAATATGCGCGCTGAAGAATCTCAGCACGTTTAATATGGTCGTTGGTCTGCTCTAACCCACCCAGTTTTCTTCGTTCAATTCCAGTTCTCTCGGATATTGTCTGGATATCCAACCCATTAGGCCCCGCTCCGTGGAGAAGGTCAGGGATTTTGCGCTCGGCGGCAATGAACAGCGCGCGCGATTCCATGAACTCTGCCAAGATTTGCTGGATGCGCTGATGAGGCTCAGCCACAAGTTCAACTATAGCTCCGGTGACCGCTTCGATTGTTCTCTCTGCGTTCCAAAGCCTGTGGCTAGGTAGAATGCGCGCTGTGTCTTTGCTCTCATCTTGGTACGAGAAATTCTCCTTGGCCCATTCGTCTTTGATTGTCAGAGCTGCCTCTTGCAGCAAGTCGGATAATCTCAGGAGCTCGTCAGCGTCCTTCAGGGTGTGAGGAAGGCGTTCCATCTCAAGCTCAGTGATGCAGCTACGAAAGTAAGCTGAGAAGACAAGATGAGCGACTTCTTTCCTCTCATGTGATTGCGGTTGTGATTGGTATTCTTTTTGTGATCTGCGTAGGTGCGGACCTGCGCTGAACCAGCAGTGGTGGTGCTGCAGCCTGAGCTTACTGCTCGGGTCCCATGTAAGTATCCTGGACCCGAGTCGCATCTTCCAGGCCGCCAACACGCCGAAATAGCGGGTGCCCATTAACTTACAGAATCCGCAGTAGTCAGGCCGATGCTGGCGTGCAGCGTACTCATCCTAGTCCTTTCTTATTCAGTCTCTATAATCATTTTCAAGTATGAACGGCATCACAACCGAGAAGACGAATGGCCACGTGGAGAAAGGATATTTGAAGCACCAGATCCCGAACCCCACAGTCGTGTGGCAGTCCTTGCAAAAGGTCATCCCCTTACAGGATCGTAACATCAGATTTTGGTGGCACCACACGGGCTACCATGTGGCTTGTATGGTTGACGCTTCCGGATACTCTATAGAGAAGCAGTACGAAGTGCTGCTTTTTCACCTGCATTTCATAGTGAGTTCTCATCGGAACCTGCTTTTCATGTCAGAATGGAGTCTGACGATTTGGTCAGTGTCCTCGACTAGGACCGGCTCCCGAGAGCGATGGAAAGTCGAGATGGCATTCCCTGATGGCGCACGACGGTTCCCCTCTGGAATACTCCTGGAAGTGGAATACATCCACAGGAAAGCCAGATATACGATACTCATGGGAGCCCTTCAACCCAGGTTCGGGCAGAACCACTGACCCCCATAACCATGCACTATCGCTGGATTACATGAGCACAGTGAAGAACGTTCTGCCCGGTGTGGATTTCTCCTGGATTACTTCGCTCTTGGAAGAGATCGAGAAGGGCGATCAAAAGGCCTCGCACTTTCTCCACGCCGTGGAGTATAGCCAGACAAAGCCCTTTGGTCTCAAGTCCTATTTCCTACCACGAGACTATAAGATCCTGCAAGCAGGCAGTGCAACAACCATGAATGAATGGGACGAAATCATCCTGAAACTCAATCCGAACAACAAGGGGCGCGATACGTTGATGGAATTTCTCTCGAACAATCCCCAGGGCAAGCTCCTACAGCCGTGGTACGTTACGCTCTTACTTCTAAGTGACAGCTGGACACTAATGCCGATTGACAGCGTACTAGCCGTAGATAACGTGAAGCCCGAGAAGTCGCGGCTGAAACTCTACTTCATGACACCGCACACAAGTTTCTCTTCTCTCCGCGAGATTGTCACCCTTGGTGGATCACGCGACGTTCCGGAATCCAGCTTCCAAGACCTCAAGTCTTTCATCTGGACGCTACTAGGATTGCCTGATGACTTCCCAGAAGACGCTAGTGTTCCCGCGCATCCACCTGTCGCCAAGACGTGGTTAGATGAAGAGAATCTCGTTGAGTGCTTTGTTTACTTCTTTGATATCGCACCGCATAACAGCGATGTTGACGTCAAATTCTACCTGCCGACGAGGAGGTACGGCCCGGACGATCGGCAGATTGCCACGCGGCTTGTGGAATGGATGGAGTCGAGAGGCCGTGGAGCTTGGTGCGGTCGATACTTGCAGATGCTGGAGAAGCTGGCTGAGCACCGTGGGTTGGAGAACGGAAAAGGATTGCATAGCTATATCAGCTATCAAGTGGGAAAGGGACCGGAGCCGGATATCAAGTCTTATCTTACACCAGAGACATACCACCCGGCACGCTACATGTTGTCTGCGTAGTGTAAGATCACCTATCATCGTATATGTTTTTACGTGTCCGTCTACAACGAAGATTGGAAGCAAAGCTGAACAGATTTTCCGGCTAAATCTTCTCTCCTGCTCCATTTGCTGCACAGTAGCTAGTACTATACATGTGTGTAGTCCTATCGATCATTAGTGAAGCAAAAGTCCGATCTGCTTTAGAGGAACAGATACAACCATTCAACAGGCAGTTGAGTTTTTGTTATTTCAAACGATAGTTCACGATGACGTCTCTAAAAGACTTCTGTGAAGAATGAGTGGGAGTAAGGCTCACAGATAGTAATGGTGCGCGGCGGGCTTGATCAATGGGCGTGAACGAGAGATGAAAGGTCCTTTATATGCTGATTCGTGCACGCAAAATCAAACAACCAGGTGGAAGGGATGTAGCACCCCAGGAGGCATTTTGTTCTCAAATAGACAAGAAAATACGTAATGGATAATTCTAGCAAACTTGTAGTGCAGTCTAGGGGGACACTCGGCCGAAAAGAATGCGCGTTGCAACAAAATATCCGAAACCAAACCACACCAATCCTGGAAAAAAGAGAAGCCTTCATTCTAAATCCATGATAACATAAGTCATCGAGCAGTAGAATAGAGCTGTCTACGTCCAGCCGGCCAGCGTCTTGGGAATAGCGTGGTATCCGTCAAAGAAGCCTTTGGGATCGTACTTGTTCTTCAAATCTGTCAACTTCACGTGTCGCCACTCTTCATAGCCGTACAGAGCACTCAGAGGCTCATCTCCGTGACCGTAGTTCTGGTACTCATACAACCTGTCGTAACCTGAGTACTTCTTCTCAGCCCATCTGTTGCGCCACTTCACGCTGAAAGCCTCGACATTGGCAGCGTCTTTGTCGTCCGTGTACAGCATTACAAGCTCGATCATATTGTTGAACTTTCCACGATGAGGAAATGCAGAGAAATCGTTAGGAAGTTTGTTCATTGCCTGGTTTGGGAAGGTCTCGATCATCAACATGCTGGAGCTGGCGGAGGGGTTGGCGTGAATCATTTTTACGAGGTCGTCTGCGAAGTCGTTGACGATTTGGGTGTCGATCTTCTTGGTGATGACGCCACGCATATCGTAATTTACACCTTTCGTGCAGGAGAAATTGATAAGTCCACCGACAGCAGCGTTGAACGTGCCTGGCCAGGAGGTTTCGACCTCCACAAAGCGAGTGGCGTAGGACTTGAAACGATTGGTATGCTTTTGAGCGTCTTTAGTAGGCCCTGCATACTGGACGTTGAGAATAACATCAATCTGTAGTCTTGTTTAGTACCTTGATCATCATCATACGGCTTTGAACACTGACTTGTTGTGTTGTTGTGTTGTATGACACGAACGGAATCATGTTGAGACGGGGATCGAATGCATCAGGGTTACCTCCCGGCGCTGCAAGGTCGTTAACAGCATCAAACATTCTCTTCATATCTTTACGTGCGAAGTAGAAATCTCCGTTGTAATGCTGGCCGTTGTTGGTGGCAGGATATGTCTGCAGCGTTATCTCGAAAGCGATACCGAAGTTCTGACCTGCGCCGCGAATACCCCAGAAAAGATCTTTGTTGACTTTCTGAGATGCTTCGACAATGGTGCCGTTGTACAGTGCGTATCGAACCTTGCTGACATTATCGCTTGTAAGGCCATAGAGACCTTCGAAACGGCCGAGACCGCCACCAAGCGTAGCACCAGCCGATCCGACGCAAGGACATGACCCTACAGCTACTCTAGTGAGCAACCTTTATAGAATTTAGTGAGCCAGTCGAGACTTACTGACTGTGCGTCCATGGTCGTATAGAAACTGGACAAGGTCGCCGTAAAGCACGCCCGAACCGTAGGTCACACTTTGGTCCCGATTAAGCTTGATGCTATCAAACCCGCCCATATTAATCATGGTGGCGTTTTGCACAGACTCCAGAGTAGCTGAGTAGCCGTGGCCGCCTGATTTGGCAAGGAAGGGACGGTTGTTGCTCGACAGGTATTTCAGCTGTTAGAAGAGCCTGTAAGCAGATTGTTCACAGAGCGATCAGCAAGGAAAGAGCACGCTTACCCCCATAGATAGCTCTCTCTCATTCTGGGGGAGAAAAACTTCGTTGAAAGTAGGAGCTGAGTAGGTAGACCAACGTTGCGTCTTGTTGGCAAATTCAGACCAGGTCTGATCATGAGCATCGCCTGCAATAGATGCTGGCCAAGTATCCTGGCGTTTGAAAACAAGGTCGTTGTCAATGGCAGCGCCGGATGCTATTGACATGAAGGGACTGAATCCGAGTAGAACTTTCGCCAGTCGAGAGGCGAACATCTTGGAAAGTATAAGATATCGAAGTGCCAAATGATGCGCTTGAAAGAGTGTTTTTGGATGAAGGTAATGATAGTGACATTGAGTACGGTATCTGGAGGGTTTTATACTTGCTGGTCCAACTTTTCCCTCATTGTATCTGTGCCTGCTGGTCTACGCACGCGTTCATAGCCCCCACGACCTTCGTCTTCAACTTTCGGCTCATCTGGTGTTCTGGGCCATCCGGTGGACTCTGCTCCAGCTCGAAAGGTATGTGAGGGCGCAATATTGGACGCCATGGCTGTGTTGGTACTTGAAGCTACATCCATCTCTCGTAATCTAGCTACCAATCATAGTATAATCGCGGGCTGGTGTGGTGGAAGGAGTAAGGCCGACAACACTCCCGTATTATCCGTCTGAGACAAAGTGCCATTTGAAGGCGTATAATCGAAGCGAGCTGGCTTTCAGATATCTTAGAAACTACGCCACGCGTATAAGGCTGCTGTGCTCGATCCTACACGTGGAAGAGAGCCTCTAGATCCGGGCGAACCTGGTCTGTGGGAATGTCAAGCTTTGGGGGCATTCCAAACTGAGGGATCGACATGGTTCATGAGCTTCACACATCCAGTCACGAAAAAGAACAGTTGGAAAAAGCTATACGGGCGTTGGGGCTATGACCAACACCATGTGAGCTGGCAAAGCTTAGCTGAGTAAGATAGCTCGACTCGAGTCGCTTTTCAGCGGTAATTCGGTGATGATGTGACTTTTCTCCATGGCCAATTAAGTGCTAGAACGATAAGTCTATGCAAAGACAAGACTGAGTGGCTATTGACACATTAGGACTAGCGCTGCCTGATTCTCAGTAGGGAGCGATTTCGTAGCACTAGGTAAGGACTATCCGTAGCACTAGGGGCCATTCGTGGTGTTGGGAGCCGAAGGAGCCAGTTGTGACCCGAGACCTGAGTCTGGGCGTCCTTCCAACTCTTTGACCACGTGAACTCTGGCCGACTCTGTCAGTCGGAATAGTTGATATCAGAAGCAATCTTACCGGCTAAAGTTCGGCTCTAGGACATATCTCTCGTACTTCCTCGTTTGCTCAAACAGACAATTTTAGCATCATCTAGCTAGGCTTGGAGTGTGCGCTCGCCCGCAGATGCGTTGGTGTGCCTTCCAACACATTTGAGAACACACTCTTGCAGCACACCTAGAAGACGAATGAAGCGTAGCTTGAGCCGCGTCGGGTTCCGAATATCACTACATTGAGGCAATTATCTTCAGATTGCGCCTTACCATTTACTATTCTCAGAAGCTTGCTTAGAACAGTGCTTGAAGTTGTCATTGGTCAGGATCAAAGCCCGAGTTCACCATGTGATGGGACCCGAGTGCCAAGCCATGGACCACGCTAACGCCGAAACAGTTGCTGATATCTGATTGGCCTACTCCTAGTGTGGTGGTACAGAAGGACTTGAATGGCGTTGGAGAGGCGCATGCATAGCGGAGATAGCGGACGAGCTGGTTTTGGCTGTGCCTCAGCTTCTACCCGCCGGTGTCCTCTACGCACGCTAAACCGAGACCTCACCTGCCCTTACGCTCAGCTCTGGACCTTGCATCCATAACTCCGTAAGTTTGTGGTTTCTTATCACCGCGTCTCCGGAAACCTTTCGTACTTCATATCTTCGACGTGCAAACGTTTGTTTACCACCTTCTTAAAGAAAACATTCATCTCATATTGTTGTTGGTGTCGGCCGTACCCACTAACGTACATTTTACATATTCAATTCCTCAGTAAATTCAAGCCACTACACTTCTACTCCAACACTTCTCTCGCAACGCCATAACACCTTTCAGACGTCGCCCACATGTCTCAATTCGACATAATCGGCGAGCAGTACAAGAAACTGCCGGTCCTCATCAACAGCGCGAATGTTGGTGGAAAGACGTACATTGTGACGGGTGGTAACACCGGGCTTGGGCTTGAGACTGCCAGACACCTCGTCAAAGCGAACGCAGCCCACGTCATCATTTCGAGTCGTAAAGTTTCGGCAGGCGAGGCGGCGAAGGCAAACATCGAGCAAACCACTGGGCGTAAGAATGTGATTGAGGTCTGGCAGCTTGACCTTATGTCGTTCGCGTCCGTGAAAGCATTTGCAGACAAAGCCTCCAAACTAGAGCGAATTGATGCTCTTATCGAGAACGCCGGAGTTATGACGGACAAGTTCGTCCTCGCTGAAGGCCACGAGAGTTGTATGACAGTCAACGTTATCAGCCCATTCTTGTTGGCCGCGCTATTGATGCCGAAATTGCAGGAAACGGCACAAACGTTCAACACCACGCCGCGCATCGTCATGGTCGGTAGTGCACTGGCGTTCCAAGCGAATAAAGAGCTAGAGAAGGGGGGACAGAAGAACATCCTAGCGAACCTGAACGATGCTAAAGTCGCGGATCGGTGAGTCCGTAATCTCTTCCATACGCTCCTTCGATGGAACAACTTCACAGAATCAAAATTCGTATGAGGTGATAGCTAACGCATCTATACAGCTATCCTTTGACGAAACTCGTGCAGCTATACGCCACCCGTGAATGGGCCTCTCTGTACCCTGCCGAGAAGACCAACGTGATCATGAACATGACTGCCCCCGGGGTATGCTCGACTGGTCTTGCTCATGACACAAGTGCCGCCACTCGTGCTTTGATCGGGACGATTCGGTTCTTTTTTGCGCGGACAGCCGAGGAAGGCAGCCGTACAACGGTCCATGGTGTCATCGCTGGCAACGACAGTCACGGCCAATTTCTCTCCGGCTGCAAGATCAAAGAGTAAGTTACGTGTCTTGAGCTTTACCTTAAATTCTACTGACGGAAGCGATAGTTGGTGGGTCCCCGCCTGGGTCAAGAACGAACAGGGATTACGCACACAAAAGCAATTGTGGAAAGAGCTTACTGAAATCCTGGAGGCGACATCCCCTGGCGTGATGTCAAACATCAAATCAGTTGGCACCTGATCAGTGCGTCCAAGTATAGTCGATCCGAGAGAGATTGAATAGTCGGCGGTCTCATAATAAGTTGTATCATTGAGATAGGATCGGAGCAAGCTTACGATTCCGTTCATTCCAGTAGTAATTGATTGAGAACCAAATAATTGGTCGACCTTGTAGGACTGTACATGCCGTGGTACGTCGCGACGTCAACGGCACCAAAGAGCAAACTTGACGGTGTACGTGTTTTCGCATGCAGCTCGGGATCAAACATTGTTGGGAGGAAAGAATCGAACAGCATATGTTTACAAGACGACCCTGAAATCGTTACAGCTTGTGGCTTCTTGCAATCAAAGAGATGAGCGGCTGAGGTGGTGTATATGAAGTCAAAGTTGAAGTTGGAAACCGTCGGGGAGAAAAATGAGACTAGATTACTAGGCAAACAATCAGGCAAGGGGTGCGGTGGGGCTTCGCCAAATAGTCCCACGGCCGGCCGGCCGGGCGGAACGACTTTACCGGTGGTCCCCTCTAGCAGCGTATGCGACCTTAGAACTATCACCACAAGAATTGTTGGCTTTAAATTTTTCTGCCTCCCCTCACTGTTCACATTCTCTTCAAAAGACCTATGCTTTGCCAATATTCAACGTAAGCTGCGATATCGTTTTCAGTAATCGGCAACATTTTTCGGAGCGTAGGTGACACGCTTCGAGTGGCAGCCGTGTCTAGCATGATCGACCCGTCGGACATCTTAACGAAATCATCGCTGAAGAAGTCAAGAAGGCTCTGTGCCGGGTTATTTTCGCCAGGGCCACACTCAACAAGCTTTAACCACTCGTTCATAGGAATAATTGAACGCTCTGGGAGGCCGAGCCTGCTGACTAGTACTGCGATGACATCTTGCCAACTTTGTCGGACATGGTTTTCTAGGTGGTACACGAGCTGTAATGGCAGAGGTTGAAACAAAAGCTCAGCAAGGATAGCCGCACCCGAATCTACACGTATCCAGGACAGTGTCTGCTCATCATTAGCCAGCTGACAGGAACATGAACTGGTCTGATGTATTACCCCTCGCAAGTCGGGAAACTTTCCGACAGTCAAAGACGACGCGACCAGCGCAGCAAAGTGCTCATCAGAGTTCCAATAACCGGTGTTGGATCCGGCAATTTGACCGAAACGTACTAGCCCGATCTCGATCCCAGGGTGATCCTCGGCCGCGTGCTGAACAATCCTCTCGCATACGAGTTTAGCTTTGGCGTAACCCAAGTCCAGGGCCCAACGATAGTCGTCGACAGTTACTTCAGGGACCATGCGTTCTTCTTTGATGTTGGGGTAATTACCAACTGTTGAGATGGAAGACACGAACAAGAACCTCGGTTTCTTTCGCGAAGTCTGACGATGTGCATCGCATGCAAGCTGAATCAAGTTTTCCAAGGTCTTGAATGCCGCATTGAAAGATGCCAGCTTCATCTTGAAATTCATAGGCCAAGCAGTGTGCACAATGTGAGTAACCTCTCGAGCAAGAGATTCGTACTGCGTAGCACTCAATCCTAAGCGGTCAGTGGCTTGGCTGATTTCTAGGACCTCAACCTTTGAGAACAATGCATCGCTCACGTCTATGTTTCGAGAGCGTAAAGAGTGCCTCTGTCTAGCGACTGCTTCGTCTCCTGTACGTCTATTGAGACATATGATACGACTTACTGAGGGATCGTTGAGGAGAACATGGAGTAAGTGGGATCCTAGGCTACCTGTAGCTCCTGTTATGGCGACAGTTGCCTTCTGCAGCTGAGTGATGTCTCTTCCAGAGTATCGATCAACAAGCTGTTCCAAACAGCGAGAGTCGGAAGTATCGCTTGCCGCAGTTTGCTTGGAAGTTATCGCTTCCACGAGCTTCACAACGGAAGCGTGCCGATAAACAAAGTCCCCCAAGATCTCGTCTGGCTTCAACACGCCATGCGAATTGGAAACAGTGGCCTTCAATGATGCTTTAAGCAATCGACGGAGCTTTGTGGCCTGTAAGCTGTCCATCCCAAGCTCGAAAAGGTCGTCCTCGTTACTCCAGCTCGTGGAAGTCAAGCCTAGCTTGATGTTTTCTTCTATCAAGCCTCTTATGGTCATCTCGGGCGACGATAGATCGAGTGGAGATGCTGCCACGTCCGCTTCGAGCTTTCGATACACTTGGTCGATCTCCTTCGAAAACTTCTTGGCAACTTCTAAGCGGAGTATGGTACCCTTGTCAGATCTTGGCAATGACCCTGGTGGAAACACCAGGATTGCTGCATGTGACGATATCCTCGCATGCGCATCCATTGTGTGGCTGGCTTCTTCGATGAGCGGCCAAACGGACGTCTTCAACGCCTCAATGCAGTCAGCTTCCAAGAGTGTGGTTGACTCTATGATAACAACAAGCTCGAATCGGCCATCTCCGAATGCCGTAGCCGCTTTGACGCCGTGATGTTGCTGTATGAGACCCTCCAATATCGTTGGACGGACCTTTTCCCCCGTTGCGAGGCATATCAAGTCATCGGTTCGACCCCGGATGGAGAACTCCATGTCTTCTTGTTGTGACCCTGGTCTCTGGACAAGTATATCCTGGATTTCAAAGCGTTGCATCCATCCGAAAGGCCGCAGACTCATCTGAAACCTCTTTTCGTGAGCACTGACAGAGTCTAGCTGGACTTCCATCGGCACAAGAGTGTCAAGCCGAAGCTTGACATAGTGCCAGTCATAAGAATTCGTGGGCACAAAGAAAGGCGATAGCGGTCCGGTCTCAGTTGCACCGTAGTGATTAATCAGTTTTACCCCTGCCTCCCAAAGCCTTTTTCCAACAGACTCCTTGGGCATACCTCCGCCGAAAGCGACAAAGTCGAGGTTCTGGAGAACCCGAACTCCTTGATCGTCCTGGAGGAACGTGATTTCTTCAACAATCGATGGTACTGTCAACAAAGCCTTTGCCCCGGACTGTTCTAGGAGTTCTGCTACTGAAATACCTGTTGGGATAGAGGAGGGTGGAGGGAGACACATTGTCTTGCCAATACCTAGGGACATACACATTGGGACAAGCCCAAATCCCTTCCTCTATTAGTGACTATATACGAACTCTTTTCGATTCGATAACTCACATGGAAGAACGGCGATGTGGAGACACTGAGATTTCGCGCTTCAGTTTCTGAAGAGAAGCTATGGCAAGTTGCGGAACCCAGAAAATACTTGTGCGAACAGTAAATCGGTTTCGGAAGGCCTGAAGTCCCTGAAGAATGGAGAATCAGAGTCTGACAGTCGCTTTCCGAAACGAAGTGGTTGGGATGCGCTATCATGCCAGTGCATGTTACTGGGGTTTCACTCAGGAATGCATCATAACCTGCCGCAATGCAAACTTCAACGTTGCGCTCGATGTTTGATTCGGCATATGCAATTGCCAATGCCTCGTTGAACAAAGGCTGGAGACGTTGGGATGCCAATGCGTGCTGGGCTTTGGTCGTTTGCATGAGGTGGCTAATCGCGACTGGGCTTAGGCGTGTCGAAAGTAGGACAACCGGAACGCCCATTCCCATCAAGGTGAGGATGTAAATCGCCAGACCAACATGGCTTTCCATGAGAACAGCTACTGGTGCGCATCTGTTCACACTACCGCGGTCGTCCAAGAAAGAAGCATGGATGTTTGGGGCGTTGTCTTTGAGCCATGTTTGGCATCGAAATATGGCTTGCTGAAGGCGTTCGTAGGTCAAAGATATCAATGGGTATGTGGCATTCTCGGTTAGTGGCTTCTCGGCTTGGATACAGAATCTGTGCTGAGGATTGTGTCTGACGTGGAATTCGACGAGTTCGGGCAAGGTGCGTATACCCGACGCTGAGTTGCAGTTTAGATCGAGTTCTGGCGACACAAAAGTCGACATGATGGAACTTCAAAGTCTTCGGTGTTGAGTATAAGATCGAAGATGGCCTTTTCCAAAGCTGACTGTCGTCAAATACAAACAATACTGTCGAGTTCGTCGAGCTTTACCCTGCAGACTTTGATCGCCCAACGATGGCGCAATGCGCGATCTCGCGAGATGATACCTATCTCCACCAAAGTTTACCATACAAAGGCCCTGAGTCCACCTAGGTAGTTTCGGGCAGCGAAATTTGTGGGACAAGGTACATAGATAAGCTGTCAGCTTACTGCAGCTGAGCCTTACTGCAGCTGAACCTCACTGCAGCTGAATACCTAAGAACGTTGTAGGACGGGTACGAGCCGCCCCGAACGGCTAATCTAACGTCCCGGTAGAACGGCACTGGCCTGCTAGTCAAGCCATGTCAAGCCTGATTTAATTAAATCTATCCTTATGCCTTACATTTTATTGGCGGCTTCCAGGACACAACGGCGCACCCACGCATTAGGCCATCCAGATGTTCTTAAGACACAGAATAGGACAATGGAAGAGGCGAACTCAGGTCCCGTGTCTTACACGGCTCAAGAGCAAATGCTCTTTTATTACTACACCAACTCGGGCCTCATCCAAGCTACACCCACCAGCTCACCGTTTTGAACTCAGCCTCAGAGGGGTCTATTCTGTCACGTGATCCGAATGACTGCAGAGCGAGAACGACGATGGTGGACAGAGGAGGAAGACGATGTCCTCCGAGCTCGTGTACAACTCCAAGGTAATTGAACGATTCTCCTCCAGTATCTCGTACTGCCACCTCATACGAGATGATTGCAACGACGAGGTATTGACGTGAGATTTCTCCTGCTGGGCGAGTCTGTTGCATCATGGACGATTCGCCGCATTGTTGCAGATGTGTGCACAAAAATTGATACTAATTCTAGCAGAAGCAGACAACGGTCAAGCCTTTAGATGGAATGAAGTTGCAGTTCTATTGCCAGGACGTACTAACAAGGATTGCCGGAAGCGATGGAGCAAAGTACAAGCCGGTATCAACAAAGGGGCGTGGACGCGGGTTGAAGACGAGAAGCTGCAAAAGGCAGTCGAAAATCAAGGCGCAAAGTGCGTTCCCTAGTTTCCGAATCTGTGGGCTCTCTGATACTCGATGCTCTTTCATACATCCTGCTTGAAGCTCACTATGCTGACAGATACTAGATGGGCATTAGTATCAAAGAGTGTGCGGACGCGAAACGCAGACCGTGAGTAGACTCAATACACTGTTTCGGATCTATAGTGACTAATGAACTGATTCAGAATGTGCTAAACGGTGGCAGCACGTCCTTGGTCCTGGGTGTAAACACGGGCCTTGGACGACGGAAGAGGATCGAAAACTATTGGACGCCATCGAAAAACATGGAAATAACTGGAAACAGATAGGGCTTCTGGAGTTTCATGGTAGATCCAGCCACGATATCAGAAATCGGTCAGCTGCACTATCTGACTTACCAGGGTTCTTCGCTAAAAGCATGTAGGAGTGTTGCACTGACACGCCGCGGCAGGAACCGAGATTCAAGGCAAGATACGCGTAGCAGCTCAAACGACATTGAGGAAGCTATGCAGCAGAGATCTGGGAGTAACGTCCAATACGAGAGTGAGTTAGGCTTTAGTGAAGAACACGGAGAAGACGATGTTTCTGGCATGAACGTCGATAGCAAAGTCGAAACGCCACATCCCTCGATTGGAGAAAGAGCTGGAACAGAGTTTCCGTCCGGATCAAGTACCAGAGATACCCCCCACACTATCGAAGATATCGAGATTGATCAGCCCTCAAGTACGAACTCCGTGTGGACATGGCCAGACTTTACAGCTCATCCTCTGGTCTTTGATGAACACCACCTACCCACCACACCAGACACGGTCAATTCCTCCAACTGTGACCATACAATTGACGCAACAATTTCGACACCATCATACCTGCATTCTGGTTTCGCAACTTCGTCAGTTCTGCCTTTGCAAGAAATAGATTCTAGCGCTTTAGAAGACTGCGCAATGGACACAGCGAAGGCTTTTCGTAATCACCACGGGACATTCGATGATGCTGGAGGCCATCTACCGTTCGTGCTGGACTCTCCACAGCATGGTTTCTTTCCGACCACCGTGCCAGAAAAGAAGGGCCATGTCACTATAAGTCTGAAGCATGTGGATACAGAAGTTGCGCAGGATATAACTTCCAGCATTTTGAAATATAACGACAGCTTGGTGATACGACTGCATCTGGAGTGAGTTTAACTCATCATGTATCTTTACACTCCTAGGATTGTTGGTAATGACTGGGGGAAAGTTTCGGTTTACAAAGAAACGATATGGATGCAAAATCACACATGCGAAGCGGCATCATTAGAAGATCAAAGAATCATATACGCCAATATCATGACTTACGATATATCACTTGTTCTTGATATTAGATAATTGCCGCGTTTCGCAGTAGTAAAGGACCTGGAGACAGGAAGCTCGCGGACGAACTGTCGTGATACCCTGTAGAAGTTCAGTGCGAATGATATTCCCTGAGTGAGGCTTGGGATGGCTGCACATGTATCATGATTGACTCAATCAATGAGCTGTGCATATACCAGACCGTCCAAGATAGGAAAGCCATGTATGAGCTGCATAATCAGCAGGGACCTGAGTTCGCTTATAAGACAGGCTTAGTGCCGATAACGATTGTTCCAGGCGTCCTTGATGTGTTGCCTAGATCTTCTCACGTTCAAAGTAGAGAGCTGCATCTCGACTCATATTACTTGGGGTGATTACATGCATTCATTTGCATTGCACAATATCGAAGCACGGTGTCATGCAATGTTTGATATCGATGCTAGCGCTCCAGTTCTCAGCATGTATTCCGGAGCACGAAACTATACCGGAAGATGATACCCAGGTGGGATAAATCGGAAGAACTGAGCCAACCATGACCACCTAGTCAGAGTTGTGTGATGATCAACAGTGTATTTAGTAGGCATGCTAGATGTAGACGATCGGAATATGAACAGTACGCGAATTGTTTGGAGAAAATACGAGCGGAGTGAAACCAGGCAAAGATCGGATTAGCCTTCGATAGCGAGCGCATTCTCCGTTCGGTACATGATACAAAAAGGTAGCGTGCGGTCTTGCCGATTTCAATGCGCAAGGAAGAGAGCATGGCATGGCCTATTGCATCGGATGCCTGCAGTTGTTCCAGCCGCCCCGCGGTGTAGCTTTCGGCTCAACGTCCGCCGCAACCTTGGACCCGAGTTATGTCACTCCAGCTTGTGTAGCTTGAAAGCCAGATCCATGCAACTATACTATAACGGATCGAGTGAAAACTCTGTCGGACTAGAATGTTAGAAAGAAGTACACCCTTGCCTTGCGCGACCTCGAAGTGACGGGAGACTTATCGACCATTCTCAGCACGAATATTTGCTTCTAGTGCATCTCCGCCGTCTATATCACTAGCTCGACGCTTTCAGTCTGACTGCTCTACACCGGGTTTCAAGAGTCATGGCACAGAATCCAGACCTTAATGGTATCGCCATCGTCGGCATGGGGTGCAAGTTTCCCGGTGCTGATTCTATCGAAGAGTACTGGAACCTCTTGGACGCTGGAAGATCAATGGTCACCGAGCCACCCAAGGGACGTTTCCCCTCACATGAACATGGGAGAAGTACAGATAGATCTGTGTTCTCCGGCAACTATATTGATGACATTGAAAGTTTCGACAACCGCTTTTTCAAGAAATCTGGCCGCGAGGCCGCTTCCATGGACCCGCAACAAAGACTGCTGCTAGAAGTCGCCTACCAAGCTTTAGAATCCGCAGGTTTCTTCGGACCTAGAGAGCAGGATTTGGATGTAGGTTGTTTTGTGGGAGTCTGCGCATCGGACTACAATGGTAAGCCTCTTCTGCGTACCGTGACAACATGTCTGGACTGACTTCGTCGCCTACAATTAGACAATGTTGCCAGTCACCCTGCCAACGCTTTCTCAACCTTGGGCACATTACGTGCGTTCCTTACCGGCCGTGTCAGTCACTTCTTCGGTTTGACCGGCCCATCGATCACATATGACACCGCATGCTCGTCGTCCGCAGTTGCCATCGATGCTGCATGCAAAGCAATTGCTCATGGGGACTGCACGAGCGCACTTGCGGGAGGGGTCTCTCTTCTGACAAGCCCGCATTTCTTCCAGAACTTAGCTGCCGCCTCGTTCCTAAGTCCCACTGGTCCTACCGTACGTATAGCCCATAGAGAAAATACGAAGCCAGGATTCACACCCGCACATCTCACATCGAGCTGTACTGACTTGCTTGGTGCACGTGTAGAAGTCCTTCGATGCGCGTGCCGATGGCTACTGTCGAGGCGAAGGTATCGGGTTAGTCGTTTTGAAGAAACTTTCACAAGCCATCCATGATGGCGACCATATCTTTGGCACTATACTTGCTACATCCGTCAAGCAAAGTAGCAACAAAGTACCGATCACTGTCCCCTACAGCCCATCACATACCGCACTGTACCGACAAGTGCTGAGAATGGCCGGTGTGGCTGCAGAGGATGTCACATATCTTGAGGCTCACGGAACCGGCACACCGATCGGCGATGTTATCGAGTTCGATGCTCTCAGGGCAACCTTCGCCAGCAAACAACGGAAACAACCCCTCTATGTAGGCTCTGTCAAGAGTAATATTGGTCACACGGAAAGTACTTCTGGGGTTGCTAGCCTCATCAAGACGTTGTTGATGATGCAAAAGAGACAAATTCCTGGGCAAGCAAATTACTCGACGCCAAATACTAAGATCGATCTCTCCAAGGGTCAATTTGTAATCCCGACACAGACGCAATATTGGGCAGCGGACACACTCATATCGTGTGTGAACAACTATGGGGCTGCTGGCAGTATTGCTGCCATTGTGCTCAGAGAAGCACCGTCCTTGACTGCTGGAAGCGCGGGAAATCAGTCCCTGCCAGGTTACCCCATCGTCGTGTCCGGAAACAGCAAGGAAAGTATTGCTGCCAATTGCGAAAGGTTAAGAAGGTTTTTATCAGAGCGAGAGAAGGATGTTCAGATTGCAGATATTGCTTTCAACTTGGCTGACCGGCAGAATCGCGCGTTGCCATATATCTTCGCCCACACCGTGACGAGCTTGTCCGAGCTTGATAACCTCCTCGCAAACGCCACATCAGATTCGTCAAAATACGAGATCGGCAAGAGACGGCCTGTTGTGTTAGCCTTTGGTGGCCAAACAACGCGGTCAATAGGCCTCAGGAAAGAGGTTTACGACTCTTCCATCCTGTTGCGTAGATACCTCGACGAATGTGACAGCTTACTGAAGACTTTCGGATATGGAAAGGGGCTTTATCCAGCTATCTTCGACACTAGCTCTCAGGACGATGTGGTTGGACTCCAGTGTATGCAATTCGCGTTGCATTATGCCTGTGCGCAGTCTTGGATCGCTTGTGGCCTTCAGATCGATCGAATCATCGGACATTCTTTTGGCCAGCTCGTCGCTTTAACCGTAGGTGGTGTTCTATCACTTCTAGACGGCATGAGATTGGTATACGGCCGCGCCGTCCTGATGAGAGACAGATGGGGTCAAGAACGTGGTTCAATGATCGCTTTGGAGGCTGACGCTAGCGAGACGAAGGCACTAATTGCTTCTGTCCGTCGCCATGACCCCACAGCTCCTGAATTGGAGATAGCATGCTTCAACGGACCCGAAAGCCATGTCGTTGTTGGATCTGCTGCTGCTGTTGAGACTCTCGTCGCTATCCTCGTGCGAAACAGAACCAAACACACGGTGCTCAACGTATCCCATGGTTTCCACTCGCGCTTTTGCGATCCGATTCTTTCTGGACTAGAAGAGCTAGCGAACAGCATGACTTTCAGGGAGCCAGTAATACCTATCGAAACGTGCTCTAGGGGTGGGACATGGAGCATAGCCACCGCAAGGCTCATCGCTGACCACGCCCGCACGCCAGTATATTTTGGAGAAGCCGTCAAGCGTATCGAAGCGGACCTCGGACGCGCTACATGGATAGAAGCCGGTTCAAATTCATCTATAACGGGTATGGTCCGGCGCGCTGCCTCAATGACGGCGGACCACCTGTACTGCCCAATCAACCTTGGCCGAAATGACGCCATGGGAATGATGGCAGATACTTCGACCAAGCTCTGGAAGAATGGGCATAACGTTCAATTTTGGCCTTTTCATCGCGCTCAGGCCGGGTCATATCGCCGTACGAGCTTACCTCCATACCAATTCGAGAAGACTCGCCACTGGCTGGACTTCAACCTCGATGCTATGCGGGAGCCCGGACGCGTCGCACCTGCGACAGTATCGTCCCCTGTTCCAGAGCTTGTAGTGGAGCCAGATCCTGTCTTCATCACGTTCTCAGGATTCCAGGATGCTGAAAAGAAGTTCAGTGTTTTTACTATTGACCCGCGTGCTCCTGAATGGTCAACGATGCTTGCAGGTCATGCAGTGTTAGCTGAACCTCTTTGTCCCGCCCCTCTGTACATCGAGTTGGCTACTCGTGCAGCAAGAGAGATTGCAAGCCTTCGTGGCCTACAAAACGCTCAACAGGCTCGCGTAGACGGCCTGGAAATCACCTCTGCATTAGGCGCAAGTCATGACAAGATGATCAAACTCATCCTCAAGCAAACATACCAGGGTAGCAACGAGTACAGCTTCACTTTCCAGGCACATAGCCGTGGTGTGTCTCCAACAGAAGCAGATCATATCTCTACGCATGCTGTCGGCAAGGTTGAGCTTGCTTTGGTCGATGATAAGTCGCACGTCGCCGAGTTCAATCGCTTGGCCAAGCTTCTTCGATATCACGATTTCGATGAGCACGAGGCGTCCCGGATTGGAGAGGCTGTTCATGGGAGCCTCGTATACAAGATATTCTCTCGTGTTGTCCAGTATCATGACTTCTACAAGGGGGTGCGCAAAGTTACGAGCAATGCAGGTGTCGTTTCTGCACATGTCTCTCTGCCAGAAGACCAGCCCGCTGTCTTTGGCAGTCTTGCGACGAACCCAGTGGCGATCGACAACTTCCTGCAGGTGCCCGGCATTTACGCGAATTGCTTGGCGCCATGTCCATCAGACGAAGTCTTTGTTTGCACCCACGTTGATCGAGTTCAGATGTCACAGGATTTCGCTCTCAGCGGTGGCGACGGCTGGGATGTCCTTGCGATGTCCACACCTTCTGGTGAGAGGGAATGCAGCAATGACATATTCGTTAGAAATCATATCACAGGACAGCTGGTGTTTGTCGTCTTCGGCGCTGCCTTTACAAGGGTCCGCATTTCGTCCTTGTCGAAGGTATTGTTCCGCACCAACGTGCACGACGGTGCGATAGCTGCCGCAGTCCCTTCTAGACCCGCTCCAGCTGTTACCAAGGCTGGAACTTACACAAACGTCGTTGCTGCAGCTCGTCAGCCTCCACTTGTATCTCCTGCTGTGGCGCAATATCGTGATCCTGTGGCTGAGGAATCTACGCCACGTCTCAGTGAAGACACTGCCCAAACGACACCGCGGGCGCCTGTACTAAGAAGTCATGTCGTCCCACAGCTACAAAGGACTGGCGTGGAGGCACGACTTCGAAATATGCTCAGCAGAATCACGGACGTGCCTGCAGATCAATTTGAAGGAGATGTGCAGCTTGAGGACCTGGGCATTGACTCTTTAATGGCCACTGAAATTGTATCCGAAGTATTTGACGTCTTCGGCATCTCGATACCCCAGGATCATCTTCAAGATCTCCTGACGTTTGCGTCGCTGCGTGACTATGTCGATAGGCGAGATGTAAGCGCTGCACCTGCAGTTAAACAGCAGATTTCTCCTATTGACCCTTCAGTCGCCAAAGCGACCGGCAGTCAAGAACTCGAGCCAGCCTACGCGATACCTCCTAACTCACACATGGAGCCTGAGACCAGTACTGTAGCGGAAAACTCGGACTTGCAGCAGATGATATCACGTCTTGCGCAACTCCTAGGTGAACATCTCGACTGCCCAGCGCACAGCTTCAAACGCTCAGAGGCTCTCGTTGATTATGGGCTCGACTCTCTGCTGTGCATGGAGCTTATGAGCGACATGCAGCAGATCTTCGATCTCTCTATCGATCTTGCGCAACTCACCACGGAGAGCACTTATGGCGACCTCATCGACCTCTTCGTGCGGGCTGTTAGTGGGGCGATCAGCGTAGACAGCAGTGCCAGCCCTACAACGTCCTCGAATGTCAGTAGCTCGGAGCGTACGCGGTCGTCTGGCTTCACGACGCCGGCGACGGACAGGTCCACCAATTTCGACAAGGAAAATGTAGCTGGGATCAAAGACACGTTGCATTCCCCTCTGATACGCTCACAGGATGCATTCGAGCAGATCAAGACACAGTTTGACCATCTCGCACTGGAGTACGAGTTCGCTGGGTTTTACGAAAACGTTTACCCGAAGCAAATGGAGCTGATTGTGGCTTACACTGTCGAAGCCTTTGCTGACCTCGGCATTGATCTGAAGCGGCTGCAATCTGGGGATGAGATACCTCAACTCGACGTGCTTCCCAGACATAAACAACTCGCCAGTGCATTAAACGATATCCTACGAGAGGGGAGGCTCGCTGACTACGACGGCATGCACTACGTTCGCTCAGAGGTACCAATCGAAGGTCTACCTTCCAAAGCGCTCTTCCACACTATCTTAGAGGAATTCCCTCAGCATGCGGACGAACACAAACTCATTAACATCTGTGGCGCAGAGCTTGCCGCACTTTTGCGAGGGCAGAAAGATCCATTAGCTTTACTGTATGGAAACAAAGCGAATCGAACCACTTTGGAGAACGTGTACAGCGCAAGTCCAATGTACATCACCATGTCTCGGCTTCTCACCATGTTTTTGGACCAGAGCCTGAGCTCGTTTTCACCTAGTCTAGATGGTAAGTTCCAGATTCTAGAGCTCGGCGCAGGCACGGGGTCGACGACAAAATGGGTTGTGGAAGCACTCGTGCAACGTGGCATACCTTTCGAATACACATTCACGGACATTTCCTCATCTCTTGTCTCTGCTGGGAAGCGAAAATTCGCGAAGTACGGGACCACGATGAAGTACGCCACATTGGACATCGAGAGGGAGCCGCCGATGGATCTGCAAGGTCAATTTGACATTGTGCTGTCGACAAATTGCATTCATGCCACCAAGAACCTATCTTCGTCGCTTTCTCATATCAACAAGCTCCTCAAACCACACGGTTTTGTCTCGCTGGTAGAGTTCACCACCCGCATTCTCTGGTTTGACCTCGTCTTCGGCCTGCTCGACGGGTGGTGGGCATTTGAAGATGGCCGTCGCTACGTACTGGCTACGCCAGAGTCATGGGCAGGGAGCATGCGCGCCAGCGGCTTCTCCCACGTCTCCTGGACGGGCGGTTCGACGCGTGAATCGGAGACGGTCAGGATCATTACCGGTTTCAAGCAGCCTGTTGCCGATCCTAGTCACTACCAAAGCATCCCCCAAGACCGGAGAAGCGGCATCGAGACAGTTGTCTTTGGCCACACGGATAACAAATTGCCTTTGAGAGCTGACATTCACTATCCTTCGCCTGCGCAGGCATCTGCACACGAGACATGGCCAATCGGTACGCAATGATGTGTCTTCCTTCACTGTCTACCCTGCCACTGGTGGCTCCGCAGCTGACCCCGTGGACTCAGGCCTAATGATACACGGGGGTGGACACGTGATGCTCTCGCGAAAGGATGTGCGTCCGCGTCAAACGCAGCTTCTACTCGACCATGGCGTGCTTCCTGTGGCCATCGACTATCGGCTTTGTCCCGAGACCACGCTCCTCGAAGGCCCGCTCGTGGACGCCCTCGACGCCTACGCCTGGGCCCGATGTGTCCTCCCAACTCTGAACCTTAGCAGCACATCGATCCGACTGGATGCGTCTCGAGTAGTAGTTGTCGGCTGGTCCACCGGAGGCACTGTCGCCATGTCGCTAGCATGGACGTCCGTACCGCGAGGCTTGCCGGCCCCAGATGCAATTCTCGTCTTCTACTGCCCGACCGACTACGAAGACGAGTTTTGGGCCCGGCCAAATGTCCCTGACCACACAAACGCCTATGTCGAAGAAAGGTTAGACCTTCTCGAAGGTGTGTACCCCGCGCCCATCACTGCGTATAACGTCCCGTCCAGGATGGTGGCCATGGCTGGCTGGATAGCTCCGAAAGATGCGCGAAGCCGCATCGTCTTGCACATGAACTGGCACGGCCAGACGCTTCCTGTGCTGTTCCGCGGCCTGCCTTGTGCAAAGCACGCTGGGCGGACTGAGGATGCAACGTGGCACAATATGGCGCAGCCGTCGAATGACGAGGTCGTACGCGGGAGTCCGTACGCTCAGATTATCCGGGGTAACTACAAGTCGCCAACGCACATCGTCTTCGGAACCAAGGACGACCTCATCCCCTGGCAGCAGGCGAAACGGACGGCGGATGCGCTACACGCGGCGGGAATCGAGTCCGGACTGACATTGGTGCAAGACCAACCCCATTTGTTCGACATGTATGGAGATCCGACGGGGAAGAGGTGGGAAGCAGTGCTCGAAGGATATGCTTTCGTGTTTAACAGAATTGGAAGAGGCGCGGAATGATCGGCGCATGTGTCATGTAGCGCCAACTAGTGGTATCGTCGAATAATGTCGAGGTTGTAGGGCGGCGACAGTATCGTCAAAGTACGCGCAGGCATAGAGCGTCGCGATGATGTAGAACTGTGGTCGCGATCGTCATCGAGGGGAGACGCAAGACGAGGACGGAACGATGTGAGGACAAGAGAGCATTCTATTTCATAGTTACAATTTTGATCGAGTTGTTGCGATAAACAAAAGAGTGAGATGTGGAGTAATCTGGACGAGATCAAGACGCCATGCTTCGACATTGGCGCGTCAGAGCGTGTCTCGCGTTTGAGTTTGGGGGTTCCTCGCACGAGCCTGATCGCCTTGACCCGCATGGAGAGCCCCGCTTTCCAGACTCAGCTGCGTCCACGCCTGCAGAGTTTCGTACCTTCACTTTACTTGGCTCATCTTAATCACTCTAACTATCATTTAGTAGTTCTGTGTTGCTTAGGTAACGCGCAGCTGGGATCGATTGCCGCTTGTAGTGTGCATTCCTTTGGGCAGCACATATCGATCTTTAGCCTCGTTTACTGCTCCTCAGCACCTCCTAACACCTTTCGTGCAAGATTGCGACGTTTTCGACACACTGATGAAGTTATCAGAGAGCTGACGCTTTAAGATCAGCTTTCGCAAACATGCGACATATCGTCGTACGCTAAGTCAACTTCCGAGGGCATAATGGCGACTTCACTGCCGTCAAGCGACCCTACTGCTTTCCAGCATGAGCCCTTGGATCATACACAACCATCGATCAGGCTCATTCGAATCAACAGTGGCCTTTCTGCAGAAGGCCATATTCGGTGTGAAATATCGCATACGACTACCAATGCCAGATACACTTGCTTATCCTATCGATGGGGCGATGCGTCTACCTCCACATTGAAAGTCATCATGTTGAACGGAAAACCGTTCGTCGTACGTCAGAATCTGCACGACTTCCTACTTGCCGTCTCCACAGAACATCAGATGTCGCACTTCACACAAGAAGACTATTGGATCGATGCCTTGTGTATAAACCAATTCGACAACTCTGAGAGAAGTCACCAGGTTGCTCAAATGGGCCAGATCTACTCCAATGCATGGCGCGTTCATATATGGCTCGGGAGGACGCCAGACGCTGGTCAGATAGCCGAAGTATTTGCGAAAGACTTCGCTCCCACCTATTCCAATCCCGACGCAATTATTGATCTGCGGAGAAAGACACAGCTTGTAACGGGATATGTTCTGCATAATGACTATTGGAACCGGGCTTGGGTCATACAAGAGATCATTTTAGCCAACAGCGCCATCATATCACTGGACACCACAACACTTCCGCTGCGAAATTTCTGCGAGAGAATGCATCAGATTCCTGTCTACATCTGGCAGACACCATTCGAACAATTCGATACGCTTGGGAGTCATGGTGGACACGCAGTTCTGCGCGGCAAGAGTCTCCTCTTGTTGCTGTACTGGTTCCGTAACAAACAGTGTTCGATACCCCATGATCGCGTTTTCGCTCTACTAGGAATCTGTCATAAATCAGACAAGCTAGAGATTGACTACGAGATGCGCTTGTCAGATCTGGCATTCCGTATTCTCAGACATCCAGACGAGCTGTGCATTTGCGTAGCAGCTTTGGTCGCAAGAAGTCTTACACCCGCTCCCAATCAAAATGCTGCCAAACCGCAAACCTCTACCCGGCGATTGATGTTGTCATTCGCGGGAGATCACATTGGTACATACTCCTCTGAATCAATTCGTTATTTGCGTCCCCGTTCCGATACCGCACCCCTATCGTCTCGAATACAGTATGGATGCTTCCGATACCTAGTACAGGAGTTTGGGGAACTGTTCCGGACAAGTTCACTTGGAGATTACATACGACAGCGTCATATGGGCCCAGTTTCGTTCGTTCACGCAGTGCGCGAGGTTCTGATACCAGAGCCGAGTGGGCTACGTTTGAAGAGTGACCCTAACGACATGTCATACCGTTGGTATGTAGACAGTGAAGGATGGAACGTTGGTATCTGTGACAAGGATCCCCAATTCTGTCGTGTGCGCATTGCCTTGGATCGGTTGCTCGATATATTCCGCTGGGACAATGTATGTATCTTTCCAAAAAGGAACTTCCTCAATCTCGAGAAAGCTGGAAATCCCCGCAGGTCACCCAAGTCACCCAAGTCACCCTTAGAGCCGATATCTCCTAAACCTGCAGGCATGGAGGATATCGAACGTTGCGATAAAAGCAGCCTGTTTATGATGGAATGGGAGCACTTTGTGGACGAAGGCTGATCACTCACGACACAGATGAAGATGATTTTATGTTATCAAAGAGAAAGTTATGTATTAAACGAAATTGTCTCTACCGATGATTCTGATAGTGCTGTGGATTTGGAGAGCTGCGTAGCTCAAAGTTTTGCCTTCTCCACCCTCGAAGCTGGATGTCTCTCGTCAATCCTCGGCAACTTATCGCTCCAAGTCCGCCCATTTCGCATGAACACTCTCCTCCAATCCGTCGGATTTAACGGCGCCTGATCCCACCTCCTCCCTCTCTCCCTCTTCGCGTTGACCTTCGCCCTCTTCCCTTCCGCAATTCCACTAGCAGCCGCGACTTTCCTTCCCCTCTCCGCACCAAAGTTACTGGGGATCGCTTGACTGAACTCCTTTGCACTGACCTCCAATAGCGCTTCCGTATCGGCTTTAATACGGTCTGCAAGCAGGCGGAGCGATGATTCGGCACAGTGCGAGGCAGCGCGGCGTTGCCAGTATTCTAGAAATCGGTAGCCGTGGCCGAGCATGCCGCACATGGCGCCTGCTGAATGCAGAAAATGACCGTTGCCGAAGGAGTCGCCTGCTACGATGCCGTTTGTGGCGACGCGTGCGTCGGTACCAATGCGCTCCACGAGGCTGAATGGTTTGGGGCCATATACCATGGCTACACGGCGAAGTTCGTCGGGTGAGATTTCGAGGACGAGAGAAGCTTGCGAGATGTAGTAGTCGTACAGCAAGAATTGATATGCTGCGAAGTACTCCGCGGAATCTTTACTGGTATCCGCCCTGACGAGGCCTCGTTCTACTGGACACAAAGACATGTGTTCAGGAACCTCGACAATAGTCCAAGCTACTCGCGGGTCGCCTTCGTGGCCAACCGTGATCTGTCGTACCCAAGACTCATTGCCATGTTGGTCAAACTCCGAAGCGATGCGGCGGCGTAATCGTCCGTCCACAAGAATGTTGAACTGCCCAGCAACGAAGTCTGCCTGTGCTACTTTGGCGCCTTGACCGTCGCCGTGGTCAACGTGAACATCGTGTTGTTGGAAGCCTAGTTGCTCCGCTTCACGGCAGTTGATACCTGTTGCAATGCTGAAGAGCTCTGGTACACCAAGGTCGATGAAGTCACTCCCCGGTGTGCGAATTCGCTGAAGATCGTTATGATATTGGACTTCAGTGACCTCTTCGACCCGGATTTGGACTCTACCGCAAGGAAGGTGGACCAGACCGCTTCCATCTTGTACCACACGGTGTTTGGTAAAAAGACGACATCTGGGCATCTTGCCGGCGTTGATATCAATCCTCTCGAGTGCCTCGAGGTAGCGACGAAGAAGCAGTTGGATCGAGAAAGCTGCGGCCTGAAAGGTTGAAGGGCCATCGAGGATCTCTCGCAAATCTGTCCGGATCTTGGTCGGACATGGATGTTCTGGAATATTTGGCGGCGGTACAGTGGTGACTGTGCGATGAGGCTTGCCATGTTTCCAACGGTCGTCGATGTATTCGATGTTATGAATCTCACCAACCATGTGTAATTCCTTCTCGTATCCCTCAATGATGGCTCCTGGTATGATATCTCGAGACTTGGTCATTGGATGGTAGAAAAGATCGGCCAAGCTTAGTAGCGATCCATCTAGTCTTTTCGGTAGGTTGTCTAGTCCGTACCGATCCATCATCATCTTGTCGATAAGCCCCAGCTGATGATACATATCTTGACGGATGTTCCAGTGCACCCCCAGAAACGGATCGCCGCGGAGGTCAACACCAACGGCGCGGCGGCCCATGGCTATGGTCCAGAGCATTGCCAGCATGTTCGTGCCTCCAAGGCCGATCGCGACGAAGTCGGCATCTTTGACTCCTGAAAGTGTGGTAGAGCGACTGCCGCCTGGGATCTTGACGTTCTGAGTCCGCTCTTGGGCCAGATACCTGGTCGTTGAGTAGATATTACTATTGCTGGAAGTCATGAGGGCTACTATGTAACTTCGAATGGAATTGAAGAACGGGCTCAAGTTGGGCACAGCGCTTCTTCAAAGAATGCGAAAAGCGACATCCCCGCCGGCCCATCGGTCGCGGAACGGGGCGTTTAGATTGCAGAGGTGACTTACCGTTATCGTACGTCTACCCCGTCAGGACCCTGGAAGGCTGCCATGCTGAGTCTAGGTTCCCCACAGTCGCTAACTCAAGACGAACTACCTTCAGTCGCATCTACCCATCGACTTGGCTGCGTGGGGCGGAAGGTCGTAACATAATGATTATTGGCGCAACGATGTTTTAATCCCAACAAGCGTGAATCCTTCTATGCGTGATGCTGCAAAGTTATGTGGCTCCTTCGGTGCGATGGGTCTTCCATGATGCCCCAGATCAAGATGGTGCTGCCATCCTATTTCGAGTCTGTGTAAGAGTAACTATTGCGATACGTTGTCGATATCTCGATACCAGCCTTCATGGACTAAGAACAGGTATCGTACCCAAAAACGGTAGCTGGGTTGCTGTACCGCTACGAACGTGCTCTCCTATTACACCCAAGCGGTCGGATTGGTAGCAGGGTGCGAAGGGTAAGCGGGGTATCATAAGCTACGTGCCATCAACAGAGGAAGCATTTCCGGGGCAGTCTTATTTCTTTCCTCGGATGCGGGCTATGTAGCGCGACGTGTTCACGGCCAACCCGCTCAAGACTGGCTTGAAGCAAGTGGGTACTCTGCTCAGGACCTGCGTGCCGTCTGGAGCGAAGCTTGAACACGAACGTATATGCGCAGTAAGCGGCATGCGCGGCAATCAATGCATCGTGAATATGGCAAGCTTACGGAGGCCTAGGCCGACTGGTCGCATCCCGTGTGGTGAGCATGAGCAGATGTTTGTAGCTGCGCTGCAATGGGAGTGGGTTCAAGAACGGCCGCTACATGTGGCTGCAGCAAGGCGTAAGTGGACGAAGGAATGAGGCTCATCGGAGACAGCGAATTGCGGAAGATGTGCAAGGCTTGGCAATACACGCACAGAACGCGCCATTAGCCGGCGCTAATGTCCGACACCAAGCGCGACTCCAGACTGCAGTCAACCCTTTGGTCTAAATATCTTCTTTCGCAGTCCATCTCAAATACGTGTTGTAATGCGCAACCGTGTACTCAGAACATCTTTCAAAACGTTTTGAACAACTGCAACTGCCATATTCGCGGCCGAGCGCGTTACGCCATTTCAGCACAATGACGCATATTTGTCCCAGACGCGCTTGCCTATCATCGTATGAACCGGCTGAAATACCTCAACCATGCCACTAGGTATCATAACAGCTTGCGAGGTCGTGCATAGTTGTGATCGCCGTAACCACGAACACCACCGTACTCCCATATCCGTCCTCGAATCGCCATGACCCATAGCTGGCCAGCCGCTTGCGATTCTCACAAGAACGAGGGAGCCTGGTACTCTGGAGGGTATTGGCAGAACGGATAGGAAGTGAGATGATCGGGACTTACGTCTGAATCGTCGTAAGCTGTCATGATTGACCTTAGCCTTCCGCACCCACCCTTGGCGATATTCAGAGGGAACTATGGCCAAGATCAAGCTCACTTACTACCCAGTGCTATAGATTTCCAATACCTCCAATCCTCGAAGAATCGCGATCATATCTCTAAACCTGTGCAGCAGCGCATCGCGTCCGCCGATCGACCCAAAGACTCATCTCTCCTTCGAGAACGTACGACTGTATCGCCATCATCTCAACTCCTTCACAAGCCCGCCATTTTCGTATCCACATTCCGAACAAATGGAGTCTTTCTAGATACAGCCTTGTCGCCGAACAAACGTTCAGGATTAAGGTCAGGCTCGACTCCTCGAGATATCACGGCCGACGACATAAAATACTGGTATAAGACAAAGGTTTATCTTGATCTACGAGCGCATGTGCACACGGCATCCATCTCCCGAAGCGACCACTAGCGTCAGGATCTGCTTTTCCTTCCCGACCGCGACAACAGGATCATCTTGCGGAACAGTCAAGAAAGGGAACTTTTGCACCAGTCTCGCCACGGTATATCCTGCTTCTAAGAGAGCGAACTCTTGGCCTAGACATACTCGTGGTCCTCCATTGAAGGGCAGATACCCGTAACCCACATCGCGCAACAACGTTCCATCTTCCCACCTCTCCGGGCGGAACTCGAGTGCATCTTCTCCGTAGATATCGGTGCGGCGATGCATAGCATACACGCAATAACCAACGGCCTCGCCCTTTCTTACTAATATTGGGGACTGCCCATCCGCGCCTCCTCCAACGGGAAGCGTTGTTGTCTTGAGTGCTGCGCGAGAATTTACCGGCACCGATGGGTAGAGGCGAAGTACTTCTTTCAGAACCAGATCGAGGTATCTCATCTTCTTCAGATCCACTCGAGTTGGCTGAGGCGCATTTTCTCCAAGGCCCACCACTTCATCGATCTCCTTACGTAGTCTCTCCAGAACCTGAGGATGTCGAGCTAGCAAGCGCAAAGTCCAGCTGAGGCAACATGCGGTCGTATCCCTGCCCGCCAGGAGAACGTTCAAGCACTGATCGCGGAGTTCTTTCTTGTTCCGGGTCTCTTGGATGAGCGCGTCAATGAACACGTAACTCTTCTTATCCTCGCCTTCTGTTTTCTCAGGCTCTGACTTGTCCGCATTATCCAGTGCGTCCTGAATTGCGTCGTCGACGAAGCGATGCGAAGTCTTGCAAGCCCGCCAGAACTCGGGAGTATTGGCAAGCCAGTACAAGTCTCCCAAGCGGCCACGATGTGATAAGTAGTCCTGGCCTAAGTTGAAAGCTGCTGCAAATTCTGATTCCTTGCCAGCGATATCGCTGCTTTGCAAAGAGCTTAGTGTCTTTCCAAAGAGAAGGAACGTCGTTGTATCGAAAGTCAAACGGAAGAACAGCGGCTGCAGATCCACGACGTTGTTGGGAGAAATTTGATCCGTGAGGCTCTCCACCGATTTCTTCATCTCCTCAAAATTCTGATAGCGGTTGGACGTAAACTGAGGCCGTAGAAGTGCCCGCGAATGCCTCCACGCTGCACCATCTTGGGTAAAGATACCACTTCCCATCAATGGAGCGAAATGCTTGGGTCGAAGTCCAAGGCTGAAGTCTACGGTAAGTGTCAGTGCATGTCGGCATCCGAGAGGGAAATGGACTACGAACCCTCAAACTGCGCAGAAAGAACCTCCTCAATGTTGCGCGGTTCTACTGTATTGATGCCACGAGCTCCAACTGTGACTCGTCAGTGCTAAAGTCTTCATTCTCCACCTAGACACTTACGCAATTGTTGCTCATGAGTTGGGCCACTGGATTCCACTACGTCCAAGAAGAACTGAAGGATAGTCTGCGCTCTTGCGTGTTGCCCAACCCTGAGAAGCAGATCTAAACCTTCCGGCCACTTCGCTGCCCATCTCCGTGGTGCTTTGCATCCCATTTGCGCTGCATATCGGTCTTCTTCCTACCCCATGTCAGCAATAGTACGACGAAATGACTCGGACGTGCGTACTCTACGCCTAACCTGGCGTTTCCAGATTTTGTAGCCTGCAAGGCTGAAAACGGCTAGAAGGAAGGCTATACTCTTGGACGCTGTTTTGTCTCCAACATCAACGTATGATATGTCCATGGCTGCAAATCCGTCGCCCGCTCAACGATAGCGATGTGTAGAGTTGCTTTGGGGCAGAGCGCGGTTGGTGTGAGACCGTCGAGACTAGGCTTCCGCTATTGCGAATCCGCCCCCAAATCGGAGGGGAAAGCAGTCTCAGCCCAGTTGTACTGCAGTGGTTCACCTTCCCTATCAGCGCATGAGACTGATCAAATGTAGCAGTGGCGGCCGTCACATGCGGGCGCTAAGCCTCGTAGCGCACCAATGACATGACGCTAGTCAAGCCATCGGTTGCGCCTTCGGTTACGGTTGGCTCGCAACGCGTCTTATGTCCGCTCTGCCTTGTGCAATGTCACACCCGCACCCTCTTACTGTTTGCCTGATGCCTCCCTCGACGGCTATCGGCTGAGCACGTCGTCATCCCAGATGGAGGCTCTTCTCCGCATGCATGCTTGCGACTCCAGCCACTTTGTTTGACCTTTTGTCAGCGAAAGAGAACCCCTGTTGCAGTCGACTGAGGTCATCGAGAAAGGCTATTGTGTTCTGCGTTATAAGACGGCTTCTCTGTTCAGTGCGACATTCTCGATCTGCTTTCTGACGATATCGCGTTTTATTGCGTGTCTCAACTATCTCCACGGCCTTCGCACGAACAATCCCGCCTAGCCTTGTCGCATGGCGACTGGTCTTGAGATAACCTTGAATCATGGCTGATCCTGTTTCGCTGGTGGCTGCGGGTGTAGGAATTGCTGATGTTGCATTTCGACTTGTCAAGTATCTCAAGGATATCAAAGCAGCAGCTAAGACCATTGACGAGGACATCGAAGGCTTAATCAATGAGGTCGAAGGTCTACAAAAGGTGCACGGTCACCTCGAGAAGGAGTATCTTAAGAGTGTCACCAACGTTGAGATGGGAGATGACGAAAGAAGCCTATGGACCAGCACTGGACAGACTCTCAAAAATGGACAGAAGCTTACAGAGAAGCTCGAGGCTTCGGTGAAATCCATATACGGCGACCATAGGCTGGCGACTGGCAGGTTCGATAGCTTTGACAAGTCGCGGAGGAAGAAAAGCAAAGACAGCATGATTTCTGGACTTAGAGACCAGATCAACACATACCAGGGGGCTTTGCAAATGCTGCTCGGCTTTATTTCCATGCAAGTTGATCTGCTAGTCAAGAAGCTACCGCTGACTCATATGCAGGCAGTCTGCTCGTCAAAACCATGAGGATCAAAATGCTCAGTTGGAGCAGTTGGTTGCCGATCTTCAAGACCTGAAGAATCGAATGGAGCAAGCCCAGCACTTATCGCTACCCCCATACGAGACCGTAGCCAACACAACGGCGTATCGCGACTTCAACATAGAATCGGTATCAGTTGTGAACCAGCTCGGTATTGCGATCAATAACATTGCACACAATCCAACATCCGATGCCTCGATGACGAACGAACATTTCGATATTCCCAAGCCCGTTGATCCATTCTATACTGGTCGTGAGGACTATGCAGAACGCTTGCGAAGCTGGTTTCTACCGAATCTTTCTCAGAAACAACAGGGTGCAAAGACCGCAAAGTCAGAGCAAAAGCGCTTCGTTGTATACGGCCTTGGAGGCGCAGGAAAGACCCAGTTCTGCTCCAAGTTTGCTGAAGACAATCGCCATTAGTCAGTATTTCATGGTACCAAGTCTATCTACTGCTGCTGACGGGTTACCTCTAGCTTCTGGGGAGTCTTTTGGGTAGACGGTAGTAGCCCATCGCGATTGAAACAAACTTTCTCCCAGAATGTATCAAAGATCGGAAAAGTGGACCTTAACGAGAATGCCGCGATTCATTGGTTATCAAACCTCAGCTTTCCTTGGCTTCTTATCATCGATAACGCCGACGACCCTGACCTCAAGCTTGCCAACTATTTTCCACGAGGGAACAGAGGTCACGTCCTCGTCACAACCCGTGATCCTGGGAAGAAGGCTTACGGTACTGCTGGTGAAAAATACTTCGAGTTCCAAGGACTGAGCACAAGCGACGCAAGCAGTCTACTTCTGAAAGCAGCCGGTCAGTCAGAACCATGGGACAGCGTCGTATCCAGTATTGCTTTATCCATTGCGAAGGCGCTTGGTTATCTTGCACTGGCAATCACGCATGCAGGTAGGGCTATACGCGAAGAGTATTGCAGGCTTAGCGAATATTTACACTACTACGAGCGCCAATGGGAACGAACGAGGCAAAACAGACTTCCAGTGAAAGACAAAGACGCAGCTGACGAGCTGAGCGTCTTCTCGACGTTTGAACTGAATCGAGAAGCCATCGAGAAGCGAGGAACTAGGGCATCTCGGGACGCCCTCCAGTTGCTTGACACGTTCGCATTTCTCCACAATCAAGACATTCGATACGACTTACTGAAACGAGCCGTCGAGAACGCCCAAGTCGAACACCAGAAGGAAATAGAAGACAAGATTAATGAACGTCAGTCTAAGGATGCTAAACCCACACGCGACTGGTCAACGTGGTGCAAAGAAACTGCTTTCCTGGTTCTCGCATATCTTTATCAAAACCGTAGTCCTCCGGTCCTTCCAGGTGTGGGTCTTCCCATCATTCGCTCCCCTGAGAATATTTCTGATACATCACAGATCATCTGAGATGGGCGACGCACAAGGGATTTCGATGAAGATCGGTTGCGCATAGCTTTACGGCAGCTGATTCAGTTCTCACTTATAATCAAAAGCCAAAATGGCGACAGCTACTCTATGCACCCTCTTGTGCACAAGTGGGCCCGCGAGCGACCTGGCATGAGTGTTGCGGCCCAAGCAGTTTGGTCTCAAGCCGCAGCAATGCTACTATCACATTGCATCCTCATTCCGCCGCTTGGTAACACAGAAGAAGAGGAAGACGTTCGGAAATACATCCTGCCTCATGTCGACCATGTACGCCAATGTCAGCAATCTATAGAGCAACGCATGAGAGACAAACGCATGGCAAGAATGAATCCATTGCCAGTTTTTGAAGGTGGTTTCGATAGGGATAAAGCTATCACATATGCCAAGTTCAGCTTGGTGTACATGCAGAATGGACGGTGGGAGGAGGCTAAGCGACTGCAGACTGCAGTCAAAGATTTCACGACTCAAATCCTTGGCCTGAAGCATCCTATTACTCGTCGTGTTACCCGTCTACTGGCCACAACCCTGTACAATCTCGGACAAAGTGAGGACTCGGCCAAACTAGAAAAAGAAGTCCTCGACGCATGTGTGCTATACCTAGGTGCCGATCACCGAGAGACACTGGTTGCCAAGTTCAACCTTGGCAAATCTGTCTTCTTACAAGGCAAATTTAGCCAGGCGAAACTTCTTCAAGAAGAGGCGGTCGAGGGTCTGACTAGGCTGATTGGACTTGACCAAGAAGACACCCTCGATGCAATCGACTGGCTTGGCCAGACGCTGCTCATGTTTTTTACCGAAGAACATGTGACTCGGGCCCGTCAACTCTTTATCACAGCATCGGAAGGCATGAAGAGGGTGCACGGAGATGAACACACACGCACCCTCGAAGCTCGTGAGCACCTTTGTAGTTCCGCCACCAAGACGGGGAACAAGCAACATTTGGACGAAGCGCATGATATGATGATCAAGATTCTAGAAACCCGGAAGGAAAAACTTGGCAAGGAGCACGCATACACATTGCTCGCGATGGTAAATCTCGCTCTTGTAAAATGCAAGATGGGCATGATCCATGAAGCTGAAGCACTCATCCAACACGGCCTACCTATCGCTGCCCGCAATCTAGGCGAAGGTCACATAGCTTATCTCTGGGGTCGTTATCATCTTGGCCGAATCTGGGTGCTTCAAGAAAGATGGGCCGAGGCAGAGACATACCTACTTGACGTCACTGAGCGACAGCGTTACACACTGCAAGGAAGAGGCGAGTTTCATCCTGATAGGATTGGCGGCCTGATAGAGCTAGCCACAGCCTACAACGCGCTCGGAAAAGATGAAGAATGCGAGAGAGTGACAGATGAAGCTTTGGCTGCGCTAGCAAAGATATCTACGACTGAGCATCCGGAGGCAAAAAAGTTGAAGGAGAACAGAGACACGTGGAGGCAACGGAGAAAAGATAGCATGGCAGTTTCACCGCGGATCGACAAACCACAAGGCATAGAGCAGCGCATTCAGATTGGTCATATCCACCGGTCATCGACATTGTAGTTATCCAACTACAAAACGAAGCTCGTCTCCGATATTTAGGTAGAGGATCATATGTCTGGATGCCGAGGTTTCTGTGGAGGAAGCTTCGAGGTGATCGTCAGTGTTGCTGCCATTCACTTTGTTTGACTGGGTGGTACCTAGCCGCCTTTGCAACCCTCTAGACTCCATCTTCGCCCGTCCATAATCAGGGCGCTGGTCCTAATTGATCGACAAACAGTTAACTACCGCTTGATGTGCATTAGAGTACAGCACGGTGGAGGCTAGAATGTCGGAAGAGGTAAATGTGTTACCGGCTGCGAATCGAGAAGAGCTTCGATACTGTGTTCGTAAGTCTTATCAAACCCTTTCTTGATAAGCGTGGTACGTGCCATGTTCTATCTTAGCATCCTCAGGGACCAAATATCCGCCTTTGCGCTGACAGAGTGGTGGTACAACGCCTATTGAGTGATTCGTAGGTCCGAGAAGCCTATGTTACCCCAATCCGTGCGTTCTTACAAGGTGTGTGTCTCTAGCCTGATCGTTATGACGGAGTCGTAGTCAGCAAAAAGAGGTTTCGGATAGGTCAAGTAGGGTACCTGGGCCGCATCAAGAGACACGTTCTCCAGCTCGATAGCAGAGTTTAGCCTCGCGCAATCACAGTGACGCGCGCGATAGGGAGAGTTGTCTCCGAAACACCGTCAAGTAAGTACAACAATCACCGCCTATAGTAAGGCTCTCAAGATTTTATGTCTCGTTGTACTTCCCGCATAACCAATTTGGTGATGCTAAAGAACGGTCGCGCTAAGTGGATATCCACAGACTAAAAAAAGACACAACGTACTTGAGCCGAGACCGAGACCGAGAAGCTTCCCACCAGGATTCAAGCTTACGACCCAGTAGCCTATTGGATGCCTGCGCTTCAAAGCTGCTTGTTGTTGTCCGTTTCGCATATCTGGTTTCGAGCGCATGCAGTAAATCGTCAGATATTCGTCCGTACGACTGTATTTATTTCGAACTGGCATGCCATTGTTGAGTTCATTGCAACCTTGCTGTTCAACTCACATCTTTCGCATACCATCTCGAGAATAAAGAAGATGTCTTATGATACTAAAGACAAAATCGCCACACTCGCAGTAGAGAAGTACGAGCAACTTTTTTCATCTATCTCGCAATCATAGTTTGTATTCGCTAACCTTATCTATTTCTAGTCCAGAATTGGCAGCTGTAAGAGTCTCGTCGGGATGCCAGTACGTTCCTTAACAACGACACAGTATAAGCATGAACATAACATCGATGGGCTAGAGAACCTCAACAACTTTCTCTCTAAATTGCCGCCTCCTGATCCCATGCTTGACCAGGGAGAAGTCGTTGATATCCCTCTCCGAGACGGCACAGCCTCGCAGATTCGCATCTTTCGCCCTAAAGTCGCATCAACACAGCCTAGACCTCTAATTGTGCTGATATATGGCGGAGGGTAAGTTCATTGCCTTCTTTCTACCACGTCGGTCAGTCAATAACCACCACAACCAGGTTCATCGTAGGTGACAACGCTCAGCTGAGCTCAGTATCTCGTGTCCTTGCGAACCTCTACTCAGCTGTAGCGGTAAACGTTTCCTATCGCCTGGCACCAACACATAAATTTCCCACAGCCGCCCACGATGCTTACGATAGCGTTCGATGGCTTTCTCAAAACGCCAACGCGCTCGGTGCCGACCTGTCTAAAGGGTTTATTCTACTGGGCGCTTCTGCAGGTGCCAATCTCGCAGCGGTCATTGCTCAGAAGTGGTTTTCCAGTAAATCCTCACCACCCATCACCGGCCTCTCTCTCGCTATACCATGGCTGCTGTCCGAGGAGATCGTGCCGCAGGCCTACAAGCACCTCTGGTTTTCTAGGGATCAAAACGAGAACGCCATGATCCTGAATAAGGGTACGATAGGTTATATGCTGGCTGCGTACCAGCCTGATGTGCATTCCGCGGACTTCTCTCCTTTTAATCACACTGCACCTCATAGCGGTATGCCACCAGTTTACATCCAGGTGTGCGGTGCCGATCCGTTGAGGGACGACGGGCTTGTCTACGAAAAGGTATTACGATATTTTGGAGTGAAGACGAAGCTAGATGTTTACCCCGGTGTTCCACATGGTTTTAGCGTTTTTAGGGAGATGGAGTTGGCGAAGAGGTCCTTCTCAGACCAGATATTGGCGATTGGATGGCTTCTGGGTGTTGAGAAGACTAGGGAAAACGTGGAGCGGTTGAATCAGAGAATCCAGATGCACCAATAAACCTGGTCGGTTACAATTTCACCACGATGTGTAGACTCATCCTTGCCCAGCATTGTGTGGTCCATTCGAAAGCAGTAGTAGGGAATTCAAGCAGCGACCTTTGACTTCTCATATCACCCTTTTGCAAAGAGAGTTTACAGCGTTTTACACCTGTATAAGATCTGTAGATCCAGCCATCCCCATCGAATTTCAATTACCCGTTGAAATCGAAATAGGTGTAGCTACCTTGATTGGAATGCAACAGCGCGATCTGGTATAACAATCTGGAATTAACAACATGCTTCACGTGCCTGCTCCACCACCCAAGGCCCTCAGGATGAAGGCACCCTCTTCGCTACTTTCTCCTCTGCCATCTGAATGATCTCGCTCAATGCTACCATCACATGTCCTTCATTTTGCCCCTCAACTACCAGATCTTCTAGCACCTTGAGATCTTGCTTGATAACCTTCCCTCCATGGTGAAACGCGTTGAACATATGATAGTGTAACGGCAAAGCACTATTTATTGGGCCCACGATCATCTTTACTGTCGCCCAAGACCCTATCAGCGAAGACAACAGCCATCCCATCAATCCGAACCGCGACAGGGTCAGTATCTCGCGCTGCGCCTGGAGCATGAGATTCCACAGGCCCTTATTGTTCCGGAAGTGCTCAAACGGTTGAAAGCCATCTATACCCCAACTGATCAAGTGCAATGTCCCCAAAAGTGTACCGGACGACCCAACGAAACCTGGCACGGTTTGGATGCGGAGCTTCTCGTGCTTGCTATACACTTCGCCTAGTGCTTTCGTAAGCTTTGCTTGCGAGTTGAAGACGATCAAGCCATAATTGCCACGAATGCACGAGTAAAGAATATCGGCTTGAGCTGCCAAGTTGACATCCGTGGATTCGGGTAGAGGAATGCTCTTTGTCGGTTGATGTGCGAGCATACTTCCCACCAGAGTAAGCCGCTCTCTCGGTATTCCCATTGTGCTCACGTAGTGATCTTCCATGTCAAGGCCGATGGCACTGTACGCAACAAACGTCGTTGGGTGATTGCGGATCAGTTCACCAACAGCCTTCAATGTTGATGCGCCACCTTCTGAGCGCGCTGTATATCCGTCCATTGTGTCCAAGATGCAGTAGAGGTCTTCGCCGGTAGCTTCGCTGGGCGACTCGATAACTCGATAGTTGTCGAAGATTCGCAATGCATTGTCTTTGTAATCGTAGAGCTTCTTTGGCGACTGGAAGACGGAAGTACGCCCAGGTCGTACCAGATAGGTTATCTCAGCGCCGAAAGAGAGATGATATCCTTGCGATAGGCCAACAGCGCCGCAGCCAATGATTAAGATCTTAGGTATACCCATTCTGAGATTGAAAGAGTATCGCGATGTATGTGTGTGCTGGAGAACGGAGCGGGCAGTGGGTCAGGCATATGTCTCGAGCCTGTGACTGTGATCGTGGTCTGTCCGCGTCGGAAAGAGCCACTAGAAATCTGTCTCCCTAGGTTTCGCACGTAAACGAAGGTGCGTAATATAAAGCCGTCTTGTATCGATGGACAGGTTCGTCCGTCTTTGTATGAACTTGGTGTTATCGGCGACATCCAGCACGGGAAGCGGCGACTCTTACGGACAAATTCGCACTCGTTCTCGCAGTCGCATTCTCCATCGGCCCATTCCCTTTCCAGTAACGGCGCGGCTTCGAGAACGAATTTCCCGGACAGCGGCTTTCAGCACATTGACCAATGTATAGGAAACCATGAAATGCGGGTAATTCTCAAACCGAGCGTGATGAGCCCTACGCTCATGATTCTGTGGAACGGGAGATACGACTAGAAGATACGATGGGCCTCATTTTTGCGTGGGTTTTTCGCTGAACGGCTGCTCAAGGTTGTGGAAACCTGTCTTGCCGGCTGTATTGACTTGTCGCGTCAGGTTGACGGATATCGCGGATTGACGCGCTTCTTACGCGCGTGACGTCATTCCACTCTTCTGACGCGAGGCGGTCCTCTCTGGCTAGCAGCGACACTTCTCACATTACTTCAATAACAGCGACATCTCAAATGACCCGCCTCATCCACGAAGCACACCATGCGCCATTCACAACATAATGTACTGCGTCTGAACACTCACGAACACGTCATGACATCCAGACCTGTAGTATGATGCGTCTGCATCGATCGTTGTAAGAAAGATGCTTCAAACGACGTGTCATACCTCGATGAACTTGGGACATGATGTGGACCAGAGTAGGTAACGCCTCCTATATCAGGGCAAAAAACGATAGGAGAGGGCAGGTAACGACGCATCACTCGTACCTGCTACTGCAACAGGTGGAAACCCATCAAATCGTCCGAGCAAAGTCGTGACCATGTCACTATAGGCCTGCACTGCTTCTTCCTCATCCGAAATTTTTCGAGATCTACCTACCTACGCTCTACCGCTATTCATATCATTCCTGTTGCTCACCTTGTCCAGTGAAATGCGATGCCGTCTTTGTCGAGCGATGGGTACTTTGTATGTCACCGATGGAGAGGGTTGGGCGGCACATACTTGTCTATCATGCTGAGAAGAACAGATGGGGCCACGCGACCTCAGCCATCACTCAAAACTACCAATGATGCTGCGACTTCATGGTAGCATCACACCTAAACTCGTCATTCCGATTCTGCTTGTGGGTGGTTGGGCCACTGCAATTACCTGCGTCTCAAAGCTTGTGTATGACCGTAAGTCGTTTGTTCATTCTTTCGATCTGTTTTTACCTGGACTGACATTACGCAGTCGGCACCGATCAAGTTTTCATTACCGTGCTAGGCTTCGTTGTGAGTCTAGCACTCAGCGTCCGCAGTTCCACCTCTATGGACCGATACTTTCGAGGCCGACAACTTTGGGGACGTCTTCGACTCGCATCGCATATACTGGCGCGTTTGATTCGGATACATGTGGAAGAGAGACATGGCTTCGATGCTGAACTGGGAAAGCAAGATCTGCTCGGCAAGGTCAGCTGCTTGAACTTGATCGTGGCTTTTGCTATCGCGTTGAAGCACAAATTGCGATTCGAGCCAGGAATACACTACGAGGATCTCAAGCACTTGGTTGACCATCTGGACACGTTCGCGCAAGGAGCAAATATGCCCGCGCTCGACCCTCCGAGCGCTTTCAGGCGGGCTTGCCAGCTCCTCGGCATACCGATGGCAACACCAAACCCACGCAGACACGTCAAGAAATCGGTCGTCCCTCTTGGAGACCTACCCCTCGAAATCCTATCTCACCTCTCCGCCTATATCAAAGTCCTATACGACACGGGTACACTGAGAGATTACAGCATTTATCAAAACCAGAGCCTCGACTCACTAACAATCATGGACGAGGTATCGTGCGGCACCGAGAGAATCTTGAACACACCCCTTCCGCTAGCATACTCCATCGCCATAGCTCAAGTCACCTGGTTATACATACTGTTGCTGCCTTTCCAGTGCTTCAATAGTTTAGGCTGGATCACCATTCCCGCATGCATAGTCGCAACGTACATCATCTTGGGTATCGCTTTCATCGGTCGTGAGATCGAGGATCCTTTCGGCCACGATGTCAACGACCTGCCACTCGATGCCTTCTGCCAGCAAATTCGTCAAGACCTCCATATCATCATGTCACGCGCTGCACCTATCGCCAATGACTTCATGGGCCGTAAAGAGAACATGCCATTATACCCACTTTCGAATCTGAGCACGCGAGCATGGGCAGACAAGTCGTCAGAGGAGATACACGTTGCTTTATCGCAAAGACTCGCCCTGCACTACCCCATGGTTGAGCATGGAGAAAGTCCAGCGCCGCCTGCGCAAGTCCATTTATGTGGCGTGGAACGTGGGACGGAGAAAGGTGCACCGGGACCGAATGAGACGACTGGCAACTACAGGAGAAAGTACGGAAGTGTATAGCTGTCTAACATCTAGGCACCAAAAACACTTACCTCTGTTCTGCTACTTACAGCTAATCTTCAAGCAATGATCCTGCTCTAACCGCGGTTTTCTCAGCCTCTCAACGGGCCCTTCTTCCATGCCTCACCCATACCACCCAGCCCTCCAATGTTCGTCAACAGCGTCTCCAGATTCCACGCCTCCCTCTCCTCTCCAATACCCAAGAATCCCAGGTCTGCCAATAGCCTATGCGTCTTCTTACCGTACATTTCCGCCTTCCCTTTCTCCCCCTTCTCCAACCATAGCATCGCCAACATGGCGTACTCGTCCGTCAACATAGGCCAAATCCCCTCTTCCTTGATCATCTCCACAGATTCTTCTGCCAGAGAGATCGCTTCTGTGAGTTTGTACTCTTGCGCTAGTTCTATGATCTTTTCCTCGGCTTGCGCGATCAAGGTGCGGCGGAGATCTGAAGCCTGTCGTTCTTGGGTAGGGAGGCTACATAGGTCGCATGTGCATTTGAAACCCCAGCGCTTTATTAGAGATTGGCGTTTCGGAGAGGGGAGGCCTAGGAGGAGGTCTAAGGCATATCAGTATGGCTAGTTGGGGGAGTTCGTGCGTATCTTACAGGATACGGTGATTTCCTCGCCAGGTTCGATATCGCGGTAGGCTTTTATGGCCATTGAGACGCCAGCGCGAGAGAAAAGAACGAAGGAATTTGGGTTGCAGGCATGGTTTATTCGCTGGTACGTTCAGTCTCATGATACTTTGTATACCTCACGTCGTGACTTACTGAAATAAGTGGATATAACGCCTTGGAGCTAACCTCAGCCACCGTACTTCCATAAGAATTTGTCTTCATAATATCTTCTTCCAATCTCCCTTCTGTGTCCTGTTCCTCGCCACCTTCATTGGCGTCGCCTCTGTTTCCGGCATGCGCAGCGCTCATATCTCGAATCATACCCGGCACGAGCAATTGATCCACTGCCCTCTTCAACAACTTCTTGTTCTCCACATCACTCAAAGCACTCTCTGCTTCTACGTCTACCACAACAGCTGCTTGGTCAATCATGAATGTCTCGTACATCTTAATCTTCCGAGTAGCTACTACGCCTTTCGCTTTCCCAGGTACGTCGACGATCTTCCATGGTTGGCGGCCAAGGTACAGACGTTCAGCTTCTTGCTGCGTTAAGAAACTATCGATTGGGTTGTCGTCGAGATATCTTGTTGCTAAGTGCGCGGAAGCCGGGGAGAAGACGAGGGAAAGGCCATGTGGGCCTGTTGTGTTGGATGTGTAGACGCAGTATTCCTGATCGAGTGTGGTAAGATACGAGCTGGTAATGCAGTATGGCTTGTGTGACCATGGCACATGGTGATGGGTTTCGCCTGAACCGAGGACATGTTGTAGATCTAGTTGCAGGAGGTCATTGATATCGAATACACCTACTGTTGCACTTGCAAGGCCAACCGTGGCTAACGCTGTAACGGCTGCTGAAGCTAGGAAACGCATTTTCATTACGTTGAGTCGCCAGTATGGAGATGTCGAAGAGTGTTCAATCAACGACACTCATGCGACAACATCACTATGAATGCAATCCGATTTCTCTTGGTTTTCGCTACCCTACAGCTCCAGAAGTGGCAGCATACGTCAGACACCTTTACCCGGAAATTTACCCCAGGCATCCCTTACGAACCCAAGAGCTTGGAACTTTGCACGGTACATCACGGCAGCCCACTCGCGAATAGAAATCATAGTCGCGTCGACATCCCTAGTGACGCGCATCTTAGAGGCTTGTCGCCTAGGAGTTTAGATGGGCCATTGGAGAACGCCGTGCCTCTCGTATCTAAATCTGACACAATGTTGGTGTCACTCATAGAGACACACTGTATGCTCTTTATCCAACAAGATAGCAAATTACATTCTTAAGATATTCAGTGCCTGTAATCAAGGTCTCCGAAGTCGCACCAGCTCTGCTCCATTTCCGTATGCGAATTCCGATCCTTGCACCCTATCACTACCTGAAACAACGCAAGCATCCAAGATAAATCCTGCGCCACGAGCAACGTCATTGCTAATAAGGTTAAACGTTAGTCCGCAAGTTTGTTCAAGTTCTCAAGAAGAATGCTTACCAGGAAGAGTCTTTGTTACCGTCGGTCGTCAATGCGGCCGTGTTGATCTGGCATTGCAGATAAACGTTCTTGCAGTTCGTCTTGCGGGCGACGGTGTTGATGCATGCAACAGCATCTGTGATCTGTCAAGTAGGGTGATGTCAGTGACTTTCCTCGCCTGGTATCTTGAGTGACTGATTCTTTTCACGTACCAGGCAATCTGTGTTCGCGGCCTCATAGCATGTAGCGCGCTTCTCGTACAAGCTACGACTGAACTTGGCTATATGTAGATCGGTAAAGGTAAGCTTCCATTCAGGCACGATGTATGGACCAGAAGGTGGACATACCTGATGGTGAAGAATTGAATTCTCCACTCTTGAAGGCAACGACGACCTCCTCGGGTGTCATGTTGTCACCATCTGGGTTCTCAAGAATGCCATCAACCCATTCGGAAAAGGAAGTAACTGCCTTGGCAGCAGCTACAGCCTGTCCGAGGGCTAGGAGAGAGGCGACGTAAGGGAGAAGTTGGACCATCGTGCTAATTCGATGCTACTTATAAAGGTGTATATCTGTAGATTTCTGTGAAGAGAGATGAAGATATCGAGCAATCATAGCTACCTACTTATACTATTAACTTGATTAGAGGAGCGCACGAATACAAGGACAAGCTTTTACTTAGTCCGCGCTTTGGGTCTTTTAATTGGTGGTTTACATGAGAAGCAATGAATTGTGGATCGACGGTACAGTAGTAAGGACTAAAGGCGGTATTGCTTCTCTTCTGAAGGCTTTGCAGTGGGTTTTGTGGGCGCCTTTGGTTGCCTTTGGATGCCTTTGGTTGCCTGATCGTCTCGATGAAGCTACCTCGCCGAGGTGGCTGAAATTCGGCCCGAGCCGCAAGGCGTCACCCGGCCGGGAATACGTACATACGTTCTTTTCAACTGAGTTATGTTACCCTTGGATGGTTTGATTTCTTCCAAACGCATCTGAATACACTGTGTTATGAGTTTCGATGTTCCGAGGTGTCTGGCGTCTGACCCTCGTCCAATCTCGGCCGGAAACTGTCAGGATGCAGGTTTATTCCCACGGCGCCGAGTAGCCGAAGAAGTTAGCCTAATTAACGATAGTCGACTGTGGAGCATAACAGTGCTCGTACATAACCAATCGATCGTGCTCGCGCGAACATCCAATCACTCAATTACTTGGGTAATGCCACTCCCGCTCGTGTGCAGCGTAGGTGCGAAGTCTTACCGCAGCGGCAGGACGTTGGCTGCTGACATGCATCCGGATTAATTTATTCTAGCACAACTTCAATGGCTCCTCTATCTTCGACCCCACTAAGTTCTGGTAGGAGATGTAGGGCCTCTTACTGACTGACGTAATGAAAAATGCTGCACAGCCGAGCTCTGGCTGCCTAACAACGGTGTACCGTTAGCTTACCTCTCGTTAGTTGCCGATTTGACACCCATAGTTTTTGACGGCGTTGGCGTCTACTCTTATAGATTCAAATCCTTCTGGATTGACACATACTGCATGAGCGTTGTCGCCCAGGTAGCGATGTCCTACCAAACTGAAGATTGGCGATGTTAGAAGCGTCGCACGCTGAGGTACTGAGCTGGCAGAATTACATCGCAAAGGTTGCTCGCTCAACCGTTCCCATTCGTATCCGGAAGGCACCAAAAACAGGTTAGACTGGAGGAACTGATCTTCGAGGATACTTCTGTAGATATGTCACCTCTCCCATGAATTCATACCGAGTCTATATGTCCTTTATGACTGTCTACGACTATGTGTAATAGGAACGATAGCAACAGAACCAACGTTAGTCTGCTTGACAATTCTGTTGTACAACGTTCTGTTCGAGAAACAGAATATGGATAGCTGGGCCTTCATCCCAGTCTCAAGCGCGATTTTGCGGTTCTCTAGTAGCAGTCCTGGATGGTGGACTTCCTGGCGTTTTCGCGGATTTCCTAGGTCGCCCACGGGGCCGCTTTGGTTCCGAATCATTCACCGTCTTCGGTTGATGACCACGGGTACGCTTGTTCTGGATCTGAACCTTACTCGACACTTTGGTCATCTTAGCTTTTTGCGGTGTTTTTGAATGGCGATTGAGAGCATTGTCTGATATCTTGAGTCTATTCCGCAAACGAGTTCTGGCAGCTTTGGCATTTCTGGCTTCTTTCCATGCTTCTTTGATCTCCAACCATTCCGGATCAGCTAGATCTGAAATGTCGTTTGTCTGATGCACTAGCGGATCGTGTTCCTCGGAATGTATGAGCCATCTTTCAAGATGTTTGATGACGAATTTGCGATGCTGGTTGGCAGCGAAATCATGGATTTGATCGACGAGACAGATGAGCTCATACGCCAGCATGAAGTCTGTGACATCGCCAGCCCATATAGTTTCCGCGTGCTGTACTCTTATTAGCTCGATGATATAGCAGAGCGAGATATCTTGGATATACTACTCACACATCCATCCAAGTAATACCATGCTATGTAGACTCTCCAGGATGACCCACAAGAGGTAAAGCCAAAGAGTTGGTAGTCCTCACTCTCTTTGCACTGATATCTTGTGACGTCCGAGGGGTCTCGAGCCAGGTCATCAAGCATGGCTAGGTAGACCTGGAAAGCATGGTAAACCTGATCCTCCGCTTGCTCCCAAGCAGATGCACATTTCTTTGCTTCGTATACAGCGAACGGAAATATAAGGTTTGATTCACCCCATAGCCCATCAACTATCAATCCGCATTGCCTGTTATGCATCTGAAGATCGATACGGGTATCTAGTAGAGATTTGTTGGGCTGCATGCTGTCGTGGTTAGCTGTACAACTATCCACTTCGCATACGTAACCATGCTTGAGATTTGAGGCATCATAGGTCCTCAGTCCTATTGTAGCATCAGGTATACGTCTTTTGAAAGACCATTTGTTATCTGCGTCTTCTTCGATAAACTCGTATGGTCGCTTGTCCCTGCAATGGAAGTCAGACCTTTCTGCTCCAAAAAATGGATGACAAGTGAGCCAAAGAATGGATACAACATTTCGAATGTGTCATCGTCCCTGATCAAGCTGAATACGTCGCGCCATGCATCTGCTTCCCATTTGGACTCTGAAGCCTCGAATACCCGATTTCGTACAGCTCGCGATTGCAACCTGTGTGCTCGCTTGTCCAGATCTGTAAGCTTCTCTTTGCTTAGTCGGGCTCGGTAGAGTTCACGATCAAGCTCGGGACAGAATTTGCCCATTACTTGTGCCAGCGGTCGAGATGTTGACCATGGTAAAAGTGGGCTGATGGATACGGTTTCGAACGGTTTTGGTATCAATGGTTTGGTGCGTTTACGCCTTGAGAGTGAAGTAATAGATAGTCAGCGATCGATTTAGACTATCCTCTCGAGAAACTAACTGTTCTAGTGCCATGACTTGGAAGACCTTGATCTCAATATGTTACTGGTGATTGTACAGTAGAAGATCAGAGACTCTTATACATGTGTTTACAAGGTGGTGAGCATTAGGCAACCGCCAACGCAAAATGCGAAGGCTTATCAGCCATGAAACTGCTTACCACAGACAAGATCATGCAACTCATCCAACGATTCTGGACGCGTCATACGTTGTAGTGTAAGAAGGCGCACGTGAAGGGATGCATTAAGGCACGTGAATAAATGTAGCATACATCGAATAGAATGCGCAAAATACTGAGACCAATTGGAGACGGACAGTAACACTTATTGTGAGCATGGGACACATCGATATAGATAGATGAAGAGAGGATGAGCGATATGCATGATCCTGTTGTCTCAGATTTGATCCTTCGTAATCACTTTCGTTCGCGTCAGCCAACTACCAGGAGTTTATCCAAGCACGTCATTCTACAATCAAGAACTCTAGAACCTGCGCGAAACATTGTTACTGACCACTCGCTGACAAGAGCATAATATTGTCAATATTAGTGCAGGATGGACGAAGCAAAGACATTTTGCCTAGTTGCATGCATCGAGAGTGTCAAGATCCCTGCTTTGGTCACTATAGCTTGCAGCAAGATCAGCTCGACCTTTTTTGCAGACGTAGTATTCATACCTCCCTCTCCCCATTAATACAGGAGGCGTACTTGATGCTGTACGCAAGATCTAGCTGAGTTTCGTACAAATTATGTAAAACATGGAGGCTAAAAAGCAAGCCAAATCTACCCACAGTGTGAAACACCTGATCTGCTGTAGTCCATCTGGTGACACACCTAGCACATAACGTGAAGGATGACGAGAAGAGAGCCGCCATGACTGTGGTGGTGGTATCCACGTCGAATGCGCGTAAGTAGTAAAAGAAGTAAACGATAGACGAGATCGCCGCACCGAAAACTACGATAAAATAGGTAAGATCCCAGATGAACCGATATGTTTCCGAATGAAGAGCCTTCCTGAAAGGCCCCAACATGCATCTAGGTACCAGGGGGGCAAAGATCGGCCGTATCACGGACATCTATGATGGTTGTAAGCAACAATACACGAGATATAAGCTGAGAGCTGACCTACCACTCCATCGTAGAGGAATTTCATGAACGACACAACTGCTAGCAAGTTTTGTTGGAATTTGTGGCGCTTGATCTCGGTCTGCAATCGTGCAAAGGCTCTCGCTCTACCCTCGCCATATATGAGCGGCATCTGCACCCCGAAGAAGCCTAGGAGACAATATGCCGCGTCCTCTTCGCGTTTTGTCCTCCTATGCATTGTCCAATCTGTCCTCTTCTCAACATTATAGTTGGCAGCATCGTTGCTGTCCTGTAAGACGTCGATAGGAATATGCGTTTGACGTGCGATATCCTCTAGAAAATTCGCTTTGTCCCCTAGTTCAGAACCATCTGCAGCGAAGAATACTAGTGTTTCCGGTGCGAGGAGCTCTTGGAAGGTCCAGCCGCGCGTAAACCATCTGCTCGACAAGAAAGTGTCTACGAGGATTTCTTGCCGTGTGATATCCAAGATGCGACAAGGAACGTCCGAGAGATAGACGTAGCATTTTGTTGAGCCCTTATACCACGCATACATTGAGTTGATAGCCTCAGAGAGTTCGGCGCTGCTACCCTTGTCGATGCAGCATGTATCAACCCAGAAGAACTTCAATCCATCTCTTGCTGCCTGCGCTGCGCAAAACCGCAGCTTTTCGTATCCAGGTTTTGCCTTGCCTTTACCCTTGCCCTTGTATATATCTTTGAATGTGACTTCTTCATGATCCGCACCCCAGGTGTGAGAAAGAATCGCATATGGCGGGATGTCATCAAAGTATTCGACGAGGCTGAAGTCGTTGTCGGATGTAGCCTGTAAGAGGCGCATATGAGCGCCTGTGTTGAGAGCTGTAAATAGTTATGATGCAGATAGTGCGACATGCGCACATGCTGGATTACTCTGGAAACAAATGGTACGCCATCAATTATAGGAGCCACTGGAATACGTCAGTACAGCGAGGCTGCACGAGATGCGCGAGGAGATCGTCTCATGTTAGCGCTCGCTTCAGCAGTTTGTCTTCGTGTCAGCCAACCATTGTCGTGTGGGCGCTTACCATACAAGGCGACCACTCGCTGTATCAATGAAACCCGTAGGACATCGGCAGATTATACCTCATTTACATGCGAAATGAAACAGCTAACGAAAAAAAGTGGTCGCTTATGGTAATTGGAGAACTTACCTCGGTATCACTATTGAGAAGAGTTTGCGATGGTTGCAACAAGCGAGGTATAGTCGAAGAACGTGACCTCGGTACACAAGATTGCATATATTGAGCTAAAGACATCAGATACGTGTCCTTGCTGGTCAATATTATGTCGAATGAATTGACATAGTTGTCTTGAGCTAGCATCGATGTTAGCGCTTAACTCCACGTCTTGCTGGTGTGTCGTTCAGCCTATGCATCACCAACACCAGCTATATGCGTTAAAGATCTAGCATTCCCATCAAACAACAGGCAAAAACTCTCTGACTTTTATCCTGGCATCCCTTTTGCCCAGGATAGTCGTGCTTCTTGGCTGTAAGGGTTCATCGCGTCGCGGCGACCCTCGAGAACAGCTTTCGGTATCCCTGTAACCTCAACGATACTTTGCAGGAGCGATACCCTATCACCAATGTATCGCTCTTCTGCAGTGAAGAACTGGACCGTATTGGGAGCGATGAGTTCCTGCAGTGTCCAATTGGGGGTGAACCACCCGCTACTCGGGAAATCCTAGGGGTCGTTCTTCACACCTTCGCTAATAATACCTGAGAGGTACAGATAGCATCATAGCTCAAGGTACTGAAGATGTGGGTCGCGTGAAGAAGATCGAACCTATGTGCAAACTAGAACATCAGATGAGGTGTAAGCTGCAGTCAGGTAAACGTGAGATTGACAAGGCAGCATTTTGAAGTGGGGTACGAGGCGGTGCAACAACAGTATGTGCGCAGAGCTCCATCCTTTGTGGCGGTGCGACTCAAATCTAGCGTACTTTCATTTTTGATTGCTACTTTTGAGCTAGATGTAGGCGTTATCATCCTATCCTAGGCGGGTTGTAGTCGTTCATCCTATGCATAATCAACATACAGCACTCCGCGCCTCAAAGCTTCGAGCTCATACCAGTATACGCAATGCACTCAATCTCGACCGGCACACCCTTGGGCAGCTGCTTGACAGCAACACAGCTGCGCGCAGGCTTGTGGGAGAAGTACTGCTCGTACATGCCGTTCATCTCGGCGAAGTTTGCCATGTCGTCGAGAAAGACGTTGACCTTGACAATCCTGTCCATGGCAACACCCGCTTCGGTGAGAATACCCTTGATGTTCTCACAGCACATCTTGGTCTTGTCCGCGATGCTGCCCTCGATCAAGTTGCCCTTGGTATCGGCGGGAATTTGACCTGACACGAAGACATTGGGGCCTGCAACAATGGCTTGTGTCTGTGGTGTGCCCGTTAGCACTATATATATCGAGATGTAGCGTGCTGGTACAGCTCATTGGAGCTTCGCAAGGAAAGAAGGAAAACATACGTAGGGTCCAGCAGCTACACCATCTGTTAGCAGAGCTTCTTCACAACGATTATATGTTCCAGAAAAGCTTACGAGGACACGCGTTCGCGGTGTGAACCTTCTTAATGTCCGACATCTTTCTGGTAGCTTCAATGGAGTATACTGGACGTGGTTGCCGTAGTATAGATGTCGTAGAAGTAATGGCAGGGGGAAAAGTTCTCAGAGCTCGCAATGTAGCTGTGCGTATCAGCAGCATGGGACAGTTTATCTACGTCAGGTAAACCAAGGCTATCGTCGGCGGAGGCGCACCTAGATGAGCGCGTCCGCCCTATCGCAGGGACACGAGGCGGGACCGGCATCGGAAGCTACCCCACTTTCCTCTTTGGTGGCTGCTGTGTCAGCACGATGCAGGGATGTTCTGTGGCATGGAGGGGTAAACAGCGGAAATTTTGGGCACTGCGAGTTTTGCGACGGAGAGCGGTGCGCATTCAGACGGGCGTGACCTCGGCGTGATGAACAAGAAGAACAGTCTAATATAGCCTTGGTACGCATCATAGTGACCAGTTGTCAGTGGAGGGATTTTGAACGTATTCATCATCAATCTTCGCAGCGCTTTCCCATCTCAGCGCGCATACATCGTGACTATACAAACCGCCAACGCCGCCCATATGCAATTCCCCAACCACCCATCTATATCATGTTTTTTTGTTTACGGCATCGAGTCGAGATTCATCCCAATGTTACAGATCTACTGCACCATCTTCTCCTCCTGCCCCGAAAGCAATGTGTGTACAGGCGCGTCGAGCTGATCGCGGCCCTTCAGGAAGTCCAGCTCGAGAATGAAAAGGTAGCCCATGATAGTTCCTCCTAGCTTCTTCACCAGAGAACCAGCTGCAGCTGCGGAGCCACCTACAATCTCGTTAGCAATTGTCCCACATTGGTCGCGCCGGATATGCGTAAGAAGGAAAAGTCCTCACCAGTTGCGATAATGTCATCAACAACGAGCACCTTCTGCCCGCTCTTGACAGCGTCCTCCTGCATCTGGAAAAAGTCGCTTCCATACTCCTTCTTGTACTCAGCCGTTTCACACGGACCAGGCAACTTGCCCCTCTTCCTGACGGGCACAAAACTCGCACCCAGCCTCAGCGCCAGACTGGGTCCGAACAGGAACCCACGCGCATCGAGTCCGACAACGACATCAGGCTTGGCACCCGAGGCGCCAAACTGCTGCTCAATGGACAATTCAAGACCGCGCAGCAGTCCCTCGTGCAATTGCGGGTTGGCAAAGATGGGCAGAATGTCCTCAAACAAGATGCCTGGCTCGGGGAAGTCTTTGAACTGGCGCAGCGAGGCCTTCAGCGTGCTTTTAAGACGGGTGAGTTCGGCGGCGGGGGAGGGATGGGGGGTGGACTGTCCTCCTTGGGCGGCGCCATGGTCGTTGGAGGAGAGGGTTGGATCGGGCTTTTGCGGGGGTGGGTGCGCGGCGGTTGCGTCGCCCTTGAGTGGGGGGTCGGCGGGCGTCGTCGTGTTGATGGGGTGTGTGGTGTGGGCGGGCGTGTCGTGGGGAGCGGACATGTTGGAGGGAGGGGGAGGGGGACGGCGTAAAGATATAAGACGGAGCGGACTGCAAGGTAAGATGATGGGATGGGTGACGCGATAGATAGGGCTAGGTAGGTTGCCGGGTTGGGGTAAGGCAAGGTGGTCAAGGCTGTCCTGGGTTGCGTTGGGCTGGCTATGGCTGGCTGCACTGCAATGCTGTCAGACTTCGGGGGGTGTGTGGTGCGTGCCTTGTTCGGGAGTTGGGACTTGCTTGGCCTACCCGAGACGCAAAAGAAAAAAATAGTTAGGGCCGTCTGGAAAACGGTCCGTAGGCGCAACACAAGTCCCTCTGGTCCCACCTCCTCCAAAACTCTGATAGGCGAGCACAAGAGCGGCCAGGGAAATCGGGGCGCCCCGCCCTTGTTCAGCCGCGAAGCAGAGAGACACGTTCGAACATGGTTGCCTATACACCACCACGCTTCTCGATGCGGCAGCTCCATAACCCTCCACAGCACAGAGCCATCCTATCGCACTCGCTGTACCACACCGTGTATGGCCTCATCCCTGACCCACAACTAAATCCGCGGCGCCAAATGTGTGCCAGAAAGTCCCTTATCGGAACCAAGGCATGCCGAACTGAACGTGCATTCTCACATGTCGACGTCACGGAAGGGAGCAGAATTTGTTGGGAAGCGCAGTATGACTCTTACCCAGCTGCTGTCTCTCTCTTTGCACTTTGCGACGCCATGGATCCCATGTGTTTGGTCGTCTATAGTAGTGTTGAATATCGCGTCTTCTAGCTTTGGAATCGCGATTCGCGCAATCTATTACACAAACACGACATGTCAACACCGCCATGGCCATAACTTGCTCGGCTCGCAAGCAAAGGCCAAAGCCAGCGCCGTCGTAGGCGTAGCGGCACTCTGCGTGCAGTACCCCACGGATGAAGTAACTGAAGGGCAACTAAGGCGTTGTGGCAGCGGTGAGACGTTCTAGAAGGTCGAGCGGGATGCAGGGCTTGTTTGTATCACGCTGGTATACGATCATGCAATCGCGATCATCTAGCTTGTCATGATAACAAGCCAGTCGCGACAACCAGTCCCAACGCTGCCTGAGCAGTCGTCAACGAAACAACTTATAGGGAGGGATATGTATGTGTGATGAATCTAGACTTTATCAAACGCCTGCGCAAGTTGGCAAAATATTCAGGTAAGCAGACACTTTACGCGTCCTCGCAGCGAACAAGCCATGCATCCCCACAATAAGCCGCGGCGTACATGCATACGAACTAATAGGGTGTTGCGTAGCGCCTTGTCTTCAGCTGTCATTCCATCAACCCCCGTCAGCTAAATGCATGACGCGATCCTGAGGCTCTTCGGTTTGGACCACGGCTAATATCAGCGTTTCGTGATACAATCCCTTAGTCACAACAAAGGACCATCTGAGGCAGCAGACGCGTGTCTCTCTCTCTCTCTCTCTCTCTTTTTGAGGAATCATGATATAACAACATTCCGATTGGATTCAATGTTGCTCTAGAAGCTTGAGAAAAGGTGGGTATATATATTGTTTGATATGCCGCTGCCGCTGCAACCGCGGAGGCTCCCGGTGATGGTCCAGACTAAAATGACCTCCGTACATGGCGTATCGTCTCTCCACTACATGTGTGCATGAACCAATAAAGCAAGACTTTTGCTCAACCCCAGACATGCATGTTGTTGACAATGCATTCCTCATCCGCATCTGTCCTCTTCTTCAGACTACCGACCACGTAGACCTTCTCGCCATACTCCTGTAGTCGGTCCATGGTCGTCCTGACGTTCTCCTGGCTGACAACAAGTACCATACCAAGACCTGTGTTGAAAGTCCTCGCAAGCTCCGAGTTCTCCAAGCGGCCCGCGCTCTTGAGCCATTTGAACACGTCCAAAAGCGGCCAGCTCTTTGCGTCGAGCTCGGCAGCCAGGGTCTTGGGCAACATGCGAGGAATGTTCTCCGTTAAGCCGCCACCCGTGATGTGGGCCATACCCTTGATGAGGCCCCGCTTGGTTGCAGCTAGTAGTGGTTTGACGTAGATCTTGGTGGGTGTCAGGAGCGCGGTCCCGAGGTTCTCACCTGAGCTCCACGGGCACGCATCTGAGTACGAGATGCCTTGTGTCTCGACGATTCTTCGGACGAGCGAAAATCCGTTGGAGTGGACTCCACTTGAGGCCATGCCGATGAGCACGTCACCCTCGGTCATGGACGCTGTGTCTGGTAGGATAGTCGCGCCTTGCTTGATGGCACCGATGGCTGCACCACCGGCGTCGTATTCGCCTGACTGGTAGATACCGGGCATCTCTGCCGTCTCTCCACCAACAAGCGCACATGCAGATTGCCGGCAGCCGTTGGCGACACCCTCGACAAACTTGGCAGCACCTTCCACATCTAGCTTGCTGCAAGCATAGTAGTCGAGGAACATCAGGGGCTCGGCGCCCTGTACAACGAGGTCGTTGACGTTCATGGCGACAAGGTCGATACCAACAGTGTCGTGCTTGCCCATTTCGAAGGCAATCTTGACCTTGGTACCAATACCGTCGATGGCGCCCACGAGTATCGGGGCCTCAGTGTAGCCGGCTGCTTGCAGGTCGAGCAAGCCGCCAAATCCACCGATGTTGCCATCGGCTCCGGGCCGTTTTGTGCTGGCAGTCAGTGCCTTGATCTGCTTGACGAGCTGGTTGCCCGCGTCGATGCTAACACCTGATGATGCGTACGTCAAGGCCTCGCCCACTGGCTGTGAGGTGCTCGAAGGGCGTGTCACGGTGGTGCCTTCCTGGGCCGGCTCAAGCAGCTTCCAGTCGCATGTTATGCCCTCCTTCTTGAACTCGTGTAATAGATGCTCTGCAATCTGGTCGAAGTTTTCGGTCGCGAGGGCGAGTATGGTGGGGCCAGCTCCTGAGAGACAAATGCCCAGAAGGCCAGGGTGTGATTGTGGGGTAACGGACTGGAGGATCTCGGTAAGACCGGGGATGAGGCCGCGACGGTAGGGTTGGTGGAGCTTGTCTTGCATGGCTGTGTAGATCATGTCGGGGTCTGGTGTGGCTTGACCGAGGGCAGTGGTCAAGACAGCCAGTCGCTGCATGTTGAAGATGGCATCTTTGCGTGAGTACGACTCTGGCAATACCGCGCGCGCCTTGGCCGTGGAAACTTCAAACTGTGGTATTATGCATATGCACTTGATGGCGGGCGACCAGTCAAACTTGGTGTAGTGACCAATGTTGAGCGGAGGCTCGGGTGGGCGCAGACCCGTGTCTACGCCACCGGCGGGTTGTGGCAGGACTTCACTGAGGGGGATCTCCAGGCGCTCAGTGTCTTCGGGCGATAGTTCGTTGAGGTATGTGCCAACAAATCCTCCGTACAAAGCCGCTGCGACGTTGTCTGGGTGGCGCTCTTCCATCAGGCAGTAGTCGAGCATGCGCGCTCGCGACAGCTGGAGGTTGCCGACCTCATTCGCCAGGTATACGCCTCCTACAATAGCCGCGGCTGAGGAGCCCAGTCCCCGTCCGAGTGGTATCGGGTTCTTGACGTGAACGTGTGTCTCGGAAGGGAAGTCGCGAATGCCATGGCATCGAAGCACGTATACGGCCGTTCGTGTGATGAGGTTGTCTTGCGCAACCAGAGGGACGTCGTCGGCGCCAACGCCTTCATAAGTTATCTTGCAGTTGAGTGAGTGTTCTGATTTCTCCTTCTTGGTGACTGTGACGTCTAGTTCAAGGTAGAGGTTCAGCGCCAGGCCGATGACGTCGAAGCCGGGGCCAATGTTGGCAGACGAGCAGGGTACTTTGATGTGAGTAGTCATTTTGGGCTAAAGAGCGCCTGAGACTTGACGTGATGCCTTCTTTATGTCGACGCGCAAAAAAACGTCTAGTCAGCGCATGGGTGACGAAAAAGATAGCGTGGGGCTCAAACTCCGGCTCCGGTCGCGGGGTAGCAAAATGCACCGCCACACCAAGCCATGCTCCATCAGCCTCACCAGTCGGATCCGCGTCCAACAACGCGACCATTCCATCACTACCCCCGTCCTATCTCATCTTATCTCGTCCATGTGCATGGCTCCCCACCCGCACCACGATATTGACTATGATGAGGACAAAACATCGCAAAAACTTCTTGGCATCGCTCAAGGCAGTACATCTTGAGTAAAACCATGTAACTCGTTTCTGCGCACTTGTGGCGTCTATGCAATCCAGCAATTCAGCAACGCCACTGCTGACGCATGTGTGACCTGACGACATTGACAGCGCACCGCGCACTCCAGTACTCACATTAGGCGTGAAGACATACCTAGAGGCCGCCCATAAGAGATCAACAGCGTGATTTTCAGCCCTTGAGCAGAATAACCGCTACCAGATCTACAACAGGCAGACGTTCCACGTGTAGCCTTGCGAGGTACTTATTTCTCTCAAAGCCTCACTTATCTTACCCTCTTCTTGCACGGTCAATCCTCCAGCTGGAGAATCGACGTGAATTGTTTTTTCTTCATCAAGACTAAGATTGTTCCTACCACTCGCCACACCAAAGCCTCAGCCCGCATCTATAGAGCTCACCTTTCAGCTTCTCTCACTTGACACTATCGCCCGACCGATTCTTTGTCCATTGCCCTCTAAAGTCAGCACTCGTACCGACTAAACGTCGACAAGACTCCACCACACATATCCAGGCTATCCGATTGAGCTTGTCAGAAACCGACTTGATCATGTGCGACTCACCCACCGAAGAACAAATGAGCATACAACAACTGGAATTCTTGCGTGAGATCATGGCCAAGGAAGCGCGCGAAAGACTCAATCGCAAGCCTCGATCGCCGTCTGTTTCGTCCTCATCAGAAGAAGACAAGCCCATCACTAATGGCAAGTCAAAGGCCGAGACTAATGGCGTCAAACATGTACTCGTCAATGGCAAAAGCCGAAAGCAGGCTGAGAATGGCGTTGCCGATGGCAAGAACGCTGAAGAGAACGACAAGAAGAACGAGGAGCCCTGCGAGCCGGGAATGAAGAGCGGTCTCAAGCATCTTTACTCCGGCAAGGAAGACAAGAAAGGCCGCTTCCAGTGGCAGGAGGAAATTCCAGAAGATATCGGCGATCCCGTCGAGAACGATGAGACTGCCAAGTGGGCGCTGCTTGTGCGAAACGTTAAAGTCTATGGAGACCCCCGACGAGTCTTGTCCATCCACTCCGTTGTAGTCCAGAGCCCTCTACTCAAGAAGCTACTTGCTGGCGTACTCAAGAACTACCCGGGTGTCACAGTGGGTCTCAATCGTCTCGAGTTTCAGGGCAAGTTCGAGCCACTCATCCATCGATGGGCTGAGTTGCAGGACGCTATCGCAAAGCTTGGCGATGACACGGAAGACAAGCGTACAACCAAATCACACGCTGAGTTGCTTCAAGAAATCCTTACCAAAGAGTTCAAAACCATGATCGACACTTCTCAGGATATGAAGAGCAAGAAGGTCATGACTTACGAGCACTTGTGGACTTTATTCCAGCCAGGTGCGACAGTCTTTGCTCGGCAGGACGGACAAGAAACCGCCATGACACTTGTCGAGACAAAATACGGAGTGGACTGTAAAGGCGTGCCCTGCTTCTGGCTGACATGCAAATACGTCGATTGGGATGGCGCCAAGTTCGGTTCTAATAAGATCAATCTCTCCATTTCCGTCTATACCGGTACACGCGCCATCACATCTTTGCGTGTCTACCCCATCGAGTTCCATCCAGAGGGTGAAGCCATTCGCGCTCGGCTCATTGAACGTGGTGGTAAGGCAGAAACCCTCGCTGGTCCAAACTATCGGGCATACCAGGGTATCGCGTGGAGGCAGGGTGGTTTCGGAAACAAGGACAAGTACAATGTGAAAGGTCGCATCGTAATCGACACATACGGCTGGAACCGCTTTAATCCCACCCAAGCGATCTATGTCACGCCACTAAACCAGAAGGATCCCACCCCACCACCACCTCCAGGCCAGTACGATGAGGGTGAAGAGGAAGAGTGCCAGGAGTTTGAAGACGAAGACGACAGCGGTATGCCAATCGATGGCGCGTTTGCGGATGAAGACGACGCAGCCAAACATCCGCCATTGACTACCGAGCAAAAGCTCATCTGCTCGCCTCTTCTCCGTGGTTACAGCTTGAAGAACAAGCTTTGGCTGAACTTCTTCGTCAATTGCGTCAAGGACATCGAGTGGCAAACTGACGCCTTCGACCGCCTCGTTCTACCCAAGAACCAGAAAGAGCTGATCCTAGGCTTCACGGAATCCCAACGCAAATTCCGTGACACCTTCGACGACGTAATCGAAGGAAAAGGAAAAGGCATGATCATCCTGCTCTGCGGTCCTCCAGGCGTCGGCAAGACTCTCACCTCTGAGTCCGTAGCCGAGGAAATGAAGGTTCCCCTATACATGATGAGCGCCGGCGACCTCGGTTTCGACCCCCGCAAAGTGGAGACCAAACTCCAAAACATCCTCGAAATGTGCAGCCGCTGGAATGCCGTTCTCCTCCTCGACGAAGCCGACGTCTTCCTCGAGCAACGTTCTTTGCACGAACTCGAGCGTAACAAACTCGTCTCCATCTTCCTGCGCGTACTAGAATACTACGAAGGTACCATGTTCCTCACAACCAACCGTGTGCAAACTTTCGATCCAGCATTCCAATCCCGCATCCACATCTCGCTCGACTACCCCGGTCTCACCATCGACTCGCGCAAGACGGTGTGGAAGAACTTTTTGGATTCGAGTTCCCAAGAACATACTATTGATAAGGCGCAGCTTGCGGAGTTGGCGAGGATGGACTTGAATGGACGCCAGATTAAGAATATTCTCAAGATTGCTAGGTTGTTGGCGAGTAGGAAGGAGGAGAAGTTGAGCCGGGACCACATCACAGTCACGATGGATGTTACGCAGCATCTGCATAACGAGACACAGGCCAGTGAGCGGACGAAAGGGACTTTGTATGGGTAAACTGGCTACAGGCTAAGAGACTAGGCTATCATTTCGGAACTATTCATGGAGTTTATGAGAGGGTTAGGATAACCTTTTTGGATGCGGCTTGATAGTTTTACAGAGGCCGTTTAATCATTGGCGTTAAGAGACATGGCGTTTTACATACGTAGGAGATGAAAATACTCATAAAAGCACTTGAATGAGTATTGGCACTCTAATCTACCATTTTTGTAATGTCCCCTCTGCTTCGAAGGCAAGACCGATACTAAGAACTAGTCTTCCAACGGTCACCAACCCAATCATATGCATCTCTCAAGGATTTCTCCTCCGTCTCGTCAAGCCAGTAATCAAACCCGTGCCCAACGTTATCGGAATTATACTCATTATTGATGGAGCCATCCAAATTTCCACTCCTTCTCACCGCCAGCTCCTTCACAATATCGAATCGCAGATTCTTGTCGTTCATGTATCGTTCCGGATACTTCGTTTTCAATACTCTCACAAACTCCTTAGTGTCTTTAATAGGGCAGTTCGGGTCATTCCATCCATGGAATATATACATGGGTGGAAGACGTTCATGCGATACACTACTTCGAGTATTACTCGCCCGCTCAATACCATCCATATAGTCTGTTTCGTCCCTTTTAGCTTTGGGGAAGTCGTGCTGGCGCTGAAAGTACCATTGCCATTTCTCTGTAACGGAGAGAATGAATGCGAAAGCCATGCCCTTCGAAGGCCAGCGCGACGAGCAAGTTGGTACGAGACTGTGGCTTTCGAGCCACTTGATACGTTCTGCAATGTCGGCTTCGCGCTTCAAGACCTCCTCCTTGGTGAACCAAAGGCCCATGTAATTCATCTTTCCGTTCGTCTTATCCGCGCATTTGTCCCATTTTCGTTTGTAATGCGCAATCATTGGGTATCGAAGGAGCGCAACGTCGATGGGCAAATTTGGCCCACCCTTTGTAGCGTTCAGCCACAATGCGGTAACGGCTGCTTGACCACCAGCGCTCTCGCCCTCGACATATACGTGGTTCTTGTCGACAGTAAAATTCTGCACAGGCTTCTGCTTATAAAGCCATTCTGTCCACTTCGTGAAGTCAGACTCGAAGCAGCCATCTTCCCTGTACCAGACAAGAAAGTCCCTTAAACAGTCCACGATGTCTTTGTAGTTGCCTTCAGGTCCTAAGGGATAGTCCGGCGCGATAATGATAGCCTTTTTCGCTTTAGCCCTCTTGATGGCCGTTTGAGAATACCAAGCGGGAAAGTCGCCAGAGCCTGTGCACTATCACTCTATCAGCAGATGTGTATGCGCCTTGTTCTGAGCGACACTTACATAGCCACCACCATGGAAGAACCACATAACCGGAGCTTTATGTCCGACCGGCAGATCTTTTGGGACAAGGATTGTCACTGGTATCCTTTCCTTATCCCAATTGTCAGAGAAGGTATAGTCAGTCTGATATTTAGAGAAGCCCATGTCATCAAACCAAGTATCCTTCCGGTTGAACGTAGCGAAGACCCCCTTGCCCGGCAAGAAGATCTTTCCGTCCGTAAGTTCGCGACTTGGCCAAGTATAGAGCCCAGCCAGCTCCTTTTCGAGCATCTCCTGATAATTGGCGGCATCCTCCTGTGCATCCTCCACGATCTTTGCGGCCTTGGGTGCTTCCTTGTGCCAGTTCCATTTATAAGGTCTTAGGTCAGTTCCAGATGTCTTGTTGAGTTTTCCGAATATCTTGTCGAGTTCCTTCTCACGATCTTCGTTACGCTCTTGGAGCTTTACAAGAGCCTCCATCTTTTTGGGTGTCCATGGTGGCGTCCAAGTCATGATATATGTGGAACAAGCTGTCGGTAGAGACCTGGTTTGATAGTTCCCCACGCAAATAGGGGTTATGTAGCGTTGAATTGTTCTCAGTACGTTCACAGTGTTGTGTTAGATAGCGAGCTTAGAGCAAACGCAACTTCTACTTTTATACTCCCAATTGACTCACGTATCCTTTCAGTCACCTCCAAGGGGTTAGGGTCAACGCGATGTGCCAACAGTCATGTTTCACTCCAGCCTCGAGATACGAAGTCATAGTGATATGCCATGTCCGCAGGCTGCCTATCCGTGGCTGGTGCTATGTGACTCCGCACAACGGGGAGCCGTGTACCATGACTCTATCCCCTTAGGTACCGTCATCATGGTTCCTCGTGTGTTATACCGCGTACGATGTGCCGTACTTGACATGTCACTTCCCGTGCTTTCCGACATCTTGGTATGTGCTCGCGGCATGCGATGATGCGGTGATCGCAGTCGGAAATGCTCCGATATCGCTTCCAAGGCTTTGTTTCTTTGTTGGTCGTTACGAGTGACAAGGCATTGTCATATGAATCTCCGGACAGGGCTCGAGCTTAGGCCAATGCCTCCGGGTTGAGTTATTGTGGCCTCCCAGGGTGATGACGGGTGCAGCGTGATGGAAGCTCTTCTGAGAGATTTGCAATGAAGAAAAGATCCGTGGTCAGGCCTGTCAATATTCACCGCTTGACTGCTCTGCATCTCTCATCTGAAGATCATCTTCCCTTCTCCTCGGTACCTGTATCGCATACTGTTGACGTGCACAAGATACCTAGTACATGTATCCACTTAGCTGTCGATTTGGGGAGTGTAGTGATTGTGGTAGGACGTGGCTTGAGGTGAGAAGATGTGAGGCCGTTCTTCCCGCACTAGCCGCTGTGAGACGAGTGGACGTGGCCAATGCTGTAGCTATCCATATGTGGAGACCCCGCATTCCTTTGAAATAAGCGGGAAACGCCCATACTTGGCGCTTAGAAATGCTTCGAAACGAGAGGAAAGCTACGTCACTAGATGATGAGCATTGGTGGATGATACATCTTACTCCATCTTACCCACGGGTAACCGGAACCCAACAACTGGAGTTCTACTGTTAAACGGATGCGTTATTGGAGGTTTCATCACATAGAGGTGTAGCATCAATGGAATCAAAGCTACCAGACATCAAAAGATTCATGATAAGCAGGAAACCTTGAGACAGGGTATTCATTAATTACTCAACGAGCGTCGTGCACTATCTGCGCTCAATAAACCCACTACTCGATTCTATATTCCGTAAAAAGGAATCATCACTCTCTCCGGTGGTATCATAATCCGCTTATGCAGTAGGAATTGCACCAGCACCGTAACCCTTCTCGATAATTGGGGGTGGCTTGGGCACGTTCCGACGAAGAAGCGTGTGGTTGATAAAATAGGGAACCGACTCCGTAATCTCGTAATGAAGGAACGTCTTGGTCGGCACGCTGAAGACCTGGTCCAGTTCTTCCAGCGTGAGCTGCTTGGTTTCGCGGACGAAACAGAAGATCATGACCCAGGCGATAAGGTTAAGACCAGCGTAGAATCCAAAAGCACCAGTCTGTGACATGACTGATACCATGCGAGGGAAGGTGAGCGATAGGACACCAGCGAAGGTGTTGTTGATGCAGACGGCCCAGGCCATTCCCTGCTCACGCTGTATGGTAGGGAAGACCTCGGCGGAGTACTGGAACGCGACTGGCCCTTCTCCCAGGGAGTACGCGATCGTGAACAGATAGATGAATAATACGACGGGCCCAACACGAGCAGCTTGGCTAACAGATTCTGGTTGGAGCAGGGTCAAACCGGCAGCCAACAAGAAGATGCACATGACGGGGAAAGTCTGTTATGTAGTCAGTACAAGATGAGTGCTAAGAGAGGTTGGAGAGAACTTGCCCACATGCAAAGAGTCCTTCGACCCTTTGTATCAATGAGGAAGAGAGTAGGAATTGTGAAAACAACTTGAACAGCTCCGTAACCGAGCGAAGCGTACAAAGCTTGGTCGGAGGTGTAACCGGCGTCAGAGAAGATGGTAGAACTATAGAAAGAGATGATGTTGATACCGCACATCTGCTGGGCAATCATGACAGTGGAAGCAGCGTAGTTGGAACGCCTGATTCTGGGCACACGGAAACAGTCCCACATGCGGTCGAAGTAGCCAGCTCCACGTGCAACGGCTAGCTCAGTTTCGTAAATGACGTATGAGTAGTAGTAGTCGCGGGCGGCAATGATGGGGTGGGCACGGAGTTTAGCCATGGATTGATAGCCCTTGGCGACCTTGCCATGCTTCATCAACCAACGAGGGGATTCTGGGCAAAAGAAGATGCCGACCATGAGGATAAAAGACGGGATGAAGGCCGAACCAAGCTGCAGACGCCACGAAATTCTACCAGTGTCTTTGACGATAACATTGGCACAGAAACCGAGGAAGATACCTGGGCGTAGAGGTTAGTCACAGGTCAACAAATTCAAGCATTGCGAAAACTTACCAATGACGACCCACAACTGCCAGAACATGACCAGGGCACCTCGAACACGGTGAGGAGCCATCTCAGCAGAATAAATTGGGACAGTAGCATTCTTTGCGCCAATTCCAATACCCATGATGAAGCGTGCAGCGAATAGTCCTTCCCATGACTGCGCACACGCAGAACCAATGGGAGTAGCAGTAAGGCAGACAGCAGTGACAAAAATCTCTCCACGGCGACCAAGGTACTTGTTGAGAGGGTCGACAATGAAAGCGCCGATGAGACCAGCAGTCAAGAAGATGATGGAGTTGATAAGACCAACAATCCATTCACTCCTGTCGCCTTCAGTAAGACCAAATTCTTCGGGGAAGGACAGGTTGGCTCCGTTGGATCCAGTCTGGTCCCAACCTTGAGTGGCGGCTCCAATGGCACACAGGCCAATCGAGTACCACAACATCTTGGGGCCGTGCCATTTGTGGTCGCGCTCGTAGATGAGAGCATCACGCTCGTCTTGAGTGAGGTCGGTGAGCATCTCGAAGCGGTCAGGGTCGCGCGCAATGAGAGCAGCCTTTCCGAAGAGAGTAGAGTGCTCCTCCATGCCATGTGTGGCAGCCCATCGCTCAGCAGCGCTGACACATTCGGCCTTGGTCTGACGCGTCAGAGGGTTCTCAACGATGTTGTGCGCGACGGATTCGCGACGGGCGCCAGCATCAGCGATGTGCTCGGTGGCAGGCTCGTACTTTTCGTTGATCTGCTTCTCGGCGGCTGGGTCGTAAACAGCTTCCTTGTCGGCAGTGTAGGCCACTTCCTTGTCGGGAATGTGGCTCACGCCGTTGTCTTTGCCGTCCATGTTGGAGATTGATTTGCGCAGGCTCCCAAGGTGAGTAAAACCAGTCGCGATGAAGCGCGGAGAGCAGTGGAGGTGGGAAAGAAATGGCGGGGGAGATGAGCAGGCGGTCTTATACCTGGGGGAGCTCTCAGTGAAGGGGAGGCCTAAAAGTGGAGCCTCAACGGCGCACGACAGCTGTAAGAGGCTGCAACAGGTACCCTGGATTGATCCAGATACATTTTTACTGGCACGACCGTCGCCACGGTGAAGGACCCCGGGATCCTGGTTTGTGTCCGCCAACAAGACGCAGTGTTGCGGGAGGGGTACTATGGCGCTAGGTCTATCGTTCATGAGGATCCCCACCACATCTCCCCATGGAGTAAGCCTCCACAAGATTCATGCGGCTATCTTAGCCACGCTTAAGCCCTGGCACTTGGCCTTCACCCCAAAGCTTCGCGCATGCCGACGTCTATGACCTCACCCTCCGCATTCTCGACCATGTCTGATTGCCCATCTGGCGGCTAGTTCAAGCCACCACGTTACATTGCTCGGCTGACTTCCGAGCAACCGTCATGCTCAAGTTCTTTGTCGCCATGCTGTTGGATTGCAAAGGGCGCCGTAAGCTCACCCTTACAGCGTTTCCGGTGATATCTTGCGTCGGACGCTGCACGAGGCGGAATCCTGGTCACGGTAGCGCCCCGTACTCGTCGTGTACCCGTGATCAGTACAAAGCTTCACATGCTGCATGTGCTTGGTGCAATCTTGGTGTGCGGCTTGCCAGGCTGACGCTGCCCAGCTCCGATCGGCGTTAGAGTTGCCTTGCCGGTCAGCCGTCTGCAGTCCCGGCACATACTGGCGCGACCACCGAGGCAGGGAGCAAGGCGCCATCATAATGCCGCCAAAGGTCCTTTACCGTCGTTTCAACCTCACGGATATCAGCCCATCCAGACTTTGCTAAGAATCACAATTCCGTTCCATGAGGAGAGGCTTACAACATGTTTAGCATTCTTCAAATGGATCGCGAACTCGATCCCATTCCCATCCAGTCAGCGAAGGACGTCCGCGGCAAGCCTTGACGAGGCCAACGAACTCGATAGCGTACGCGCGGCGACGTCTTGGGCACCTTGACTTTACTTGTCCCAACAACCCAAGCCCTCGTCAAAGCTTGGAACAAATTTGAGCCCGGCCCAACTGTCAGAATTGTGGGCTCAGGTCTCATTCGCAGCGACCCGTTTTGGTGGAGACATCTCCAAAATTTTCTCCAGGTCAAACTCCAGGAATACAGTGGGCTGCGAGTCATGGACAGCGGAGAGAAACAGCTCACGTGCTTGTCACGCAACATCGCAACTCGTATCGAAATCCGCACGCGCAAACCAAGAGGAGACGGAATGCGCGGCCTATAAGCATTTCGATCCTTTGCAGGCAACCTATCGGTGAAAAATGATCGCGCGCAATGTAGGCGACTGTGAGCCGCGACACACGGCACGCTGCCGCATATCGAGAACTCGTTTTACAGTCCTTTGGCTAGCGCATAGCATCGCACATATTGTTGTATCGCTAGTCTGTCCAGCGCCTGCCAAACATCCGCGGACAACACAAGCGCGATACGTGCATGGTGTCTCGAACACATGAGGCTCATTTGGAGTGGGCCCCCGGGACGATTCCAGCGCCAGCGCTAGACATCGTGCGATACCCCACAACATGGAGCCGTAGACTACGACAACCTCCGGGATACCTAGAACGGAACACTAATCATCTGCGCGATAGTAATTGCAGCCGGCAGCATTGTCGAACTTTATCCCGATCACCTAACTCTCCGATATACCTCTGGCCTGTAGAGTTCGAGAGGACTGTTTCCGATATCTAGGTCGTTCCCGCTAGCCACCGTGTCACGCTATCGATCTCGGACATGCCGAAAACGCACCAGACACAATTTTCTTGAATTTTCGCCTGGAATCAATATCTCACGTATGTCCAAAGACATAACTATGTATTCCGACAACGGCGGGTAATGCCAGGCAAGTCGTGTGTTTACGGCTCATGAGTCAAAACTCATTCGGCAAGCTGTACTCAACACACTGAGACACAAACTCAGGTATGCGCTAGAGTGCCAACTGCAAAACTTCGCTATGATACTGCGGCCTTTACAAACTAGTGATCATCCAAAGCAAAGTTTCTGGATCAAACCTGCGGCAGCAATTGTCACGATGAGAACCCATCGATGCGCCTCAGGCACGCCAATCAATATCACTATTGGGGGCATGCGCATCACGATAACGCTGGGTTGCAAAATATCATCGTCGTTGGTGAATTAGAAAAGAAGAAACCAAGGTGAAGCTGCCTTTGATGTGTCGCAAGATTCGTCTTCCTTCACCTCGGCCTTGCAATGGATAGTATCTACCAACATGGTTACTGTTGGCGTCGATGATGTCTGCAGAAAGAGTAGGAGATGCTGAGGAGGTCATTATCGCAGCTATGGAAGACCGATGTGCAACGGCTCCTAAATGGGTAGGTGGTGGGGCAAAAGCGCCCCAAATGACAGTGCTAACAACACTTGACAGACTTCTGAAATGGCGAGTGTAGTGAGATTAATGGTTGGTTGTTTACTGAAGATCGCTCAAGGTGGAGAAACCGTATGTTCACCAGTCAATGTCAAGGATCATGCGAGAGAAAGATCCATCTAATGTACTCAGCAATCTCTTCCACTTATTACTAGCATGGTACCTATATCGTCGGTACCTTCCATTGATACAATTAGATGGATTGATCGCGACTCATTGGCTCTTTCACAGAGTAAGGTATCGATAACCATAGTTCATGGCAGGCAACCATGGTTCTGAACCATGGTATTCGAGTCTTTTAAGATATCTATTATCAGTACCTTCATAGAACATCATTCAATTTATCACTCTGGCATCTTGATCAAGTTAACGGCATTGCTATGATAGCGAGAAAGGAGGGGTTTCATCGACAGTGAAGGGCAGTCTGGAAATCACTTGACCTCGTGCCAGGTCGAACTTCACTCAACTCTTTCTCCACACTTTCCGCGCCCAGACCGTAGTCCTAGCGTAAAGCTTGAAACATCCAAACGCCTGTACAACGCGAAAAGTCAAAGACTACAAACTCTACTTCAAGATCAGATTATCTACAAGTGGCCGACAGAAGGACCAGAAACCAACAGATAACGCGCTCAACAGTCGACGCGACATGTCTCGCCCTAATTCACGATCCTACACTCCAATACCGCAAGGCCACAATGGCTTCGGTGCGAGCAATTTGTGCTTTGAGGGCAGTCGAGACTCGCCATTTTCCGATGCGGTCAGTTATTGACTAGGTCATCTTGAGTGTTCTGGCAACTGACTTATAGTAGTCTGCACACAACTTTAATATCAACCATAGCTCTATCGGTAACCCGAACGAGATCCGGATGTTTGTCAATTATCATTCTACCACACCTGGTCACCCTAGTTTCTCCACAACAAGTCCGCATGTACTAGGATCTAACGCGCCAAATGTAGGTGTTGGAGTCAGCAACTCGATATATGCCCACTAACGAGTGAACAGGAAGCCAAGTATGCATCGATGGCGTTTATGTCACAGCTCGATTGCTTGCCTCGCCCTTCCGCCGCTGATCGAAGTGCTCAAAGTTCGTTTCAGGCTGACCACATACCATTCCCGGAAATCTCAACTTCATCAGACTGTCAGATGTTCAGTCCCGACACGCCTGTCCCCATGGTCTCTTCTTCACATGTTCAGAATCTGGAGGACTCTAAGCAAGCTCTCTCAACTAGCCCATTTAGCCGGGCCAAAAAAGCATCACCTCAGGTCCACTTTGGCCATCCACGACAGCCTAGTCGCTTACCATCAGCATTCACGGAACCATGGCCGCATGGGCCACCACCATCTCATCCGCCATACACATCATCATCGTTTGATCAACCCAGCTTACCCAACGGCGCCGCCTTCACAGCTTACCTAGGCGAAGCAGTCTGGCGGCCCTCAATGGGCATGTACGGTGTACCTACCACCGAGGAAAAGAAAGGCTACTACGTTCGCAAGATCTGTCTCAGTCTAGTCAATCTCTACAACCTATGGGACGACCCCAAAGATGTCTTAACCTTCGCTGTCAAATTTGCAGACACGGGAATATGGTCTGACGCGAAAGACATCGAGACGATAGCCCATATTATTGTCAATAACGCTATGCGTATACACAACTTTGGCGTCACTGGTGTAGCGTTTCGTCGATCGCCGGAGTTTGAGAGCCTGAACGCGGAAGATATGGATTTCACGTTCCCACAGCGTATCCATTATCTTGCGCGTCTATTCTATCACTCGAAGGTCGCAGCCGACAACGTCATGTCAGGTAGGGATGTAGCCAAATACGTTGCTTTGCCAATCACCTCCCTTCGCCGCCTACCCTTTTTCGAAGAAGAGTGGTCGCGCATGTCACAAGTCGATCGGGCGGTACAAACAGCGATTGTACCGTATCCAGATGGGTTGAAACATCCTTCTCCGACTGAGCGAGAGCAACTATCAGCGCAAGTAGCTACTTTGCCATCGCTGGTAAATGACTATATGGTGACGGACGACCATCTGGCTACCTTTCGTCAGAAGCATCTCTCGCCGAACGAGCTGGCGTATGCAGCGTTGCTATCGTTCCAGCGAGTGTCTCACAAACGCCCGATGGACCGAGATCAGGGGTCTGGAGTGGAACCAGCTGCTAAACGCTTTCGTACCAGCGGACATATTCCTTTCGACAGCAACGTCCGGAATTCAGGAGATGAAGAGAACGATTGAGTGATTATCGCGGTAATTTTGGCTAGTAGACTAGGGTCATTCGGAAGATTAAAGCCAGCAAAGAATAGGCAATGCCGTGGCAAGGCGACCGGCTTGCGGCTGACTAGACCCTTGTAAGTAGATGGATGCTACCTGCTACTAAAAACATTAGCCTACTCCGGTCCGCTTCTCTGATGACATGTTCACTTCGTAAAAGCAAAACGTATAGGGCCGAAGCTTACTCTCTAGCATGGCACGCACATGTTAACAGCAATGATCGTCGTTATAGTCAGCCTTGGGCATTAGACATGGCTCTCCCTCTAGAATAGTCCAGAATATGTCTAGAACCCTGCTGCATGCATTACCATCACCACGTAATACCCCATGAGGCTACCCCAAAGTGCGGGGTCATCGGCAGTCCCGGAACCTTAATCACCCTAGTTGTTCTCCACACTCTTAGTGGTTTGTCCCCTGCCTTCCAACTCAATCTCTTCAAGGCGTGGCAATATCATCTTCATTACCAGAATATTGTTCAGCTTCTTTCGCGTCTTCTCACCAAAAACCTGGAAGATGGATTTAGCGCGACTGTCGAACTCGTGGGCGCTGATTTCGTTGTAATGAAGTCGTTCCATGAGATATACGTATTTATCCCAGTTATCCGGACCTGGGTGGTGAGGCTGTCAGCGAATATGATCGAGTGTGCTCGGACACATTGATTCAGGGCAGAATATACTTACCTAGTGCGGTCTTCGTGCCTACCAACTCTGTGGGTACTTCGTAGGTGTGTCGCGGACGCAGTCTTCCAGGTTTCGGTGGCGCCGGTGAAGGTAATACCTGTGGAGGCGCGAAGAACCCTATGGGAGGTTGAGCAGCAGCCTGGTTCTCATCATTGAGTTGCAGAAGTCCACGCCTAGAGGCTCCAGATGATGATTCGAAAGATTGCTGTTGGCGCACCCGGGCTCGTGTTATGTGCTCCGGAGTCTCTATCGGTCCACTGACTGTCCTTTCCGGCCTTCCTTTCGGAGTCTTCCGGGCTGTGGTAGGAGAGGTCTGGTCTGAAGAGCGAGCTGCAAGCGGCGCCTTCCTCGGAACGTTGTTTGAAGGAATGCGACTACCTTTCCAACCCGGCGGAACCGAGCCATCAGGTGATGCGCTCGCAGTGCCAGGCTTAGTGAGAGAGTCATGGCGCTGTTCGACGGGATTTATAGTACTGTAGCTTTGCGCTGGAGTCGAAGGCTGGCACTGTTCGACAGGCCTCGCAGGATTGTGACCATATGCTGAGTTGTCCGGTTGATTAAAATACTATCAAGACGTTAGAATTAACGGTACTGCAGAAGAGGACACAGAGTGCGATGCATCTAGACTTTGCCTGCTATTTCAGACAGACGAATTCTGATACGGTTGACTTTGTTGCTGATTTTCCCCTTTACGGTGCTAAAGCGTAGCAGGAGGGACTTACTGTAAAAGAGTTAGCCAAGGTTTTCACAGCGTTTGGTGTCCCTGATAGCTGACTTACCTATCTTTTGTCCACCTTTTCTGTACGAGTGCTCACCGTGATCCATGATGAGTGAGTGTAGATCTTGATACGGGACTTGGGGGTAGTTCAAGTTTGGATATGAACTTGGGAATGTAAGATGTGGATAGTTTGGCCAGTGAGGTGGATCGTGGGGGAATTGAAACTGGCTGTAGGGAACCACGGTGGGTGAGTAGACCTGGCCACTCGGTGAATTGGATACAGATGTGCCTGCAACCTTAGGTGAGATCATTGTTGAGGTAGGTCCGGCGAATGGGTGCGGTTGCGACGCCATTATCGCGCTTGGTAGTGGGTGCTGTTTCGGATCTTTGGTACGCTCTTGCAACATTACTGGGCGCAGGAATGTGAGAGTGGTCGAGCTCTACCAGAAAGAGCATTAATGGTAAGAGCGATGTTGATAATGACGTATGGCAACGTTGTCATTGCACTTACCGTCAGACACCTTCCGATTTTATGCTGCTTTGGTATGCACAAAGAGAGAGAAAGGAAGGGTACGAAGAGGTATACATGGCAATAATAGAAGTGAGTGGTGCCTGCTGTACTGAAAACCAGCACTCAACCCTGAATGAAGGCGTCATCCTTCTTCAAATTGGGCTTTTATGCCGTCAGCTTGGTAGTTCCGAAACCCTGAAGCTGTATATGTTGATGCAGGTAAGGGTTGAGAGCATTCATCAGGGTACTGCCCTTTGATATGCTCAACATGTTCAGTCAAGAGCGCTCCATGGTCGAATTAGTGACAAAACCCACAACTTTCTTTGTAGTACAGTATCTACTGGGTGCGCAAAGTGAGGGCTATCTTGACAAAGGTCTGGATGTAGTCACCCAGTCCGGCTCTTGCCAGCAAGTCCCAGGTCAAAATCAAACGGCTCACCCTTCCATGCTTCCTCCACACCACCATGCATACGTTCGTGTGAGGGCACACGACTGATAGGATCATGTTTCACGACGACCTCCTTTGTGCACCAAATCTCTCCCCTGCCAGAACTCGTCTCTTGGGTACTGTTCCGCCACTGCATCTCATCCTCCGAAGCCTCAGTACCCAAGTCCTTCATCTTGAAGCTCGACTCGACATCTCCCTCAATAGTAGCAAGACGACTCTGACTTTGACTGCGAACATACCGTTTGTCCAACCCGTCAGATTCGTAGGTGCGCCCATAGCCGCGGGTAAGCGTATGCTGTCTGATACGTACGCTAATCACGCCGCAGTATTGAAGTGCGCGTTGAAACGGCGAGCGGAGACAGGGTACACAGATCACAATAAAACCTACGAGCTCTTCGATGACGGACCACATGCCGATGGTGATGCTTTCGTTCAACTGGTCTCCAGTCTTACCAAAATCCATGGCAGCGACGATCTTTAGGATGGAAGCTATGCCCGCAAAGAAACCGAGGCCCATTAGTGCGCCTACGATTACGCGTTCGCGGATGGGACGCTGAATCCGGCGGAGGAAAGATATGGGGAGGAGGGCGAGCATGAAGTCGGTGAGGATGTGTATCACGGATACTGTTATCGAGCTTATCCTAACTGCTTTGCTGCTCCAGCAGCGTCCCGGTACTGTGCCAAGTAGGTCCCATGCTTTTCGGACTGGAACGCATTGAAGTAGAGTTGCCAATGTGTTGTACACTCCGAGTGTGATTTGGAGAACAATCATGCCCCAGAGGAAACGGCGAAGGGGTTTCGAGGGTGAGATGCGGAGAAGCATCAGAGCAAACGACACTTTGACGAATACCATAGACCATGCCCAGATCGGTTGTGCAATAGACGCTTTGTGGAATGCTTCTTGCGAGTCGAATAGAAAGAACGTGTCCGGTCGGTGTGTGAAGGTATAAGGCATGGCCGCAAGCAAAAGACTTGTATTGATCACTATCAATACCTGTTTCCAATTTGTTAGTCTTCAATATCGTCAGTGGGGTATCGTGCAGTCGCTACTCACGTATGCCATAGCACAGGCGTAGTCGTCCAACTGCATCCGATACACAGGCCGCCATCGCGACCACATGCGTGCTCCAAAAACAACGAGAGCAATTCCAAGCAGAGCTAGCGTGGCTCCAGCGAATGCTCTGCCAGTCTTCTGAGCTGCTTCTGAAGGGAACGCAGGAATCAAGTGAAGATCTGGTGGCGGTGATGCCATGATTTCGTCGCTCGCATACCGTGTTGTGAATGATGGGTTTCCGGTGTCATTTTAGCTAGACCATCGATTGAGCGAGACGGTAGAATATATCAAGCTTTGGCAAGCATTCCCCATGGGGATGTGGGGCGCATGTTGGCAATAACGCTCGAGTGATGAGCTGGCCGATGCCGGTCGTAGCTTGTGGTATTTTACAGGACCATGTTGTCGCATGTTGGGTCCAGAGCTAGGACTCAGGAGCTCAATACGATACCTCAAACATGGATAACTCGTATGTTTGTACCAATGATTACGTTGTATGAATCTGGCTGTAAGCGACCGGAAATGTTGCTTTACTATGCAGGCTGAACGCGTTCATTCTTCCGGTGCAGGGGTGCTTCTTGGATTTGTCGATCTCGTTGTAAGTTGGTTGAGATAGAGGTAGTAGCTGACGTGGTGGACTGCAGCATCATGATTGATGTCTCAATTATTAGGTCCAGCGATAGAGTCATCATCCAGAATAAAATCCTTTTCGCACGATTCTACCGACGCCTTGAGCCCTCCTCTTGTCGAAGCACGAATGTATCCCCATGTCGTCGCCCTTCCGGTAGATCATCTGCACTGCATTAGGCTAAAGGCGGGATGTCGGACGCCGTATAGATACTCGGGACGCTTGTTACATGCATAACGCAGGCTGAATGCATTCTAAGCATCTCCGCAAAGGGCTGATTGTATTGAGATGATGGAGGTGTTGATGGGTGTTAGCAATGTGTCTCGTGTAGCCGAGCCTTGCTAGCTTGGACCGTGATGATCGATGACGGCAGACGGTGCCGAGGCGGGTTTCCCGTTCCTGTCATCGACCTACTGTTAGCAACTCTATCTCATTGACTCTCAAAACGCGCCAAAACGCGTCGAAAAACGTCTCAAGCATGACTTCGCCTGTTGATTTCGATGGGAAAGCATCAATGCACTCATCTCGGTTCGCGTTTCTCCGTGATCCTGACGGCGATTGCCTGTCAAGGCGCGCTTGGCCGTTCTTGCCGTTCCAACTTCCCTCCTGATAGCAAATTACCCAGCTCTACTTCTCTTGCCAGCCACCGAGCTACGAACACCGTGCCATTTCTTGATACTATATGTCACCATGGAATCTCCAATCGACCAAAAAGCTTCGCCGAACCAAGCTACAGAATGCAGCCAATCACCACACCTTCCATGGGATGTCCTCATCGAAATAGCCCGCCATTGTCGTCTCGACGAGCTGCGTGTTTTGACCATGGTCAGTACGCAAATGCGCGATCTGATTGATCGCTATATCCCCACGATTGCGCCAGCGGTAGCACATGTCACGTTCAGTAAACGAGTCCTCCAGCACATGTACGATCGATCGAACTTCTTCCACTATGAGCAGCTGCGAGAGCTCGTACCGCACCAGCTGGCGGCAATCCTGGTGAACAAACATCGAATCGCATATTCAAATGGGCGCCCAGCTTATCGTATACCAGCAGAAGCACCTTGCGGCGACTATCTGCGTAAACGAGTCGCAAACGGCTGGGACATCCTACGGGAGTTGTATCTTATCTCCCAGGATGTGCGTACGTCTTATACAGCAGATGAATTGATACAGCAGGACCGGCAGTCGCTGCGATACTCACTCGACGCCTGTAAGATGAAGGAGGATATCATCCAGCAGCGACGTCTGGACTATGTTCATGGACTATGTTCTCATCAGATACGAGATTACATATTGCTGACGACGCTCCTTCCTTGCATTTTCAGTATGTCAAAGGCTAACGTTGGAGACGAGTACGAGCCTTGGATATTCGACAAGGGCGAAAGCTTTGATCAGTTGCGCTCGTTCCGAGATGGAACGACGTGGCTCTCGTGGTTTGTGCTAGCTGAAGGACTGCATATTTTCTGGGCTCAATGGTGGAGTTTGCCTCCAGATTTGGCACAGCATCACATCGCACGCCGCGCCGTGCACACATATAAAATTTTGGATCCTGCACTTGTCGACCACCAGCGTTCATTGATGAAGCGACTTCATGACGGTATCCGTGATGTAGGGGGAGTCAAGTTAGCGGATTACGGCAACTTGAAACCACATCTGTATTTCCCTAACGTTTCCAATGGAATGCGTCCGCCAAAAGACTACCGAGCTCCGGAGACGCTCCAGCATGTACTATTCCATGCCAATTTTCGATGCCCAGATGGAGTTGAAGAACCTTCTCCTTTGATAATCTCACCATGGTAGAAACAGCGGGGTCTCCCAGTCGAACGATAGACTACAATCAAAACCAAGTTGCCATGCATGTGCATGAGCTCGCAATTCAACAGGCGCATGATTTGCTTCTTTGACTCTCCGGAATGCGTTAGAGCTAAGGCTTGTTCCAAGCCTAAAATGCAAGCCTTGCTATTCCAGTCGTCGTGGCGTACGGCAACGATGATCTGCCGCTGACGATGAGAAGACGATGCACGAGGTTACTAAGCCAGCCCGTCTAGCACGGCGTATATCGCGTATAGTCTTATATCATCATCAGTAGCCGTTTGCAGGCACACGTGCGACAACTCTACAAACAGCAGAAGGCCCTGTGCATGTTGTCAAGGCGGACCGCACATGCAGCGGAGATTGAAGGACCCTACTCGGCGTCGGTGATGGTAACATCAAAAGCCACATTGCTGCAGGTAAAATATCCCGTGCTACTACAGAGCGCCTTGTTGGCGACGGATGGGCCTATGGCGAGGGTTGAAGGACCTCTTGTGCAGGGGGTGTAGAGACAGTTGTTTGCCCCACCACGAGACCCGCGTTTCGCAGCTGCAAGTCTAAGGGCGCGACCAGGGCTACCAGCACTCCACGATTCGCCAGCGTGTGTTAGCCTCAGCTTCAGGCGGCCCCAAAGGCGGTCCGCCGCCAGAAACGACTCAGCCTCCACCATGTCGCATCGCGCTATCTGGGGTTGACAAGGTGACAGCGTGTCGCGAGACTACAGACGGACGGTACCGAGGTTCGCGGCTTATCGTGTGTCGCACGTCCGATTTGGCGGTCAGTAGATAGAGATTTTGCAGAATTTATCGATACGGAAGGGCTCGAGTTGCGATGACCGTGTGTTTCTGTAAATAGACGTCGGAGTATGGCATCAGACTAGGAGTTAGCGGCAGATCGGGCTTAGACCAAGCTGGAACGAGGAACGTGACCCCGGCCGACTATGCCTAGCTGCAGCAATAGCGCCCTGCTAGACACCTTTACGTTGCTTGCTGCTGCTGTACGGGGAATCGCAATGCTGCCGTCCTGCTTTTGCTACAGCTGAAGACGATAGATGCGACGATAGGCACTCTGATGGAGCTGTGTCCGATGCCCGCCTGACGCTCCTTCCGCACCGGCTACCACCACGCACGACACGTACGAATTCAAGGAAGGGACGACCAGGCTTACGATGGTGGGGAGGACTGCACACGACTACCACTCGGGACCGCAACTCTCTGCCACAACGCCGACGACAGACGGACGGGGGAAGGGCGTCGCCTTCGCTGGCGATGAGGGCAGTGCCCATACAAGACGGGCGGCCTATGACGAGCGTGCGCGCACCACGTCGCTGAGTTCTGAGGACTCGGAGGGATACGAGCACGTGAATACGCTGCTCTCCGCGTCGTCGATTGCGAACACGGATGCCATCTCTTCGTCAGGCTACTCGACGGCCATGACATCTGCTACCACCTATGACGAGCGATCGAATGACAGCACGCCAATCGCCGAACCGCCATATGCGCCTCCCAGCCTCACCCTCCTCGAACTCGTATCCAATACCGCGTCTTCATCTGCACTTCCCGACAGTTTCGACGTCAACGTGTCGAGGAAAGGCGGCTATGTGGCGGTATACTCGGCCTCGAATTTGTTCTTGATCAAGACAGTGCAACTGCCGCGACTATGGGCGAGGACATTGCAAGTCAAGCGCAAGCCCGTGGCTATTGACCTCACCGAGGACGGCTTTTTGTTGGCAGTACTATCAAGACCTTCGCAGGTCGATCTCTACGAAATACATGGCGAGGGGGATAATCAGATCAAGAAGAGGCGCACCATCATGCTCGTGCATGAGGCTAGCTCAATAGTCATATCACCGGATGCACGTATCCTCATCACGGGAAACAAATTTGGCATCGAGGTAATCGCTATTGGGCCTGAGGTACCCGAGACGACACGACGTACGCTTTCTGGACCCGCTGGTGACGCATTGGAGTTCTCTGACGATGGCCGAACGCTGCTTATCACGGGGTATGCAAGAAAGTCGGATGGTTCAGCCCTTTTCGTTCTTCCTGGGCTTTACGATGGCCCACTTACCGAGGAGGGTGAGCCCATACCACAGCCACCAGAGGCCGCGTGGACGGGCTCGGTTCTGTTCCCAGAGACTGCGAGAATTGCACGACAAGCCACTCTGCTTCCTGACGCGGACACGGGCACGTTCAACGAACTCTTTGCTTTCAATGCAGAGGAGGATTCGTGGGGAATCTATGACATTGCATGCCAACGCTTCACACAGAGGAAGATGTTTCTGCCAGATCACGCAAGATGGACACGCTCAGAGTTTGTGGACGATGCTATGCCTGCCGTATCTCCCAACGCTGATCTTGCAGCGGTGGCTTTGCGGATGCGCGGGACCACCAATATCTGGATTTACGAAGTACCGGGTTGGGAGTACAAGCCGAGTGAGAAGACTAAGGTGGATGCTCCTATTCAGCCTTGCTTTTGCATCCCGATCCCCAATGACAACGCAGGTACTCTGCAGGAGATCTGTGTGCTGAGATGGGTGAGGTTGAATGCAAACGTACAACGGCTTGTGGCAGTTGGCAACTCCAACGTGCTACCCGACGAAAACGATGTACCCGGAGCACCGTTGGGCTCGAAAGGTGTTTTGATCGTCCTTGATTTCGACAAGACAAAACCTTTGGGACGCGCTCCACCGACGCCGTTAAAGACAGAGTACGACTTAGATCCCCTTTGTCCAGGCGAGATGCTTCCCGAAGGCTCTATAGACTTTGATCGTGAGGTTGAACTGGTGCGAACCAGGACCATGGCGCAGCGAAGAGCTCAGGATCGAAACAACACTGTTGCGCGAAGACCTTCAAGGATTGGCACCACACCTGTACAACGATCACATACTACCGCCAATCCGAATGCGCCACGGCCCCGATTACCCTCTGATGAGTCCGAGGAGTTGACACCGGAAGAGGCACAAGCAATGTTCGAAGCTCCCTATGACAACCAGCAACCTCGATCTCAGATGTCTTTGGCTAGAGCTGCGACTGTGGCAGCGGTGTCACCCGCAAATCGTCGGCATTTGCGCGCATTACCTTTCAGACCCCTGGAATATCGTCGTGCAGACGGCCATCGAGAACTACCACATGAGAGTGATGCAGATAACTGGGTGCCGCCTCCACCGGCGTACACAACCACTGCCGCAGCAGCAGAAAGTGTCAGCTTGAGCCATCCGGACGCGCCTCCAGTGCCGCGACTACCTCACGCACATACTTCGTCTTCGATACCGCCCGTCCCCCGATTACCAACCAACATGTCCGCGACGATCGACCCCTCCCAGCTTTCTCCCTCACATCCCTACCAGCAACGTCAGCAATCAATATCCTCTATCGATGTATCCTCGCCACCACCCCCAGAGCCAACTCGCCGTCCCTCTCTCATCCACCCCTCCACGTACCCCAGCCCTCAATCCTCAGACTCAATCCGGCGGCGAAGATCGAGCACCCGCTCGCCACCAGAACAAATATCCTACACCCCGTTGTCACACACCCCACGTACATCTATGTCCGCAACCGCATACCCCAACACTTCCTCCCACATGCCTACCCGCCGTCCCACGAACGGTAGTACCACTCAACGCGTCGCACACGACAACCTCGACCTCTACGCTCCACCGTCTGTCCCCAGCTTGCCGCCTAACATGCGCCGCGGCTCAGCGCCTAATGTAGCTGTCCAGCGCCGACCCTTACCACCGACTAGTCCGAGGATGAGCATGCAGCCGTACCAGACTGCACCGATGGCATCGATAGCTGTGAATCAGCAACCGAGAAACGCACCTGCGTTACCGCCTCTTGCGCCCCCGGGCCAGCAATTTGTCGCTGGGCAGAGGTTCCCTATTAGTGCGCCGCCAAGGACAGACCAGGTGCACAATCATCCTTATGGAATGCATAGGGCGAGTCAGAGTGTGGGCAACTTGATCAGTGGGCGAAGAGGCTCAAGGGTGGACCATGATGGTGTGTTGGTTGGAGAGAAAGAAAAGAAGGGGAAAGGGAGGAAGAAGATTGGGTGTGTGGTTATGTGACGTGCGCGTGGATGGGAAAGAGAGAGGGGCAATGGACATTATGGATGGATGAATGGCGTGATTATGTTTCCATGATTATATTATACCCATGACCCTTTTTTTTTCATTCCGTCTCGGCGTTTGGGTCTTTGGCATCGGACTGGATATGAGGGTGCCTCATGCGAGCAATTGAGTGGTTGAGCGACTTCGATACATAAGCAGCTAGATGGGGACACGGGAGCGATCCAGGGATTCTGGGAATATCATTTTTTTTTTGGCTTTTCTTGCAATGGGGTTGTCAAGTTTGGCTTGAAGTATCTCCAGCATGCCTAGCGACTTGGTATCCGTCTCCAGGCTGCATCACATATAAATGCTTGCAGTCGCCCGTCACTGATCGTCTCCTTGACAAGCACCTTCGCCGATTTCGTAGCATTCCTTGCCGTTAACCTCGATGCAATAAGAGTTTCCAACGACAAAGGCGTTCGAATCCTTACACGACGGGTTCTAGTAATGGTCAGACGATGCAATGTCTTTGATGCCGCTTGTTCTTGAAACTTACCCATGGGCCGACCTGGTAGATGGGCAAGCCATGTGCGCTGGCAATATTGTTGCAAGATGACATCCAGGGTTCAGCTATCTGCCATGCGCTGCAATTCGGGACAGTGTCTGCTGCCGCAGGCGTTGGGGGCTCGACGAGATATGCGCTGGCGGCGGATGCTAGCGCGCATAGGAGAATGGAAGCTTGGAGTCTCATGATGATTGATTTCTGATGTAGGTAGAATCAACAAAGATTAGGATGAAAGTGATGGCTGCCAACATCAAGGCGGTTGACGCATGTCTTATTAGGAGGCCATTTGTTCTCAAAGGAGCTGCCAATGTTGACACGGTCTTTGCGCTGGCTCAATCTCGCTCCACAACATCGTGCATCTCATAGTCCGTCTCCCATACATGGCAAGGCGCGTTGCTTGTCGAGCATAAGCTTACGATTCAATTGGTCCCCAACTTGGGTCCTCAGGAGGGCGTAAGGCGACCAGTCAGTTGCGGACCACGCCGCGTACCTGCATTGCATCTCTAGTAATCGCGCAAGCCGGAAGCGACGCGAGGAAGGCTGAGATTCATGGCACTACTGTATGTATTTGTATAGATATCCCGAGGATGTGTTCTTGTACTTCAGCACTGGAGACGGTAGGTCTCATGGTCATACACCAACTGCTCTTTGTCGTGGCGTATAATGGGGCCTCCCGCTATCCCGCTCGTGCAGCAAATCTAGAGCACGGGTGAAATCCCAATGCGGTTTCCGCAGGGCACGATGTGCCCATGATACATACGCGACCATCTAAGGAAGCGGCGCAGGCGGCTTTGATGCATAGACAAATTAAGGAGATGATTGTCAATCGGTCGAGAACGTCAAACTGCAATCTAGAGTGTCATCAGCGTCGGAACATTACTCCGCTCGTGGATCTGGCTTTCAATGAATCCCATCAATGTCTCCTACCAGTTCCAGTGTGCGAGATATATTAATTTGTCCGAGTGTTGATGACTGTTCCGCTATGAAGAATAGAATGCTATGAAAGACGCATGGTCCTACTCGAAGAGCTGTTATGTCATCGTCAATGATTGATATAAATGGGCGTCACAACTTCATCATAGAAGAACGGCTAAGGCTAAGGGGTATAATGGGTTCCATTACGCATCACAATCAAGACCTTTTGGGTATAGCACAAAATAGCGCCATCATCTATGCAACACTCTCTCATTCCACTTTAGATACAACCGCCGACCACGACACACGAAATTCGAACCAAACAAGACGGTGGTATACCCTATGAATAAACACCAGGAGTATCATCGGAGAAGGGAAGGAAACGCAAAGCTAGTCATGACATAGTAACATAATCCAGGGGAGACCAGGAAAATGCGCTTATAGCATGAAAGCGAAAGCGGCGGCGGCGCCGGCAAAGCCGAGCGCAGCCTGGACGCCAGAGGCGGCGTTGGTGGTAGCCTCAGGAAGACGGCTGGTGGTAGCGTTACCGCCAGCAGTGGGCATGGGGACGGTGCCGTTGGCAGAGACACCAGTGCTGTAGGCAGGGACCATAGCAGAGGTCACGACGGTGGTGGGGTAAGGAGCCTCGCTGGAGTGGACAGCAGATGGGAGAGGGATGGGGGTGTGGCTAGCAAGGGGGGTTGAGGCACCGTAGCCGGGAGCGTAGGCGCTGCTGGCGGCAGGGGTGGAGCTAGCGACAGCGACGCTGCTGGGCTCGATCATGGAGCTGGAAACGGCCTCCTCGCAGTTGCCCTTGGAGATACCGAACTGGGTGGAGTACTGGTACTGGCCGGTGACATCGTCAATGATCTGGATGCCGTATCCGTTGGGGCCGTTGGTGGCCTCGAGGGTGGAGGCGGGGGTCCACGCGAGGCTACCGCTGTTGGCGATTCCCTCAGCGAGAGAAGGACCGAACTTGACGACGTTGGTGGAGGGTCCCTTGAGGAGGAGAACAGAGACAGTGTTGGGGGTAGTTGGCTGCCAGGTGATGGTGAACTGCTCGCAGGTGGGGACAACCTGGTGGGGCGCGTTAGCTCTGCGGATCTTGTTTTGAGTTTCGCGATGCGCGCAAACTCAGGGATGATGCAAACATACCTCGTTCAAAGGACGGGTGATGGGGTTACCAGCGGGCTCGCCGACGGGAGCGTGGATCTGGGCAGCGGCAAAGCCGGCGAAGAAGGTGATGATGGCGGTCTTGGAGTACATTTTGAAAGTTGGTGTGTGTGGAATTAGGTGATTATCCGAAGAAGATCGAGAGTATTATGTAGTTGGAAGACGGCAAGTAATGAGTGACTGGTTTTCTGAAAAGAAGGGCTGAAGAACAAAAGTCTTCTGAGGGCTGCAAGATATCTTAGGCGAGGTGAGCAGTAGGAAGAAACAAGACAAGCTGAGGGGAGACACTCGAACTATATCGATTTCGCGTTCTACAAACGGTCAATGCAGGTACCCCTGTTGCCGGCGCAACTTAAGATTGGTGTTCCAGTCCCGTGCAATATCCCTTGGAACTAGCGCTAGACTGAATGGACAGCGCTTGGATGAGCGTGACGAATGACAAGGCGACAAGAGATTTAGACACCTCGTATTCTTGTGGGTTGCGGCGTGCTCAGGAGTCTTTGGTGGCTTTACCGGTGAGCTCGTTGGACCATGGCACGGGCTATTTCTGGGTTGTTGGAGATTGCTTCTGGCGGGCAGTGGATGCCTGAGGAGTCAGGAGCGTTGTTCCTGTCAGCCGTCGAACGGTGAGCAATATCGGCGCTTACATAGGCACAGGCACGAAGGGCCGACAGCGCTGCGCCGCTGAGATAGCAGTCGCATCTCATTTCTGTATTCGACGTCTGCGACGAATTGTACGACTCGTGTGTCGCGATGCGCGAGCGAGGGTTCTCCGGATTCACGTAGCCCGTGGAACGCGATCTGCTTGCTTGTACCTGAGTCGCATGCGCTCTAGCTTCAGGTACTGGCGCGCAGGCTGCCGCCTAGAGCGCGCGCCGCCAGTTGCTCAACGAGGCAATGGAGAGGAGAGTTTGGCCACTTGTCGCACCTGTTGCGATGCATCGTCAGTCTTGCTCTAAGCGAGGCTGCACTACAGCCATCATCACGCAATCTTCTCTCTCAGACTTGACCAGGCAGGTGCGGGTGAGATTGTAGTTTGACCGGCGCGGCAGGCGCGAACAAGGCCGCCTGCCCGCAAAATTACCGCCTCAGCCCCAGCAGCACCCAGCAAAACTAATCTTCTTCAAGGCTCACGTGTGTCACGATAATTTGCGTTTGTTTCAATTACTTCATTGCATTGTTGAATATACAGTTTGTTTCTCGTCTCATATATACGTTTGCGCCGGCTGCGCCCCTGCCTCGACCATGACTTCATACTTTGCAGCTCAAGCTACGGTGCGAGCGGGTCGTGTGACTCAGTGACAGCTATATGTCGTGTCAGACAATACAAGTAGGGACAGCCCTATGACGGGGGTCCCGTTTAGCGAGCGAACGCGTCGGGGTATCTTCGAAGCGGTATGAAATTCGTTACATCGTTACTGGCCGGGTGTATAGTATGGGTGTCGAGACGGAGCGAGTGTGTGGTGGAAGAAGAAAGAGTAGGAAGGCGCCGAGTAGACGTCGCATGAACAGCGAGGTACTTAGCCACACTGGCCGGGGTCTAGAGGTTGTCAGCTTCATGCTCATGCAACACCACAAGGAACACTTACACTTTCGTGCCGTTAGCGGCTGGGGGAAGATACCGTTGGCCAACAAATCTTGCATATCCCATTCGGGTGCGCCCTCGGTCTTCCATGTCCAGAAGATCCAGCCTGTGGCCTTCTCGTAGGCATCCAACTGCGCCTCGATGAAGCGTCCAATGTTGTACTTGTCGGCGCTTGACAGGTTCGCAACACTGCCAGTATACTTGCCAGTGCAGTCACCGACCTTTGAACTGCCGCCAAAAGTACCGTCGTAGCGCGCGCCCTTGTCCTTTCCGTTCAACCACTTGGCGCAATCGGTGATTCCGCCGGTCCACTCGCCAGCTACAGTCCACTTTCCAGTAGATGCCATCTGGTTACCGAAATCGCAAGCTGTCTTGACGTGGTCGTCGATGCTCATGGCAACAGCAGAGGGGTCAAAGATCTCGTAGTGGTGAGTGTCGAGAAGAAGGTTCCACATTCCCGCGCCCCAGTTGCCCCACGAGGTTACACCTTGGAATGCATCGTGGAAAGTGATTGCGACGTTGGAGTCCTTGAGGTTACCCCAGCCGTCCATGTAGAACTGCCTGACGGTGTTCATGTCAAGGTTGGGACCCAGAGGCTCGTTGAGAAGCTCGATAGCTGAAACGGCGGGATGCGACGCGTGATCATCGCGGATCTTGTTGAGGACTTTGATGGTGTAGGCCACTGAGTCGCCCTGAGTCCAGCCGACAGAGCCGTACTTTCCAGAGTTATCGAACCCGTTTTGAGATTCGGGTGCGCCGTGGAGATCGATCATAACCTTGAGGCCAGCACCAGACGCCCAGTCGAGTGCCTCCCCGAGCTTCTCGTAAGCGCCTTGTAGGTATGGGTCGCCCTCACGTGGAAGGACGCTCCAGTAACCGATTGGGATTCGAACGTGGTTCAGACCAGCAGCTGCCATCTGGTTGAAGTCGTCTTGGGTGATCCAAGAGTTCCAGTGGTTTTGCAGTTTTGACTGTGCCTCGTCCTTGCCAATAGCTGCTACGAGTGTGTACTCGTCCTTTGCGCTGTTGCCCTCGAACATGCTAGGTGTAATCCAGGGCTCGAGGACGAACCATCCGCCAGTGTTGACACCGCGAACCTTTTGGTTGTTGTAGTCGAACATGGGTGCGCGTTTTTGTAGTGGAGACGCGTTTGTGAGGGCGAGCAGGCCAACGGCCGCCGCGGTAGTCCAGGATCCGATCATGATGAAGATGAAGAAGGTTACTCAACTAATTGGAGATTGTAGAACATGCAGTTGTGCTCGAGAGGAGTACAAGTAGTTTGTTAGACTGGTAGATCCAAGGTAGGACTTGTGCAGACCCATGGCATTGGGGGAAGGATCTCCCTTTAACTTCCCAGCACGAAGGCTCACACGCCGCCAACACAGCAACAAAGTTGCCCCAATTTTCTTCCCAGTCATGCTCACCAAACAAGCATGTGTTCGCTGCTTCACGACGTAGCGATGATCTCCACAACACGGAGCTTCATCCTAGCTAGCTGACAGAGCTATCCTGGACACCACCAAGGCGGTGTCTGGGAAGGCCTCCCAAGGCAACCAACCGCAGTATCGCCGACATCTCACGACTCCGCTACATCGGGACGGTGTGTACATCGTTACTTACTCGGGATACTTGGGCATTGCTGGCAACTGACGTAGTGACGCAACAGCTCCAATAGGAGAAGCAAGCAGAAGCTACCCCAAGCCGCTTGCCTAACCACCATCAAGACTAGATCCGCAAGCAAGCTACGGTAAAATGGACCCTGAAGGCCTCGGCACGTATTAGCATGGAAAAAAAGATCTGGGGTCGGCCGGGTCAAAGGTCAGATGCAGGGTTGGTGCTTGGCGGAAATTGTATGGAGCATTCAGGTACAGTGTATTGATTGGAGGACTGTTTGATGGCGATGATGTGGGGATCGGCGTGTCACAGCCACTTAGCTTCCGAGGCGGTGCTCACGCGCCGGGGACGATCTTTCGAGAAGCTTGGAAGCGCATCCAAGGAGTGTGGTGATACACCGGAACGTGGACGGTGGGCTCTTGGATTGTGTGCTGGCGTCTGCCAACATCGGCCTGCAAAGAACCTGGTTGACGACATGGGAATGCGCTGAGGTCCGTGTAACCGTTGCTCGGAACACTTCCTAGTAGTTTCACATGCTGTTCTTTGGTACGTACCGAGCATCTGATGTTGTGCGTTCTTCACGCAGGACGGCTCAGGAATGCAGGCGGATCAGCAAACGGCAGTGTTGCGCGGGGGAAGTTGAGAGAGACCTTCTCCAAGGTCCCGCGATCGGCAACACGTCCACATGCAAAACACGCTGTTGCCGGGCAAAAGGCCCACGAGGCCGGAGTACTTCCAATATGGCATGTAGGTATGATGGCATTATCTGAGTCATCATCGATGTCACCTCCCTCCCGCTTGCAGTGATCTTTGCCTTATGCAGCGATTTTGTGGTACCTGAAGGCGTGTACCTCAGCCGTGATGGCTGGCTAAAAGTAACATCATTTCGTAAAGCAAGTTCTTCCCTTACCTTAATTTCCGACATGCACAACACAGTGTTCTGGCCCTTTCGTAGAACAGCAGCAGTATGAACCAGCTCCCAAGCAGCAAGGGCATAGACGTCATCGCATACCTGCTCTTCACCGCACATTGCCAACTTCCTCTTTTGTGTATCACGAGATTCGCCTCCCAGCTTACCGGACGCATATGCAGCTGGCCTAAGTAATGACTTGACTAAGAGTCGTATTTTGCGGGTATAACGTGCAACGGCGCGCGATCGCGAAAAGCTTGGCCGATGCGGGGGAGTTCTGCACGATGCCTTTCCCGGCGCGTCCGACGGTCGGACGTAGATCAACGAGCGTGATCGTCGGAGGCCTTGTGACAGTTGTAGTTTTTTAGACACTCGGTAGTGGGTGCAAGGTAACCATCGTGGCGGCCCAAGGTAGTCTGAGGGCGATGTACCCGACGAGCAGCTGTCTGCCGGTATGTTAGGGTACCAAAGTATCTATGTACCAGAAAACTGCAGAAGGCGAACGGCGGCTTCGGCGGCGTCATCGGTCACGATGGCATCGCGATACTTGACACCGGAGATGCGCGAGCGGAAACCATCTCTGGAAGAGGTTAAGGAGCAGTTTGTGGGGTAATGCGTGCCATCGTGAGCTTGAAGTTCGGGTCAAGGCGTCGGTATGATGGTGGTGGAGAGTCGCCGTCCGGGTAGTAACGGCCTGTCATGCCCATGTGACTTCCCAACAGTCGGCATAGCATGGCGACTGCATGGCGACTGAATGACGGCGGTATTCCATACAAAGTTTGGTCGGTAATGTCACACGTATGCAGTTTCGACAGCGTTGTCCGAATTGCAGGTGTTGCAGAAGGCTATTCTGATGCAAGGCAGGGCCGTTGGAAATTACCGAAAGATTTCGCGTGCACTGGCGCTGGCGGCTTGCTCTGTAACGAATAGAACCTGGTTACTAAGATGTCGGTACGTATCCAAGAATGTACCCAATGTACCCTAGAGGTATTTGCTTCGCTTTACATAACCGTGCGTAGAAAGTAAAACACCCCAGATACCTGTAGGTACTGTCACGCACTTCGTATGCGTCGGTATTAGGCAGATGTCATGTTTGGGGGCTGAGGTAAGGGCGCTGCGCCCCCTGGCAAACCTAGGTAGTGAGGGGCGATTCCTTACCCGCCCTGATTGTTACAATACATACACATTACACATACATCGAGACAGCCCGATCCGAGGTGAGCTCCACTTGTTCTCTCGTCTTTACAACACCATGTGCTCCCGTGTGCTGCCATTAGGCTAACGCGCATGGCAGGCCGCGATGGGCAGGCATGCCAACCCTGACATAAGGCGAGCCTTTGAAGAATTCCAAGACCAAGACACACCCTCGAAATGTAATAAAGTACGCTGTCTACACTGCGGCTTCGTGCGCGCAAAGAACACGACGCGCCAGATTGAGCATCTCCAAGACTGCCAGCGATACCTCGCATCCCCCGAGGCACAGTCCCATCTGATCGCCCAGGAGCAGCAGCAACAGCAGCATCAGCCTCCGCCGCAAAATGGATTGCCTGTTGATCCCAGTATGCCCCCGGCTGGCCCCAGCCAGATATTGAATGGCCAACAGCCCAACCCAAACCTCCAAGTGAACCGGCGCGGACCGAACAATAAACGCACTCGCGATGGACAGCCTATTGCGCCAAACATTGCCATGGCACCCAATGTTGCGCCCTCGCTGACGTCGCATCTCTTGACCATCTGCTCGGGTCCATTTGCGCAGGCAACACAGCGACCCTTCCTATCGCACGCCGGCTGTGGATCACTAGGCGCAGGGCCGTTGTCGCAATGGCTCGTACAAGATGGGCACTATGCGCGAGGATATATACGCTTCATAGGGCAGCTGCTGGCCAAGATACGACTGCCGCAGACGCACAATTCGCAGTTCCATCCCATGTACCGCACCATGGACCTTCTCATATCCGCCCTCAACAACATGCGACGAGAGATGCAGTTCTTCGAGATCACCGCGACCAAGTACGGACTCGCGGTGGGCATGGACCCCCCAACACCCATCACGCGCGCCATGCTTGACCTTCTTGTAAGCGCGAGCAGTGCGAGCGCATCACTCCTGGAAGGCATGGTCGTATTATGGGCAAGCGAACATGTACGTACAACTGCGATTAACAAAGATCGCACGAGGCTAACATCTGACAGTGCTACCGCTCCGCCTGGCAATACGCCTCCTCCTTCTCTAGCACCCTCAACAATACCTCCAGCGACTCCCACATCGTCGCCCTCCACCAAGCCCTTATACCCAACTGGACGTCCCCCGCCTTCAGCAAATTCGACGAGGCAACGCGCACACTCGTCGACGAACTAGCCAATATCACAACCACACGCGATGGCAAGGAAGAAATGTCGCGCTGCGAAGAAATCTTCAGACAAATATGCTGGCTCGAAGAGCGTTTCTGGCCTGACGTAGACAGCATGGGCAACAACAACGAGAGTACAAATGCAAGAATGGGCCCTCCAATGAGCGGACCCATGAGTGCAGGCTTGGAGAACAACATGCAAAACGGAATGGCCAACGGTCTACCTGTTGCGGTCAATGGGAATGGTATACACAATCATAATCATAGCCATAACCACAATCGTAACAACAGCATGCCGGGGCCCAGTATGAACAACAATAACAATATACCAACAAACATCCACGGCAATCCTGTAAATGGACGAAACAGTATGAGCGGCCCCGTCCGCAATGCTAGTATCAACGGTCCTCCCATGCAGAATGGTCCTATCAATGCGGCCATCAACAAGCACGACAACACGCCTGTGAAAGATAACCGAAATCCATTTGGTTTGCCAAGAAATGGTATGGAGAGTGTGGGCCAGGGCTCGTAGTCTGAGTTTGAGGTTCTTCCGAAGAATGCTGTGTGGAAATGACAAGAGAGACGCTTGTGAGAATTGTCTTGTTGGGTATACCCTCTGGCGACTGTGGCGTTAGCGAGGAGTTTAGGGCTCTTAGTTTGGGTAGTGCTAGGAAGGATGCTGATTATGTTTTTTTTTCAAAAAGGGTTTGTGATTAGATGGGTGGCTCGCAAAAGGGTAGTGTATGATACTCTCGCCGTTGGGGTATAAGTTGGAGTTTATCGTAGAGTATCTCACACCCTTGGATGGGTCTAACATGATATAGCACACGGTGTTTCAATGTTAGAATTCAGTCACTTTGGCAAAAGCTATTTTCTACTCTTGCTTTCCCCTCTCGTAACGTATTGGTCGGCTACCTTGCTGAGGTGTGATATGCAAGCAGCTTTGATGGCCGATGGTTTGTTCGCGATGCCGTCCGTTGATAAAAGATCGAGTGTTGCGTGTACGTAATGAATGAAATCGTCGGCGACGGTCTTACGCATGCGTTCCATGTATAATCGACCAATGTCTTCAGTGTCTATGAAACGTTAGCCATGAGCTTGTGGAAGCACTGGAGAAAGGACTATCTACAAGGTAAAGGAATCGTTCTCTCTTCGGGAAATAGGATGGAATATATGCGCTGCCAACCTTGAGTCACGTTCTCGCCTTTCCTCGTACGACGACGGATTTTCAAGGTAACATCAGGCTCCATCCAGGGACCGCGCTGCTTGCCATCCACTTCATCACATTCCCTCTCTCTCACATGCGAGTCCCGTGCATCGTAGTTCTGGAACGAATCAAAACAGATCGGACAGTATGGTCGTTCATGGCGACGAAGGAGGTGTTCCCTGTATCTGGTAAGCTAGCTTTCATGCTGCGTGAGGAAGGTGAGTGTACTTGAGTCGAGCGAGATTTTCCGCAGCAAAGTCCCAACAGCCAGGGGAAGCAATGGGATCATGCTTTGCGAATGGACAAGCAAGAGGTATATTGGAATCCTCGGTTCCTTTCATTGGCCGTTTTCGATGATGCTGGTGTGAGATCTCATCGTCATCACTACAGTCTTGTGCGCAACGCTTCATCTTCCTTTTTATGACCGGGTGTCCAGAGTTGTTGGAATTGCCTACTCGCAGAGCAGAAGATTTTTTACTGCGAGTTTTCTCCTCATTCGCAAGCATATCGAGGTTCATCTCGACTTGTACTTTACGTGGTATGGCAGGAGAGCTGTATCCATAACTTGAGGTATGTTGCCCATACTCAGAATGCGCAGAGTCGCGTACCTGATCATCTTGGTCGACAGGTTCTTGCTTCAGCCACGTGTGTGTAGACATGGTAGCATCTACTTTAGCTGAGTTTAGAAGAAATTTGCCGGATGTGCTCGAGTCGCGACGGAAGTGTGCAGTGTCCTTCGCCCAGCATAACAGGTAACTAGACGTTTGTAGTACCCAGATAGTGTGTAACTATACAAACAAGCTCGCCGCCTTGTAAATAACTGTTGCGTAAGGCGTAGGTTGAGAATGTATGCTACACACACAGGGCGGTATTTGTATGCCTTACCACGCCCCTTTCAAGGTTTCATCATGCGCCGCGACAGCATAACTACCAATGAGAATTTCGCATGGGCGCAATGTTATCGCAAGCTGCGATATTCGCTCAAGCTACACAGATCTCAGTCAGCTTACAACTATTGCAGTCTGTGATTTATGTGAGCTACTTGCCGCAGCTTGCGATCCATCTTAAGAAAACGATCGCAAGCCGCGATATTCCTCTGCTAATGATGAATTCGTGGAAAACGATCGTAACTTGCGATCAACCTCACAAGTCCATCGCAATTTGTGATAAATCTTACGCAATGTGTAGCTAGCCGCAGCGTTCTTCTCCGCCAACTGAACGTTTGCGAAGAGCGAATTTCGTAATCTGCGATCTATCTCATACTCATCGCAACTTGCGATATTCGAAGTGACAACTTACGGTGGGCCGCAATCCATTTATAGCTCATTCTTCATGCATGCTTCATATAAATAACACTCTCCTACGAGCAAGTTACAACAGCACTTTCTTGCTTTCAGTCACTTCATTTCTAGACTAATCAACGAAATTTATCAATCTAGTCACCACGCCACTCGAAGGGGTCGCAGCTATGTCCACCGTTATTGCGACAGTTGCTAGGCCGAACGATGCCTGGCTGAGGATCATCATCGCTTCTCTTCTGAACTATGTATCTTTCATCAACGCCACGAAGGCCCTCGAGCCGACCCTTGCACCTTTCCGAGACTCTCAAGGAGCGCTGGGTTCAACATCGTCGCGAACTTGGAGCGCACGAAAATGGCGGGTCATCAAGATCCAGGTGTTTGGCATGGGTGTTGCTCTTGCTCTTGCCATTTCCCAACTTGCCTCGTCGGAAACGGAACCATACTTCTTGGTCTTGGAATGCTTTTCTTGCCTTGCAACAAAGCTTGTTGCCAACGGGCTGTCCTTGCGCAGACCACGGGGAAAGTGGCAGTCCTTGTCGACGAAGACGACTGACGTTCTTACGGAGTTTCAGCCTTTCGAACATCTTCCCAGCCCTTACAAGGCTCCAATTTCTCTTTTTGTAGCCCTATTGCTGGGGTTATGGGTGCTCTATTTTGGATTTGAGCAAGCATTGCCATGGTTCATTGCAAGTGGAAACAGCTCCAGATGTATGTTCGTTGCTAACAATACCAGAAATGGACATTGTCAACACTACCGGTCGCGGAGAGTGCCATACACGCCATCAAAAGGGATATTCCATCTAACACGGGCTCAGAGTGGGGGTCGTCATTGACAAGTGCAGTGATCGGTGCTGGTGTCACGCTGGCGTGTCACGTCCACAGGACATTGCTGGACCATTATCAACGGACTACAAACGCTGCTGTCATTGAGCAGCAAAGAGTAGAGTCGGAGAAGTTGACGGCTACTCTCATTCAGCTGGCCGTACTTGCCGAAAAGTTCCTTGGTTCGGGTACGCTGGCAGTCGAAGCACACCGTTTAACAGCGGCATTGAACCAACAGCTTACCACAAACACACAGCAACTGTCTACCACTAGCACGCTGCATCATTGCAAGACAAACGGCCAATCTTGGGTTGCATCTGGAAATACCGGTTCGGCATTGGAATCCAGAGTAGACTGTATTGAGATGGATAACCTTCCTGCCCAACCCTCTCGCACAGTCTAGTCTAAATAGAACCAGTTCCGTGGATGGCATAAGCAACAACACGTTTCCTGGCCCCAGTGTGGCTTAGTAAGGTCTTCTCATTTGTGAGTTTGCTTTGTGGAATTGTTGACATGTATGGTTTCTGTTGTACGAGTTGCTTAGCATCCTAAGGTATTGGGGTTTGTGGGATTTCTGAGTTATGTACCCGTTTTTGTTTGATCAGTCATCCCCTAGTTCTATTTCTCAATTGCTTTAGTTGTCTTTACAACAATGAATTGCAAGACCTTGCCTCTCTGTTTTCCCAGTCATGTTTTCTTGCATTCTCGTGCGCTCCAGTGACCTAACTCGCAGGGAGGAGACAGATAAGATAGATCAATATATGCCATGACGACATGAATGAGCTTTGGTATCAACTGACCTATGACTGAGACACAGAACGCTACGTGGTGTCCATAATTCGCTTCTGGGTATCACCAAGCTGATCTCAACTTACGGTGAACAACATGTACTGTTTCGTAGAGGTCGAGAGAGGAATGGAGGGACAAGTCGTCTGATATCGGTCCGGAACGGTGTTTCGGACGCGGTGAAAAAATTCGCAATCTTTGTATTAATGTATGCTGTAGCACATCCCGACGACTCAGTTGGCGCCAAATATTCCATGCATGAAACGCCAAAGTCCAGATCTAAGCGCCTCCCCAACTGGAGCCGCCACCAATACCTGTGCTGCCAAGGTTAGAGCTGTAGCGCCTAAAGCCTTTGCCCATGCCGATTGGTATCGAGGATGTCCTCCTGACAATCTTCCGCCGTCTACTCTGCGAACCACTTCTCGTCGCCTCCAAAGCATTGATCGACTGTCCCCGTCCTACCGACACCGACGCGTCATCCTCATCGTCAGACGCCATGGCCACGCTCGATCGCGTCGTCGTAAGGCTTAGTATGTTTGGTGGCTCTCCAAAATCGCCAAACTCTGATTCAGATAATGCAGCATCGTCATGCCACGCTGCTGTGGGCACCCTTGCGCCTTCATCGATCTCTTCTTCCGTCTCGATGATGTTTTCTTCGTCGTCGATATCTGAGTCGTCTCCAAACCCTTTACCCTCAACTAGCCAGAATGTTGGTATAGAGGCAGCGAACGCAATGGCAGACATAGTCCAGAACGGCACGATGACATAGCCACGCTTGACACCCCAAGTAAACAAGCCGCCTCCCAAAGTGGGTCCAGCTGCTCTGCCAAAAGCACTGAAACTCGTCGCTAGACCATTGATGGTCCCTAGAACGCGTAGACTAGGCGCACTGTTCGTGAGCATGATAGTACTGGTAGGGAAAGCAAATGTACCACCCACTCCTCTAACCATCAAGAGCAGCACCATGGCGACTTCCCTGGTGGTTGGATCTGGGATAAGCGATAAGAATGGTGTGACGAAGAAGACGAATGGGAAGATGAGAAATGCTATTCGGAGGCAGCGAACGACACCAAGATAGCGCGCAATAGGTGGGAAAAGTAAGAATTGACACATGGTACACGATATGGCAAACACAGTAAAAATGATGCCGATGCGTCGAGACTCGATACCAAAGCCTCCTGCAAATTTCAGAGGCAAGGATACGGTTGGATCGTCTGCGAGTTGTACTGGGTGGTGCATGAACACTGGAAGTAGCTACGTGTGATCAGCCATGGTATCTTCAACTGCCAGAAATCTCGTACCTGATCATATGCCTGGGTGTACATAGCGAGCAACGTATACACGGCAAGGTTTAGCGACGTCTGAAATGTCAACACATCCCGGTATCTTGGTGCTTTTTCCTTGACTACCTCATGAGCAACCTCATGCTGTGGTGTCGCTTCACTGTCAAGTATTTTCTGTTGACCGAGCAGCGGCTCGCGTTCTAAATTGCCGTTCTGCTTTTGTGTCGGCAGGTGCAGTATCTTGCGAATGAATGCTATCAATCTAGCCCCAGTTCTCACGCCCAGGTCTGGTGCGTTCTTCTTGCTTTCCAAAGTCTCTTGGAGAAACAGCCAGCCTATTACGATACCCGTAGTGAAGAACGCAGCGGCTACAAGGTTTGGCAAGCAATACGGAAATTTTTCCAGTAAAGCAGTGCCTCTGGGTTTCCGAGGATCGACACCCAACGGGTTGGCTAGGGCTCCGCCAAGGGTAGGTCCAAACGTCGCACCCACTGTCCAAACTAAGGGCATGACACTGAACGCTCTCGGCTGGAGCTCTTTCCACGGACACAGTTCTGCGACTGTAGTTCTAAGAATGCCTACATTGCCGTTTGATAGTCCTCCCAGGGCGCGTGCAGCCAAAGCCATGGGCAGATTGAGCGAGAAGCCCCATAGCAACATTGTCCACATGGTGTTGAACAGCCCAAACAATATGATTGGTTTCCTTCCATAGCGATCGGATGCAGCACCCCAGACGAGGCCGGTGAAGCCTTGACATAACGAGAATGCCGAAGACGAGATGCCAGCCCAACGCGCGATGTCATTTTGAGGAATGCCAAATGATTCCATAAGCTCGGGCACGTAGGGAAAAACGGAAGTGAGGGCGATGGGCTCGGCAAAGCGGCATATTGCTATGGTGAAGTTAGCAAGCTTGCAGAAGAGGACGCGTCGCATGTACGTACATAGAATCACCAGTTGTTTAACTGGTAGCCGGTGTTCTGTCATGGCGGCGGTGATTGCGAAGGATGCATGCTAGTCAAAGCCGCAGAGTGAAGAGAAGAAGAGCAGGAACAGTCACGAACGCTCATGCTTGCTCGCATGCTGAGTCCACAGGAAGGGCGCACCCCGCAATCACAGCTAGCCGCTCGTGGTCATGCGCTATTTGCGGTGAGCACGAGTCAGCTATTTCCGTGTCCGCGATGCGGTGCCATCTATTCCGAATTCCGAACGATGCGACTGCTGGCGCGATGAGGTTTGTTGTCGTGTGATAGCGTTGAGGGTGATGGTGATGACGCTGGAAGAAAGCCGACGCGACAGTCGTCATCGGCTTGAAGCTTGGGCGGAGAAGAAGCCGCCAACGAACAGTTCCAGGGTCCACGTTCTTCGTGGGAACCACCAACACCATCACGAAGCGCTTTACCACAACCAATACCTATGACACTCGGTACGCGTTCGAAAAAATCACCCCCAGCGGTCTACAGCACGAAGAACATGAGGTTGTCCAGGTAGCCAGTTGAGCTTTCACGATGCCTAAGCCACGGGAATAGCTGGGATACCACCGATCATTCGGCCGTCCCGTGTTGACACACCGATAAAGCTCGTATTACTATCGTTTTGTTGAGATGACTAAAAGCTGAAACCTTTTCTCATCTACTTCCGCTATTTGCACTTACTTCTCGCGCGTTTCTATCAACACGTCCGATGACTTCTCTTTATTGACTGATATCAATATATGCATATTTCGACACGGATTCGAGCGATCGACCTGTTCATGTACTACCAGCGACCCGGCTTCCGTTCTGGCCAATGTTGTACAGGGTGAAGGCGTTTTCTTTACATCTTCGCTGCGCTCCTAACAGGACCCTGACGGCTGTTATCGTATGTGACCAGAAGAGACCGAGAACATTCATTCACGATGCTTTCTTTGTCCACCATCTCAAGAAGCCAGAACTCTGGTAAAAGGCCATTTCCTATCAAGCAAGGTCTAAGAGCAAGATCTTGGCTTTGTTACTTCTTCACAATAGCATCTAAGATGTTATCTGCCTAATTGGGTGTCCACAACGTGCTTGTAAATCAGAGGCAGGATAAACAATGTCAACTACCGCATAGTTATATACCCTCACTGGGTCAGATTCCATTTTAGAGACAAACATAACGTTATTGAACAGCATCTCAGTCATGGAGAATCAAGTCGCAATCGAGACCACATCAGTGTCGTCGAGCCAGCAGAACCCGACCAGCCAGGTGAGCCCACCAAGGAACCCGCAGCTCCAGCAAGCAATGGATCTCATCGCCATCGACATGAAACTCTTCAAAGAAAAGCTAGACGTGGACTGTCGTTTTGAAGTATACAAGCAGGCATTTCCTGAGATGGACCGAGCCAACTTGCCTAAAACTCAGTACCGTCCAGATCACAAGGACGATATCCATATTATGTATACTACGCCATGCATCAAGTACGAGGGACTTCATCCGCCTAGCATCCTACCACTTCCTTGTGACCTAGACAGACTGAGGCAGGACAGTACCTCGGAATCAGATGAGGAAACATCAGATGGCGAAACATCAGATGAGGAAACATCCTATGAAAAAATCTCCGACAAAGAGTGGAAGAAACGGAATCTTGAGAACTGCGATTCGTGCATCAGCCGTAGTGAAAACCAGATCTATAGGATGCTTACATCGAACTTCTGCAAAGATAAGGACATACGGAAAGAGCTACTACAGTACTACTTCCGGTTCGTACAATTTCAATGGACTCAGAGTCGTGGCAGAGTCGCATTTTGTGAGCCGAGTTACTCGCAGATTACCACGTTATCGAGGTTCTTCGAGGCGTTTCAGCCATCTGGCTTGACTGAGCAGCTGAAGCACCTTACCGTCGACATTCCGTGGGCATATACGTACTCCGCAAAAGAATCAGGGAACCGTCGCGTGTGTATACGAACAGCACCATTCGACGAAGAAAAGGCATTCCAGAAGGACGCGTTGTCCGTGGGTAGAGTGTTCGGTGTTCTTCACAAATATAAGATCAAAACCGAGTTGACTTTCCCAGGAACATGGGATTGTAGAATGCCTTTCATACTGCGTGTAGAGGAGTTGTGTAAAACACATTTGCGGCGTGATGGACCAGAGTTCTGGAAAGAGCATAATGAGCAAGCGGAAAACATCTTTTGTCAGGATGCTGAGCTGCGTCGTCTTGCGGATGAGTTTGTTGCGAATGAGGCTATTTTGACAGGAGGGCGTGTCTACGCTCCAATCAATTTGATACCTTCCGCTATTGCCTTCGACATTGACTTTAGCCAGTAGATGTGCGCTCTGGATATGAGCGTCCCAGTGCGGTTCAGACGGCTAGAGTCCATACTCTTTCGTGAGAGTCCAGCATAGTAGTCAGCAATATAAGTATAATCTCAAAACCTCCACACGTAAATGCATTCTAGGGGTAAACGGCAGTCTAGCTCACCAGTAACCTTGAAACGACTTGCCATCTTGCCCTTTGAGTTTGCGAACAGTCCATTAGGTGAACACTAGCATGGTAATTCTGAGATACCTTCCAACCCACAATCACATACGATACTACATAGAAACTAGATAGGAGTTGCGAAGAAACGATTTCCGGATTGACATTGACCTATGCCACAAGGTTTTATCCGCTCGATCATGTCTACAAACAGTCTCAACAAGGCGACATGATATCCATTGTTCGAAAGGATCAGACAGTGTTTCCTTTCATAGCAGACTCCGTTCATAATTCTAGGTTGCCAGACGGGTTACTCGTCTCCTGAATAATAAACAGCGCATGCCTTCAAAGCGGAAGAATGTTTACAGTCGTGTGCGAAATCAATAGCAGGAGCAGGGGCTTCTCTCATGACACATCAGAGTCCTTTTATCTGTTGTTTCTCGACTGTATGACCGGACTGGCCAATTGAAGTCGATGCAAGTGCTACGACTACTCCGTCCATTGCAGCCCAATCTGCGATTCAAGCATGATGCCAAGCACAAATCGTTAACGGCTTTCTATCGTAATCTGTCGTAGTATGCGCAAGGTTTTCGACATGGGACATGCTTCAACGGAGTATTGGAACTAAATTTAGAGGAACAAGTCTGTGGACGCGGGCTGTTCGGTGTATTCGGTCGGCTCTTCGGCGGCGGAGAAGTATTGAATCGGTATCTAAATAAATCGATTCTTCGGCAAGGGCAATATGCCGACAGTGCTCACACGGAAACATGCAATATGGACAAGGTCGTTGAGAAGCATACATATACATGGAATGCTTTGTGTTGATTGCGTCGAGGTTCATGTGTGCAACGCACGAAGTATACTGATCAAGCAACGCATTGATTATGGGGTCATTTCAGGAGGTCATGAACAGTCGCAATGAACTATATGAGCATACGATTGCGCTAAGAGCTCCATATAGGAGCAGTCTTTGGTGTCATCGAAGCTCGTCAATACAATGATGAGAAAGTGTAGCTGGGAAGGACCCTCGTTACGTCATGTGAAGCACGGACATCGCCCGGCCATCAGTCGGGGGGAAAGAACCACCACACATCGTCTCGAGGCTTTCTTGCACTTCGTACAGCACAAACGGCAATCATCTTGTCGGTATACCAAGCGCGTCAACATAAGACACGGCAGCGCATACGAGAAGACTAGGCGATGCTGCTGCTCGCTTGGAAGTATCCGCCAGCAATACCGCTTCTGAAACGCGCCGTTGTCTGGCCTGATGTCTCAGGCATCGAGGTTGCCCCTTGATAGTACGCGGCGAAAACTGAGCCCTGAGCAAAAATATCTGGTGTACGCTCTGCTCAGTAATATCGTCTGCTGAAGCTAAAGCGCACAATGTTTGCGCTCAGCTTCGACCAAGTATGGCGCCCGCCTCGAGCGAGAAGACATCCTTTTGGAGTGTTCACTTGAATCACTGGAAGAGGAAACTTGATCTACTAACAGCAAGTCTGTCAGAATCTACTCGCCTACAAGCCTCTACGACCAACCGTACGTGAACACCATGACTATGGCGCCCGAGGGGCGGATCACAGTGGAGACGTTGCAGCCAGTCTAGCAACTATCAGCCGGATGAATAACATTGGGCGACAGCTGCACAAGGAAAATCGAGAAAGAGCATGTAGCACAGAGCGTCCGTTCCCGGGCTGGGCAACACCCTGAGAAGATGGAAACCTTCTGCTGCCGTCACTGGGTACGAAACAGACAAAGTATACCAGGAACAACACAACTCTGTGCCGATCTTCTCGGAGAGATTCATCGCAAGCCCAACATCGTTCGGGATCTGGCACTGGAGGCGAGCGTTGCCTATAGTGCCCATCGTTAAGTCTCTCAGCCAACAACGCATGCACGGTAATATCCACCTATCAATAACGGTCGTCTTATTGCGCGGCGAATGATATATGACAACGCATCATCAGTGTGCTATCGTCAGCGGTGAGACGCTATCGACCAGGCTTGGACTGGAGGGCGAGTGTGTTGGGTTGCTCGCTACCAGATCAGGTCCGCAACGTGCCTCCGGTTCAGTGATGTCTCGGTCGTCCCGAACGCGCGTTCGCTCATGGACGGCTTTCACCACCGTCAGACTGTCCATCAAGTGCGAGCAACGTTGAGCGAGTATCTCCGCAACTTGGCTGCTTGTGCAGCACCGCTGCATCATGAGTGGGTACCCTCCAACAATGTCACGCCAGTGTTGCAATGCCGTTGCCAACTAGCATATACAGCTGGCCATACTGAAGCCAGTCATGGTGGACTCAGCCAGCACACCCACCCTCCCTTGACGACCGGGGGCGACCTCCTCCGGTTGACGGCGTAGCTGTGGAGTGTCCCTAGCCAACGAGATATTTCGCCCGCGACAAGACTGCAATTGGTCATCAGCAGTGGATTCTGTATTCTAAGAGTGTAAGATGCAGGACGAAAGACCTGGCCGCCTTTTTCGCAACAGCAGCAACTACGGTGGTGGTGAGGCGCCCACCTAGCTTCCGCCTTTGCCAGCACTCGTTGCCGATCTCGAGGAAGCTATGAGGCCCCTTGTCAAGGAACTTTCAAGCGAGACTACCGCGAACTGTTTCGACTGTTTTCTAATCCTCCGGAATCTACACCCGTCAGATTGTAACCCTCTGTTGTCACCCAGTGTCACAGGGGCTGCCAAACGATATTGCAGACCTGGACACTGCACTGAACGAAGACCGCATCCAGACTCAATGGAAGCGAAGCAAGTCTGTTGTATCGGTTAGTCAAGGCACAGTCTATCCTATCTGGAGTCGCATAGGTTACTGTCGTGGTGCATACGTGAGTAATCGCGAAGGCGGACAGTAGCCGCTGACTGACATCGTTAGCACTATCATTCAGATCGGAGTACCACAAGTACTATGATAGGAAACTGTTGTGCGTTTACTGCCAGAGTCCACCAAGCTTCCATGTCAAGAGAACCTTTCGACCATAGAAACATATATCATGTGACTGAACCTTCACCACTACCTAGCAGAGATTGACCAACATCCGGGCTCGCTTGCGTACAGGGTACGAACAGAACTCTCCAAAGACTTGGAGAACTTCGCCAAGCGTTTACGCAAAGACCATGCCCTGCCGTTGTGGGAAGCGGAGCTATATCAGCTCCGCATATAGCCTATGTACCTCGCCTCACGCATGATCCGAAAACAAGCAACTTTCGGCGACACTATTGGCTATGACTCCACTTTCCATTTTTCGCATCCCTCCAATAGTATATTTGCGGGCCGTTGGCGGCGGAGCTGGCGCGCATACGCTATGTTGTGGTCAATAACTTTATTGACGCATTCAGAAGCACTGGACAGGAATGTGGCCAACAAAACTATACGCGACGCATAACCAGCAGGAAGAGCCGCGGCTGGAACGATAGAGGTGGTTGGCCATCTACCAGGCTCCTGGATCTTTTACCTCTTGCCTCTGACAGTGCACGAAAGATGCGGGATGCGGCGACGGCAAGCGGTTGACGGTTCAACGCTCACCGGAGCATTACTCGCACCCGCGTTCGATATCATCTTTCACCGATTGACAGGGAACGGCGCACATGCGGGTGTTCACAGCGCCAGTGCAGCATCGCGCAGTAAGGCACCGAGCTAGCACGTCCTTGTTGTCAATCGCCGCAGTGGTGCGATGCAAATATTGTTTGTCAAGGTGACCGGTCAGACTTCATCAGTGTGGGTCAACTTCAGGGATCGAGGGAAGCTTGAAGTATGAGTTGGCAAATTTTGCAGGTTTCACGAGAAGCGCACTATAGTTGAGACTCATTCATCCTGGGAAGGAATGACGTCGCCTGTCTGCGCGCGACAACGTTGCTGTTGACAAACCACGCCATATCAGCCAATACGTCTCAAGCGTCAGTTTCATCACAAGATCTGTTGAGACGCCTCTCTGCACGATGAGCTTGTCTAGCATATTCACCTTCCATCCAGATCGATGGCCGTGGATAAGCGAAGCGATGCTAGACTAGGTCTTCACTCGAAGACCTAGCTCACATACTTGCAGTGCCTCTATGGTTCTCCCCACATCCCGATAAAGCCTATATCCGCGATGCATCTGTAAGCGATGTCTCTTCGGCAGCAAAGTTTCTTGCCGATCGTGAGCATACAATCTCCGCTGTTCGCCTCGCTATTATATCCTTATCCATCAGCAAATGGTAAACATAGCAATCGCCACCTCAGCATTGGAACATGGAACCGTTTGCCACTGCCACATGGTAGACGAGGATGCCATTACCAGGAAGAGGGCACAAGGTGAGGCTTCCCAATATCCATTGCAGCGGCTTGCCGATTCTGATGCTTCTCTTCCTTTTTCGCCATCGGCGTATCCCGCCGTCCCAGTTTGTGCGCGCTGTCTCTATTCGCTAGTTAGATCAACGGCCCCTAGCTCCCGAAAGAAAGCGGAGTACACGTAAGTAGATGATCGCTATTCCTACCGTGCAGTGATGAGCAGAATGAGAGAACCCATGGCGGGAATGGCGGCAAGGGATTGCACAGTCAGGGTACATGTAAAGGTCTTAACGAGAAACGTGTGTCTGCAGCCATCCCGTGGAAGTGGTTATACCGAAAGCTTCTTCTTCTTCTTCTTCTTCTTCTTCTTCTTCTTCATCATCAGCCCATACCTACGTATGCCTTGGGTGGCGATCGTCTTGCGAAAGGTCAGCAAAAGTTCACCTCGCCCTAATCCAGCATATGCCTGCCTCGGCATTCTCGTTACGTGCGCGTGGCCGCACCCTAGCTGGTCGTTAAGAACATGGGTGGTTATGGCACGGCCAGTAACCGACAAGCTGAGTGCAGAAGAG